GCACAGGCACAGGCACAGGCACAGGCACAGGCACAGGCACAGGCACAGGCACAGGCACAGGCACAGGCACAGGCACAGGCACAGGCACAGGCACATACTGCAGGGAGATCGACCTGCGCATTCCAGTCGCGACGGCCATTCAGCACAACGCGGACTCGAGCACACGAAGCAGAATCATCCCCGCCTACATCCTCCACCGCCAGAATTGATGGTCAAAATGAGAGCCATACTACGACCCAGACTCCCTCGCAACAAGATAAGACTTCTGCTTCCACGCCAGACATCACGAACTACTACACCTTGTTCCCCTCCACGCTGGCATCTGGCCCGCCACCACACGGGCCGTTCCACATCCCCCTAGCCCAGCTGAAGCGCGAGTTTCTCCAGCTTCAAGCGCAGCACCACCCGGACAAATATCACCACTCGGAGGCCGCGCACCGGAGCGCCCGTGGGATGTCGTCGCTGCTGAATACCGCGTACAAAACATTGTCGGATCCGCTGCTGCGTGCTAGGTATCTCCTACACCATAACTACGGGGTGGATATCACGTCGGAGGACAATAATACCCACGGTAGTCTGACCGATCAGGAGACCCTGATGGAGGTCCTGGAGGCGCAGGAGGCGATCGAGGAGGCCACCACGCAGGAACAGATTGACGCATTGAAGGAGGAGAATAAGACTCGGGTCAAAGACGCCGAGAAGCTGTTGAGTGAGGCGTTCGAAAAGGAGGATCTTGAGCTTGCGAAGAGGGAGTGTATTCGTCTCAACTATTGGCGCAGTCTGCAGCAGGGCTTGCATGACTGGGAGCCTGGCAAAGAGGTCAGACTCATACACTGAGTTGATGAACACGAATGTCTATACGGATTGTCTGCTATGAATTAACTCATCTTCCCGGATACCCACTACTATACAAAACAGTAGAGAGAACATTCTGGGCGTGGTCGTGCTCGCCCATCTCTGACCATAATCAAACCGGTATCTCTTTTCCATGCTTCTTCTTCTCCATATGTTCACGTACTCTTATACTCCAGTACCCTCATTTCCGTAGCAATCCTTGACTACTCAAGCTCGGTGACTCTCAAACATGAGACTTGATCCTCTTGCCATCAGCTGCGGTCCGCCATCGCTCTCGTTGAGTCCACTCTTCCATTGCTTTTTCATAGTGGCCGTCACATCCGGCATTGGCTTCCACTTGCTTTGTTCGACGAGGGTGCTCTTGACATCTCTCTTCAGACCCTTGGTCTCATCTTCAACCTTTTTCCGTCTAAACCCCTTCTCTAGCCTTTCAGCCTCTTGCCGCACACCTTGAGCGATGAGTTCATCCCATTTGTCCCTCTGACTCTCCGGCCACGTCAAACTCACGCAGAAAACTTCGCGATCGGCGTCTTCCAGCATGGGGCTTCGACCGTGCAGATTCCGGGACAGAACTAAGCGGTCCAAGCCACAGAAGTTCTCCGTGTATCCCCATGGTCTCAAAGACTCCTTCTCACGCACAAAGAAGTTGACTCCGAACTCGGTCCAACTGTGCTCGTGCTTGGCCGCCGGGACGAAGCAAATGTCCGATACAATGTTGCAGATCCAATCCGGGATGTGGAGCACGTTCTCCAAACAGACCGTGTGACTGTCTTTACCTCCTGGCTCTCGCCGGATCTTCACCTCGACCGTTCCGATGCCACGAACAAAGACCTGACGTTGGTCTGCCACTGTGAGGACATAGGATCTGAAAGGGAAGTATGTTTTGAAGGCAGCCCGATCAATAGCAACGTGGACATTCGAGGCGCTTGAGAAGATCCAATCGTAGCATTGCTTGGCCTTGGCCTTCTTGAGTGGTATTCCGTAGGAGGCTGTACGACGGGACGTGTAGTATGAACTGGGCTCGATGTTGGGAGGAGGAAGATCTCTTCGTGGATCGAAATGAAAGGCCATCTTGCGTAAGGATGTAGAACTGGCCAGCTTTTTCAGTTGCCCTGTGAAGGACATCCAGAGAGCTTCTATGAGCAGGGATGCTGTTCAAGTTGGCAGGTCTGCCTAGTGAGTGACAGGCGATAATAGAGATAGGAGAGTATGTTCCTCATCAGGCGAGTGCAACGACTAGCCAACAACCAAAAATCGACCCGGAAAGAGTGACAACAACCACGACGTCAATCACAAAGACAGATTGAAGTGTACGTTGAAAGTTTGTTGGATTGTCACACGAGGTGGGAAGCGCCTCCCGAGTGACAGCGATATGGCTAGATATTGACTCGCCAGGAAGTCGCGGGCCGGCGTGAAGACATCGGGCCCAGATAGAAGGAACAATCAGAAGCAACACTGTTTCCAGTCATATAGAGCCACGCTTTGTGGGGTGAATAGGCCCAATGCAGCCCTCTGAAACATATATGCCCAAAGTATCACTGAGTGGCAGAGGGTGTCGACAACACCAGGACCATACAATCCTTGTGACCGATGTGAACACCATTGGTACCTGTGGACCAGGGTAGCACTTGTCGACCATCCCCATGACTGTTTGCGCTCGTGTCACCTTTCGGATAGGGTAGAAATAGACGCCTCCATCTTTGATCAGACTTAGAGCCATATTGTCATCAGTATCGTCGAACCTCAAGACTCCCACAAAGCTCATCCCAGAAAACATTATAACTATCAGCAATCCACTCTCAAATCGACGGCTTTGGCCCCGTCCAGATTGGTAAGGCAGGCTGACAGGGCTCGTTGAAGACCGTCTCGCTAATCGTTGAAGCTGTATACTCTGCCGTCGCCCCAATCGTTCTTCTTGTGTCGCCATGTCGAGAAGACCAAGACCAGGATTTCCCAAGCCGCCTCCTGTGCCAAATTGAGTCTCCCACTTGTCACAGTAAGATGCCACAAGTCTAACTTGGTGAATCAATCATTCCAGACGGGCAAGGTATGCTGCCAAAATGGACGTGGTGGAACTTCGAGAGGTTGAGTTGATGTTGACCAGATCAACAGGGGTGATCGAATGATGGGGAAGCCTTCGACTTCGGTTGATCCCAGCCTAGGTCAATTGGATGCTTCTCTTGGGTCGTTTAGCTGGGTTGTACACCTTCCATAGGGGTTGAAATGGTTTTGAAATGGAATGATACATGAGAATTCTGCAATGTCCCTGATGATTCTATGATAAGACACAACAATTATCGTCAAGCTTACCCTTAGTCCCTCCCCTGAGCCCTTTAGTAAGGGCGAGAATGGAACATGGACCTCACTCATCTTGTCGCCCTGAAACTCCTGCAAAGAACCGAGAAGATGAAAATACCATGCGGATTCTGTAATGAAAGCAACGCTCGGGCTTTTGTGGAATCTGCTATGATTCTCACCAGTAACCGTGTAAGCATGCTCTTGCAGCACAGATAGTGTCATTTGCAGTGGAGCGTTTTCGACACTCACACGGTGGGCATGGCGGAATTTTTGGAACCAAAACATGCGAAACTGTCGTGTCGGCAATTGGCTTCAGAGTCGCGCAGGTTGTCTCATCTAGAGACAGGCAATGCCAGTATATCAAGTTATCAACAACTGAACTTGATGGACAGGCGTCTCACAGACAGGCAAAGCGCACACACCCTGCAGGGGGTAATCTAGTAGGCTGCTTGGAACTCATGGACAAGGTAAGATACAAGTTCTGTTGCCCCCCTGTTGTCTCTTGAAGTACGAGGCTGAGGATGACGAACTGTGGCCACAGCCTTGTGCTTGTACTTCACCGAATATGATATAAGGCGAAGTAAACATACTTCAGTTGCATCCCCGCCTTGTATCTGACCTCATGGAACCGCAACCACCATGACCCACCATTCCTTCCTTGACACGAGACGCCTTCTAAGTAACCGTGAGCAAGATCTCGGTAGCTACAGAAGCGAACTGTGTTTTGTGTCTGTGGAGGGGAGGATTTATGCATGTGTGTCAACGTGTCTGACGGGCATAAACCTTCAAGTTGCAAGGCTTATGTTCACGTAGCCGTTGACGTCTGCGTCGGCCAGACAACGCGCTCTCCTATGCTCAGATGGACACCAGTGAACGCTGGACTCGGGGAAGCCTCGACGATGCCTTCGAAAATGCCCAGGCCAGCCCTTCCATGGTATTCCTCGACTTATTTCACCGAAGAGTTTTCCGCCATGAGGGGAAAGTGGTCAAATACGGCCAATCCGTGACTGTTCAAGAAGCACAAGCGTTGTCCTTCATCAAGAATTCCAGTCTCAGCATACCCATTCCCCGCGCCCACTGGTCTGGGACGTGTGAGAATGTGGGTGTAGTCGAGATGGGCGTGATTGAGGGAGACGGCGTTTGGAGAGGACTCTCGAAGGACGAGAAGCACAGCTACATGCAACAACTAGGGGAGATTGTGAAACAACTGCGTTCGCTTGAGGGCACGTATATTGGCTCTCTCCAAGAAGGTCCTGCAGTCGATGCTCGTCGCGATAGACATCAGGGTGGTCCTTTCTACAGCGAGGCGGCCTTCAACGAATTTTTGCTGAGCAACGCCATTTCTACCATGCCCCAGATTTATCGCAAGATGATACACGATCTACTCTCCGCCAAAACACACAAGGTCGTCTTCACCCCTGGAGACTTGAGCTCCAGAAACATCATGGTCAAGGATGGCCGAATCGTTGGCATCATCGACTGGGAATATGCGGGCTGGTATCCCGAATACTGGGAGTTTGTGCGATTCTTTAGAGCGGTCTGAGCTGATCACTGTGATTATGCCGACGTCGTGTTCGAAACCATGTATCCTGCCGAGCTCATGACGGACCACTTTCTGGGACATTTTACGGAGCATTAGACGACCACTGCAGATGAGAAACATGATGCTGACTTCTGTGGTGATTGTGAAAAGCGTCTTCCGGCGTGGTGTAGGGATAAACAGGGCCATGAGTACCACAGGCGCCAGATGCCAACAACGGCTACATCTTACCAGGTATCGTTATACGCCCAATTATGTCCGCATACCTAGGTAGTAAGAGTCGGTGTCCTCCATGAGGTGGTTGAATGTTCCGAGCGATGCTCGAGAAAGAGGAGTCTAAATTGAGTTCTGGAATATTTATATTGGGTCTCGAAATACAAGGATAATCAAACTCACCAACAGCCATAAACTTCATCCATCCAACTTACTTTAGAGTCACGAACTCCATTCCCATTCTGGCATGAGGACCTATACTTTCACAAGCTCTGGAATCACGAGCCGTGAACTTCTCTTGTGCAGACTTTTCAACACCCTTGAAAGCCGTTGCAAACTCTAACTCTAACCACACTCTTACCGCCCGACCCCAAACCTGTTACCTAGCTGTTACAACACAGTGGGGGTTTCCAGCTCAAGCATGAACCAGATTCTGAAAATGGCACTATCGATATCTGCCACAGGTAAGAAGGGATGCGGAAAGTATGGCAGGATACTATTGTCGAAGATCTCTTGTGCCACATTCATTCAGCCTGATGCCTAAACACGAACCATAGCTCCACACAGAGGAGTTCTTGCACCTGTCTCAAAATGCCCGGCAACGCTTCATATCCTCTTACGCTTAGGCTCTCATCAGCGGTCAGTTTTACGCGTCACAGGTGAGTAGGTGGCTGTCAGGATTCAATTGTCCGCGTTGGAGCGAAATGGAGACTTCCTGAACTGTCGCCGTGATGCGAGGATACTCTAGTATTTCTCCAGATACTCTCCAGGGCGGTCCTTACAGAAGGTGAATGGCCCTGAGCAGAACTAGGATACAGTTTTGAAAAAGCTTGCTTGTCCCACAGCACCCATCCAAACAATAACACGCAGATCTATTGAATGTTCCAACGGTTCAGACAAGACAGGGCCACACTCAGCGTCTGGTAGGTTATCCTATAGTCTCTGAAGAGTGCAGAGTTTATTCTTGTTCGCCAGTATGGTTCCAGCCTGGTGTGAGGACCGGCAACCCTTCCAAAGGTACAAATACATGCTGCAAATGCTGCCTCAAAGCATTTCAGAAGACTTTTCCAGATTCACTTCGAATACCTTCGCAACAGATACAAGCAACTCTCTGCTCTTCTCACACGAACACTTGTTGCAAAACATCTCTTGAACACCTGTCGCTCTCCCTTGACAGGACAACAAAGTATCATACCACTAGTACCTCAGGCACCCCCCAGACAACCGACACCAACACTCCTACCTCCCGTATATCACCTCGGGCCTCATCATCTCTCTCGCGGCTTTAAACTTCCCTCTCAACATTTACATTCACGTAATCACACCCTCCTCACCGTCATCCCAACCACCAATCACTATATCATCATGTCGTCCTTCAGCAGCAACGGCAGCACCCTCGACGCCAACACCTCCTCGGACTCTGATGTCCGTATGCTCCTAGCAGCCGAAGACCAGGAATGGTCATTCGTGCATCTCGAGCTCGTCGAGGAAGACGATGACGATACTTTTTCTTCTTCTTCTCCTTCTCCCTTCTTGTCCTCTTCGCCCGTCGACATTCAACTGTCGACACCGACATGGCCAGAAGTTACTTCGGCAACGACGGTGGCCTTCTCCTGGGATCAACCAGGAAACAATGAAGCCACCGACTTCCATGTCGACGACTCGATCGCCCACGGCGTCCGAGCACAAATGGCCAACGACCTCCACCGAGAGGTCCGGCTCACAGTGGCAGCGAGCGAGTCCGATGACGACGACGACGACAACGACAACGACAACAACAACAACGAGAACGAGAACGACGACGAACTCCCCACGGAGGAGTGGTGGGAGAACACCCTGACCGGGAATTATCTGGTCGGCCCTCTCTCCCAGTTTCGAAGCCACGGGAACTGGGTCCGCCTCCCCTCGGCGCCCAGCACATCCTCGACGACCACTCCATCGCCGAGGACGGGGAGACGCACGATCCGCCGGCTGTTGATAGACTCGGACGATGAGCTCGAAGGGTTCGTCAGATCCGGCGGCCAGACTAGGCCGTGGCTATCGCTGGCTCCAGAACCTTCTTCTGCTCGCCGATCCGGCATCCCTATCGTTGCGGAAGACGAGGATGGCACAGAGGAGACCGCCGTGCCCAATGACCCAGGGCGCCCTCAGACTCGGGATTTGGGGCCATGTGGGCAGAGTAGTCACTGGGCTGATCTTGCGCTCTTGAACCGGTGGAGATCCGCAGCCGTTGCGACAAGATGAGCCAGCCTCCGACTTTCTTTGGGTGACCACCAGATCCACCGAACGTGACCCAAAGAAAGTCTGAAAGGGAAATAGACCTGGGAACGACAGTGCAAGGCCAATCAAGACCAGAGATGCAAGTGGAAGTGGAAGTGATCGTTGATTGGATCTGGTCCGAATCTGGATTTTGAGTTGGCGATTCTATGGAACATTGGCATGAGCCTGAGCGTACAGTCATCGGAATGCTCAGGAAGGGGGGAAATATGCTTTATGATTACGCTTGTTAGGTAGAACTATTAGCAAAATAAACACTATTGAATTCGATTCACTGTCTTCTCGACATGCCCATGTCTTGTTTCCTTGGTTTCTTCCCGGTTCGGCTTCCTAGTGAAAGGAAACCACTGCAAGGGATAGCAACGGTCGCTCTACTCGACTCTCTATCTTTGGCTGATGCGTATTGTATGCGAACTATACACACGAGAAATGAGACTCAAACACGTCAACCACGGAACTGCTACTGCATCCGAACATGTCTCGTGTTATGATGCGCGCTGGATCTATGTTATATGCACTGACAGCCAACTTCGTGGTCAGCCTGGCATAGTGATCGAGTTATATCGGACGATTGAAAGGGATGAAACGCTCTTATAACCAAGAGATATTTGAATGTTCATTTCCTCTTCATTCAACATTGACACCTCGGATCGAAGGGGTCATACGCAAGAAGGAATATGAGTCGTCGTCACCATCATCTCGAGACATTCATACACTACAATCCTTTACTTTTCCCCTTCCTTCGTCCTCCGTGACTTGACTGTCCCTCAAAATACAATCTCCGCAGATCACATTCGCCAACCCATGTTGAACGCTGACCAGGAGCAAATGCAAGACAACGCCGCAAAACCCGAGTCTGGCGCCTTGAAAATGAATAGAACAAGTAAACCCCGCTTCTGTTGTTACAACTGCATTCGAACATCTTCCCGTTCATGGTCACCCTCACTCGGAGCAACAGTCTCACTCCTCATGGTTTCTCTGTTACCATTCACCTTCTCGTCGAGCGACATAGCGTGTCCGCCCTGTTGTGGGGCGCTTCTTCCCAGTTTCTCGCACCATCCCTCTGCGCTGACTAGGGTATCGTTGACAACGCGACTGACCTGGGTCATCATGTCCAGGCCTTCTTCGGCCAGCAGCATGACCCGTCTTCCACTCTTGACCACCTCAGACCTTGCCGCCGAGCTGGGATCGGATTCTTCGCTTCCCGCCATGTTGGCAAGGTTGAACCGTTGTGGGAGGCTGACCAGATGTCTGTGGACCAGGTCACGGGCGTTTTGAGGCAATGCGCCACCTGCGTAGTTTGACACAATGCCAACGACGTGTTTGAGGGTTTGAAGTACGTCGGCCTTGAGAGCGTTAATCCGAGCCAACAATGCCGCTTGTCTTCTTTCTTGCTGGGTCTGGGTCATGCTCGCCACCGACACGAGAGATGATTGTTCGCCTGGAGTGATACCTTCATCCCAGCGCTCAAGGAGGGACTTGAGATTCTGGATCGCCTCACCGAGACGACCGTTGGCCCATCGCAGCCAGCTTAGGCAATACCGGAGACTTCGAATCGAGTCTTCTCTCATGGCAATGCCCAGTCCGCTGGTGGATATGACGAGCTGTTGGCGCCATCCCGGGGGAGGTTGACTGTCGCCAGACTTCAACAGGCCCTGTTGCTCACTGTAGGGAGGCGACCGGTCGCTAGGATTGTAGGCCGGTAGATTCTCGCCATACATCATCTCCGAACTGGAACGTCGAGTGCCGTCAGGAGCGAGGTCTGCATAACCCTTCTCCACATCGGAGGACTGTGTCACATTGGAAGCCGATCGTTCGTCCCTCTTCGATTGCAGCGCCCATCGTAGACCACCTTCGACCCCTGATATCCGGGCAACTGTGCCGGCAATAGGCAGACCGACATTTCTCTCCGTCCACTCGGCACCGGGAATATACGACTGGGTCGTCTTGTAAGCAGATAACGAACCATTGATCAGACTTCCGGCCAGAGGATATTGGCTGGTGAAGAGCCGTAGGAGAGGTTCAGGTTGGTCGGAGTCGTAGGTGGTTTGGGTCTGGACAAGTGTGGGCGCAGGTTGTGATTGCCCGGGAGAGTGGTATTCTAACATCACATGTCAGCAATGAGAGAGTCGCGACAAGAATCGCACTGCGCAACATACTTTGTTGGAGACTATTGAGTGTCTCAGCAGCCTCCATGTCTTCAGCTGACAGGCCAGACAAGACGCTGGCGGCTCTGGTCGAGCGATCATGGTCCAATCGCATCATGTCAATATCAAACGAGGCCGATTTGTGCGCATCGGTGGATGAGCGATGGGCGGATAGAGGAGGCGAGAAGGGAGGCGGAACGGCATAAGGAGGGTTTGGCGTTTGTGAGTCCATTTAGAAAGGAATCGTATGAAGCGAGTTGAGTGAAGGGGTATGAATCGGCGAGGGAGTGAATGCTGGTGTGGGCGGCACAGTCGCGGGTGATTGGAAATGGGCCGAGGCCTACGCTCTACATTGTGCGCGAGCGCATTGCGAGCGCATGAATGAGGGTGAGAGGAGTGCAGAGAGCCGTCGAGGTGTTGTAAGAGAGTAGGGAGACCTCCGGAGGGAATACAAGAAGTAGGCAGACCCTAAAGGGCCGGAGTGGGAGGTAGAGTCGTGGTAATGGTAGTGTGTAGTATGGTAGCAGGAGAAAAGATGACGGCGACGGTTGATGGTGGTGATGGTGGTGATGGTGATGGACAGAAGAGGGAATTGGGAAAATGACATCTGATCACATGCCACTCGCGCTGGTACATCCCAATCAGGACTAGTGATGTGAACTAGTAGCATATTCAGCTTTATGATTGGATAATTTGGCTAGCATAGTGCACGGCAGGAGTAAAAATTATTCCCTTGCAGCCACTCACATTCACGGTATACGTTTTAGTACATTTTAGTATATGATTAATGGGTAGCTATTTCTTAGTAGTGGGCTTTTTGTGGATTCTTCTTCATCTCCTATGCTCTCGCCATGTGGCTGTCTACAGAGTAATGAAAGAGAGTACAAGATGCCTCTAGCTCTCTAGGTACTAGATACCTTACTAGTACTCTAGGTACCTAATATAAGAGAGGGTTCGCATGTGCGCTCTTTTTTGCCGGCTCCAGTCTCCACCCGGTATATCACATGCATCCATCTATTTCATGCTGTTCCCATCTCCTTCGGTAGCATCCCTCCTCTGTCGGGCATACAGATATCTACTCAATATCGCTGTGGGAGTTACAGGTACCTCAGATCCCTAACATACAGTGGCTGTTCTTATGTCCCCTGTGGGCGTAGATACCGAAATTTCCTTTCTGGGACTGCCGCCAAATATGTCCGGCAACCCCTTTATCCCTGTTATAAAGCTCCGAGCCTGACTTCATCCCTGATCCATTATAGCCTCGCAGACTGCTGTCACTTGCGCAACAAATCTATTGATTGGTGAGACAGCAAGGGAATGACCGGGAGTTATGTCACCGAAGTAGCTTCATCCCCTTGTGAAAGACTCAGTCACCTTGTGGACTCATCCGGATCCCATTGCACCAGAATTCGCCTCAGTCGGATATCGTTCTGACGACGTAATTCTTCCTCCCGGATTCTTTGCTCGCGCCTCAATCTGTACCTCGTACTGACGGCTGAGTACAAGCTGAAGCCCAGCACGGTACTTCCAGCCAGCACGGCCACTATCTGGTCCAGGTCTGCCCAGGATGATGGCGTCTTGGGAAAATAAAAACAAAAAGACGGCGTCGCTGCTGATTGTTGGTAAGAACAACGGCTTTTTCTCATCGACCGTGGAGTCGAGGCGCGGGGCCAAGCCGATCGACATCAGGCTCGATATGAAGGACGCCGGCAGAAAAAACAGAGTCATAATCGTGATGAGTTTCATGCTCCGGCTGTCTTCTATCTCCTGCCGCGAAACCCCGAGCGTCTGGTTCTGACTTTGGACGATCTCCATCTGTTGGCGACCGATCTGCTCTCGTTCCAGGTGCACCCCCAAATATCTTCCCTGCTCCAAAAGCTCGTGGATTTCGCCTTGGTCTATTTCCGGGATTGCCCCAGAGGTCACCGCGCGAACGGAGGTCTCTGAGTGTATTGGGGACGGGTTAGCCACAGCTGCCCTCGTTCTCTTCTTGGCAGGTCTTTAATGGTTGAAGAACACCCAGAGCAACAGCGTCGTCACAAATATCAGTACAGACAGCAGCACTGTGACGAAGGTCAACAGGCTGTCTGAGTTTGCAAGAAAAGATCTGCTGAACGAGCGGCTGATGCCTCCCCTTGAGAACCCGGACAGGTAGACAAAGCATTCGGCCGCATAGCACAGGAGGCCCATCGTTCCCACCATGACGAATCGTCGAATCGTGATGTTCCACACGGCCACCACAAACATGATTACGCTCAGGCTCATGAAAACTTCGGTGACCACGAAAGGCGCTTCAATGGCTTGCGCTATTTGTGACAGATCGAGAGCCGAATCCAGAGGCGGAGACTGTCTCAATCGCCGAGAAGACTGATGTATCTGTAAGAGGAGATGGACAACAGCAACAATAGGCAAAGTAAGGCCAGTGATCAAGTCGGCACTGATGCTGTCCTGGGTCCTGCGGCGTGGATGCAAAGTCCAAGATATCAAACAGGCGGTCAGTGTCATATACCACCCCAGGATTGTTCCTGGTCCATAGAGCATGTTGACCTTGCTCAACTCCTGCTTCTCCCACCGATCTTCGGCCATTGTGGTGTGAGATTTTGGAATTTGGTTCAGGCAGGGAGCAACAAGCTGATTTCTTTGCAGATTGAGAAAAGGCGGATAAGCATGCTGCTCAAGGCTACTTCTCTAGCGTTTTAGGCCCGAAGTAATGTCTTGGACAGTGTTGTCCTCTGAAGGCGCAGGAGCTGTACTAGTCTGCGCCACATTGGAAAAGGTACCGCGGCAGAGTCTGCATGCATACCAGCCTTGCCGAGATAGAACGAGGAGGCGTCAGGGTGCTGCTGTATTGCCACTGATCCATGACCTATTTATCAGCAACAGGGCCTAGAGACTGGTGATACATCCTACGACGTAGACACACATCAGCATATGCATAACAGAGAGGCTTTTCGAAGAGTCTTCTGGACCGCCATCCTGAAACCCTCCTGGCAAAGTGCGATTCGCGATCGTAGTGGCCAAACCTGTAAATGAATAGACCAGTCAAGTCAGGAGGTGAAAGCTTGTTGATGTACTCGGACAACAACCGGTAACCGTTATCGATACGATCCGGCAATACTGAGAGGGAAAGAAACAGCCTTTGAGGATATTGATGATATAGAGTCCAGAGTATGGTGGACAAGGCCTCTCAGGGGTCCGGACCGGAGAAACTATTCTCCGGGTGCGGAGGGAAGCGACGCGAACTTCAAGTCCCAGTCGTCGAGGCAGCAGAGTACACAAGACACAGGACACAGGAAACAGGACATTCATACCTGGAGAACACTCCTGGACCGCGTCCAAAACAACATTCTAGCTGAGATGTGCTCATTCTCATTTTGACAGGGTGTGTGCGCTTCACAACCGAAGATGGTCGCTCAATATACACATTAAACCCGACATGGATTCCCAGCAACAGCATGGATCATCCTACTCCTCAGATCAACCCGGCCGTACCATATTCCCCAAAGGCCCGGTATTCAGCCTTGACGACTTCTCCGACCGCGACTTCATAGCCAAAGACTTCATCGAATCTCTGACCGAGAGCGCGCAACCCTCCCATCGTCGCTCTCACGGAGCCGAGGCACCCTTCGACCCAAAACCTCTAATACGAACCTTCGAGCAAGCCTCACGGCGACTCGACGAACTCTCGGGGGAGCTAGAGCAACGGGAAAATGAGCTCGCGGCAGCAGTAAGAAGGGCGGAAGCCCAACACGCCAGCAATACGGAGACGCTGGGTCGGAAGCTCAACCAGACCATTGAGAGTTTCCGTAAACTCGACACTTCGTTGAAGTCGGACCGCGGGGAGAAATGGGGCGGGAACGTCGCCGTCGAGACTGGCCGGCGGATAGAAGAGCTCGACCGACAACGGAGAAAAGCCATGGACGCGCATTTCTTGATCGAGTGCTGGGACGAAGTCAGCAACCGAGGCGAGCTCACGCAGCTGGAGAATCTGAGGAGGTCTGGCACGGGCGAAGGCAAGATCAGATCCGCCAACATAGCCCGCCAACTGCTCCGGATAAGTCAGCGGCTCGATCCCAAGAGCCACGGACAGGTCAACGGCGACTCCAATCACCCGGTCGGCATCACGAACGGGGTGGTCGGGAGCGGCGGCAGGAACTTCAACACGCGAGAAGTGATCGAAAAATTCATCGAGACACTGGAGAACGACATGCTCAAGTTATTTGATGATTTCTACAGACGACAGAATTTCGAGGAGATGAAGAACTGCGCCATCGTATTGCAAGATTTCAACGGCGGCGCATCGGTCCAAGCGGCTTTCGTGAACCAGCACCAGTTCTTCATCGACAGGAGCAACTTGGTGACCGACGAGATCGGTGGCGACCAAGAAACCTGGATGCGACTGTCGGACCCCGACGCAGATCTCCCCGGCGTCGAACCTGGTCTGCAATCCCTGATTGACGAAGTCAAGGTGGTGGTCCAAGAAGAGTCCGCGATCATCAAAAGAGCATTCCCTTACCCGGAACAAGTGCTGGGCAAATTCGTGCAGAGGGTATTCCAGCAATCGATCCAGCAAAGGCTGGAGCTTGTGCTGGAAAAAGCCGAGTCGGAATCCACGCTTGCATATCTGAGATCGCTGCAGGCGGCTAGAAGCTACATCAGCATCCTTGTGGAAGACCTCAAAGCACACGGGTTGACGGAGCATCCGGATTCCGTCACCTCTCAGACGAGCCAGCTATTAGACCAGCAGCTCGACGAACTCTTCACCCCCTACTTCGGCGGGTCAGCCTACATCGACAAGGAGAAGCACAACCTGCAAGAGTTGTATAAATCACTACTATTCAAATTCGAGCTGTTCCACTCCCGCCGGCAGAAGGAACCCAAGACGTATCTCGCATCACTGCGGAACCGCGGGCAAGAACTCCTGGCCTCGGCGCGAGAGGCCACAGACGCGTACGTCAAAAGCCTCGACTTGGAGAAGATGTCGCCGACACAAAAGCGCATTCTTCTCTCCGTCGCCGGGCTCAAGGACACGGACAAGGCCCAGCCGGGCATGGATCTGTCCGAAGAAGACGGCAGACTACACGTAGCATTCGCCAAGAGAATGCTGAAATGGCTTGCCGAAGGAGTGCGCCGAGGCCTTGAACTCGGCGGCGGGTCCGAAACGCCCAAAGACGTGGCGGCGCTGCTGAACCTGATCCTGAAGAACCTGCTCGAGTTATACGTCGAAGTGGCTCTCGACGCGGCCGCGGAGAGCGCGTCGGCCGCGGAGACGTCGAAACGCGAACAACCGGACCTGTCGTACCTCACGATCCTCCGGACGGCGGTCCACATCACGCACCTGGTGCAGAGTTGCGTCAACACGCTCCTGATCCCGCTGGCCGGGCCGAGCCTGACGGCGCGCCGTGACATGGAGAAAAGCACGCGCGCCGCCGTGGCCCGCATCGAAGACCAAATCAACACCATCGAGCAGCAGACCATCGACGCCGTGCTGAACTGGACCGCGCGCCTGCTGTCGACCCAGACCCGCACGGATTTCCGCCCGCGCGCAGAGACCGAGGCCGAGGCCGCCGCCCTGGAACAGGCCCAGACCCCGACGTGCGACAGCGTCTGCCGCTTTCTGGCCCTGTTCCACGACACGGCCGCCGAGGCTTTTGACGGCGCCAACCTGCACGCCTTGCTCACCGAGGTCGCCGTCGGCTTCCGCGCCCAGCTGCTCCAGCATTTCACAAAGTACCAGGTCAACCGCATCGGCGGCGTCATGCTGGCCCGCGACATGAGCCGCTACGTGCAGCTACTGAGGTCGTGGAATCTGGACGATCCCTTCAAAGCCAGTCTCGAGGTCTTGACCGAGATTGCCAGTATCTTCGTCTTGCTGCCCGACGCCCTCAAGGAGCGTTTGCGAAGTCAGGTCCTCGGCAATCTGGGCAAGGAGAATCTCCGGCCCTATCTACTCAAACGGGATGATTATATGGAAGTCGGCATGCAGAGTCTCCTCCACGCCCTGTAGGCGACATGACAATGAGGAGAAATGGGGTTTGTCACAAATGGACGGTGTGGAGTGCAATATTGATCTCGGTTGTTTGGGCCCGAAACTGGGTTGTTGTGACGGATGGAGCATATCTCTCGCGTTCAGCATGGTCATGCTACTCTATATCTGGTGCTGGCTTGAGGAGTGGTGACGTGATATACTGCAACCTATCTCGGTATGGTGTTGCCGATGAGAACGAATATGACTGTTGTACAAGGGTCCGGGGTCCGAAGGCCGCCTGGCCTCAATTTGACCTTCAGTCCTCCATTCTGCGTGTCCTCTGTACATGACACCCCTTCTGCAACGCATTGACTCTCCTAACGAGCGATCTCCTATTCTCTCCTCTCCATTCTCTTCTGTACATTCCGAAGCCAGTTTGAGTCCAAAAGTCCGTTCAACTCCGCCGTATGCTTATATGTGTGATATTACACTTGCCTTGCTGCGCCATCCCATTTCAATGCCACAAAGTCCCCATAATGCGAAGTACGTAGCTCCCACTGGAAAGTTCGCGAGATGAGATACATTGAACTCCCTGGCAAAGCGCACGGAGCGGATGATGCTGATGTTCAGTCTAGTTTTGCTTTTCTGGTTCATTTCAATCTTAATTTTGGTTGCAGTTCTTCTCAGATCTTGAACCCATATGTCGCCATGCAGTCCTTGTACCGGCTGACCATGCTCTTGCAGTCTTCTTGGGGATCGTCGGCTCGGGAGAACAGCATGCATTCGTCACGCTGGGACTTTTCGTCTTTGCATACACAGCAGGGCTAGACAGATGATGGAGATTGTTAGCCAGACCGTCATAGCTGGAATGCAAATACCCAAAGGAACAATACGTAGGCAAACTCGTTGTCCCAGGGGAAAGATTGGTCGTACCTTTACTTTCTCCACCTGGCCAGCGGGCTTGAGGTCTGCAGCAAGATTGGTCGGCGTGGACGGCTGTGTGACTATGGGTGACAAAGTGCTCATGTTAGCCGAACAATTCTCTCCTCGAAAACAAGAAGGTGAAGTGAAACACAAGAATGTGGATGCAATGCAATCGGCCACCTCAACGGTCGTTGGCCATGATCCTCATGAATATCGAGCCATGTAGAGTTCCGCGCTCTCTCTTCCCCGACCCCGTCCAATAACTGCTCGGAAGCATCATACTGTTACAGCGTAGAGCAACCATTGAGTAATTGTTCGGAGTCAGTCGATGCGGGCTAGTCAGGAGCTCTGAGACCTGCGCTGCTGCAACGGTGTATTGCCCTTCTCATCCTTCTTTCGCGCACTCGAGGAGCAACGGTCCACGCAACAACGCCCGCCAGAAGATATCCCATCAAGCTCTTTCACATGGACTTGACATCCAATGTTGTATTCCCATATGTCCGTTTCCTCCAAAGACCTTGTTTCTCACACAACATATCTGAAAAACAGAAAGACATAGACACGAACGAGAACCAGAACAGGGACGTACCGGCCGCAGGTTGCGCAGGCGTAGGTGAGGAACTGAACCAGGACATTGTGTATGGGTGTCGCGAATCGAGTCGACTAGTTGACGAGGAATGGATAGAACCCAAGGAGTAGAACGACAAGGTAGTTGTAGACCGACGGCAAAAGGGTCGATGCTGTGCAGTGCAGCGCAGTGGAATGAATGGATGATGAGAAATACAAAAGACTGGCCCGGCGGAAGATGAGGAATTGGAGTTGGAGAACGACGCAATATGCGCCCGACAAATGCCGACTTAGTAATCAGCCAACCAATCATTTGTCGAGTGGGCCGGCTCACGTGCTCTTATCACGTGGCCTGACTGTTTGGCGACAGCCTTGTCGGAAACAAGGCTGCAATATGACATCCATGAGGTGGGTATACGCAGAATACGTAGTTACTAGGTATACATTAGGTAGGTATCTCGGAGTCAAGCACAGATATGGATACAGAGACAGAAGCTCTGCCAGGCTTTTTGTTAGCAGCGCAGATGCCAACTGTCCAAAAACTAGTAATGCAGACTTTGACTTCTCGACTTCGCTTCCAGGCCTTTACTCTGGCGACCGCCGCAGTTCAAAGAGCCATTGAAGGAGCATGGTAAGCATGCAGGCCATGCGCCTGCTCAACAGAGACAAACAGATCATCTCTTCCGCTTTCGGCCACCTTTGTCTTCTTCCTCCGTGTGACCTGCTCGGTCTTCCTTCTTGGCCTTCTTCTCCATCTCATCCCAGTCTTCTCCTTCGTCACTCATTCCGCTATCCGGCTCTCCTTCGTCGTCACTGGCACTGGCGTCTTCATCAAATTCGCTCTCATCGTCGCTCTCCGATTCACTGGCCTCGGCCAGCTCCGAGTCACTCATCTCAAACGCGCTTTCTTCCTCTGATTCATCTTCTTGTTCCGAATCAGTGTCGGTGGCAAGGAAGCTCCAACCGCCATCCTTGAAGAATTGATGTGGATCGGTGGTGACGGTCTTCATGATTGTTCCCCAGTTCAGGTTGAGGGGTCCTTCAGTATAGGCAATGTCCACACTGTCAAGCCACTCCTTGACTCGATCAAGGAATTCGACCGGGATGGTATTGACGTGGGTGGGGGGCCGATGGAAATCCTTGTAGACGAAGACCAGATCGAAGTTTTTCAGGCCAAACTGTGGAAATAGTTAGCAAGGGATCATGTAGTGTAGGTCATTGAATCGCTTACCTGGATTCTTTCGAGATGGGCAATCTCGATCTCATCAAGCGTGATGACCGTGAAAGGTGGTTCGGTCAATTGGACCAAGGCATCTGTGGTCGGCGCCATGAGCACGTTGCTACGATTGGGAACACCGTTGAAGCTGAGTTCTCTGAAGGGGATGTCGACAGCAATGTTGTAATCTCGGGCAGCATCCGAGATCTTCTCGGCAAATCCCTTGAAGAGTCGATCGAGTTCTGCTCTCCGTCTTCGCTCTTCTTGTTCCTGCTCAAACTCCTCTTCGTCACCAAAGCGATGCTTTCGCTTCCGGTTTCCTGTCTCATCAAAGGCCATGTCGGTGGCTTCTCGATAGAACTGGACATCTCTGGTCTTGCGCTTGCCGATGATGATCGGGTTCTTCAGATGGACGTGGATGAGTACAATCAACTCGCCAACGCACGGCTGAAAGAACAGGTGCTTGACGTTGGAGAAGACCACATCGACATGATCATTGCGCAGCGGCGAACTGTATCGAAGACCGTTTTGATGTATCTCGACTTCACCAGGCACACGCTTGCCATCCTGAGCAGGTCGCAGATAAACATCGCTAAGTTTAATCGGGCGACGATTGCGGATCTCAATCAGCTTGTCTTGCTCAACAACATCTTCCATTTCCTTCTTCTCTTGCTCGCGACGGACAGCCGACTTCCGCAGCTCGGTGATCTGCGCCGAGACTTCTGAGAGACGATCTTGATCCCTGGACCGGACGGTCAAGGATCGGATGAAATGGGCTTGGGGATCCTCAAAAGGCTGATCATCCTTACGTCCAACACCTTGACCAGGAGACAAGAAGTTGAATCGCAAGTGGGTGTACTCGCCTTCATCCGATTTGCTGACGTTCTTGATCGTGTTGATGTGGAACGGTACCGGTCGACCCATGATCGGGAGGATGACGGTCGAGGCCTTGGTGTCGACCCAGACGATCAGATCCTTGGTGCGTGAGGGAAGCTGGCCCTCACGTTTGTAGGATTCAAACTTCTTGAACTTCTTCTCGTTCTCTCCGTTCATGTCCCCGGTAGCCTCAGCGTACTTCTCAAGGCCTTCACGCTGCTTCTTGGCGGCGAGCTCCTTTTGATGCTCCCGTCGGCGGGCTTCTTCCTCCTCCTTGGCATTGTCTTGCCTATTTGCACCCCGAAGCCGCGTTGATTTGATGTTGGAGGTCACGATGGCGCCAGCACCGGCCTTCTTAGATTTCTCTTGTTTCGGCTTTGTCTCTTCCTCGTCATCCTTGAAATAGAATTCGATGGAATCGAGGTCTGTGAGCGCCTCTTTGGTGAAGACCACAGGTTCGCCTCTGGTAACCCGCACAGTGTCTATCAAAACTAGGGTATAGTTGGCACCCTTTTTGTCTTGGGGCTTGTCGTTGGTCAGATCTGAGAGACTCGTAGTGACACTGACTGTCATGCCATCCTTGAGGGTCCTGGTATTCTTCCCATTCAAGACCAGCTTAGGGTCCCTAACTTCGATGCCAATGGCCGCGCCGACATCTTTGCCGAAATGCCTCTCCAACTCGGGTTTCTTGGACTTCACCACACCCAAAGCTTTGTTGTAGACGTCTTTGATCACAGCGCCATCCTTGATCTCTTTCATTGCTGCATCGTGAGCGGCGAGAAGGATCTTGTAATTCGCTGTTTGGGATTTGCTCGGATCGATTAGATAAGTTCTCGCCAGAATGGAACAGTAGGTCTTGTATCGGAAGCCCAGTCCAGCCATGATGCATCCTGAGTGAAGGTTTTCATCGTTTGGTTGGGCGTTCATCCCCAGATCGTACTGTCCGCCGCTCTGCACGATAGGCCCATATGCCCAGTCCAACTGCTGGGTATCGAAATCCGACGGCAGCTTGGAGACACCCTTAAAGAATTTGTCATCATCAATCTTCTTCATCAACCGATCGGAAAGAGTACGATGGGTGACTCTCTTTTCTTGGTCGAGCACTTCGGACATTTCGTCGACCCAATAGTCCGTAATTATAGCACTTGCTGCTCGAGCAGCAGTGCGCATGGCTCTCAGCTCATTCTCGTCCTTGACAGCGAAAGCAGCAGAAAGAGCGGCGGATATGTCAACCTCTTCAATCTCTTTCGAGAGGTCGCCGAACATCTTGACCCACTCGTCGACAAATGGGCCGTGGGCGTCAGCCTTTGGAATGACGCCGACCTTTTTGCCTGCGTTCTTGATGATCTCGATACATTTCTCGAAAGCCTGCGTTCGCGTCTCGGGTTGCTTCATGTGGACAGTGAGGATCTCAATTGGTATTTTGCCATTTTTCAACGGTTGGAGATGCTTTGCTGTGAGTGTGTCAGCAATGAGCGCAGGAAGTCATGGAGAGCGCGCCACTCACCCTTCTTTTCGGTCGTAACAACGTACAAGACAGCGGGGGTGAAAACCATCAGTGTCGCCGGAAATTCGTAGCCCAGCAGCCAGAACTGTAAATGTTGTCAGTCGATCTGCCATGTTTTGACTCTAATTCATCCGTATGACTCGCTTACATGGACGGCATTGTTCTTGACATATTGGGTGTCTTGATCAGCTTTCCCGGTCAGGACGACAATCGTGTCTGCGCCACCGAATGAACCATCTCCCGATCTCTTGTCAGCCTTCCAAGCATTGTATAGGGTGGTCAGGCGCTCGAAGAAGGTATTCGCATTGATGACAATGTCGCCCATCTTTGCTGCCTGCCTCGAGGGAGGCCGGGTGGAGATGAAGGGGGATGCCGATGTCTACAGTTGCGGCTCGCGCAACTGCTGGCGTGGAGAACGGGCGTTAATGGCGATGAGAGGCGCTCTTCGAAGTCGAAGCACAGACTGTGATTTGAAAAAGAAGAGAGGAATGAGAGGACGTTGCGTCCTTGGTTAAAGGGAAGGCGAGAATAAGGAGGAGTGAATGAATAGAATCAAGTCAAGTCTGGATGCTCGGATTCTTTTTGGCTGCTCGCGATGCACCATTCAAGTTAGGCATTAGCATCATACCTGGCTACTAGGTGATTGAGAAGCTGCACTATAGCGGGTTAGCTTCTACTAGCGGTGACACTTTGTATGAAGAGAGCCCATTTAAGAAGTCCACTAATATCATTAGCGATGCTAATTGACTCTACGGACTAAACGCGTACCGTCACGATCTTGGCGCGACGCGCTCTCTTCAAGGTACTACGCGCTGGGACTCAAGGCAGAACTTGAAGGAGCTCGCACAGTACAGGTAGGTATCTATCAGTCCCATTTCTATTTCCTCTTCACAAGCACATCACCGCAGTCTGACCATAACGAACACTCCGAGGTAGGCATGATATCTTTATACTCTTCGACTTTTATCTGTATCCAGCCCTTCGTCTGAGTCCTAGTCGCTCTGTCCGATTCTGTTCTCGCTGCTCTCCCGGTCTACCCCTTCGAGTCTGGTTTGGGAATATGCCACTGGTCGCCCACTCTGAATCCCTCCGGAAACGGATCTGTAGGGTCTAGCACGATCTCCTTGAAACTGGTGATCCATCCTCTGCCTCTGACCGTGGGAAGAATAGCATCATATTGGCCCACCTTGGTGGTGCCCCGAATATGGTTGACAAACTCAGTACCGATGATGCTCTTGTGGCGAAACGTCTGGCCAACTTGAAGTTGTCCCCTGGCATGTAGGACGGCCATACGAGCGCAGGTCCCCGTTCCACATGGACTGCGGTCAAACCGTCCCGGGGACACCACGACCGCGTTGACGGCCGTCTTACCATCGCTGCCATCGTCTTGGATGAGCGGATGAGTCCACGCGAGAATCGACACTCCCCGGATACCCGGGTTCTCGGGATGCACTGGAGTGTATTGGGCTTGGACTGCTCGTTTGATGCGTTCTCCAAGCTCGATCAGTTCGGGGCCCCGACTATTTTCGATCCTGAGATTGCATGAACCGGCATCCACCAACACATACATCATTCCGCCCCAGGCGATGTCGACAGAAACGACTCCGAACCCCGGCACCTGTATTGGCATATCCAAAACGAATACAAACGACGGGACATTGTCGAACGCAACTGATTTGCATTTCCCTCCCTCACATTCTGCTGTAACTGCAACTAACCCGGCGGCTGTGTCGAGGTTGAACTGCGTGATCGGCTCTTGCATGGGTATCATTCCAGTCTCTAACAAGACAGTCGCCGTACAGATGGTATTGGATCCAGACATGGGCGCATATTCGTCGCTCTCCATGATCAAAAAGCCCGCATCTGCCTGAGGGTTGCACGGTGGCAGCACTAGATTCGTGTTCATCGATGATCGACCCCGTGGCTCGTTCAGCAGCAGTTTGCGCAGACTGTCCTTTGTGTTCCAGAAGTACATCATCTTCTCATACATGGACTTACATCCAGGAGCATCAAGGACCCCGCCGACTATAACATCGCCCACCTCTCCTTCTGCATGACATCCCACAACTGATACTGTGCGCAGGGACCTCATCTTGCAGCATGCACCAAACGCAATATCTTGTGTTGCAGGAACTGAAGACGAGATTTATGACTGCACAACAGGAGTTGTCCGCCGTTCGGGGTCGTTCCATCCGCCGGGAGGTGCAGATATGGGGCCACTGGCAGGGTCGAAGTCTGCCAAGCTCGTCAAACCAACAAGCAACTTGAGCTACAAGTCACATCGAACGCCTGCTTCAATCGCAAGAAATTGCCCACGGCTGGAAGATACCTGCAAATCTGATTTACGCTTAACGTCGAATGGCACTAACAACGACAACGAGTATGTTTTCTTGTCAAGAACACGCCTGCAAGCCGGAACAGGTATGAAGGCCATGGTCTAGACGATGACGGCCTTGAAGCTGATCTCCTTGTCGAGCTCGAAGCCGAAGAACATATGGCAGATGGGGGATAGGAAACGATCTGCCCCATGGATGTGTTTTCTGTGTCGAGTACACTGTCACCGGTCGGTGCCTACCTAAAGTAAAAGAGTACGAGACTGGAGTCCGGGAGCAGCTCATCCTGTGTGTGCATTCGTATCCGTATGGCACCCATCAGAGATAAAGAGGTCACGACGGCATGTCCTATGGCCTCTTCATTCCCTCTAAGTCAATAGGATATCGTACCCATCCTTAGTGATCCTGATCTCGTCGCTCGACAGGCCGTATTTCCTACGAACCAACTCGAAAATGACCAACCCAGCACTAGTACTGGGGACCTGGCGAATGGTGAACCACCAGAACCCTCTGAAAAGCCAGCTCCTGATCCCACCAACCGGTGCGGCTTGTGCTTGAGCCTGGCGCCACGTTTCCTGGTAGGCACGATAATAAGCGCGAAGCATGCGTCCCTTGTGGGTCGAGGTGACGCGATCGAGCTCAATGGCCTTTTTGTCCAGATCCTCGAGCCGTTCGTAGTGCAGCGTCTGGAACGTTGATAACGGATACAGCACGACCTGCTGGGCCACTGAGGCCGTCATGCCGGCGAGCATGAGAAAGGCCGGCTCGATGGCATAGTGGGGTCTGATGACGGCCGTCGGCTGGCTTTCGGTCGCGACGCTGCCTCTCTTCTGCGCGAGCGTGTCGACGGCCGCACCTCCCAGAGCACCATAATACCATCGCACGAACGAATAGTAGCCCTGGGCCTTGACGTATTCGAACGTCGAGAAGAAGATGCCGGACCCGAAACTGTCCTTCAAGAATGAAATGCCCCATCCGGCGAACACGCCTCGAAGGCCGATCTCGTGCAGTTTGCTTCGGCAATACTGCCACATGGTGGTATGTTGGTATTTGTCTCCTCTTTGCTCAAACCTGACTTGAAGGGCGTCCCATGGCGCCGCGAGGACACTTTGGACAGTTCCCGCGGCGAATCCAGCAGCGAAGGTCGCCGCGGGTGGCGGAGGAGGATACACCGTCTTCCTGGACTGTGCTGAAGGTTCGTGCAGCCGGCCCAGGATCTGGAGATACGAGGTATACAAGGCTGCTCCGACGACGACGTTGGCGGTCAGCGGCAGCAGGAGCTGCTCTGGAACGAATCGCCATCCGTATTGTTTGATGGCGTGAGCCAGGATTCCTGGTGTCGTGCTCCTCCACGAGAACCGCCCGCTCTGTACATCAGGGCTGATGGATCTAGCATACGCCTAACATGGAGCAAGACATGGGATTAGCTTAACGATCGGACTGGCTCGGCGTGCGGCCGCGGCTGGGCTGGTGACAAGATCACAACGCACCAAGTAGTCCACTCGGGTCCTGAAGAAGGCTTTGACAGGTGCGCGGAAGTAGAAGGCTACCACCTGCGCGGTAAAGGCACGTACGCCGGCCGCAGACGCGCCCGTGGCAGCATTGCTTCTCGAGTCTTTGAAGACGGGTGGTGAGTCGTCGGGGATCACGGGCAGGATGCCCTCGAACTCGGTCGGATCGTCATCGAGGGACATTCTCTTCCTATCGCATCCATCATTCAAGCAATCATGCAATCATTGCCCGCTGTGCAGGCAACTGCTGCATGAGGGAGCCATTCGACAGGAATCCCAAAGGTTGCTTGCTGGGAATCCGCAGAGTTGCGAGGATTCTACGGTGGGACAAGCACCCTTTAGATGCCGCATCCGGTAGACTATAGGCACCGCCACTGGCAGTCCTTGGACTTAGTATGTCTCCCAAGGCTGAACCCCCAACGTCTGCAAGGCTGGAGATACAGCTACGAACATGTGCAACCTTTCACCAAAAATCCCATAGCCTGGTTGATCTCGAAATTGTTTTTCAAAACGCTGTTGTTGTTTGAGATTGAAGCTATTGAAAGAAAAAGCTCGGGTATCTTTACTCATCGACGATCAAACATCATACAATCATGCTGCAATATGCCCCTCAACACAAGCCGTTCCGCTGCCGTCCTGGCTATTGTCAAGCTCTAGCTCCTCAATGTTCCACCACATGGCTCGTACGTGTGGACACATGCCTTTGCACCATATTAAGCAAGTGAGAAGAATGCTAGTCATTGTGTCCAGTGTGTCATAATTCGATTCTCGGTCTCCAGTCGATCTTCTCCTTCTCCGCCCACTCCTCAAGAAATGAAACGCCAAATCGTGCAGCTTCGAAAGCCGTGGTATTGGTGTCCATGGGTAGATAGAAATCTTTGTTGATCTTCAAAGGCGACAGCTTCTCCTGCAGTCGGAGGCTGGTGTCTTGGTTCCGCTTTGCCCAGGTGTTCGGGTACTCGCGCCTCAACAAATCAATAGAGAGATACCGCGACCCATCGAGCCAGGCGGTCTGCAGCTCGCGAGCGTTATGGATGAGATCATCTCTGAACTCCACGTATCGTTTCTTGTACCTCTCACTGTCTTCATTCGTCTTGGTATTACCGTCGCTCCCGGGAGTCGGTGCTGAATTGCAGTAATCCTCGGGCAGCGGATCCCGTGCAAGCCGGTCCATGTCGTATTTCTGAATGTATTGCCGACAAACTGCTCCAAGCTGGACCACTAAGCCATGTAGATGTGGGAACTTCCTTGATGCTCGGAAGACGAAGATGTGATAAAGGATGATAGACCTCCAGCCAGGGTCCACCCCTGGACGGGCTTGACATTGCGCGGCAATGTTGATCATGAAACAGAGCAGTGCTTCGATCAAGACAAGGACGGCTTTGGCGGACTGATCAGGCTTCGCGTCCCCGTCCGAGCTGGGAAGCATCGAAGACCCCTCGTGCTTGAGACTTCTTCCAAGCGCGAAGAACTTATTGTTGAGACTGGTCCATTGTTGACGTTCTTCCTCCCTACTCATCAAAGACGCTGGGGGCTGCGGTGAGGGTTTGGGAACTGCCAGCGGTGTCGATACCCGCCCTCTGTCTCCCGATGGTGTTGGGACATCCAATGCATCGGACGACTCGACCCGCCTCATCGCTGTCGACTTCATTTCTCTTTTGGGTGTTGAGAACGCCGATCTCGGTTGAGTTGAGAAAGACGTTTTGCCGTTTAAAGGCACTGGAGTGGTGGGTCGTTTCTCTACTTCAACGGTCAATTTTGAGGTCTTTACCTTCTTCAGGGATGATCCTGGACTGTCCTCTGCTTTGCGTTTCTTCTCAGTCTTGACATTCTCGGTTGCGTCATCGTGGGTTTTAATCTTGGGAATCTGTTGAGGTCGTACGGTTTGCTGCGGCACATTCGCTTTCCCTGACCGGACCTCAGGGGTGGCCTGACCATCCACTGCTTCTCGTTTGGGCCGTTCTTTCTTGGAGCGAGGTCCGAGTTTCAGCAGAGCCTCGACTCGCTTTCGGTTTTTCTTTCCATACTTGAGAATAATGGTATGTCTCTGTCGAGGGCCAGGACTCGCTCGGGCACCGTTATGCAAAGGAGTACCAACCCGGACGCCGGCCTTCGAGAGAAGTTTCGTCCCTAACGCTACCCTGGCAGCATTGGGTGTACCTGGTGCTGAGCTTCGTGCCGAGTGCTGACTGTCTGAACGGACTCGGCTTCCACCCAAGGACACTGCATTCTTCTCACTGAACGGATCCTGGTCGAGCTCAGCACGCGCGAGGATGGAGCGGACCGGGTCAGTGCGGTGATGTGGCGCCATCGCAGGACTACCGATGGACGCAGAGCTGGGAGAGGTCGAGATGGCTTTTGCCAGTGAGGGAGGCAGGACCGGGGACAGCAGTTGCGGCAGGTCATTCTCCTTCTCCGGAGAGGGGAGTGTGGGTGACAACAATGTTGGCATCTTCATGACTGGAGGCTGCGTCTCGAGATTGGAACCCCTCTCCTCTGCCTCAGGCTCTTCCGATAATGGTGATAATTTCCTTCTTTTCACAGGATATGGAGGGCTTCTCAGATGGGACCCCGGACGACTAGGAGGAGACGCCGCGCCGTCGAGAGAGGGTATCGTTTGGGCCGTGGCGGAGTCTTGCGTGGTGACGGATGGTTTCGGTGAGACAGCCTTCTCTTGCTTCTTCGGCTCGGGGGCCTCTGTCGGCTCAGATGGTATGCCCTCGACCTTGGAGCTTTCAGTCACTTCTGTCTTCCCCTCCTGTGAGGGCTGTGACTGGAACGTGGTCTCCGGCGAACCCTTGCCTTTCGTCTTGTAGTCCTTCAAGCTAATCTTCTTCCGGTGTCCGACTTCAGCGGGTGTGTTGCGACCGCTGGCAGGTACGGTCTTGGGAGAGAGCTCTTCCTGAATGAAATTTCCTTCTTCGTCCGCCCACCCACCCTCGACTTTCAGTAAAGCCTCGTGCTCACCCTGATGGGGAAGAAAGCTCACGTATTGTATCTGCTCCTCTTCAGAACCAAACGGGGTGCCCTCATACCAAGTATTCACAAAGCGCGAGCTGTGTCGGTAGGGGACGTCGGACGGTACGGAAAGAAGATAGGGCTGTCTTGGGAGGACGGACTCGCGCAAATGGTGTAGGCGTTGATCTAAACGACCTGTAAGGTCAATGATGTCTCGCTGGGTCTTCGGGCTCTTTTGGGTATCTGAATTTCTTTCGGTCGTGCCTTGGGACATCTTGTCGCAACGGAGAATCCTATGTCTCCATCACCGGATCTGGCGACTCCGTCGAAGCGACCGGTTGGGAGCCAAGACCTGGGCACATGGACGCTCTAATACACGACCATCACATCTTCCGGTAGACCCTGTTCTACGGTAGCTTTGAGGCCGAGCGCGGTTTTGCGATATCAGAATATGTGTGTTGTGCGTGACTGGACCAGTCTGATGGCGCGGGAGAGGAGCTCCTGCGGAATAGGCGAAGGACCGGGGTATCGTCGCGCAGAGGTATGGTTCTCACTTCGGCGCCTGACGAGGTCCTGTCATGCAGACTGGGAGAGCAATCGTCGATCGAGGGCAACTGGGTCAGGCGCGGACACTGGGTACTTTCGGTCGAGAAAGACGGAGGGGATCGAGAGGCGGTTACAGGGTTGTTGTGAGTTGCGCTGGCGCAGGAGGACGACCGCTATGAACGAGGAACAGAATTGACCGAGAGGTAGAGAACAAAGATAACGAGCGAGGGTCTTGTTCAGTTCTGATCAGTAGTAGTAGTGGTGGTGGTCTGGCTTCAAGTACCCTCGAAGGTGGTTCAAGTTGACTCGAGGCGTTGGTGCATGGGCGATGGAGACAATAATACGAAAGTCGGGGCGGAAGTGGGTTGGCGTTCTAGATAGTAGGTTGGTGGATTCAACCAGAAGTCGTGCCAGTTGCCAGTTGCCAGTCATCTCGAATTGGACCTGGAGTCTCTAGAGTCTCTGAAATCGCTGCAGTCCGCGCTCTCTCGTCTTAGAACCATCTCAACTCTTTGTCTGCCTTGTCCTCTGACCGTGATCCACATCCATCCTACCAGTACTTCACAGCCACTACGGAGTTCCATATCACACGTGCAGGCAGATAGATAACTTATCGACTCACCGTCTTCCGCTCTATACAAACAACCTCCATCTATCGAATTTTTAGTTGCACTTCCACTTCGCCCTCACAACCGTACGCTGGCGAGCATGCTACCCCCATCAAGATAAACACCCATGCAGTTTTGATCTTCCGCAGCCTGCTCGACTCGTCGAGCTAGGGACAATGTATGTACCTCTGTGACGATTTCCCGAGCCATCTCTTTGAAGAGTAGTCGGGTTGTATTCGTTGCAATCCCGGACAGCCGCAGGCTGCATGCCTCTATATTCTAAGCATCCGGTAAATCATCAAACAGGTATTCCCCGTCTGACGTCTTGTTTTAGTCTTCGTCCTGGCCGACCTTTCCATACTGCCCTCTGGCGTTGCTATCCTGTCGTGGCCGCGAGACCATGCGCCCGATCCAGCTGCCGAAACCTTCGCTGTTCTGTCCACTTATTTGGGGTCTGCCATTAGCATTGAGTTGGACGTCGGGAGGGTCAATGTCTAGGCCGGGGATCGCGTCGTTGGCCGAGAAGACCCCAGGTTGATGAGAGGTACCACCTCTGATATCGATCGAGGAAGGTGAGCCAAGTCCCGCGATAGATCCTCGCTCGGCGTGCGTCGCCGGCGTGGGCATGGTCGTGGTAGCATCCCCGAACAGGGCATTCATGTCTTCAAGTCGAACGTTGGCTGTCTCCGGGTAGACGAAATACACTGCACAATGTTAGCTTTGGTACTGCCTCACCCACGAGATCTTGATCTTACCAAGGACGAAGCTAACCGCGCAGAAGAAGGCGTGGAGGAGATACAATCTCCACTTGATAGCTCCTTGGAGCACAGGTGTGAGCTCTCCGACCACAAAATTGAAAGCCCAATTGCTGGCAGTACTCAAACTGGCCCCCTTTGCCCGAATGCTCAGGGGCAAGATTTCTGGAGGATACAACCACGGGATCGGTCCCCAGCTGGCCCCGAAAGCAGCATTGTAGATCATGACGAAGATGACAACCAATGCGGGCGTCCACCGAATATCGATAAAGATGAAGTACGATATCAGCGATAACGAGATGATCATGGCCACCGCACCAGACAGAAGGATCGGTCGTCGTCCCCAGCGATCCACCAGATACCATGGGGGAACTGTAGACAACAGGTACGAAATAGCATTGATGCCGGTCATCAGGATAGCGTCTCGCCCCACCCATCCAGCCGACTCAAAGACAAGAGGCGCGTAGTAGGAGATGACATTGATGCCGTTCAGCTGAGCAAAGGCCTGGGCCGACATGGCGATGAAGACCCGCTTATAGTATCGTTTGAACATATCACTGTACGACCGTTCGCCTTCCTGACGTTGCAGGAGGACGTTCATCTTGATTTCACGGTACTCCTGGCGAGCTTTGGGATTGTGAATATCACCTTTGCCGTAGAGATTGGCTATGACGATGATTCCCTCTTCGTCGTGGTCATTATCGAGGAGCCACCTGGTCATGGATGTCAGTCTGAACCGAACGCTTCCTCCGCGGCCATGACTCTTACCTCGGGGATTCACAGATAACCAAGCTTCCAAATCCGAGGAATGCCCCCATGATACACTGCATCAATAAGGGAATCCGCCAGGAACGATCATTCTCGATGTAACTGCAGAAGTAGTCGACCCAAACACTCGCAGCATAGCCTGTAATGTTGCCCGTGAATTCTATGCACGCCAACTTGCCTCTATTATGGGGAGGACTAATTTCGGATTGATAGACTGGGACGATGGTCGAAAGGGCACCGACGCCCAACCCAGCAATCAATCTTCCTACCATCATCATTGGCATACCGTTGGAGAGGGACTGGCACATGCCGCCAACAAAGAAGATCATTGACCCATACAGAATGGTCCGTCGGCGACCAATGATGTCGCCTATGCGCCCAACACAGAGCGAAGAGATGAGAGCACCTATTTCAAGGATGGCGACCATAGTCCCGACCTCTGCAGGGCCAGGCTGATTGAAGTAGTCCCTGAAGAAAGGGCCGCTTTACCCTATGGTTAGCGACAGTAACTGCGCCTGGGAGGACCTGCACGTACGTGATAATGCCAGACATAACGCCCTGATCATAACCGAACAAAAATACGCCCAGAGACACAAAAACACTTGTAAAGTACCTGCGCCGTCAAGTCAGCGCTCTGAACAAATCGCATCCTAAACGCTCTTCAATCTCACAATAAAGGCTTCCCAACCAGGCCTTTGGCCCGGGCGGCCTGGGGATCACCGGGAGACATGACGAGGGCCAACAGTCTTTCTGATTTGGAAATAAGCCTCGGTGGAGGTTCCGGAATGAAGATGGCCTCCTTGTTTATATTGAAAGGAGCCGCAATGCTCTCGAGGCGGCCTTGTGCTCGAAAATTAACTCTCTTCTTCCGTCCTCCACCGTGACTGGAGCGATTGAGTCTCTGGCCTTCCCGTGTCAAAGAGTCTAGCTCTATTCGGTACGGATCCTCGTCGTTGGCAAGCTGTTCTGCGATATCTCCTGTGTCGCTCCACAAAGAGAAGTCGTCGGACTCTGTGCCGGAGAATGATCCTCGCCGGTCGCCTTCACCCTTTTCGTTTTCTGAGATGGGCGGCACGGTCGAAGGCTGGCGTTGCAACTCAGACTGTGATCGGGACGAGTGCGTTCGGTGGTGGAGGAGGGAATTAGGGTATTCTTGAGGAGATGAAATTGTGCCGGTCTCAAAGGGGCCGTCTTACGACTGGCCCTGTCTAGCACGTCGACGGCGAGGGTTCAGAATTTTCCTGGCCCTTGTGTCCAGCAGGTGAGGTCGCGTGGTGCTCGGTCGGGTGTGGGTCTGGTAGAGCGATGGGAGGGCGTGTGAACGGCCTCGGTGGTCACAAGAAGGAAAGACGAGACTGGCGCAGTCAATGGCGAGGGCATGAGGGTTGTTGGTCACGGGAAAAGCGGAGCACGAGACGCTGAGAGGAGATGAAGCGGCCGCAATGCCGAATAACGATGGAGAAGCTTTGAATAGAGAACAGCGAACAAGGACTGAAACCTCCAGCTGAAGACTGCAGAAGATGCAAACTGTGACTCTGGACTCAGGACTGTGGTAGGCAAAGAGCGAGGCGCGCTGACAGGAGAACAGGTGGACACTTGAGATAGGACCTTGAAGTTGATGGATGACAGGCACTGCAGTTGGCAGGTTGGAGAATGATGCAAGGGTTCCGGGCGAACAGCAAGTAGCAGTAGGCGAAGATCTGAGCACTTGGGGGGTTCCCGAGGGTGATTTCTGGCGCTGTGAGGAAGGGGCTCAGTAGGCTAGGGGGCGTCTTTCCCTTAAGATAGGGGCCCAAACTGCCCCGAGTCCTCAATTACATGCCGTCAACCCCTCGCCGTGGAACGTCGGAATATATGTCTCCCGTAGTAGCTGTGCTTCCCACGTGACTGGTAAGGCAACAACTCAGCTACTTAGTACCACAGACACGGTTGGGGCAAAGTGATAATGACGCCGTGTCTTGCATCTCAGACACCTGTTCGTTAAGACTAACTATGAAATTTCGTCGACAGTTGCTACTGCCGGTTGTTCCAGGCAGGAGACAGAGAGGGCGCCTTCAGCCTCGCACGTGACTGCAGGTATAGCTACATACCAGGGCACTTTCCTCGCATAATCTTGCACTCCCTTCAGACGATAACCCCGTGGCCAGGAGCAATCTTCATTCTTATTTAGATTTGGTGCAGACGACCTGGAGATAGCTAGTACTACTACCTAACTTACTATATATTCTGTCACTCCGTCCAAGCCTGACGAGTGATATCTGACGAGATATCTGACTAAGCCTCGTTCAACGCTCGAGCCAATGCCAAGCCGCCGGCGGGTCGCGCTTTTTTCATCTGCAACTTTTTCGACGCCGACGAGGGGCAAGGATCAAGCTGACTGGGCTCGACGACGAGCCTTGTGGCCGACAGGAGATACTTCGACCTGTCACTACCAAAGTATGAACAACAACTGTTCTGTCAGACCATGAACAGCTGGCACACGAAGCCATCCTCACAAGATCATCCAGGCAGCCTTGTGGGTGCTGACTACCAGTAGATAACCGTGGCGAGAGACCAGGTTCTTCTTATTCACGTCACAAGCTCGAAGATATACTAGGAGGTACGGCCAGATCATCCAAAGAACTAGTCCTCCAGAATGGCGGCTTCCACATCCCAGGTTTGTATCATTCCTGGCGGCGCAGCCTTCTCAGAATTTCGCCGTCAGGCTCTCGCATCTCTCATCGGCGCAAACGATGTCCAGGGACAGTATATCCATTATGTCGAGCTTAACGCCCCTTTGGATACCGAGAGTCAAGCACTTTTGGAGAAGCTGTTGACCAATGGCCAGCATGGGGAAGTGGCGGAGAAGGAAGGCGCATCATCCACAGTCCTCTATGTCGTCCCTCGACCTGGGACGATTTCCCCCTGGAGCTCAAAGGCTACCAGCATCGCCCATGTCTGCGGTCTACGGAAGGCTATTGGCAGAATTGAACGAGGCATTAGGATCACCGTGTCTCTTGACGCCGAGAGGTCGTTGGATGACCCGCGCGCTTTGGACTTCCTTCATGATCGCATGACTGAGACCATATCTGAGCAGGAGCCGGACCTCAGTCTGCTCTTCCTACACCATGAACCCGGGTCGTTGGTGACATACGATTTATACAGTGACGGGCAGTCCCCCATTAAAATACTCCAGGACCTCAACAGCCGGCTAGGCCTTGCCCTAGACGCTTCCGAGATACAATATCTGGCCGAGGCCTATTCGAGGGATGGTCCTGTTCCGAGGAATCCCACGGATGTGGAGCTGTTTATGTTCGCCCAAGTCAATTCGGAGCACTGTCGACACAAGATCTTCAACGCTAGTTGGACCATTGATGGCCAACACAAGACCAACACCCTATTTGGAATGATCCGCAATACGCACAAGCACACTCCAGAGGGCACAATCAGTGCTTACAGCGACAATGCAGCTGTATTGAAAGGAAGTAATGGAAGTCAATGGGCGCCTGATGATATAAACGGGCAATGGAAGTCGACCAAAGAAGGGGTGGATTTCCTCATAAAGGTCGAAACGCACAACCACCCTACTGCCGTCTCTCCATTCCCAGGTGCCGCGACTGGCTCGGGGGGCGAGATCAGAGATGAGGGAGCCACGGGTCGGGGATCGAAACCAAAGGCCGGCCTGGCGGGCTTCTGTGTCTCTGATCTGCTAATTCCTGGTCACCGACAACCATGGGAGCTTGACTATGGTAAACCTAATCACATCGCAAGCAGTCTCGACATCATGCTTGAAGCTCCCCTCGGTAGTGCGGCATTCAACAACGAGTTTGGCCGTCCCTGCACGGCCGGTTACTTTCGAACGCTTCTGGTCGAGATGAAAACTGGCAAGGAGTCCGCGGAGATCAGAGGATACCACAAGCCCATCATGATTGCTGGTGGTGTTGGTACAGTGCGGCCACAGCTTGCCTTGAAAGACCCGGATATTGTCCATGACGGTGCATTCTTGATCGTGATGGGCGGACCAGCCATGTTGATCGGGCTGGGCGGCGGTGCAGCGTCCAGTGTCAGCTCAGGGGACGGGTCAGCAGAGCTGGACTTTGCTAGCGTCCAACGTGGAAACCCCGAGATGCAGCGACGGGCGCAAGAAGTCATCAATGCTTGCGCCGCGCTTGGAGACCACAATCCTATTCTGTTCATCCACGATGTTGGAGCTGGTGGACTTTCAAATGCACTGCCCGAGCTGGTCAAAGACGTCAATCTCGGAGCAGAATTCGAGCTTCGTGATATTGACTGTGCAGATAAAAGCATGAGCCCGTTGCAAATATGGTGCTGCGAGGCTCAGGAGAGATACGTTCTGGCTGTCGCGCAAGAAGGCATGAACAAGTTCAGGTCAATTGCGAAACGCGAGCGTTGCGAGATATCTGTGGTCGGAAGAGCCACTCGAAAGCAACAGCTCAAACTGACAGACCGCGAACACCCTGCCAATGCTCCGAGCCAGCAAGACCCGATCGATCTGCCCATGGAGGTCCTCTTCGGGAAACCTCCTAAGATGACCCGAGAGGTGACCTCGAGAGAGGTCGACTTGCCTGCATTTGATACAAGCTTGAGCATGTACGTTCCGCAGGCCTCTACCGATGGGCTTCTCGAAGAGGCTATCAGCCGGGTTCTGCAAATGCCAGCAGTTGGCTCCAAATCTTTCTTGATCACGATCGGTGACAGGACTGTTGGTGGCTTGACAGCCAGAGACCAAATGGTTGGTCCATGGCAGGTACCCGTCGCAGACGTCTCTGTGACAGCCACATCTCTCACGACCGGGATCAAGACTGGCGAAGCGATGGCCATGGGCGAGAGACCCACAATTGCTTTAATCTCTTCCGCCGCATCTGCACGCATGGCGGTGGCTGAGTCCTTGATGAACCTGACTGCTGCTGATCTGCCGGACCGTCTGCAGCAGGTCAAACTGTCCGCGAACTGGATGTCTGCTTCAAGTCACCCGGGCGAAGGCGCTGGGATCTACGAAGCGGTCGAAGCCCTGGGCATGGATCTATGCCCCAAACTCGGCATTGCCATCCCTGTTGGCAAAGACTCGATGTCGATGAAAATGAAGTGGCAAGACCCTCAGTCCAAGGAAGCAAAAGAAGTCACGGCGCCTCTGTCGTTGGTGATCTCTTCGTTTGCGCCTGTGCTGGATATCAAAAAGACATGGACGCCTCAGCTCCGCCGTTACCACGAAGTCGGCGAGTCGACGTTGTTCTTCGTCGACCTCGGTCTAGCACACCGATCTCTCGGCGGGTCGATTCTCGCACAGTCCTTCAAACAAATTGGCGACGAAGCGCCCGATATCCGATCCGTCGGCCTGTTCAAGGACTTCTTTGACGCGACGCAGCAACTGCACGAGCAAGGGCTGGTGCTTGCATACCACGACCGCTCCGACGGGGGATTGTTTACGACGTTGGCGGAGATGTCGTTTGCCGGGCGCTGCGGAATCGAGATCATGATCAACGACATCTGCCCGTCGCCACACACTCCAGACGTAATATCGGCTCTGTTCAACGAAGAGCTGGGAGCCGTGTTCCAAGTGCGCAAGGAGGACGAGAACCGATTCAAAGCGTGCTTCGCGACCTGCGGGCCGCCGCCCGGCTTGATCCACAAGATTGGACGGGTATCCAGCAAATCCAGCACGCAGAACATGGCCATCTACCACGGCGCGAAGCTCATCTACCGCGGGGCCCGTGGCGAACTACAGCAGAAATGGTCCAACACGTCGTACTGGATGCAGCGGCTGCGCGACAACCCTGCCTGCGCGGACGTCGAGTTCGCCGGGATCCTCAAGGACGCCGACCCCGGCATCAGCTACAACCTGACGTTCAACCCCAAGGAGAACATCAACTCGTACAAGACCAATCTGCTATCCTTCGTGCGACCGACCGCACGGCCGCGAGTGGCCGTTCTCCGTGACCAAGGAACCAACGGACAGGCAGAGATGGCGTTTGCCTTGGACGCCGCCGGCTTCACGGTCGTCGACGTGCACATGTCGGACATACTGGATCCGAAGCCGCACCAGACGCATCTCGGTATCGACCACGACCTGTCGTCGTTCACGGGCCTCGCGTTGGCCGGCGGCTTCAGTTTCGGCGACTGTCTGGGCGCCGGCCAAGGGTGGGCGAAATCGATTCTGTTCCACCCGACGACGCGGCGCAAGTTCGCCGACTTCTTCGCGCGCAAAGACACGTTTGCCCTCGGCGTCTGCAACGGATGCCAGGTCCTGAGTAAGCTGAAAGAGCTGATCCCCGGGGCCGAGACCTGGCCAAGCTTCGAGCGCAACGAGTCCGAGCAATACGAGGCGCGCGTCGCCATGGTCAAGATCTCCGACCCGCCCGCCGAGTCGGGCTTGCCGCCCAGCGTCTTCTTCCATGGCATGAGCGGCTCCAGTCTGCCCATCGCCGTGGCGCACGGCGAAGGTCGAGCCTCCTTCACCGCCACGGGGAACAAGGCCCTGGATGCCTCGCTCGCTGCCGACTTTGCGGATTCCCATCTCGCCCCCGTCCGCTTCGTCCACAACAAAACCTTGGCCCCGACCACCACGTACCCGGCCAATCCGAACGGGAGCCCCGCGGGCATTGCCGGCGTCCGCAGCCAGGACGGCCGCGTGCTGGCCCTGATGCCGCATCCGGAGCGCACCATCCTCCAGGGCATCGGCAGCTACATTCCCGATGGGAAGAGCGCCGAATGGGGCGAGTATGGACCTTGGGAGCGGCTGTTCCAGAGTGCCAGACGGTGGGTGGGTTAGCCAACAACGCAGTAGAGGTGCAAGGCGAGGGAGATTGTCCGTCGTTGCAGGCAGAGAGGATGCGCGGTTACAGGAGTAAAAGGAGTGAATGTCTTGCTGCATTACAAGTTGTGATATTATTTTCCGAAGAGACGTGCGGCCTCCTTTCAGATAGAACAGAATGGATTTGATTCTTTTCAATCTTCAATCTTCATACTTTTAGTCTTTTCATTCTTCGAGCTATATCACAGTCGCGTTACCTCTAGACTCGTGCATTAATACAGAAATATGCATCTATTCACACAGGGTGCAAAAAAGGAGAAGAAAAAAAGAAGAGATCAGGTCCGCTGTTTGACTTTGACCTCAAGTCCAGCAACGACCAGCGCTCTTGTCCCCACCCCAATCTCTGTACAAACATCAACTGTCTTGCTCTCATCGCAAGACAGTTTGACCTCTTTTTGGTTGTCTGATCACCTCCTCCATCAACGCCGCGAAGCCTGTTCAGGTGATGCGCAAAAGCGCAGATCTATCCCTCTTTACTGGTATCTGGAAAGCCCTGATTGTGTGAAAGGGAAAGGCAGAGGGGTTCTTGTTCGCCTTGTTCTGAATGCATGCCGCGGCTTAGCGCTTGGAGCATTTCATCACTGAAATGGTCGTCCCCATTAGCCGCCTAAGCCTTTCGCGATCGTGTCACGGGTCCATTGGCTCGCCCGGTGGCCATGGCGACACTCTCTTCGTCTTTGGATGTAGATGGGAGCTTGTGTGGGTCGGGAAGAGGGAGATCCTTCATCGCAATCAGAGCCTCCTTTCCAGTGTTCCTCCTAGGACGTCCCGAGACCGATTGTTTCCTATACGTAGCGAAGTAGAAGGAGATGAAGAGAAGAAGGTAAGAGCTGAGGATGCCCATGCCAGCGAAGGCGGCAAACTCTTCTCCGGTGCAAGTGCCAGCATTTGGCGCCCAAGGGAAATACCGGTAGGCGAAGTAGGTGTAAGAGGCAAAGTAGACAAAGCCCAGGTCGATGACGAACTGAACGATCTGGAGAATCGTAATGTATTTCTTCCACCAAATGCGCACACCGCGTGCGGCTTGGAAGTAGTACCTGTATTGCAGGTCAATTATGCTGTTGCATCTGATACCAGTGCCACTTGGACTCACCAGTACATGACCACATGGACAAGCAGGTTCAATGTTATTGGAACCCATGATACCGCAGTGTGGCCGATCAATTGAGTATAGACGAGAAGAGCCGTCGCGCCGTGATGGTAGGTGTGAAGGAAGGTAAGAGGCTTCTTCTTCAGAACCAGGAACACAGTGTCCACCAGTTCGAGATACTTGGTGAGATATGTCATCTGAACCCGTCAGAAAGGGGCATTCCGTGTACGACAGGACCACCTAGACTCACATAGTACAGCAACACCAATTCCTTGGTCCAGCCACCGTTGACATCGCAGATGGCGTAGAAGACGCCTTTTCGAACAAGAGTGGGCAGCAGCTGCTCAGTGAAGAGCGCCAGGAGAACACCACTGACAATGGTCAAGATGAAATTGTGGACAATGAAGGGCCCCTTGAGTACAAATGGGCTGCGGTGTTTCATCAACTCTCGTCCGCCGAAGATGACCACATAGTATCCGATCAGGGCAATCGCCGTCTCTTTGAAAGTCGAGAACGGGGTCTCCCCGCGCACGAAATCGAACTGCTCGGCGGGGTAGCCCAGCGTGGCTGTGTAGGCTTTGTCAAAGATAGGCCATAACGGAATGCCAAATGGATGATCGAGCGAAGGGACCTGTACAGTCTTGAGAATATCGAGAGCCATGGCGGCAGGATTACGCGGTCGAACGCGATTGAGGTGTAGAAACGAGACTCTCTGAACGGAGGCACCGGACCGAGGAGGAAAGGAGCGACTGCAACAAGAAATACACAGCAGAACCGGAACGGAAGATGAGAAGGAAGAACAGAAAAAAGGTGAAGAAGGAAAGCGTCGAGGAGGCTGAAGCGTGTTTGGATGAGGAGATTGAAATGAAATGAAATGAATTGGAGTGGCAGCGGGAAGATTAATGCAGGCACAGAGAGAGAGACTCAACCTTTTTCCCTTGTTCCCCTGAGCCGCCTGCAAAAGTTGTCCTGCTGCCATGCGACCAATTTCAACGAACCCAGCGAGCAAATGCGGCCACAATGCCAAGGCCCACTGCTGCCGACGCTTCCCATTGGTCCACCAGGCTTTATCAAATTTCCGCTTGTCCTAGAGGCGCGATAGCCGCGCGTGTTTCGGTTTCAAGACGATAAGCGCGGCTTGGGATGCTTAAGATCTTCATTGTGCATGGCTTAATCATAGTCCTACTAGTAGTAGATACCTTAGGTGTATAATGTACCTATGCTTGCTCCTTGATGCAGCGACCTATCCAAACAGCGACTATTGTAAGCCACTGCAGGCACCGTACGAATAACATCAACTACGTACCTCCCTAGCAGCTGAGGTACCAGTGTCAGTGGTCAATACACGCTCTTCGCGGCTACCAGTCTTGGCTGACGCGGGTCTTTTCCACCAGTCAGAAGCTGCTCGATTTGCTTTAGCTCCACGAATGTGATTCGAGTGGACTGACTGTCTAATAACTGACTGACTGACTGCAACTGGACTTTGAATTGGCACCTCAATAACTTCGTCCCAAACTGACCTCCTGCCTCCTCAACCCACCATCTACTCGTAGTCCAGTTCAGTCCTTCACCACATCCAAGGCCTGCGTAATGGCTTCTCTCGCGATCCTCCGTCTTACTGCTCGCCCTGCCACCTCGACCCTCTTCAGACCCTGCGCACAATCGCTGAGGAGAGCTCCCGCGGTAGCTCAGTCCATTTCTGCCCGATCTCCTTTCAGCTCCACCGCCATCCAACGAAGCGGCGGCCACGAAGAGGAGACCTTCGAGGAGTTCTCTGCCAGGTAGGCTCTCCCTTTGAGCTTGGGATTGTGATATTGCGCGGGCCTTCGCCTTGAGCGCAGCCTCCCAAAAACACACAAACGCACAAAAGGTGGTCCAAGCACGAGCTCCCGCTGACGTGGAGATATATCTAGATACGAGAAGGAATTCGACTCTGTCAACGATGTTTTCGAGCTTCAGGTATGGCACGCAACGGAGGACTGGGATATCGCGCCGGTCTAACATTTTCGACAGCGAAACCTGAACAACGCGTTCGCCTATGATCTCGTCCCATCACCGGGCGTGTGCATAGCAGCCTTGAAAGCGGCCAGACGGGTCAATGACTTCCCAACCGCCGTGAGAGTGTTTGAAGGTACGCGGCCTTGCATTTTCTTGCATCCAAAAACAATATATTCGGTTCTAACGTCACCGATAATGCAGGCATCAAGGCCAAGGTCGAGAACTCGCAGCAATACGAAGAGTACTTGGAAGAGCTTAAGCCCTTGCGCGAGGAACTCGGCGTCCTTCTCAAGGAGGAGCTGTACCCCAACAACTCCGACAGCCCATACTACAACCCATAAACAAGCCAGCAACAGAAGAAAGACAGACGATCCGTCATTGCATGTTGTGGGGGAATTGCGCCCATTGGGGCAGCAAAGGGTCCGCATCAACGAACGAATGGAGTGTTAAGACGTATATATCTCTCAAGGAAGCAGAGGCAGACAAACGAGGTGCACGGAACATTGCCGACATGCACTGCCCTTGTAGCCTACCGAGGTTTCCCGAAGCCCTGCGCTGGTCTGGGAATACAAACTACCTACGCTGTAGTTAAAATGTACAGTCAGTTGTCAAGAACATAATTTCGCCTTCTTCCGATGCTTGCTTGTATGGACGTGACATGGGGATCCCGTTGCGACAAATTCATTCCTCAACACCCGTCAACTAGCTAGCTGGTAGTAGTTCCATGCAGCGAGAAAGTATAGATATCGTATCGAAGCAGAATCAAGCCATGTAAGTTAACTCACCCTGGTGTTAAGCCTTATCCTGGTTGGTTCCTAAGCCGGCCTCGGTGATGACAGAGCAGAGAGATATCAGGTAATCACATCCCTCCAATACAGCAAAAAGTGGAAAGCGAAGAGTAAGCAACGAAGAAGAGGGAAAGTAAGAGAAAGGTATAAATCATGGACATTTTAACAGTCATGACCGCGTGTAGAATGGAAGTTTCTCCCTCCAAAGCATACCGAAAGAAAAGCTTCGGGCTGTTGAAAGAAAACAGTTCTCGACACTGGCTCGCCAATGTCCAGCCTTCTTGTCTGGTAGCCAGGCATTGGGTAGTCGAGAGACATAAAGATCGCCTGGCTGGCCCTTTAGCTCCAGGAGTCTGCCTGAGCCTCGCCTTGAGCCATGACGAGATCTCGAATTGCCCATCTCCAGCCGCCTCGCCCGTCTCGACCTTCTTCCTCTTCCAGCTCCGGGCCTCGTCTCAACCATTTCTCCACTTTCCGGCGCCACCTTTCTTCTTCGTTGCGCTGTCTTCTGATGAACTCGGGTCCAACGTCAAACTCCTCGCTGACTCCCCATTCATCGCCACTGCTGTGACCTGCCTCACCGTCACCAAACGAATCTCTTGAGTGTCCAAAGCCTGAAGCGTTCTGCAGAGTGCCGCTTCGACTTTTGATCTCATCTTCTTCTTTGAGATCTTCCAGGCCGGCGAAGACATCTTCCTCCTCCTCGATCTGTACGCTTCCAGCACGAAGATTGGGCGCCGTTCCGTCTGCGTTTTCCGCGATCTTGAGCCATCGCATCTGAGATGGGTCAAAGACCATTCCGCCCACAACCTGCACCCCAGTGATGCTGGAGCCAACGTTAGAAATGAGTGCCAGGTTCGCTTTGGTTCCTGGACTTGCATGACCATGACCAACAGGACTGCCGACTCTGGGGTGGAAGTCTGGAACATCGAACGGAGCCAGAGCGTTCTCGTTGCCTTCCCATCTAAAAAGCAGTGGGTTGTATTGCATTCCCTTCTCCGATTTCGGCCTGTTAACGTCGCCGCCCATTGGTTTGATGAGGTGTGGCTTCTGTTGGACTTTGTCGATCTTTTTCTTCCTCAGACCGCCCTGAGGGTTCCGTGGCGTGGCCATCGGCTTCCAGTTAGTTGAGATCGGCTGCAATGGTTCGCCACGCATGTTTTGGAACGTCGTGGAGATCTGTCGCTGTTCTCGAGCGATCCTAGAGGCTGCCGTATCGCGCGCAAAGCGAGGGACATTGGTCGTGTTCACAGCTGTCGTGGGGAAATCAAACTTGAGAGGTGAGAGAGGCGTTGCGGGCACAGGAGTGTCACTCCCACGTCGAGTGCTGGCAAGTGAAGATGAAGAAGGATTCAGGTGAGAGAGACCGAGCTTGCTCCTTAGGCTTCGTGGCGCACCGCGACCGACTGGAGTCTTGGTGAACTTCGATTCAATGGTCGCAGATGTCGGCAGGTCATCGAAGATCTCCAATTCAGACCCATCACCATAATTCCGGCGCCTAGCTGGTTTCGTGATTGTCTTTTTGGCCTGAGCAGCCAGCTCGGCGGGAGTCAGATTACTGCGACCACGACCAGGGGTCTCTGGCCTCCCCAAACCTGCCAGCCGAGACAAAGACCTCTGAGCTGCAGACATACTCTCCCCTGAGCCGTCAGATCCTTGTCCTCGGTAGTGGCGAGTGGCCGTCGACTTGATGCTGATGTGCTGGGACTGCCCAGCGGAGGCTCCAGCAGGTAGGAAAGGTATTGCGCTTTTCCTAGCATCTCCCATACCAGACTCAGCACGGTCAGTTGGCGTCTTAGGACGTGATGGTATGTTGAGACGGCTTCCCAATTCTTGCCTTGAGGGAGGTCTGACGTAGGGCGCTGGCTTGGTGGGAGAATTCAGATTACGCATGGCTGGCATGGATCTCTTTGCACGCAAGAGTTGCGCATTAGTCGTGGTCGGTGGTTTTTCATGGCGCAGGTCGGGTCTGGATTCGGCGCCACGCAGAAGGCGTCTGCTAGGAGTTGATGGAGTGGAGGGGGTCGAGGGTGTGGGAATGGCTGAAGCAGACAAGTGGTTGGAGTTGTTCCCAATGCGCGAGTTTGGTCGCTGATATGCCGATATAGGTGCGCCAGTTTCCGAGACAGGTTCCAGATGTGACCGGGCACGCTCATGTCGGTCGTGTGCAGGTTGGAATCTGGGCAATCGTGAGATCGTTCCTTGGCTCTTGTTACTCGTGAAGTTGAGTGTAGTGGTTGTCCTCTTGGTCGGACTGGCTGGCCGTGTGGTTTTGTGTTTGACGTTTCGGTTTAACGTCAACTTCGCGGTATCGAACACGTCTCCATCGCCAATTTCAAGACCAGAGAAGAAGTCATCCTTGCCAGAAGCACTTCTGAGATTTGGCTTTTCTTCTACAATGCTTCCCGGTACCGGCTCCGGGGACTGCTCTTGTTGTCGTTGCTTGAGCTTGTCGTCAAATTTGATCGGCCCATCAGGCAGAATCAACCCGTCAAGTCCTTCATCCTCGCTCTCGGCGGTGAAAGCACTCGAAACACTTGGGCTGAGGGCAGAGGCAGAAGAGCTGCGCGCCGATCGGCCTCCCCTTTTAGTGCCAGCGTGCCTGGTGCCTAGGCTGCCCTCAGCCCATTCCAGATCGAAATCTTCGCCCTGCTGTGGTGTTTGAGGTGCAGGTTTCCTGGTTGACAGTTTCAGCTGCCCGTCAGCTGGGAACTCAATGTCTTCCTCCAGGCCTTCAATGTCCGGCTTCACTGGCGTTGGCGTTGGGGGCTGTTGAAACAACAAAGGCTTCTGTGGCGACCTCTGCTTCGCGACCTTTATTGTGCCAACATCTGCAAAGCCTGCATCATCTTCACTGTCACGAAAGGCGTCGAGAGTGATTGGGGTCGGTGCGGTCCGAGACTTCGGTGATCGGATCGTCTTATCGAAAACATCCGTAGTCTCCGGGCTCTTGGGAGAAGTTCTGAATGCTGCACTGATTTGGCGGAGACTGTCTGACAATTCTCGATCATCGGGTTTTGCAAGCTTCAGAGGCATGTCTGCTCCAGGTAGATCCAAATCTTCTGACCAGTCATCCGCAAATGCTTTCTTGATTTCTTTGCCTTTCAGCCGTCTTATGGTGCCACCTTCCAGGGCAGAGCGCGGCACATTTGCTGGTAACGGTATTCCTTTGCTCTTTGCCAGGGCTATTGCATCTTTTATTGAAGCTTGCTCGTCGACCAAAACGTCCCAATTTTCATCTCCGTTGTTTGATTCGGATCGCATCGACAAACGAGAGGAAACAGAATCGCGGTGATTGGTATGAGGAACTGAAACAACTGAGGTTGTTGTCGAGGCAGTGCGAAAGTGTACATCCTCTAGGTTGTCAAAGTCGTCGCCCCAGTCCTCGACGTCCTCATTCTCGACGGGAGTTCGCGGTCTTAGCGTGAGTGGTTCCATGGTTCTGGAAGGCTTGGGTTGTAATTTCTGTTGAAGGTTTCAATTAGTGTCGTTAAGTTGCAAGAGGTGCTGACGATGCATTTTGCGAGTCAATATCCGGCTGATAGAACGTTCGTAGAATCGTGACGGTTCGTAGAGTCATAAGAGTTAAGCACCGAGTCGATTGATCGTGCTTCGTTGTTCAAGGTCCAAATCCCCCCGTTGAGTGGTTTTCCACCGGTGAGGGAGAGGTGAGCGACCCTGAATGGTCGTATGGTATGGTAGGGCTCAAGAAGCAAGAAGAGTGAACTGAGATCTTCTTCTTGAGGTCGTCTCACAGTCTTCTCACGGCGTAAGAGGTTGGGCTGGCGGATGATTCTGGCTTTCGAGGTGGAGCTCGAACACGGACTCAGGGCGCGCAGGGAAAACGAAGGCTGGGCGAGACACGCACCCCCAATGTGGTTAGCCTCCCTAGGTCGGGATGTGACGCTCGTGTGGCAGCTCGGATCTGGGCTTCACGGCTGTCAAGCGGTGCGCCTAGTGGTCTTTGCATCACAGAGAAAGCCTCCCCGGATCAGTCCATGCGTTTCTGCAGCCTTGTATGCCGCCTGCAAAAATTCAAAGCATGTCGCAGTTGGTCTTCTGTCGATTATGGCCGCCTCAAGTTGGGTGATCAGGCTTGAAGCCGATAAAGGAAACCCCCCAATTCTAGTCAAGGTCTCCCGCAAAGAAGGAGGGCACGATCTCGACCTTGATCTATTGGCCACTGACGGAGATGCGGCCTACAAGGGCAAAGGTAAGTCTACCTGTGACCGCGTTCATCAACTATTGCTAAATATGGTGCAGTCAGGCAACGGAATCTGAAGAAACTGCGCGCGAAGAACTACGATGGATCGGACAAAGACTGGATTGCCGTCGTCTCCCACGTCCTTCTGAGGACAGCAGCACACCAGCTCGATGACGCACAGAAGCAAAATCTTCACGTCACCTGTTCGGTCTCTGGAAAAGATCCTAATGGCACACTGTCCATAGCCTTCCTCAACAAGGTCGAAGATATTACCCAGAGATTGGGAAATATTGAACTACCGCAGACCGAAGACACCGATGATATCGACCTTTTCGGATGGACTTTGCAGGCAGTCAAGAAGAGGGATGAGTTGGACGAAGCCGTTCAGGCTCTGACATGGGAGCTGAAATCAAAGGATGCTGCATTGAAAACACTTCAGAAGCAGATAGACGAGCTGGTGGAAGCCAAATCTGAGCATGAAAAACAACTACTATCAAAGTTCAGTGTGCTTCTCAATGAGAAAAAGCTTAAGATAAGGAATATGCAGCGAGTTTTGTCGACTGCGAAGACAGATGCCACAAAGCTGAAAGAGCTTCAATCTGTCATCAAGAAGGAAGGGTCGGCAAGCGGTGGCAGGGGAAACAAGAGGCGCGCTGAAGAAGCTCCCAAAGATGATGAGACAGATGAGAGCGAGGCTTTCGATACTATGCAAGTTGATGGCAATACCAACGTCCGGCAACACGTGCCTCGAGATGGCGACTCGCCCACTTCAAGAGAGACAACACCGGCTCGCTCAGAGGACGAGGACGAGGACGATGATCTTGGGGCCCCAGAACCGACTGCATATCGGCCTAGAACAAGAGCTTTGGGTTCCAAAAGAGCTGCCAAACAAAAGTCACCGAGTCCACTCCCCCCACCTCGAAAACTACCCTTTCAGAAGAAGACTGGGGGTCAGAACGACGAAACATCAGCAACACAGAAAGAGCAGAAGTCCAAACTTACTGCTCCCCCGGCAGATGCTGATGAGGATGAGACTGCAAGCGAAGACGATGAATTATGAATGATGAACGATGAAACGACATGGGAGCCGTTGGAACTATACTAATCCCGAATTTGCTGAGGCACAGTCTTACAAAATTGAGACCTAAGTCGCCCCGAAGGCACTATTGTTTTCATGTCCCTACATTGTCTGAACGTATCAGGCTATTCTGACATCTCGCGTCTTCATCATTCGTGGTATCGCTTCATTGAGACAGCTCCCAGTAGATGCCGTCTCAATAGTTGAAGTTCGGCTGGTCGCGTTGGTTGGGGTCGTACTGATCCATCCCTTGATAATGCTGGTCATACATATTCTCTGCGCTCTGTTTTGCCTTTCTCTTCGCCTCGAAAGAGTCGTATTCATTCATTCCTTTGGTCTCGGCCAATTTGTCAACTTCACCTCCGACGAAACCGGCCAGGAGTTCTTTGGCAAACTTATGGGAAACGGGCTTGCCTAGAGCTATGTCAGTTTGCTGGAGAAGAAAAAGGTTTCGGGTCAAGACCGCTTACCCTCCTTGCGTTGGTGGTCCTCGAATAGCTTCATGCCCTCGAAAGCAGCTCCGCCAGCCACGAGTTCGTGGGAGAATTTGGCTTGGTTGTCGTAGCCACCACTGCCATAGACCTGCTCATGGGCATCACGGCTTTCGTCTACGTCCGGGTGTTAGCTGAGGAAATTCAAGGACAAGTTGCAACCACTTACCAAAACCAAACATTGTGAATGAATTGTAGTTCGTTGGTGGTGTTGTTGTTGAGTTGGATAGAGGATTGTAGGAGGCTGAAGAGTAGTGATAATATGATCGAGGGAGTTCTTGTGGGTTCTGTACGGAGATATAGTGCGAGATGCAGGAAGGCAGACGAGAGGGAGAAGGAGGAATATATAGGTCTGGAGATCATGTCACCGCCTACATCTGGTGAAATGCCTTGCCCCTCAATTGAAGCCCCTGGACAATCTATCGAACTATGGTAGACTCCACCATGTCACAGTTGTCGCCGGCCATTCAGCTTCACATGCAGGGAGGGGACTGAGTGCAGTCACTTGTCTCAGGACAACGAATCATCTACAAGCATTGCGTCAACAGGTGCGTAAAGATATTCGACCTCCTGCCAGGCACGGCCTCAGCATTTGTCTCAAACATTTGGTGATGGTCGACAGTCAACCGACTTGCAAACAGTGCAGTGGCTGTGCCTTTCACACCTCACAGCAGCGTTACGTTTACATCTCCTGTACCTTGAAGAAAGGTAGAGTTTCTCATGAACCTGACACTGGTCTGACCCTCCTACAGGTGACGACATCTGATAGATCTCTGATGGCATTTCTTGCCCAGTGCTGAGCTGACATTCCTGTCTATGAGTGTGTTGCCCGGAGGTAGAATAGGGTGGTAGGTAGCAGTACAGAGATAAAAGTTCAAGTTGACGAAGCCAGGGTCAAGTTCCACTGCAGCTGAGTGAGATTCACAGGGTCCAACCAAATGGCTGCGGAGCCAGGGGTAGAGGCTTGTTTCGAAAGCCAAGTTGCAGGCAGAAAGCTTGGTTGGGTGACCCCACACGCACACGTCACGCTTGGAACTGCACCAACTGGCGCCGACCAACTTGAACTGCGCCTGCTCGAGCTCCATCGTCTCTGCCTGCGCCTCGTGTCTATCTTCAGCTGTCAACGCCACACAATTCGTCAGAGATCATACAGTGTACACAGTAAACAAACAGACATAGCTCCCCGTGGAGCGTTGCCGACCTCCCTGCCTGCCTACCAGCGTCACCTTACCCGCGTGCCGCAAATCGAGGTTCGGATCGAAATCCCCTCACAGCCGTTCTGTTGGTCCCTGGCAGTGGTGGCTGCCCTGGCATATCATCTGGCCCATATTCTTGCTTGGCCATCCTCGAACACAAGTTCCAAGTTGTGTGCCACCACAACGTACCTACTCCCTGAGGTCCCTACATACCTAGGTACATAACATACCTAGCTGACTTATAATGTCATCGTCGCACCCTTCGGCCCCCTTGGCCAGCGATCTCCCAGCGTCCCTTAAACCGGTCTTTCACCTGCCTCCGAACAACATACCGACCAATGTGATTCTATTTCTGCCAGGACTGGGAGATACGGCCGCCAACTTTTCATCGTTCGCTCGCGCTTTGAATCTCCCTGATGCTCTGACCATCACTCTTAACCCGCCTTTCCCCCTGCCATTTCCTCTTGGGCCGGGAGATCAGTGGTCTGAGGACCTTCAGGTTGATGCCACGACAGGGCCTTTCGATCCCGACTCACCCTTGACACGGGCAGTAGGACTTGTCGCAGAAGACGTCATAGCTAACGTCCTGGTCGGTAAATCAAAATATCGCCCTGACCATATCCATCTCATTGGCTTCGGACAAGGTGGCTCAGTGGCTGTTTCGGTGCCCCTGCATCCGTCGCTTTCGTCCTTACCACCACTGGGTGGTGTCATCTCGATTGGTGGTGCTTTACCCATGTCGGCGACTCTTCCTTCCAGCACTGCAAAGAATAGGACGCCAGTCCTTCTGCTTTCCGGCTCAAGGTCACCGCTGGCATCGGCTGATTCAAGCCCATTGAAACGCGTCAAGTTGGCGTACGAGTTTATCACATATCACCAGTGGAGAAAATCCGACGATTCGATGCCCAGGAACAGGGACGAAGTATTGCCCATGATGCAGTTCTGGTCACGTCGGCTCAAAAGTAGACGCGGAGTACCAGATGATGCGGTCGAGCTCAGTTGAAGAATTAAATAAATTCTGATTCGACCTCCGAGCATAGGATACCTAACTATGAGCACAATAGGGTGGCCCTACTTTTCGAGCCTGTTCAGTTCCTCTCTCGCCCTCGATACAGCATACTCGGCTTCTCTTTGACTTTCGACCTCAACCTCATCCACTTGAACCTTGCTGGCATTCTCCACCAGCTCCTTCATTCTTCCGACAAGTCTTTGGATCACGGCTCTGCCTTCATCGTAGAGACCGCCTTCGAGGGCTTTGGTGACTTTCAACCAGTCCGTCTGCATCCGCCGTAGTGCATAGGCTGTGCCTAGAGCCACGATAGTGCCGGCCTCGTACAAGCTACCTGGCGTGATGGAAAGATAGGTCAGCGCGGAGAGACCACCCGTAAGCCCTGTCAGAGACAAGGTCTTGAGCACAATCTGCTGAGCGGCCGCGGTAAGATCCGCAATAGCACGTTCGAGCTGCTTGGAACGGGTGGTGGAAACGAAAATCGAAAGAGGGACGGGCCGCGGGGCAGGTACCATCTTAACCTCTGCTATGCCAGATTCATTGGTCAGGACGGGTTGTAGAGGCGTCTGTGCTGCAAAGTCGCGTTGAGCCTGCAGCACCGGAGTGACCTGTGCCGCATCCTGCGTCCTAGCTGGCCTCGTTTCGAATGCCTCTGCCTGGGCTGGAGAGGTTGGGAGATCCACCGGAGAGATACCTGCTTGCGACAATCGACCACAAAGTTCATAAACTGCTCTCTCAGTCTGCGGGAGCCAGGCGTTCGTGACGAGATCTGTGATGATCAAACCCACATCATCCACTCGCCAAAAGAGCTTGTACCATGCTAGCTTCCGCCAGTTGCGTGAAGTCCATGCTGAAGCGAGCCCGGCTTGTAGCTCCTGATGTGCGTTGCGCGAAAACTCTTCGATCGCAGCTTCGAGGTTCGTTCGTGCAGCAACGCTCAAGGCACTAGCGGCGTTGGACTGGGCCTCAAGAGAAGCTTGTACCTGGAGATTTCTTGTTGCATTTGTGAGCAATGCAGAGATGAGGTTTTTAATCGGTGTCGGGATTGCGCCTTCGGACCTTGCTGCTGACGCTAGAGTAAGCCAGGTCGACAACGATAGCATCCCAGAGTCAACCCATTTGTGTTCGTAAGTGGTTGCCTCTGCAACAGAACGACGGATAGCTGCGAGGCCTTCCTCGGCCTTTGCCACATCCACAATCATAACCTGGCCGGGACTGTTCACCCGTGCCTCTTCGATATTGACCACCAGGTTAACGTTCTCTCGGTCCTCAATCGCAGTAAAGTTCGTCGAAGCCAACAGCTCAGCTGCCGAAAGAAGTTCTTCCAGGCCCTTTGTCACCAGGAGAGTGCTGTGTACCGGTTGACTGATGGTTGTCTGTCGGCCATTGGCTGCCGTGGGTGTCCCAATAGAAGGTGACAAGAATGCGTCCGCAGGGACGGTTTGGGCGCTCTGTAACCGCTCACCGGTCCTCAGGTCGCTGATCGTCGACACTAGGATTTCTATGTGGTTTCTTTCCAAAACATTCGAAGCTACGTAGAGCACCGGGATCGACATTCTCGGTCGCTGTAGATTGGGATTTGGCTGCTGTCCAAATCGAATGACCAGACCCTGACCGAAGTCTTCACTGCTCTGTAGCAACTCTTTCTCCCACCCATCCTCATCTCCCAGCGCGTCGGCCAGAAGTAGCCTCACAAGCCTGCGCGCGGTGTCCTGCACGTTCAATCCCAAGACTGCTATTCTCGTGGTCGGTGTCTCCGACTCTAGTCCTTGTATGGCAAGTTGTAACCTGCTCAGGTTGACTTGGGCAGACGCCTTCTTCCGAACTTCAGCCAGAGCTTCATAGAGTGCTTGATACCGCGGAGGGACATTTCTGGTTGCATTCACGGCGGTGTTGGAGCTAAGAGTTGAGGCATCTCGATGGTTGGAAGGCATGGCTCGACGGAGGGTGGACGACAGGCGTTTCGTGGTCCGCCATGTTGTGCAAGACGGACAGTAGAAGAGACTGTCAAGAAATGTGTCGAGTTGGCGACCTGGACGAGCTATTGGGGCTCTCTTCATGTTTTCAGGTTGTTTTCCCTAGGATGCAGGCTTGCATTTTATTCACCTGTCCATCATGGAAGCTGCTGTTATAGACCAAATCCTGCGGTTGTTCTGACAGGAAGGGACTAGTTTGTGGTTGGCAGGTGTGGGGGAACATTTTCCATACTCAGGTACGCGACGCGCTCCAACATCATCAGTCCCGACTATAGTCCTCTTCACAGCCGTAGCATCAACACTCTGGCACTCTACACCTGCCGCCAGTCTACCTTCGCCAGCTCGTCGAACGTATGAAGCAGCTGGACTCTGGTCGAGGAAAGGAGCCATGGCTTCTACGACCACCATGAACGGCTGGATGGAAGAGCTAGCCCTTACATTCCTTCCATTGAACAGCAAGCCTCCAGACTTACGCAAGCACACAGACGCTTTCATCCGCAAGGTCAAAACCCATCCCTATGGACGGACAGATCAATTTGCGGTCGCGGACAAGCTTGCCGGACTCGAAGAGAAATTGCTGGTTCTCAATCTAGACGACGTTGCGGAAGAACTATATTCTGGCCGGATAGAATTGAGCAGACACAATGAGCACTGGATTCCAGACGTCCTCGATCTTCTACTCCATCTATCATACGAACCGGCAAAGTACAGCCGGGTGGAGAATCTTCAAAAGCTCCGTCCTCGACCCGAGACTCCTCCGCCGCTGACATGGGCTGAGGTCGAGGAAGATGACCCTGTCGACCATCATGATCAGATCTGGCAGATCCCGGATTACGGTGACCTCAGTTCTGATGACGACGAAATACTCCTCTCCAGCACCAAGACATCTCCTGTGAGTGTACAGAAAAGGGAGGCCAGTGTTGGAGTGGACAGGATTCTTGACGCGTCTGAGGACGACCGAGGTGGCATCGCGCTTGTCGACCTGAAGGCCGCTCAGTTTTGGCGTGATCTTGAATCGGAGCAGATTGTGTACGTGGATGAGAAGCAAGCTGTCAGAGAGGTGCTGTTCATGCTGGGCGGCTTCCCAACGGCCATGTTTACCTTCTCCGATGGTGGGATTCGGCTCACTCCAACATACCAAATTCGTCACCTTGAAAGCAGTGCTTCCCATGCATTGATGAGTACAGCAACTGCTCTTGGTTCATCAATCGATCGTGTACGTCGGTGGGTGAATACACCGCAAGACGTCCCGGTGATGCAGCTCATCCAAGTTGGTATCGGAAACGTTTTAGCGGACTTCGAGCGGGCATTGTCTGAAGTGGAATACGATATCTTGCATGAAACCTCACGTACCGGAATCATCAGCCTTCTCCAGATTTTGCAGACTGTGAGGAAGGATAGCAATTGCCTGGTGACCCTTGGTACAGTTACACAGGATCTACCACAAAATGACTCCATTAGATCCTTGGATGCACTCTACAACCAACTAGACAAAGCATACTCGGCTTGCGACTCGGCTGCTTTTGAGACCCTTCTCCCAATCTTCATCTCCGCCTTGAAGCTATATGCCAAACCCCTTGATATATGGTTACACACGGGGACATTGGACCCTTCCGCTCCATTCTTCATAGATGCCAACAAAGGCACGAGACATGGAGCAACACTTTGGCACAACTGGTTTGCGATATCCCGTGAGAGTGAAAAGCAGGTGCCGATTTGCCTGCGACCCTTCGCCGAACGGATCCTTGCGACTGGCAAGACTGCCGCCTTTCTGCAGCATCTAGGACGACCGAACATCAGTCATGGCGAAGCGTCACTGGGTTTAACTCCTGCGGTGAAAGAGTCGCTTCATATGATTGATGGGTCACAAATGCCTTTCTCGATAACTTTTGAGACGGTCCTAGGCCGCCACCTCGATGCTCTCCTGGCTCGAACCACAAGAGCTTTGAAAGAATTGCTTGAAGGACATTGCGGGCTCACACGGCTCCTGGATGCCTTCGACTACCTTTATTTCGGTGTCAACGGCGCCATGTTGGACGGCGTTGAAGCACGACTATTTGACCGTATCGACCGCTGCCTGGAGATGTGGAACGACCATTTCCTAGTGGGAGACCTATTGGCAGAAGCGTGTCGGGACGTTCATTGCGTCGATGCAGACTTGATAGCAGTCCACTCGGTACGCACATCGTCTCGTAGCATGGCGAGTCGCCGACGCTCAGTCAAGATCCTCGGCGCCATGACAGTTTCGTATCATGTCAGCTGGCCTCTCGCCAATATCGTTCTGCCAGCCTCGATGACATCGTATCAACGGATTGGTCTGCTGCTAGCTCAGATCCGCCGGGCCATTTTCGTTCTCCAACATCGGGCTTACTTCTGCGTACAGCATACACTTTTTGGCATGGACATGAACCAGGATGAGAATGATCGAAAGAGAGCACGAGCCGTCCATGCAATGCTACTACAGTTTGTCAATGTTGTCTACGCACATTTGACAACGTGCACAATCACGCCACTGACATCGACGATGCGAGTCGCATTGACTTCTGCTTCTGCCGCCACCGGCACCGTCGATGATATGATTGCCATACACACGGCCTACATTCGCGCTCTGGAGCACGCTTGTCTCGCCAGCGACCGCATCAAGCCGCTACGAGAGAGCCTGCTGGCCATCTTGGATCTCTGCATCCGCTTCACCGACCTCGTCACTTCGCCCGGGACAGCCGCAACGGTGCACTCTGGTGATGGGTCTGGCGACATGGATTTTGAAGCCAGTTCATTCATCTCGGCACGCAGACACCGACGGCGGCGGCGGCAGCACAGAAATTCCAACGTGAATGCTCAACGGCGCATGGAGTCTTCGTCGTCGGACGATGATGATGGCATGCATGAGGACGACGATGGAGACGCAGGGGAGGGATACTCTACGTTCATGTTGGACGACGACAGCTCGATGATGGAGGAGATTGGCAAGGTACGCGAAGCATTCGTCAAGCACGCTTCTTTCCTAATCGCCGGGCTGAGGGCCGTTGCTAGGAGTTCGGGTCAGGTGGGCGACGGGTTCGAGCTGCTTGCGGATTCACTGGATGGGTCTATTCCGCCCACGGGCATAGGCAAAGGCACATTGAGACGAGACGATTTGTGATAGCTGAATATGATACTTTTTGTCCTGCAATTTGGGAGACCTTGGGGTGTGACTCTCATCCAATATATCAGATTCGATTGACCTTGTAGTACCCCGTTGTAGGAATGGTCGAGCTTGTCAAACGCCTTCATAGCATGGGTATCAAAATGGCCTGGATCCTTGAGGTTCTTTGTGTATTGTAGTTTTGTTGACTCCGCAAACGCTCTCTGATCAAGACGTTCTCCGCCATTTCGTCTCGTCAGCATCGTCGCCCGCCTCGCCGTTACCATGTTCGTCCTCCACTCGAGTCCGCACGGTCCCAGCTCCAGGACCGAGACCTGGAACAGCATCTTCAGCAACTGGCTCCGCCTCGCCCTCCTGATCATCGATCCAATCACCATTCTCGTCGACGAATTCATGCATATTCTCCGCCGTAATCCAGCCACCGCTCCCAGGCATCGCAGGCGGCAAGCCTCCATCTGACGCGCCTGGAAACGCTAGACCGGCTTGGATCAAACGACTCACACCACCATTAGCCACGCCCTCTTCATCTTCCTCCTCGCCAGGCTCTACCGGGTCTGGATGCAGATTGGAGCAATTGGACAACGCGGCGAACATGGCCATGACAGGAGTTTGCTCCGGCTTGTCTTCGGCCGGATCATCTTCTGTTGCGGCGGCCGGGGGTGCAGACGCCGTAGGGACGATGGTGATGGAGACCGATTCTGGCTCCGTGTCTTCCTGGCCGGCGCTGGCTTCGGTCGACGACACCAATTGCATGTACAGCCCTTGTTGTTCCCCCACTGAGGGTTCGGGGAGTGATTGGATCGCATGCAGGGATATCGATGGGTAAGGGATCGATACGCCAGCCGCAGCGGAGTTAGAGTATAGATATAGTTTGCTGGAGGTGTTTTGTTAGTCCAGACCATCCATAACGTCTCATGTGGTTCGAGGAGCATTGACAGATGGGATGTGTGAGGGAGTCAGTAGGCCGACTTACTCTGATGTTACCCAGACATCCAGATCCTCGACTACTTTTTGTTGCGCTTGGTGGTCTGCGGCGTGTCCGTCGGTCTCGGTGCCATTAGCATGAGAGTCTGATTCGGACTGAGTAGTGGAGTGTTCCAGCAGAGGAGCGAATGCCGCGACGTCGCTGATTTCGGGCTCGAGGACAATTAGTTTGCTGCGGTCGCTGTAGTAGTGTAGGACTGGAGGGCCGGTGTAGAACGAAGCCGGGGTGGCGGACTGGTGTTCGTGAAGAGGGACGAAGGTGGAGGCCTTGGGAGGATCGCGAAGGACTTCCATATTGACTGAATTGTGCGTAGGGGCCTGGTAGTCTGGTCTGCAAGAAACGAAAGAGGCATTCATTCAACTTTTGTTTGAAATGGAGATGGAGGAGGAGGGTGAAATTGTTACTTAAAGCGGCGCGGGCCCAAGCAGCCTGACTCGCGTGAGCTTCGGGGTTCAAGCAAGTTCGCCGCAGCGTTACTCTGTACATAGATTTTCCCACTTATTTACTGCTGGAAGCGCCGATGCAACTGGCCGCGCAAGCAAGTTGCAAAGGACAAGCGAACACTGCGATTCAAAGATACGAACGAACATCAAGTTACACATTCTGGGTCACGTTTGACAACGCCCCCGCGCAATAGACTGACCACATTTTCTCTTCTTCTTCTTCCTCATCCTCTACACTCTTCTGCTCGTCTGATTCTCCTGCGCGGCTGAGCCATGTCCCTCTGCACGACGGATGGATGAGATCGCTGCGTCAACATGGCAGTCGCACGGCCCGTGAGGCTCTTGGGAGCGGTGTCCGTCGTCCTGGTCTTTTTCCTGATCTACCAGTATCTACGCCCCGTTCCGAGCATATCGCTGCCGGGCACCGTGGCCGGGAATGGCGACAAGATCGATAACATGGAGCGCGATCCGCTGTTAGACCGTATGCGAGTTTCATCTCAGACCAGGAAGAGCATGTCCAGCTAACTGTCACAAACAGCCGTGGGCGAACCTCCCGAGCCATTATGGCGACACACCGAACACGACTACTCCCCCGACAGCCCCAACTCGGCACGAATCAATGCCACGCTTCTCTCGCTCGTGCGTAACGAAGAACTCCACGAACTCCTCCCGACCATGAAACAACTGGAAGAAACATGGAACCACAAATACAACTATCCATGGACCTTCTTCAACGATGTCCCCTTCACCGACGAGTTCAAACGGGCCACGCAGGAAGCCACCAAGGCCAAATGCACGTACAACCTGATCCCCAAGGAACAGTGGGAGATGCCCTCGTGGGTCAGCAAGGAACTGTACGACGAATCGTCCAAGATTCTCAAGGAGAACAAAGTCCAGTATGCCGGCAAGGTGTCGTACCATCAGATGTGCCGGTGGAACAGTGGCATGTTCTACCGCCACGAGGCGCTCCAAGACATGCGATACTACTGGCGGGTAGAACCCAAGGTCAAGTTCTTCTGTGACGTCGACTATGATGTGTTTCGGTACATGCAGGATCACAACAAGACGTACGGCTTCAACATCAACCTCTTCGACTCCCCCGAGTCGATCCCGTCGTTGTGGCCGGAGACCATCAAGTTTTTGGCGTCGCATCCGGAGTACATCAACAAGAATAATGCCATGGCCTGGTTGACCGACAACCAGCGACGTCCTGACAACAACGTCAAGGCGCATGGCTACAGCACGTGTCATTTCTGGTCGAATTTCGAAATCGCCGATTTGTCGTTCTGGCGCAGTAAGGCGTACGAGGACTACTTTACCCATTTGGACCGATCAGGCGGCTTCTTTTATGAGCGATGGGGCGACGCTCCCGTCCACAGCATTGCGCTGGGCTTGTTTGAAGACGCGAGCAAGATCCACTGGTAGGCATTTAGTTTCCTGTTCCGATCGATCATTGAACGTATTGTACTGACTCGACGCAGGTTCAAAGACATCGGATACAACCACATCCCGTTCTACAATTGCCCCAACTCGCCCAAATGCCGTGGCTGTACCCCGGGGCAATTCTACGGAGGCGAGTCATGGCTGCAACGAGAAGATTGTCGGCCGCTGTGGTTCAAGTACGTGGGCACCGGCTGAGGAAGAGGCTGCTGCACTGGTGGCGGTGGTGGTGGTGGTGGTGGTGTTTGCGGCACATTGCTGGGAGGGTCTTCACGACTCTGTGTATCAAAAGACTTTCAGCGTACATGTTTGACACCGACGGCTGGACCTGACTTGCACAAAAGAATCATGACAAGATGAAATGTGTTTCTATTGTCGTCTCTTTCGTCCGGTTGTAGCTGTTTGCCATATGATCTGAGCAGCGGAATCCTGTCATGCGGGAGCTGGCTGCTCATGAACAGCTGCTGAACTGCTTCAGACTCGGAATTAGCTGACTGAACATGCTGGTAGAAACGTCATCCGGAAAATGTGAAGAAGTCGTGAAAGCCTCGTCGTTTTATGTGGCCGAGCAGGAAGACGAAAGAGACAGACCGTTAAACAAATAAATATATTCCAGACTTCATCATACTGTCCAACTTAAGTACTTGGCCACCAACACAGCTACTATTTGTACAGACACTCTTCTGCAAATGTGTCGGTCTACCTGTTCTTCCTCATTATACAGTATCAGGTACTGAGAGCAGAGTCAGGATTCATGCAGTTTCCATTTTGTGGTAGCTAAAGAGGAGGAGGAGAAAGCGAGAAGAGCTATCTCATCTCATCTCGTCGTCTCTCGTTGCAACTCAGCTCAGCCCGTAGAAGCCCATTCCAGCTACTAGCTAGTACTGTTGTCATTGAAGTCACTTTCTCCGTGGCTCTCTGCCTGCCATCTCATCTGCTTTTGCAGTGTGACTGTGACTAGCAGTGTGAGACTCATCCCTCATCTCTCATCCATGATCCGTGATCTCGATGCGGATACTAATGCTGATTCCGACGCCAATGCTCAATCGATGCCCACTGATCCAAGTGCAAGTGCAAGTTCGTGTCGTTTTGTTCGTTTCGTTCTCCGTGTTCGTGTTCGTGTCCATTTCCATCTTCCGTCCCATCTCAGTTTCGTCTCATTTCTGATCTCTGATCTCTGATCTCTGATATCTCATCCCGTGGTCAAGTGTTCTGGTGTCTGAATGGATACAGGCAATCCCAGAAGCAAAACCACCAGCAACAATGTCCGCCTTGAGGTCAAGTAAGTAAGTAAGGGGTGTGTCTCAGACCAATTTGCGCCATGATTGGCCTGGTCCGGTGAGTGGTCCTGCTCCGTCAGCTGCAGTTGCGATTGCGGTTGGAGTATTACCGGTGACGTTGGCAGTAGCTGTATCAGTAGCCGTGACAGGAGCCATAGCAGTAGAAGTAACAGTAGCAATAGCAGTAGCTGTATCAGTAGCAGGAGTCGTAGCAGTATCAGGAGCCGTAGCAGTGACCGGTTCGGTAGCAGTAGTACCATTGCTGTTGCTGTTGCTGGTGTCGCCATCTTTGCCGTTGTCATTGCTGTTGCCATTGTCATCGGTTGTACCACCGGCGCCAGAGCCATTCGCTTGCTGCTGGTCACGTTCTCTCTGAAGTCTCCATTCGCGTAGACGGTCTCGTTCGTATTCGCGTTGATTGCCGAATCTCGCTTCAAACTGAGCAATGAGGCCGAATGTAGGAGGAGATCCGGACGAAGAGCCCGAGGCGGTCGATGCACGAATATTCCGTCTCGAAGTTGACGCTGTTCCTGTATCATTCGAAGTCAAGTTCGCACTGTCGTTGCCATTGCCATCGGTATTTCCGTTGGTGTTGGTGTTCGCATTGTTATTTGCCGCCGCATGCTGTTCACTGCCCAGATTGAACCATGTCTCTTCCCAACTTTCCAGACTGGCGGTATCATCATCGTATCTCGTGCTGTACAGTCCCTGTACGCGACGCTGATTGGCAGCATTGTTTCCAGTTCCAGGACCACTTCCAGAAGGAGTATTGACACGTTTGCCACTGCTGAAATAAGTCATTCCCTCACGCGGTGTAGCTGTCCGGCGAGTGGGTGTTTTCGGATCATCTCCTCCTCCACTAAGTTTCTCTCTCAATTTCTTGCCCAGAGGAGTGGTAGGTGTCTTGGGCTTATACCATGGTCGCGGACTAGAATTTGCATTGCCGTTGCCGAGAGATCGGGTGGGAGTGGTCAGACTGTATTTGCGTCCATTGCTGTTTTTGTTCTTGTTTCGCTTTCCAGAAGCCGGTGTAGACGGCGGGGCGTCGAAGCTGTATTTCTCCCGAGCGCGCGCCGCTTCTTCCTGGTATTGTCGAAGATGGCGCTCGAACGTGTCCAGCTCGCCGGTGCCGTTGTAGGCGTCCATGAATGGATCTGCGAAGGGATCGGTGACCGAGGTCGACGTCTTCTTGCTGTCTTTGTCTCGGTCGGTTCGGAAACTGCGCACGCTTCGTAGCATCACCAGGTCGTCGTTGCTGGTGGGTTTCTTGCGGTTTGCACCTCGAAGGCGCAGGCCGGGGAGAGAACAGCAGGAGAAGAAACGGGAGACGCGGTCGAGGAAGTTGTAGAATGATGCCGCATGAACGCGGCGCCAGAGCAGGACAAAGACCACGACAAGGACCGTCGATCCGGCCACGATTGGCGCTGCGATCAGGACTGCTTGGTGACTTTGGCCGTGGCCATGTCGCGCAGCAGAGGAGGAGGATGGGGTAGGGGGAGGAGGCGGCGTGGTGGGAGATGGGAGGGTGGAAGAAGAGGAGGAAGACGGCACCAACGTCGAAAATGGAGTAAAGGAGGTCGAAAACGTTTGCGACACTGTCGCGGCAGAGGAGGAGGCGGCGGCGGTTGTAGTAGCAGAGCTACTCTCCGTCCACGACGGATCACCTTGAAAGGTGAAACTCTCGCTCATCTCTGGCCCGCCCTGCGTGATTGTCCCGATGATCGGGATTGGGGGGAGCGTCGTCCCCCAAGAGTCAAACGACGACGACGACGACGACGACGGCGCCGCCATTGTGCTCTTGGAGAGCGCTTGCTGGAGGATGAGGAGGAGGAGGACGAAGACGAGAGGAGGAAGAGGAGGAGGTTGTGCGCGAAAAAAAAGCAAGAAGAAAGGGAAGACAAGGCGCTGCGACAACAGTCAAGTGAGAATGAGAACGCAGTCAGGATAGATCGAGAAGAGAAGTCCCGTGATTCAAGCCCTGGAAGCATACACACTGCGCAAACAGAAGAGGTCGTCTTGATCAATGCGATAGTGCTGGTTGTCTGTCACTTGGGAGGCCGCTGTTTGTTCAAGACCACCACTGTGAATATGTCAGCACAGAGACCTTGTCTGTCAGGCACACCTCCTCCTTCAAGTTGTCCATGGCGACGCTGACCTCTGTCTTCAGAGCAGAAAATGACAATGCCAGACTGGTCCAGGTTATTGATATGGCGGGAGCTCACACAACAAGCTGTATAGGGAATCTTGTGTCTGGGAAGGGTTTCGGGAGCAATATGAAGGTAGAAGATGATGCCTTGATATCACTCCATGCACCGATAGTTAGTCTGATCCCGGTAATGGCAGTGGCGCTCTTCCATTGTCCAATGTAGATCCCTATTGTTGAGGTCCAGGTGGATGTCATTATCAAGTCCTGATCAGCCATGGTAGCCCTTCTCTGAGCACCATGTAAATGCTGCTTGCTCAATGCTCGTCTCCCAAAAAGCATGAAGAACTTGCATGAATGGGTTCAAGAAGACAGAAAGATGGCCAGAATAGAAATCAGAATAAAACCAGAAGACAAGATCAACAAGCAATATGTAGTTGAACCGAGCATGGATTCGAGATAGCACAGACTAACCGTGGACGGCCATATCAGATTCGTCCCAATTGATATGGAAGCTATCGTTCCCCGTATCAGGCCATCTCTGTCCACAAGAAGATCGCAACGTTCCATCATTACCCTGCCAAAGCAGTCAACCCCAAGATGCCAACAAGAAATAAGACTCTCACCCTGGGAAGTGGATGGCCATTGGAGCAACAGTCTAGCTGAGTCTGAATTTCACTTCACCCATGCGCCCCCAACGCCTTCCAACTCGGAGGAGATGACGGCGTACCATGACCAGGCGATCCTCGTATGATGCCTTTGTCATTGACAGCCAACCCTTCCCAGCCTCACCGCTAAAGGGACTCTGTCATGCTTGCTGTGTACACGCGGTGCGAGACGTTGCAGGTCACTGATTTAACAGCAGCCACCGGCGGATCCCGATTGAACACCTTGACCTTGACCAACTTGCACAGTGGGTTTGTTGTTGACCGTAGTTGTGCCCATGCGTTCCTTGATTTGGCGAGCCATGGTCAGGAAAGCCTGTTCGACATTTGACGCGTTCTTGGCCGAAGTCTCCAAGAAAGGGATTCCGAGGCTGTCGGCGAACTCCTGTTGTCTGGTGAGAAATGGCATTGTGCTTGCAATGGAAAGGAAACCAACCTTTGCCATGGTGTACTCGACCACCTTCTTGTCCGACATATCACTCTTGTTGCCCACCAGCAATTTGTTGACGCCCTCGGTAGCATAGCGATCAATCTCTTGCAGCCATTGCTTGACGTTGTTGAATGAGTCCATATCCGTCACATCGTAGACCACGCAAATACCATGTGCGCCGCGGTAATAGGAGGACGTGATGGTTCGGAAGCGTTCCTGACCGGCAGTATCCCACTAAATTGTGGTTAGAGGTCACGGCTCAACAGTAATCAGGACTACACGCACGATTTGCAGCTTGACCGTCTTGCCATCGAGTTCAATTGTTCGGATTTTCTAGACCGGTATTAGCCAACTCGTGAATCGCCGGACACAGCCTGGCTGGCGATAGACGTACGAAATCGACGCCGATCGTGGAGATGTAGGACTCGGTGTATGTGTCGTCGGCGAATCGCAACAGGAGACATGATTTACCAACACCAGAGTCACCGATAAGCAGAAGCTTGAAGAGGTAATCGTATCTGATGCGGGTGGTTAGTTTCCGCGTCGAGGACCTTGCTGCAGCGCAGTGGGATGAAGCGGCACGTTCGAGATGAAGGGACTCTGTTGGCGGTTAGCAAGACACATTCGTCGCCGACGGACTATTGTCCGGCGATGGGTTGAGGTTGTGATGACTTACTACTCGGGATTCATGGTGGCGGATGGAAGGAGACGTCAGAGATGGAGTGAGACGAGGACAAAGGGAGCACTCGTAGTAGGTTCGCTTGGATTGAAACGGTCGGGCGCTGAAGGAACCCGAAAGACGGATGCTGAAGCGAGGGAGGAGTGAAGGAAGTTGAAGCGAGTATGTTGATAGATACTCTTGAGAAGGAGACTTTGGGGTTGTTACAGGATCCGGGTGGAATTGAGACGTTGGAACGAACAAGGATGAATGATTGATCAATAAATGATGGGGGGTGTTTAGGAGGCTAGAGAGGCTAATAAGGAGTAAAGAGGCTCCTGTGTAGTAGGTGTACTGCCAGTAGTACTGCAGGCTGCTAGGAGACGAGGAGACGGGGAGGCGGGTTGGGTTGTGACTTGTCTGCCCGGGGGAGGGAACCCACGAGACTCGCAGACTCTGCAGGCACCTAGCTAGGTACCTAAGGTACCTCTATTATTCAGGCTGCACCTGTCATGGCTGGTCACGTGCCGCCTCCCAGCCATCACCTGCGGTGATGCGTCCTCCACTGGCAACGACATGTACTTACTACGTGCTCTGTAGGTACCTGGTGACTCTATCTTTAATCTCTGATCTTCTTACCATTACTACCTAGGTACTTACCACATCTACTTGTCTCTTAATGGCGGCAGCCTACAACAAGGTACAATACAAGGTCCAATAGACCGACTGCGGTGGAAAGGATATCCTGAGTGCCTGCTGGTTGTGGAAACTGCCATGAGGCCTTTTGATCGTTTGCCCTTCGGTCATGCTCCCTTCGGTGTGACGGCATCAAGCATACTTCAGGCTTCACCTCCATCGCCCCGGGCCTCGAGTCATCTGATCAGACAACATCTATCATCCATGCAATGTCATTTTCTATCCGTTCAGATATCACCTGACAGCAATGGTGGCCCTTATACCTCTCAAAGATACTTGTGAGCCTTCAACCATTCCAACAGTTGGGCTTCATCACGTTGCTTGTAGTTGGCATTGCTCGTGATGGTGTCCGACACAATCACCAAGCTCCGGCTGAACGCTGCCGTGTTCTTGTCCTTGAAGAAGTCGACGATTTCATCTCGGATCGCTGCATCAGAATACTTCGCCAAACCCACCCTGATCCACCGCTCAATCACGACATTCGTCGCTCCCAGTATCTTTTCGATCCTCTGCCAGTTCTTCTTGGTGAATTCCCATGCTACTTTTCGAGTTTCATTGTTGCCTGCGACCGCCGCGATTCCCCCGTGAGCATCTTGAGGAGGCACCTCTTCTGACATGACGAACTCAAGCAAATCCCACGCATGATCTGGGCTTTTCGATCGACCTAACGCTTGTAGGCAGATCTCTTTGCCATCCACCGATGTTGTCTTTCTGAACTCGGCCTTGATGGTATCGTATTCGTCTTGGCCACCGTTGGCAACGGCCATATTGAAGATGACGCCTCGAAGATTCTGGTGAATCGCCTTTTCGTCACCAGCCTTCCAGGCCGCAAACTTCTTCTTGCCTTCCGAAATGATCCCTTGGTGCCCGGCTCCGGCGGCGTAAGCAAGGAGAAGCTTGCGTAACTGACCAGTTAGCCATTCTTCGTCCTTTGGAAACTCCCAACCGATAGCTTCGGCCGCGGGAGAAAACAACTCGAGAGAAAACTTCTTGAGCCCGGCCGAAATCTCTTTGTTGTCTGCAAAGACCGCCCGAACCTTGGACAGACAGGTTGCGATCTGCGACCAGACCAAGTAATCGTCTTCGTTCTTGAAGCCCTCCAACAAGGACAGAAGGGCAGCAGTGGTCCCATTGCCTGAAATGGCCAGCGCTGTTGCGTCGCCCATCAAGCCGATCTTGTCTTCGATGGACAGACGATCGGGAGCTTTCCCAAGCTTCAACAACCGCTGGGGTGGGTAATTTGTTCGGTAGAAGCCGCTCTGGTCGGCGTTGATCTTGTAGAAATCGTCGTCCACATTCCGGACAGTATCTTCCTTCGCCGTCAATGCACTGTGGACAACTTTCGCCGGCGTGCCAGTCTTCAGCCCCACGGGAATCCACCAGGTAGTCTCATCTTCCTGCGGTTTCACATCGCCCGTTGTCAAGAACCTGGATTGGCGGAGAGAGATCTGTCCTGGTTCCTCAGCAACCGCGACGACGGGGAATCCGATCTTTCGAATCCAGGGATCCATGAAGGTCTGAACGTCCTGGTCGGAAGCTGCGCTGAGTGCCGCCCAGAGATCATTTGTTCGTGCATTCCCGTAAGCATGAAGCTTGAGGTAGTCTCCAACCCCCTTCAAGAACACCTCCTGACCTAGGTGATTGCTCAGCATCCGGATGATGGAGCTTCCTTTGAGGTAGGAAATATGGTCAAATATTTGGTCGACTTCCAAAGCGTTGCGAACAGGGACTTCGATCGGATGCGAGGCGCGTAGGGAATCGAGTTCGAGAGCTGGTTGGACAGCTTCAGCCTGATTTCATGTCAACAGAGATCGCGACAAAGTACCTTTCGACATTCTACGCACCACAAACTGGCTCCACACCTTCCACTCCGGGTGCAGATAATCGACAGCCAGCCAGCCAACCCAGGTCGCGAAGCCTTCGTTAAGCCAGAGCTCATTCCACCAATCCATCGTGACGAGGTTGCCGAACCATTGATGGGCCAATTCGTGAGCAACCACATATGCTACCCGGTTTTTGAAGCGAGCATCGGATTTCTCTTCGTCGAAAAGGACAGCAGTTGTTCGATAAGTCACCAGGCCCCAGTTCTCCATGGCACCCATCGCAAATTCGTGTACCGCAAGCAGGTCAGATTTCGGAAGAGGGTATTCGATTCCGAAGATGTCGGAGAAGTAGTCAATGGTCTTGTGGGCATGTTCCAGCGCAAATCGGCCCTGTTCCTTCAGCCCCCGGGTAGTATATACCCGAACAGGCAGGTTTTTGCCGTTATACTTGCGTTCTGTGAACCCTTCGACGTACTCAAAATCACCAATGGCCCAGGCAGCCAGATAAGTGCTCATCGCGGGCGTCTTCTCGAAGGCAACCTTCTTCAGGCCATCTTTGCTGCCTTTCGTCACACTCTTCTCTGGCATGTTGCTCAGCGCCACCAGGTCTTCTGGGATCTCAACCTCGAACTCGAACGATGCTTTCAAGTTTGGTTCGTCGAAACAGGGGAATGCTCTTCGTGCTTCACATGCTTCAAATTGAGTGCTCAGCATGTAGTGATACTCGCCATCCGTGGGAGTAGTTGACGCTGGTGTTACGGTTGGCTTGTACTTGGAACGATAGAACCCTGCCATAGCATTGTTGATGGTGCCCTTGTACTTGATGGCGATCACGGCGTCACCCGAAGGAATGTTCGCGGAGAACTTGATTGTCGCTCGCTCATCGCTCTTATCATAGGAGACATCGGTCATCGATGTGATCGTGGCTGCACATAGTATCTTAGCACCTGTTTAGCAAACATGGGCAACCAACATACATCCATCACTTTTACTGAGGACCTGCGCATCTTTAATTTCGAGCTCCTTGGTATTGATCACCAGTTCCTGCGTGTCACTCTTGACCTTGGACTCGATCTTGACCAGGCCATCGTAAGACCAATTCCCGCCGAGTTCGAGGTTGAACAGGGATAAGTCGTAGTTCAGAGGCTTGATCGTGTCGGGAAGGATGTCTCTGTCCGTGGGAGGTGCCATTGTGCTACGAGCTTCTGCCGAACAGAATCGGACTTGAGAAAGCCTCGGGGCAAAGCTTCTAGAGGTTCGACTCGTGGTGCGGGTAGACAGAGAAACAGTGCAGAGGGTTCGTCTCGTGCAAAAGGGACGAGGGCCAGCCTTCAGAGCAGAAGTCAAAGTGAACACTGCAGCAGAGAATCTCAGCTCCAGCATTCAAATTGTCTGCCTGTATATGGCTGGAGTCAAGATGGGAATATGCTCTAACGAAGCACACGACAATCTGGCTAATAGCAGGCAATCTACAATCAACAAGAATGAGTGGTATCTACTATGCATTCTCATGGTATTCCTACTGCGGAGGCCGACCGTTCTGCCCCGCTGCTATAGAGCCAGTGATTCACGGTCACATATTGGAGTGTGAGGAGCCCGTCGAGCCGTCATCGCCGCCGCCTTCTCCAACTGAGCTGCGCTTAAACATTGGCCGGCGTCCTAGGATTTCTAGCCTCTGGCTTGCATGCGACGCGAACTCCACGTCCTTCCCCTTGTCTTCCCATCGTGACCGCTTCCTCCCAGGTGATGCCGGCAGCAGGGGACGAGTATGTGGCGGACGGTTCTGACGATGACATCCCTAGAGCGCCTGGCCGCTCGCAGGCTCGAAGAGCAGCGGCTCGCGAGTCTGCTCAAAACTTTGAGGTGACACGGACATGGGACTTGTTGACAGAAAGTGCCGACGGAACCATCACAGGTGCAGTTGAAGGCTTATTAGAGGCTGGGAAGAGAAAGAGGTATGTGAGAACTCGACAATATGCCTACATCTGCCTCTGGAAAGACAGACCTGGCAAGCCACGCACTGGATCAAGAAGACCGGATTTTGACCAAGCCGTCTTTGCAGACTTTTGAAAGATACAACTCCACTTCAGCGCGGCATCATACGGCATCTGGTTTTGATCTTGGACATGTCCTTGTCCATGACCGAGAAAGACCTTCGACCGACCCGCTACCTCCTCACCCTCATGTACACCGAGTCCTTCATCCGAGAGTTCTTCGAGCAGAACCCTATATCACAACTAGGCATCGTTGGAATGAGAGATGGAATTGCTGTCCGAGTGAGCGATATGTCTGGCAACCCGAACGCCCACATTGCAGCCATCCAAAAAATCCGAAAAGAGGAACCGAAAGGACAACCGTCTCTTGAGAACGCCCTCGAGATGGCCAGAGCAGCCTTATTCCACGCCCCAAGCCACGGTACACGGGAGGTTCTGCTGGTGTTTGGTGCACTACACACGTCCGACCCTGGGGACATTCACCGTACAATTGAGAACCTAGTGGCCGATAAAATCCGAGCCACGGTAATCGGGCTGGCCGCGCAGGTCGCCGTCTGCGCCGAGCTGGTCTCCAAGACGAACGAGGGCGACTTGTCAAACTATGGCGTCGTGCTCCACGAGCAACACTATCGAGAATTGTACATGGCGGTGACTACGCCTCCGGTGACGAACGAGTCGACCAAGTCGGCAAGTTCTTTGCTGATGATGGGGTTTCCGTCACGGACAGTGGAAGACCACCCGTCTCTTTGCGCCTGCCATACCAATCCATCTCGCGATGGCTATCTTTGCTCACGGTGCAGCACGAAAGTGTGTAGCCTACCGAGCGAGTGCCCTGTATGTGGACTGACGCTCATCCTGTCGACACATCTTGCCCGAAGTTATCACCATTTATTCCCTCTGGTTAACTGGCTTGAAGTGCCATGGTCCCAAGCATATCGCAGCAAGGCTTGTTTTGCCTGTCTGAAGCCCTTTGCTGTGGTACCTCCTCGGGAACAGTGGGAGACTTCCAAGTCCACGTCCACGACGAGCAGCAGGTACGAATGCCCGGTATGTCACCACCATTTTTGCATTGACTGTGACCTCTTTGCACATGAGGTGGTGCATAACTGCCCTGGATGTCAGAGCATGCCAATGCGGACAAGCCTGATGGGCGAAACTGAGACCCCGGCTGAAGTTGACCGCAATGGCAAGATGGCAGTGTCGTCAAATGGAGGACCAGCTGAAAACGGAGACGCGATGAAAGTGGACGGCTGAGCCACTAGGCCTTAACCTCGATAAATGTATGTATGTGTATCACGAGAAACGATTGACATGAAATGGCATAAAAAGCATGAAGACACTTTTAGCTGTGTTCAATGATGGCAGGTCGCAGGATTCTAAAGCGTGCCCCCGAGGGAGGGTCGTGGTCGACTATTTTGCCCGGTAAAAGACCCTGTTCCAGGGCTTTGCATATATTCAAGATCTCGGCTTCAGGTGCCTGGATTCTACCCTGTCCTTTGCTTAACCAACCTCGATGAGCAACGTGAGATATAGGCCTCCTCTATCTTGTGCGAGAAGGAAGACAGGCCCCTTGACGAGTGCGACCTCAACTCTGTTCAAACTCGAGAGTTCCCCAAGCCCGCTACCCAAAAATCACAGAGCCAGAAATATAGCTTGCTCTTCAAACTCATCCCGAGATGTCCATGGGAGCCCTCCCATGGAAAACATCCGTCGATGGCCTCCTTCCGCTCATGGCCAGGCCACGCCTTTTTGATGGAGATTTTGCCATTTGCTGCCATTTCCACTCTTTCTGGCCAGGGAGCTCTTCCGGCAGTTTCAGGTATGACGGATGCTAACCTCTGTACTGAGGGACTTCTTACCTACGTGAAAATCACACCCTTCCCATAATACATCAGCAGCAGCAGTTAAAAAGCTGTATGTCGTCAATCAAAGGATGGAAAGATCTCCCAGAATTGTCTTGCCAGGATTTTCGTCACTATACGGGAACAACGAGGCTTACCTCGACTACAGAAGCATGCTGCAACGATAGCGTCAGCAAGAGGAGAGAAAACTCAGACAATCGCACGATGACACGTCCTCCACAAGGCAAATAGAGGAATCGACACTGTGCCAACCCTCCACGCTCCTTTGTCGGCACTCCTAAGGTGTTGTGGTCTAATACCGGTGGACGAAAACCACTGGATATGGCTGGATCCAATATGATGCTTGGTTCGGAAGCTGTTTCGGAAGTCATCCGTATATAAGGTCTATAAGATCTATAAAGCCTTACAATTTTCAAAGTCGCAGGAGAGCGTCTACCCCCCTGGCTTTGCTTCTTAGAGAGGCAGGACTGTACTCAGACTGAGTCTTTCCGCAGTGTCTCTTTGGCATACTGTTGTCTCTGGCATTGTTTGCTGCAGGAGCAAACAATATTGCAAGCACATCGGCGTCTAGATGCGTGTATTCAGCCACAGGTTGATGATTGTTCTCCCGCGGCCTTGTTCTGCCAGCTGCTCTCGGCTCCCTAGTATCATAGCAATGAATTGTTGACAATCTCGCCGGCCCTGGACATTGAGACAAAGACCGAACAACAGCGAACGCAGCGCCGGTGGACTCACTGCTACTACTAGTAGGCAAGACTAACAAGTAGCAGCCAGTCAGATACAGCAGATTGAATGTTGTTTAATGCACGCGCCGGCGGAGACTGTTTGGAGACTGATTTCCGGTTGGTCCAAGCATTGAATTTGCCGTCAGACTGTCATATAAACCATCTTCCACCCCTCTGAAGGCGGTGTGGAACCACCCGGAGATGCTGTCAGACAAAAAACAATTCTCCCACGCCGGCCGCTGAGATACCAACATTGAACCCCCTGCTTGTGCTTGTGCTGCTGCTACAACTCGCTGTCAACTGTGACAGGCCTCTGCACCAGGTGAACTGGAATGAACCAACTATCCTTCCGCCGCCTCCACCCTCCACCCTCCTTCTCGACCAATCCTTTTGAATTCATTCCAGAGCGCCTCTCCCGAACGTTCAGCACTTACCCAGTCAGTAGTCATCACTTCCGTGTGTACAACCTCGCCAAACCACGTCGCTAGTGCCAACACATTGGACGCGTAGCCAGCAGTATACTGAGACAAACCAGCTCACCAACTACAGTAATCGAGCTCCTTCTCGCAGCGGGAGGCCATCGTGGTCAACTGAGAGTCGTGGAATGGCAGGGGTGGTTTGCTGAAGCAAAGTCACCTCTCACTTCAGCCTCACCTGGCGGGGACATTGGCCGCGGACGATGGGTCTTGCGCCTCGAGCCAAGAAGCGCGTCTGGTTCAGCCGCCCAATATGCTGAATTTCGGCTACAACTTGAACACTTCGCGTTCGGAAAGGAGATTTGTCAGGCATTTTGTGGGAGACGTCACTTTTGCCCGCGAGCAGGTTAGAACTCGTCAGAAGTTGTTTTTGCAGAGGAATTTGGAGCAGGTCTTGAATTACCATCAAAACCGCCGTGAGGCGAGGAAGGGCTCGACATCAGTGTTGCGCGATTTTGACGGAGCTGTTAGAGGGGCGGCGGCGAGCGCGGCTGGGGCCGTTGCGGCGGGACTTTCTTCGGCGGACGGCTCTGCAACTTCAGGAGTTCCTTTTGCATCTTGGCCCGTCCCTCGCTCAACACGGCCAGATATGGAGTCTAATCCGCGATCTTCCATGTCGCGTCCGGAGAAGAGTGAGAGGAGCACGCGCCGAAGCATACGGGGACTTCTCGAAAAAGTCTACGAACGCCCCGAGGCCGAACTGGTCTTGGACCTTGACAGTATAAGAAAAAAACTTAACTTCAAGACCAACTATCCGGACGACAATGAAAGACCGGCAAAACGCCAGAAACGAGATACCGTCAAATGTCAATGTCATCTTACCATTTGGGACAACCGTGGCGGCCATGAGGCCGTGTTGATCACCAAGTCAACCTACTGTCGCGTAACCGCGACGGAGACCGAGTCGAGGGGATATTTCGTCGACACAGAGTTGGACAAGCCCTTTGTCATCAAGGCGGACGACCTCAAAGTGTCGGTTCCCACCAAAGATGGATCAATTCTGGGTTTCACCGACAAGTATTTTCTGGAAATCAAAATCATTCCTTGTAGGAATGGAAGCCGGTGGCCACCCATTCCGCTGCTGGGCAAAAGTGATGGGGATCACTTTGCCCGCGACGCCCGCAAAACAGGAATCGAGGACTTGCAAGGCGCAGTGGTGGCGAGATACACGCATCTGCCCCAGGCTCCTGACCCCGACGTTCCCCTGAGTGTGTTTTTTCTGCACGAAGGAAGGACGTATAGAACAAAATATGGGTTGCAAGTGTTGTCTGCCTGGCAAAAGTCAACCTCGCCCGTCAAATCCATGAAAGCCAGGAGTACCGGCCTTGATATCGACTCGTTTCGACCGCCCAAACCAAGCGTTGCCGAGCTGCCACCGTCGACAAAGAAAGACCCAGTAGCGACGGCTGTGGTTGAGACAGCCCAACAGCCGGAAGTATGCTACAACTTTTCTCCCGCTCTCTCGACTCAAATGGCCCAAGACTTTCGAATTGCAACTGTCAAGGGCTATCGCTGTCCTCTATGCACGATATGGAAGACATCCAAGCTACAAAATCTACAGTTTCATTTGTCGACCATGCATTCCAAATACCATTTCTCGGTGCAAAAGCCACGAAGAGACCCAACGACCAACGATTTGACTCATATTCAAGTCAGAGTCGACCTAGCCACGACCATCAAGAAGCAGGAAGAAGACACCAAAGCTTTTGAATGGCAGGTGCCGGACAACCCCTTCGACCTGACGGCTTACGTGGAAGGAGACCACAGCTGGGTAGGCGAGGAGACCTACAAAAAGAGTTCGCTGGCCGAACCTCCCGGCCCTGTGTCTGCTAGCATCAAAAAACCCACTTCGGGATCCCTCCCAGCGGAGGCTGTACCCGACTTCCGGCAGCCACAGCGCAAGAAGTATCGGGCAATCAGGCTGGAGTCCAAATATGAAGTGGAGGAGCCAGTCTACACGTCCGTCAGCCATCGGCCGGTGTCTCCGAGCGAAGAACCGCGCAGCGAGACCGACGACGAAATCGACAATGACTGGCAGATCGAACTACACATGGAGCGACTGGACTTGGCCGCCAAACGCGAGGGCTGGAGTGATTATGAATGCGAACTTCGCAAACGATGGGATACGCATCGCATGGAAGAACATCTGGAACATCCGCAGTATCTGTCCAACAGTCTGATCCGGTTTGTGCGCAAACATCGCAACTGGCTGAAAAGCGCGGATGACGACCTGCTCATGGTGTTTTTCGAGTTTTTAGAGAGTCTCAAGGACCGAGGCGTCGTCGACGACAACAATGTCTCGGATGTGAACGAGCTGATCTTTCAAGATGAGGATGTGTCAGAAGACACTCCGACGACGAAGCCGAAGCCGAAGCCGTCGACTCTGAAAACCAGCCCTTCAGGGACCGAAGCATTTTCGATGACGACCCGAGGACGCCATCGTCGTGAAACAGATCCACAGACTTCGAGGAACTTGAACTCAACAATCCCACTTGAACCCTCCTCTCTACACGATGGCATTGGCACGCCTACCTCTACTCCGAAGGAGACAAAGCAGACACAGACACAGACACAGACCCAAACCCCAGCTACCAAACACACAGGCTTTAACTGCGGCCACTGCGCAAAACCGATCAACCGCGTGATGCACAATGCCATCCTGTGTGCCGACCCGGCATGTGAGACCCCCAGAGTCATGTATCATCGAAGATGCGCCCGGCTGCAGCTCGGCTACGATGCCTCCCGCACCCACACACTGGAGCAGACGACGAAAGACAAGGTGCTTGTCCCTTCGGCTGCCAATGCAAATACTGCCAAACCCGGCGGCCGCACGAGCATCGGTACCACCACTGCCAACGGCGCAGGCAAGCAGAAGAACCACCTCGATCTTCCAGTCATAAACTGGAGCTGTCCAACCTGTGTGCAGAGGCAGAAGGCTAAAGCCAAGGTCCCTCCTGCTCTCATCTCAACCGTGACTCCGACACTCACGACAATCATACCTACGAACGTGAAGACGCCCAGCGGTCTCAGGACTTTTACCACATGAAATGAGATTCAAGCTTTCGGCTGGAATGGAGACAAACTGGCTGGATAGGTGACATTCTACAGAGGAAGGAGACTAGGATCCTGCCCGATGAACTAGAGTCTAGGTGCCTGACTCCTGGTTCCTGAATTGCTAGAGAAGAGGCCACTTATCACTTATCAATCCTGTTTTCTCTTCCGATCTGTCTTTCTTTGGGGGCTCAATCAAGCTTCTCTTGACCTGAGGGTCGCATGATTTCGAAATTCCATGAGAGATTCAAGTTCAGTCTGTACCCTACCTTGTACAATAGAGTGTACCACGGTACTGCTGAATATTATTCAATAGCTCAGTTTCCTTCTCCTTCTCTCTTTTCCTCTCTAAAAAGTAAACCCAGCCCTTCCAGTATCCTGCTATCCGTTATTCTCCCCCGTTTTCTATACTACCGGACATTTTGAGTCCTCATTCCTCGCCAATACCGACAAGACCCCTTAGGACTTGGATTGCCAAATAAGCCTGTTCACAACACCCTTTTTTAGTTCCATCCTTTCTTTTCTTTTCTTTTTTTCTCTTCCACGGTATCAGTTTCTTGATTTCTATCGTTTTCCTTCTTACCTAACTCTGATATGGGCTTCAGGCTTCGGGAATCGGAAGCGACACGCTGAGCACGTCCCTGTCCGCCTCGCAAGGCCTTTGGGGTCTAGTCTCGTGTTGCAGTATGGTATGAGTCTTGAGATACCTCCGTCGGTTACAGAAACGAAGCGATGAGGAAATGAGACGGCGAAGAGGTGGGCGGCACCCTAACATGGATGGTGTGTATCATACATACTTACTATGGTCTGTCTCTATTTATTGCGTACTAGTATATCACCTGATATGCAGACAGACAGACAGGCCACTGAAGGTTCATGATCTTATGAGAAAGATATATATGAGAGTCAGAGAGACAAATACATCTGGATTTGGAACATGTTGGAAGTATAGCACGTACGTACTTGGAATCAAGGTGCCTGCTCACCTAGATACCTAGATAGATCATAGGTCAGTATGTGATCTCGGAGTCTCTACTAGACTTATTACTGATAGTCCAGACCTCAAGGAAGGACGATGTACCCACCTACCTGTACCTTGACAAGGTCCCATGCTTGCGTACCACGCATCGGTTGGGTAGACACAGCATGGATGGCTGTTGGACTCGTGTCTTCCCCTTCTCCTTCCAGCCAGCCAGGGGGGAACTGCTGACTGCTGAGATGTAATCTACTTTCTGCTGCACACACACACACACACACACAGAAAGAGAGAGTAGGATACCGAACAGAGCCGAATCAGCCAATCAGATGTATAGACAGTACCACTCACTCCAAGGGAGTCGGGACCAAGGGTGAGGTATATAGTACCCTACCTATGGTCGAATTTAGATAGAGCCGTTGACACCAACAAACAAGCGTGATGAGAGAAGATCGTCTCTGTCTCTTTCGATCCTCTGCGAAACTGAAGGCGGCCGCCTTTTCCATCTTTCAAGTCTTGCGTAAGGTAGGTTATGATTCGATCTCCATGCTTACCTGTTCCCCATGGAAGAAAGTACTCCCCCACGCAGCAGCAGGTGGCTTTGGACAGCTATTCACTGCAGCTTGACAACTCCATTCAACTTCCCCCCACGAGGCAGGTCCAAGGGGAGGAAGGCTTCGTCCTTGTTTTTCATCTTGGTGTGGTCTCCTGCTGATCTCGCTATCCAGGTGTCACAGCAGTTATAACAAAGCCAGAGAAAAGAAAGGACATCTCCGGAACGTGAAACCCATGCACTCTCAGCTCGCGGAGGGAGATACGCGACAGGCTCTTTGGGGGCCAGGAAAAAGTCGCAGGAACCGCGCATGAGGTGTGAAAGCACAGGCGGAGGGAGATGCTCAATAGTACCAAATAAAGCAGAAATATATTTCATGCCTCAGTACAAACGCCACAGTCCATCTTAGGTACTCACCGGTACGGGCGAGCAGCCTTATAGCCACCGTAGTATTAGTAGGGGCTGTGCAAGCCTTCGAAGCTTCACTTTCGTTGCATGTGGCGTCAAATGCATTGCCGCATGAGTATGACTGTATGAGCAGTAACGGCGATGGAGACATTGAAGATATTTCAGCAGGGGTGCGGTTTATCGAGTCTGAGCTTGTAGCGCAGCTGGACCAGACAGAAACCGGTCGTGGGATTCTTGTACGCTGATCCTGGCTCCGCAGCATCTTTTGCCTCTTCTTCCACCCATTGCATGACTTGTAAGCTTGTGCACCGCGCGGAACGGAAGGACAACGAGTTCTGCGAGGTTCTGCAGGACTGAGGTGAGTATCGAGAGGAGGAGAAGCACAAGCTCAGCAGCAGTGGAACATATTGAGGAAGACTGGTGGATTCGGGAATGGGAGCAATTTTGATTTTTCCGCAGCTGCTCTGCAATTCAACTCTTGCGGTTCGGTTGAGCGGCCGCTGTAACATTGCCTTGAGCAGGACTACCGGTGTCTGATATCAACTATCATGCTTTTCTTCAAGGATGGTCCACGTCCACGGTGATGATCCGATGTTATTTCGCCTGTAACGCGAGACCCGAGGTGGCTACGACCTTTGCATTCCCTCTGCAAAAGACGCTTGCGGAGACTGATCCTGGCTTAGTTTCGGTGGATATGATGCAGAGTAATGTGGGTTGTGGTGCCTCTGTGGCAGTTGTCTCCCTCCGACCGTATCGCCGTTCTGCGAACTTTGTATCCAGACTCGAAATGCAAGTGAACGAGTTGAATGGGACCACTCCCAATCCTGACGCCGCCTTTTGTGAAGCCGTCCAAAGCCATGAAACGTTGGTATCTCAACCCTTCATCTCTTCATCGTCATCTTCCGCCTCGAAATCGTCGTCGTCGTCATCTTCATCATCGTCCAATTCGTCGCCTGCATCCTTTGACTTTTGCTCGGCTTCCGCCCAGTCGATCTGCTTGCGACGAGTGCGGCCCTGGACGATGTTGCTCAGATCGATCTCTTCCATATCTTCATCTTCTTCTGTTCCCAAGTTAGAAAGCTAACACTTTGAAAGGCCGAATGGATGTGATGTTATAAGACGGCGCGATAATTGGGAGAAGGTGGCGGTGTATAAAAGTATGGTGTGACTGGGTAGAAAAGAATGTACCTTCTGCTTCAACTTCGGGTTGCTGTCACGGCCAAATATCAGTTTCGATACAAAAACGCGCGGTCGCAGTCCTATCAAACCTCTTCAGCCGCGCTCTCTTCCTCAGAGTCGTCTTCCTCTTCCAGCACGTCCGGTTGCTCGACGGCCTTGCCTTTACCCTTGCCCTTGTCGGTCACTTCATTTGTGCCTTCAGGCACTGTCTGGCCGTTTGCCGCCATTGTTGGACTGGAGGTATGTTTGGCTATGAGGTGTTCTAGTCGTCTGAGAGGATGAGGTCGGGGGTACACAAGTAGTAGGGCAACAGAATGGGGGTCGAGAGCGAGAGCGGGCCAAATTTACAGATTCACGCAACAACTTGACGGCGCAGTTCCAGAACAAGTTCGCGCTTAGAAGTCGCGCCAAGCCAGGGGTTAGTGAGCTAACCTGTAACGGTAAGCGTCAGTCACGTGCTAATGCCGACTTCGGAAGCGATATCCGTCAATCATTTGCCAGTGTTTGATGCCCTCAGTAAGGGTATATTATTAGTATGGGACGTCGAGATGAGCAAACGCAAGCTGTATGGATGTCCCGATAGCTGCAAACGTACTGGGCGTGATAGGGGCAATATGTTGGTCTGTTCAGGTATGCCACTTCGACCGAACTGTAAGGTCTGAGTAAAACTCACCATAGTTTTGTACCAGCTGATTCCGCAAATCATCATCAACTATCGTCGACATGACACGACGGGCCTGCAACCTACCATGATGTTGCTCTGGGCCTGCGCAGGTGTCCCGTTGGGAGTGTACAACATTGTGGAAGACTTCAACATCGCGTTGCGCATTCAACCCCAGATCCTGACCTTCCTGAGCTTAGTCACCTGGATTCAATGCAAGTACTATGGGAACAAATGGCCGTGGACCAAGTCTGCCACCCTGGTGACTCCAATTGCCGCTGTCATGGGCGGCATTGAGGTCGGATTGGTGTTTGCATTGAGGGCAGCAAGACGAAACCATGTCGACTGGCCCATCACCTTCATGGCGGTGTTGTCGGCCTGTTTCCTATGTGCAGGCGTCCTGAGGCATTATTGGGACATATACAAAGAGAGAACTGTCCGAGGCATCTCGTTCATCTTTGTTGGAATTGATGCACTGGGAGATCTGACCTCATTGATTTCTGTTTTCTTTCAACCCGATCTCGATATACTAGGAATGGTTATCTATGGGTCGGAACTTGTCTTGTGGCTAGGGGTATTTGCGTGTGGGGGATATTGTAAGACACGATACCAGTCTCCTGATAGTTGTGCGTGGTATTTTGCTGATCCTCTATTTCTCCAGTCAATTTTCGACCTTGGTTGCGACGGCGGATGGAAAGACGCGGAAGCGGAAATGCGCGACATGAGAGAAACGCAGGAGATGGTGGCCGTCATGATCCGGAAGAGTCTCAGCGAACCTCGTCCATACGGTCAACGCAGTCTTCGAGCAGCACAGTATTCCGGACTGCGGCTGCAGTAAATGGTGGAGGAAGCGAGCCGGGTTCTCAGGGATCAGTGAGGCTGCGGACGGTTGCATCTACCCCGGATGCTTGAGGCTTCTACAGGGTATAGCATCAGAGTCAGGAACAATAATAGTAGCGAGTGGTAGCATTTGGATAGTTCCAGGGTTTCCATGGTTGTGCCCGAAGAACCTCAGTAGCCCGTGGTTGCCGGGAGAATCAGATTTTGCCCCGCACCAACAGTTCAGCCTCGTCAGAAAGAAACCAGCCGAAAATAGAAGAGTGGAATGACGTAGTATGACATTATTGGTGCCTGTGGGAGGGAAGCCTTCCAGTTGGGGGTGACAAGCGAGGGGTGCAAACTGGCACTGCAGTTAGTGATTGAACGCAACTCCATGCGCTTCTCTCACCACCAACTCAACATCTGCATCAGCGCATAAAGGGCAGAATCAGGCGGATAGTTCGTGCACCTTCATCTCAGATCCTTCCAGCCAGTCGTAGGCCAGTGAAGCTGCCAGTGAATACTGGTCCATGCCGTGTGGAGATTAAGTTTCTTCTGGCTGAGCACTGAACGTTCCATCGACTTCCGCAGCCTTCTCTACACCTGCGCTCCGCCAAGCCTCCCATACAAACTCCCTCACCTGCGATACTTCTTAAAGCTCGACCACTGCTCACATACCTTTCCACTTCTCCCAGACATCAGAATCAAATCACACACAATAATACACTTGAAACAAAAGTCTATTCGGACTTTTCAACCTCAATTCCCTTTCCTTCACGACATTAATCCTCATATCCTCATATTCCTTTAGTCACAATGGCTCCAGCGATCGGTATCGATCTAGGTACGACCTACTCATGCGTGGGCATCTACAGAGATGACCGCATTGAGATCATTGCCAATGACCAGGGCAACCGAACGACTCCTTCCTTCGTCGCCTTCACAGACACCGAGCGTCTGATCGGTGATGCTGCGAAGAACCAAGTCGCCATGAACCCCCACAACACCGTCTTCGACGCGAAGCGATTGATCGGCCGGAAATTCAGTGATGCTGAAGTTCAGTCTGATATCAAGCACTTCCCCTTCACGGTCATCGACAAAGGCGGCAAGCCAGTCATCGAGGTCGAGTTCAAGGGCGAGAAGAAACAATTCACACCAGAAGAGATCTCATCCATGGTCCTGACCAAGATGAGAGAGACGGCTGAATCATACCTTGGTGGCACCGTCAACAGCGCAGTCATCACAGTTCCCGCATACTTCAACGACTCTCAACGTCAAGCCACCAAAGATGCCGGTTTGATTGCAGGTCTCAACGTTCTGCGTATCATCAATGAGCCTACGGCTGCCGCCATCGCCTACGGTCTTGACAAGAAGGCTGAGGGTGAGCGGAATGTTCTGATCTTCGATCTGGGCGGTGGTACATTTGATGTGTCCCTCCTTACTATCGAAGAAGGAATCTTTGAAGTCAAGGCGACCGCCGGTGACACTCACTTGGGTGGTGAGGACTTCGACAACCGTCTTGTCAACCACTTCGTCCAGGAGTTCAAACGTAAGCACAAGCGCGACCTCAGCAGCAACCCTCGGGCTCTTAGACGTCTCCGAACCGCTTGTGAACGTGCGAAGCGCACTCTCTCATCGTCCGCTCAAACCTCGATTGAAATCGACTCATTGTACGAGGGCATTGACTTCTACACCTCCATCACCCGTGCTCGATTCGAAGAGCTTTGCCAAGACCTCTTCCGCTCCACCATGGAGCCCGTTGAGCGTGTTCTCCGCGACGCTAAGATCGACAAATCCTCGGTCCACGAGATCGTCTTGGTTGGTGGTTCCACCCGTATCCCAAGAATCCAGAAGCTGGTCTCCGACTTCTTCAACGGCAAGGAGCCCAACAAGTCGATCAACCCCGATGAGGCTGTCGCCTACGGTGCTGCAGTCCAAGCCGCCATCCTTTCCGGTGACACTTCGTCCAAGTCGACCAACGACATCTTGCTCTTGGATGTTGCGCCATTGTCCCTCGGTATCGAGACCGCTGGTGGTGTCATGACTCCTCTGATCAAGCGCAACACCACCATCCCCACCAAGAAGTCCGAGACCTTCTCCACCTTCTCCGATAACCAGCCCGGTGTGCTTATCCAAGTCTACGAGGGTGAGCGTGCTCGTACCAAGGACAACAACTTGCTCGGCAAGTTCGAGCTGACTGGCATCCCACCTGCACCACGTGGTGTTCCTCAGATCGAGGTCACCTTCGATGTTGATGCCAACGGTATCATGAACGTCTCGGCCGTCGAGAAGGGTACCGGCAAGTCCAACAAGATTGTCATCACCAACGACAAGGGCCGTCTGTCCAAGGAAGAGATCGAGCGCATGTTGTCCGATGCCGAGAAGTACAAGGCTGAAGACGAGGCCGAGGCTGCTCGTATCTCTGCCAAGAACGGTCTCGAATCGTACGCCTACTCTCTGAAGAACACCCTGTCTGACTCCAAGGTCGATGAGAAGCTTGATGCCTCCGACAAGGAGAAGCTGAAGTCGGAGATTGACAAGACCATCTCTTGGCTTGACGAGAACCAGACTGCCACGAAGGAAGAATACGAGTCCCAGCAGAAGGAGCTTGAGGGTGTTGCCAACCCAATCATGATGAAATTCTACGGTGCTGGTGGTGCACCAGGTGGCATGCCCGGAGCCGCTCCAGGTGGATTCCCAGGCGCCGGTGGTCCAGGTGGCGCAGCCGGTGGTGATGATGGCCCAACCGTCGAGGAGGTTGACTAAATGTCTTCGTCCACACACCAAAACAAAAGCAGTTGAGCGATTGTTTTCCCGTGTTCCATCACTCAAACCGGCGTTGGCGTTTACCATGGGATGGATGCTAGTACCTTGCATGGCATAGATTCTTCGGCATGATTTTCGATTGCTTGATCATGGCTTTTCGAATGACGACTCATGTTCTCGGCTGAAGACCAGAGAACTGAACATCAATGAGCTTAGAATAGCTTTTCAATGAAATGAAATTCAAATAATCCTACTGTTTCTCTGTGATCGTTTCTTGTAGTACTGATTGGATCATGGTATTGAACATTAAGTGTAATGATTATACAGCAAAAGTTCAATAGCTGGGATAAGTGATTGTCCAGTTGTCGATGTATAGCAATGAGGTTGTGCTAATGTGTGTTTCATACCTTTCGTGTACTGTTGATATACTATCGCTTCATTTACTCATTGCGAAGCGTTCTGATCTCCCAGTCCCGGTCTCCACATCGTTGGAAGATATCTACATGTAATTGTTGACACGGCCACAAGGCTCCACCAGTCATTGAAAAGCCCCGGTGTCAATGTACTTCTTCCTCTATATAACATGAGGTGTAGCATCAATATCAATCCCTGCCTGCTTTCAAGCCAGTGATCCATAGTGGTGTCATTGACTGACGGATGTTTCCAATGGGAAACGGGTTGTCCCACATAGTAGAATAGCCAGCAGGAGACAATGAAATGGAAGACATGGACCATCAGGGACAGTATCGCTGTCAATCTTTGTACTTTCCAGTCGCAGCTGTTCCGTGTATTAGCATGGGTATCATGTGACAATCATACCTGCGCAGCCCCGTGAAAATACCCTTGATATATTTAATTCACGAAATTTGTCTCCAACGTTGACCAGCCTCGGCCGCTAACTAACTACAAGTCGACACTACCACCGGGGTAGGGTGGTTAGTATATGCCCTGCACAACTGGTGTCCATGCCTCATCAGAGAGCGGTTGGACTCGAAAACTGGCGTTCGGAAGAACCTCAGCCATAGACCATGGAGGGTAACAGCTCTGTGTAGGATGAGGTTTCGCTCCCTTGGACCTTAGTAGCCTGATCAACTACTAGGCTTCAAGGATAAGTTTTTGGTGGTTTGGGGGAGTGTGAGTTTTTGGTTTTTGTTCCGCGATTGCCTTTGTGTGTGTGCGTGGAAGGCGGCCTCCCGAAGTCCAAGTCGTGAGAGGAGGATGGATGGACCTTGGCATCTGAGCTTCACTCAGTGTAGGATCGTAGCGGGTATCATGTATGCTGAGCAGGATAGATCCTGGTATGGCACAAATATGTGCTACACCGGGCAAGGTTTCTTTTCTGGGTCGTGGGCTGAACTCACATGATAATGCCTCTCGACGAAGGGAGTGACACGGCCAGGGCCAGCGCTCCAGTGTATACCAGGCATCGTCATGCTGGAGACATGGCAATATCAAGTGCTTTCTCTTGGGTTGTGTGTTCCTGAGGATTTCAGGCTTATGGCTGGGTGTGCTCTAGCAAATCTGCCTCTTTGGCCTGAGCCTGTAGGCATGCCATGTCGACAAGAAACTCTCGCTCTTGACGGTGGAGCAACTCCCGACAAGCAAAGAAAGACCCCAAGGACGGCCTGGTCCAAGAGAAAACATTCAGGGTGGCTCTCATATCTCTTCAAAGTTCAAGGTGGGTGACCTTGTACAACCCAGCTCAGTGCGTCGGCCAGGACTCGTCTCTACCGGAAGCTTGACAGACTTACCAATCCACAACGACACAACGACATCTCCGAAGTTTAAAAGACCATCTTCTCGGCGTGCCCCAGGTCCCATATACCCAAAAGTACTGGTGGGTCATGCTTCTGAAGGGGAACACGGAAAACTGATGGGGTTGCTGAGAGCAAGATACATCGATTTCTTGACCATAATCAAAGGAGAAAGCAAGAACAGACAGTCATTATTGGGAGCGGGTCAGTATCTATACTGCCGATTCTTCCATTGGCCTGGGCAAGTATAACGATGACAACAAGAGCTGGTCCATATCAACCGACCACGGACCTATCTGCCCCTCCCAATCCCAATCCCACTGCCCCTCAACCCCTCCATGCTTCCCGGTCTCTGCCAACACAATGCCAGAAATAGTACCTATGGTACGATCGATGAGGTATTTAAGGTGGGATGTCCTCTGAACAAGATGATCCAGCTTCTCTCGACTTTCCCCTCAACAAACATACCTATCAATCGACTTTTATCGTTTCGCTAGCCTCTACAACAACTCTTCACCAAACAAATCACACGTAGTCCTTCCCCAGCTCACTTGCGGTATCCCCATGCTAACATGTCCAGGTTTGACCGAAAAACCACCCAGTAAAGCTCACTCAAAGGATGGAGGACATCATGTCATCCCGTCGCTTGGTTGAGAGATATCATGGTCAAGGTACTTTTCGACACTGAAGAGTGTCTGTGCATGAACCGGTGTTCGCAAGATCCTGCCAGAGAGCAGCCATCCAACCAGTTTGTTTATCAAATGGAGATGGCTCTCCTGGATTGTGGAATGCGTTCTGAGATGATACGGTTGAACTTGACTCTGGATAATACCAGCGGAAGGATCATGCTCTTCTCCCTCTTCCCCAGGTTCGCACTGAACCCATGTCCCTAACACAATGTAGGACTTGCACCATGTCGCCACCAATCGCTACCTACAACGACTTCCAAGGCGGCTTCACTGCCGTCAAAGACGTGAAGGGAGTTCCTGAGACCAAGAAAGTCACTCTCAATGCCAACGGCAATGACATCAACACCAAACTTCTCGACGACTTTGGCGGCAAATGGGATGCCTTCAAATTCGCACCCATCCGCGAGTCCCAGGTCTCGCGAGCCATGACTCGTCGCTACTTCGCCGACCTCGACCGTTATGCCGAGTCGGACGTTGTCATCGTCGGTGCAGGCTCTTGTGGACTGTCCACCGCCTACACTCTGGCCAAGGCCCGTCCGGACCTCAAGATCGCCATCATCGAGGCATCTGTCTCCCCCGGTGGCGGTTGCTGGTTGGGCGGCCAGCTCTTCTCGGCCATGGTCCTGCGTAAGCCGGCCGACGAGTTTTTGGATGATATTGGCGTCCCTTATGAAGATGAGGGCAACTTTGTTGTTGTCAAGCACGCGGCATTGTTCATGAGTACCCTGATGAGCAAGGTTCTGGCCATGCCCAACGTCAAGCTCTTCAACGCCACTTGCGTCGAGGATCTGGTCACTCGTCCCTCCGCCGATGGAGGCGTCCGAGTGGTTGGCGTGGTCACCAACTGGACTCTGGTCACTTTGCACCATGACGACCATAGCTGCATGGACCCAAAGTGAGTTGGAAGTTGTCTGTAGACCCTTGCAACCGCTAATATGCTTTCTTCCCAGCACTATCAATGCCCCGCTTGTCATCAGCACCACCGGCCACGATGGTCCCTTCGGAGCCTTCTGCGCCAAGCGTCTTGTCAGCATGAACGTCATTGAGAAATTGGGTGGTATGCGTGCTCTCGACATGAACCGTGCAGAGGATGCCATTGTCAAGGGCACTCGCGAGGTCTCTCCAGGCTTGATCATGGGAGGCATGGAACTCAGTGAGCTTGATGGAGCCAACCGCATGGGCCCGACCTTTGGAGCCATGGTCTTGAGTGGCGTCAAGGCTGCTGAGGAGGCCCTCAAGGTCTTTGAGACCAGAAAGGCCGAATGCGCCGAGTGAATGGAATTGGGATTGCACTCCTGCTACGGCAGTATCAAACTGGGTTTGAGACCAGCAGCCACTCTTTTGAAAGTGCCATATCATAACATATCACATAGGCAGTTAGCCGTATAACAAGGCTCTACAACTGCATCCACCGATGTCCATCTTTTTCGTTTTCGTAGGCAGCTGTAGAGGTTCGAGGTTTCTCCTTCACCTGACTTCTGACTTGGTACTTAACAGGTATTCCGCTCAAAGGGTCTGGACATATCTCGTTGGAACTGCCTATTTGGGATGTACGATCGGGTGTCCTGTTTTGTCAGCAAGTGGCACTCCCACAGCAACCAACCAACAGTCAAATCATGATGTGAAGTGACATCCGCGCCCTTTTGATCATGTATGAAATACCCAGCATTGTTGTTTAGACAATTTCACTCATCCATGGCAGCGTTAATAGCATTACGGACAAGACAGTAAGCATCATCATGGCTCGAAAAGCAGGCGACTCGGAGAGGGCGCCGTTGTTATTACCGTCCTCTCCATCATCGACCGCGCCTACAGTGGACGAGGAATCACGACAACGAATTCGCCGGGCCTCCAACCCAGCGGCAGAAGATGAGAAGCTCTCGGCCGTCCGGGGCACGCTGATATGCATATCGGTGTGGATTTTGATCTTCGTCTTGACGTGCAATATCTCTCTGATCACGACGATTCAATCCCCCATCGCCATCGACCTCCGGGCATCGACGGAAGTCAGCTGGTTCACGTCGATCTACCTCATATCCATCACCAGCATCACTCCGATCGCCGGCCGGATATCGGCCATCTTCACGCCGCGAGTCTATCTCCTGGCCTCGATCGTGGTGCAAGCCGTGGGCCTTCTCCTCACGTCTCGGGCCAGATCCCTCGCCACATTCCTCATCGGCCGAGCCGTGACCGGGGTGGGAAGTGGCGCCGTCACGCCGGTGGCCTTGATCCTGGTCAGAGAGCTGACGAGTGAGCGACGAAGAGGGCTGTTCTTCGGGTGCATCAACACGGGATACACCACGGGCGTGGCCTGTGGCGCCATCATCGCCGGCGCTCTCGAACCCCTGGTGGGCTGGCGAGCCGTCTTCGGGCTTCAGATCCCCTTCGCCCTAGCCGCCGGGGTACTGGCATTCTTTACGATCCCTTCACCGCGCGACACCAAGACAGCCGGTGTGACTACAGCAGATTCGTCCACGTTGGCCCAGAAGCTGTCGCAGATCGATTACTTCGGAATCATCACGCTCATCGCGGCCGTGGTGCTTCTCCTGTACAGCCTGTCGTCGCCGCAAGTGCAAATTGTGCCTATCATCTTGTCCTTGGCCTCTCTGGTCCTCTTCATCTTCGTCGAAGCCAAGTGGGCGCGGGAACCGATCGTTCCGACCAGCGTGCTGCGGTCCCGAGGCAACATCCTCACCGGCGTGGCCAGTGTGGGAATCATGACTGCGCGCTGGGGCGTCCTGTTCTACACCCCGACATACGTGCTCACGCTGCGAGGCTGGCCGCAAGCCCGTGCCGGCCTGACGCTGATCCCTACAAACCTGGGATTTGGGCTGGGCGGTCTTCTGGCCGGCTGGCTGCACATCCGCCGGTCCATGTCCTTCTACATCTCGTGTCTCGTGACATTCGGCCTGTTCAGTCTCTCCATGTTCGCCATGTCGTGGATCTCGACGCCCACGTCCAACACGTCCTTGTATGTCGCGGTCTTGTTTTTCAACGGTCTGATCGCCGGCGCCCTGTCCAACTATTCGCTGGCGCATCTGCTGCACCTGACGCATCCCACCACACATATCATCGTCATCCCGCTGAACGCCATGTTCCGCAGCCTCTCGGGCTCGTTTGGCTCCTCTGTTTCGGGAGGCCTGTTTCTTCGCACCCTGAGGCAGACTCTGCATGACGAATTTGCCGCTCGTGGAATCCCGGGCAAGGCGAAGCTGATCAGACAGTTGGTCGGCACGCCCATCCTGGTCCAAAAGCTGACGGGCGTCGACCGAGAGGTCGCTCTGGTCGGGTACGAGACTGCCCTCCGCACCATGTATATGGCAGGCGGCTTTCTCGCTGTTGCTATGTTGCTGGTGCAGGCGGGGACTGGGTGGACCGCACCGGATTCTGACAAGGAAGAAGGAGACGGGGGAAATGTCATTGCTGAGGGGGACCATGTCGTCTCGTCTGTGTTGTCGAGGGAGACTGGAGCGAGCTGAAGAACAGACTTTGCGCTTTGACGGGCGGGCTTGCATGGTAGGTAGATCATAGAGCATTGGTTTGGTTATGCAGCATAGACACAGGAGCACTCACTTGTACATATCTCAGGACAATCAAGTATATTCTCTATATCCTAGTGACGGTCTGGTCTGGTCTGGCATTTCCTGGCATGGCATATCCTGTACATGATCAGGCATGTCGACATGAGTGATGATGAGTTCCGTGTACTCTTTCGAGCATGGCCAACTGACTCGAGATTGTACAAGATGTCCCAAGAAGGACCAGGCGTACGTAAGTCCCCTGATCAGACCATCCATCCATCTTACGTCTGTCGACACGGTTCAGCCCGAGAGCCAAGTTGCTTGTCTCTCCTCTCGGGTAGATGTTCAACAGGTCTGTCTCGATCGCCAAAATCACTCTTGTTGAACTGACAACCCGCGTACTGGAGTCTGGTTGTAGACCTGAGCGAATACACACGGTCCGTGACGGACCGGCCAAGAGAATCAGCAGGATAATTGATATCCGGCCTGGATGTTCATTGTGGGTCCCGACCGAATCGCAATCATATCCGGATATTCAATATCCTGCCCACTAGCGGACAATCTCGACTCTTGACTCTCCACCTGTGCCTGTGTTAACCTGTGTGCCCCGGACACCATTGAAGAAGCATCTTCCCATTAGTCTCAAAGTCAATTGCGCGGGGGGTGAGGGTGGTGATCCGGTGAGGCCTAAGGGCCCAACCCCTAACATGTGCCGATCGTCTGGACACCACTGTTATATCATATAATAAGACGACGTTATGGCAAGGCTTTGGCCCAGAGAGAGAGAGAGATCTTTCTGACGCCAACCTTGAAGTCACCACCACTGCCCACCCTCCTGTGATCCTGCAAAATGTACGACAGTGACGAATATGAGCAACTGTTCAAGCCGATTCGGCGCATCAATCAGGCTTGCTATGCTTGCCGGTGCGTCTATATACCCTAGCCACACTCTCGTGGTGACTGTGACAGTGTTGGTGCTGACGGTGTGAGCGCAGACGAAGAAAGACTCGCTGTTCTGGACATCGTCCACGTTGTCGAAACTGCTGCCGTCTGAATCTAGGTAAGTCACTTGTTCGGTGGGATGCTGGTGATTCCTGTCAGGCTGTAGCTAATGGTCGGTGACTCGGTGTATAGACTGCGAATACGCCTGCAAACCACTCCCTTCATTCGAACAGCCAGGCTTTCAGACTACCAAGCGAGAGGTATGCTATGCTATGCTATACTATGCTATGCTACATGGCGTCGGCTGCCAGTCACATCATCATCAGTAACAGGTCTCGCTAACTCTGTCAAAGGACTCATCCACGACTTTGGAAACCCTCAGAGTCGATATCTCCCAACTACAAGCCCAGGTCCAGAGGTAAGTAGCAGGCTCTAGACGCATCCAAAGCTCTTCTCTTGTTGCTGGCCAATGCTTATGTCTTTTTCTTTGTTTGGCAGAATCGTGGAAAGCCAACAACATATCCTTGCATTGATTTCCATGTCCAATCAATCATATTCCGGATCAACTCTATCGCAGAGCGACGACAACCTCTCTTCAAGCCTGGGCCGATCATGGAATCCCGAAATCGACCGCTCTCCAGCCCTCGAGCGTCCTCAAGACGACACAAGCCTGCTCGCGCAGATCGTGCGTTCTCCCATCATCGAGAAGCTGGTCGACATCTACTTCGAATGCTGCCATAATCAGCCTTACTCATTCTTTCACGAGAGTCGGCTTCGGCAGTGTCTGGCCCGACAAGAGGCCCCGGAACACTTACTCCTCGCCATAGCTGCCACGGCACTGCGTTTCTCCGAGGACTTGATCCCAGGACATGAGAAGCACGAGGTTGCTGCCCAAGCGGCGACTTGTTCCTGGAGAATCATCGGGTCGGAGTATCTGGCCAAGCAGAACACCGACATTCGTGTGGCTCAGACGCTTGCTTTGCTTTCGATATTTGATTACACTGGTGAGTACTAGCATCCCCCGGTCTTTTGATCCATCGTATCGTCGTTTCGGTGACAGTTACACAAGACATTGGAATGGACTCTAACATGTGTATTTTCAACAGCCGGTAAAGCCCGTCAAAGCTCGGCATGGATCAAGATTGGAATCGCCATCCGACTGGCCCAAGACATGAAACTGATGATCCATCCGCCCACCGACCTCTCCTTCGAAGTGCAAGAGGAGCACCGCCGCGTCTTCTGGTCCCTGTTCCTCCTGGACCGACTTGCCTCGTGCGGTCGCGGGCGCCCATGCACCATTCTAGAATCGTCATGTCAGCTACAACTCCCGTGCGACGAAGACTCTTGGAACAACAACGAGTTCAAGTCGACGGCCGCCCTGAACCAATTGCCCGAACGCCATCTCCCTCCGCCGGCGGAACAGGCCCCGTATGCACTCGTCCTGCTGATGGCCAATGTGCTCGGCCGCGCCACTCGCTGCATGTTACAGCTGGCGGGAAACGAGACCGTGCCGCTCTGGGATCACCGGTCTGAACTGGCCGCGACGCAGTCCGATCTGATCTACCTCGAGTCTTCATTCTCGCTGCGTCAACCACTGCATCAAATTGTTCTGCAGCATACCAATACCAACACCAATGTCAATACCAACACAAATATCATTACCACCCCCGACGGCCGCCTTATCGACCAGTCAGCACTCGGACCTGTGGTGTTCTCCCAAACACTATTCCACCTCTGCTACTGCATTCTCTACCATCCGTTCCTGCTCAAGAACAAGCTCCAGGACTGTCGCAGCCAGTACTTGACCAGCTTCCTGTCGCGCAACATGGAGACGTCGTACGAGCATGCGAAGCGGCTGATTCTGCACCTCGAGGCTGCCGAATTGGCTGGCTGCGGCGTGCGCTCCTCTTTCTGTATCTATGCTGCTGTCGTCGCTGGCAGTATTCTCGCCTTGTACATGGCTCCGGAATCTAGGTCGGGGTCGGTGTCAGGGTCCCTGTCTGATGACGAGGTGAGAATCGGATGCGAAGCAACTGCCCTCCAGCAGAAGAACCTCGCGTGTCTAGAAAAGCTGGCTCGGAACTGGAATCATGCACCCACGGCGGTAAGTCAAGTTTTGTATTTGGCAGTATTGATCTTCTTTCTGCCGTTCCAAGTCAAGCTTCGTTCGTTCCAACCCGATCTCCGTTCGTTCGTTTCGTTTCGTTAGTTTATGCAGTAACTAACATCCTCATTCAACACCTACAGCTCATGCTCCTCCGAAGACTAGTGGAAAACTGTCACCGATTCTCCTTCCTGACCCAGATCACTGCAGACCACCCGCCACTGTCTGGAACCGATGAAGAACTGATGTGGCTACTCCTCGACTATAGTACTTGGTCGAGCATGTCGGCAGATGACATCGATGTCTTTGGAGCAACTGACTTGCATTCAAATTCACATTCCCAACCAGCCAGACCCTGGCCTGTTCCTGTTCCGGAGCAGAATCAGAATCAGAATCAGAATCAGAATCAAAATATCTTGTGGGACGATATCTGTAGTCCGTATCCGGGGTTGGGGTTTGATTTTGAGGCCGTCACGGTCGGTGTTGGCGATATGGCTGGGTCTGCTTCCACCTCGTCCATGGGGGGCAGGAATGCACAGTTTGATTGTGGTTTGATGCCGAGTGTTTAGTGTTTGATGCTATTGCCATTGCCATTGCCGTTGCCGTTGCCGTTGCCGTTGCCAATGCTATGTCTGGCATCATGAGAAAATAGTGTAAGGGGATATGAAAAATCAGTTGATGAATCAATAAACGATAGAATGATCTCGAAATTGGTCTTGCCGTCGAGTCTGTTGTCGTCGAGTTTGTTGTTGTCGAGTCTGTTATCGTCGAGTCCAAACATGTCGCTCTAGAGTCTTTGGATTTCGATACAGTAGTTTGATGTCACCATCTCCACGGCCGACTCCTTCCTTACCTTGGACAAGCCCCGTATCTTAACTTACATGACCATTGCAATGGCTAATTGACGCAGTACTGTGTGTTCCACAGGACAAGCTGTACGCTCTATTGTCTTTTGAAGAATACTCGAATAGAACTGCAGAGAGGAACTTGATGGATCAATGATTGTAAGAAGACGACTGCATGTTATGTACCATTTACCGTGAGTAAATTCAGACAATCCAATTGACTAGATACATACGCCTGTCCACACTATCTTGTCCCGCTCGGTTCGTTCAGTGGCATCTTTGTCCTATGGCAAACGATACGTACAATCTTGCCCTTGCCTGAACCATGGGTTGTTTCGTGGTCTGCCTCTCCCTCTCCCTATCTCTCTTCCTCTCTCCCATCTCCATCTCCCTCTTCCTCCAGAGCACCCTCGAATTCCAATCTCAGAAGTCCACCCGACATTCTCTTCTTCTTCTTCATCTTCTTCTTCTGCCCTGGTGCGGATGAGATTTGCTTGAATCTACTCAAGGAAATGAACCTGAGTGCCAGGATGTTTGGCCGAATGCTTCGTGACGCGCAGACTCAGGAGATCAGGGCGAGAATAATGCCCGACAGGATCCAAGTTATGCTTGGCCAGTGCGCGCTTGTTCAGATCGACCTCGGCATATAGAATGCCCTCCTCGCCCGGATCAAGCGGCTTGACCAACTCCGTGCCATCGGGCCCGTAGATCATGGCGAAGCCACCACCCGGGGTGCGGGCGTACGGGTAATTCTCGACCAGACACTTCTTTCTGTTCTTCTCGGTCATGAGCTGTGTCGCCATCATGACGAAGCAGGCGCCTTCCATGGCCAGGACCTGCGAGAAGCGCTGCGAGGCTTCGGGCGTGATGTGCCACTGCCACGGGCTGCCATCTTCCGGCATGTCCCAGATCAGCGGCCAGCAGGCCACGTGGATGTCCGGGTTCTGCCAGTACGTGTAGTAGCGGAGCAGGGGCTGCGAGTGTTCCCAGCAGTTGAGGGCCGAGACTCTGGCGTATGGCGACTGGACGGTCGTGGTCAGGCTCTCGGTCTGGCCGTCGCCCCAGTAGGCGCGCTCGACGTGGGTGGGCTTGATTTTGCGGCGGTGGTGGACAATGGTGCCGGTTGGGTCGATGAAGGACTTTATGAGCGTGAGTTAGTAAGTACGGGAGAAGGAGAGAGAAGGAGGACACAAAAAAGAGAAGAGGGCAACAAAAAGAGAGCGAACAAAAGAAAGAATCAAGAGGGCCAAACATACCTGAGCCATATAGAGACTTCCCTTGTCGCGCTCGCTGTAGCCCAGCACGACGAAAATCCCTGCTTCACGCACCGCCTCTCGGATCCGGTCCATCTCCGGAGACTCCTTAACCAGGGAATTGTGGTAGTACTCGTCCATGTAAAGGGCATTGCCGCTGACTGGCTGCGACCACATCGCCCTGCTGACATCTCAGTGACTAGACAGTACGACTGGGGACAGAGACTTGGGGACTGGGGACTTGGGTCAGGCGGGGACACCGTGGCAACATGGCTCTTGAAGCAGGCTCTGGAGACTGGAAGGGAAGAGGTAAATAAACGTACCATGGATACCCAGGGATAAAGACTTCAGGGAAGCCGAGGATTTCGGTCCCGTTCTTGGCCGCTTCCTGGACGATGCTGACGACCTTGTTGACGCCGCCCTGCAGGTCGTTCCACGCGGGCTCGGCCTGGACGGCGGCGATCTTGACCGTCTTCTTGGGCGTCGACGCTGACATGGTGGGTGGTGGCGGTTGTTGGGGTTTCTGTGGTCGTGTTGGGAGCGAGATCACGGAGAGATCTGAGTTGGAAGATTCGGATTCTTGATAGACCATAGTCTGGAGGATTGAGACTGTGTTTGGTGGTTTCTTGTCGCCATTGCCAGACATCAACGGGTTTATATAGGAATCGAGCACCCTTTCTCGACATATCTGAACGAGGCTGGGTATCTGGGATCCGGATCCGCGCATACAAGGTCAAGGTCAAGGCCAAGGTGATGATCAAGGTGCTCGATAGGATTAGATGGTCCGCCCGGACCGATCTGACGGACCGATCTGGATGGACCGAATATCTGGATGATAGGTATCTGGATGATAGATATCCGGATTGACCTAGATCAGGATATCAATTATCCAGCGGGGGGCCCATATGATAAGGGAGGAGACTATGATGTTTCCTGGGGTAGTCTTCTTCAGGGGATTCTTACATTTATCCTTTCTCTGATTCCTCAATCCAATTCCAGTCCTCGTCCATTGTAACTGCCACTGTTTTTGAGGTAGCCATGCCTCTGCTCTACGCCCAATTGCCGCGTCTGTTTACCATCTCCATCTTTGGCGCTCAATACCATGCCGATTCTTTGCCTTCGGCGTCGAAACAAGATCTGATTGACCGATTCGGGGCTCTCGTTCATGAGTCGGCCGTCTATGTTGACGAGTTGACGCACGACGACAGCGAGCGCGGCGCCGGACTGTCGCGCGTCTGGGTCAGTTACTGGCAATCACCCGAGGACTTTCAGCAATGGTGGAGCTCCCCAGTCGTGTCTGATTTCTGGTCAGGCTTAGCTGACGACGCGGGCTTCTGGCGCGAGACTCTGCACTTCCCGTCGACGAGGTTCATAAACGAAGTGACGCAGGATGTGCCCTCGGGGGTCGGCCACCTGCGGCTGGAGCCTTTGGCGCCGCTCACCGAAAAATCGGGATACTGGGGTGCCTATCGAGATCGCCTCGAAGAAGCCACGGCCGAAGACAGGCTGTCGTCGCCGCTCGAGTCGGTGCCCACCCCCAAATTGCCCGACGGAACGATACGGCGGGGCCGGGTCCAGATGACCTCGTTTCCGGACAACATCTGCTATGTGATCGAAGGGCAGGATCATACCCCTCTCAAGGAGCATGAAGGTAAGGTCTGGTCGGACAAGTTCCATCGCATCACCAAGCGATGGGTGACCAATGTCCTCCGGGCAGGGCCTGAGGGGGGACTCTTGACGAGTCGCATGTGCCACGTCCCGGAAAGTGGAATGATCCGGGTTGAGAAGGCCGAATCCGACGTGCCCGACGATCCAGACGTCTATCCTGCCTTGAACATCAATCGCAAGGTCGAGGTATTCTTCTTCCTCGAGCTCAAGCACATGGAACGTGTGGGCCGGCGGGACAAGACCCATGTGGCGTTGAGGACGGAGTTCATGAAGACATATGGTCCGGGAGGCATCATGTCGCACGGGGACTTGCTGCTCTGGGTGGAGCTGGGGATTCTGAAAGCCCAGGACATGGAAGCCGAGTATATTGGATGCTATGATGGCACCGGCTTCTTGGCTTATGATCATCATCCCTCTTTCAGGTCGACCACCCGTTTCTCGAGCACCGGTGGCGCGTGGTCCAAGGTTGGAAGTTTGTTCGGCTTGAGTTGAATCGGGTGATTGGATTGCCTTTGATGATGGGATTCTGGGTGGTGGGTGAATGGATGTGCCATGATTAGAGAGTCGAAAGGACCATAGAACCCTGCCATAGCTATTGATTGTTTCGCCCAACATCGAACACGGAAGAGATCAGTCACCTCGGATGAGGGAACCCTTAGCCCGAATAGATAGCGTCAATGGCGGCCTGCTGGATTGATCCTATCAATCAATATAAATTGGTCAAGGCGTGAGTGAAACCCAGTCGTCTAGACTGACACGCGATACCCGTCTGGGGTCAGCCTCGAATCTTATATGGAACCCTATATCAAACCCGTCAAGCGTCAGTTGGAGTGGAGATTGCACTTCCGTCAAAGAGGATGGAGACTCCGGTAGTTCTGGTTCTTCGGGTCCACCGACTTTTGACTTCTCTCAGGCTGATCAGGTTGAGTGAGACCCAATGGGCTATCGTTTCATTATCTAACTTTCACTCAGTCAGTTGGTGGATTCAGTGCCTGACAGGCAAGCAACAAACAATGTCAGTTTCGACGATACAGAGAGCGGGCCTCATGGTGATCCACATTCTCACTCCCGAGTACAGAATATATCTTCTTGGGTACGGTGTTGATCACCATGTCGTGATCACAAGCACAAAGACCCTCAATCTTCTCAAGGTTTGATTCCGGTATTGGTTTGGGTTTGGCTTTCGGTTTCCGCAGAACGCTCTGATCATGTCCCTCGCACCCATCGAGCCAGGCCATCATCCGCCGCGACATGTGAGGCAGAGAATCACGCTGGCGTGCAATGGTTGCCGGGCGAAAAGAACAAAGGTAAGGGTGATAAACGAATTCTTCACTTTGCGATCAAAGACCTCTGCAGGGAGGGTTTGTAGCTACCGAGAATGATCACCGTCTGACCTCACGATTCCTCCAGTGTGACGGGCAACAGCCACAATGCAGTGCTTGCCGGTATCGAGGAGAAGCGTGCGAATACAGCCGAGCCGAGAGCAAGAGAAAGTCGGTGCCCTTCCGGTCCTGCTGTGCTGGCCAGGAAACAAGGGAAGATGGACTAACGTGTGACCGCACAGACGACCGAGCAATGCATATATCATGGTTCTTGAAGCCCGGATTGCCAACCTGGAGGAAATGCTATCCCTGGCAGCCGGCAGCCTTGATCCGCACGGTCTGATCAAAGGAGACGAAACCCCCCTGGGCCCTCTCGAGTCTCAGTTCGACTCCCCCCTCAACGGGCCGGCCGACGCAGCAACAGCCTCGGCGATAGACGACCTAGCCGACGCCCTGGGGACCTTCACGCTCGGCGATGCCGGGGAGCTTCGGTTCTTCGGGGCGTCCAGCAATTTCAGCATCATCCAGAACCATTCCCTGCGAGTGGCGTCGTCGGTCGATGCGCGGATCCGGGGTCTGAACGCCGCTCGCCAGATGCCCGATTACTTCGAGCCGTCGGACGAGCTGCGCGACCATCTCCTGGCTCTGTACTGGCGATGGCAGAACTCGTGGCAGTACATCGTCGACCGGGAGTCATTTGTCATGGATCTCTACGTCCACAAATCCGGTCGCTTCTGCACGCCTCTCTTGCTCACCGCGATCCTGGCTTTCGCGTCTCGATACTCGTCCCGGCCCGAACTGAGGACAAATCCCGAGGACGCCAATACCGCGGGAGAGATGTTCGCATTGCAAGCCAGGACAATGCTGCACCATGAATACGAAGCTCCTACCACGTCCACCGTCCAGGCTGCGGGATTGCTTGGTCTGTACTCGGCCTCGGTCGATCGCGAGGGCCTCGGGTTCATGTACATTGGCATGGCGTCGCGCATGGCCATGAATCTGGGCTTGCACTCGGATGCTTCGGCGTATGTGTCCAAAGGGATCATTTCCGAGGAAGATCTGGAAGCTCGCAACATTGCCTTTTGGGGGATATATGTCTTGGACAAGTAGGTCCCCTCCCCCCTCCACCGAGAGAGAGAGAGAGAGAGAGAGAGAGAGAGAGAGAGAGAGAGAGAGAGAGAGTGAGAGAGTGATAGAGTGAGAGAGTGAGAGAGTGAGCGACAGCCATCTGACTTCCTTTTTGTCTCTTCTAGACTGTACTGTCTCGGGATGGGCAGGCCCGCAGGCATTCAAGAGTTCAACATCACCACGGCCAAACCCAAGGCTCAGGACCGTGTCATTGCTTTGCCCGAAGAGCAGCTCAAGTTCTCCCAGCCGTGGCCCACCTCTCACATCGCCGAGAATGCCATGAAGATGTGCGAGATCTTCATCATCACGTCGGAAGTGGTCGACCAGTTGTGAGTCAGCAGCCTTGTTTCCCCTTTCTTCCTTCTGAAAGCCAGATCCTTCAATCTGTTCCAGCTACTGATGAATCCCAGGTACGCCCAGAGGCCGATCTGGACGGAACGCGAACGAGACGACCGAATCACCCAAACCCACCTGCGACTGGTGAAATGGTTTGATGGCCTGCCGAAAAACCTCAAGATCTCCGAGTCCAGCCTTCAACCTGCCCCGCCTTATGTGTATCAAATGCAGTAAGTAAGAGAGACTGATTGCCCTTTCAAGTTGCCGATTGCTCATTACCGATGTCCCATTGCCCATTGCCTACACCTTCTGTTTTTGTATCATCGACACTGAAACCCATCCTGACCGACTTAGTCTCCAGTACCACGTCGCGATCATCCTTCTCCACCGCCCATTCTTCCGAATCCTATATCACAGCCAGACCAACGGCGATTACGACCCAGAGGGCGGCGACGTGCACTCGCAATCGTGCCAGGCGTCAGCGGCCAAGATTGCCAACATCTACCGCATCTTCCGCGAGAATTATACCAACGTCAGTTTTGTTTTGTGAACCCTTTCTTTGGAGACTCAGACAGCGCAGACTGCAGACTTTGACTCAAACTGACTCTGACTCGAACTGCAGCGGTGTGTGCCCATTTCTGCCGTCCACCCGGCCTTCACGGCGGCCATCATCCATCTCCTCGACGTCAAGACTTGTAGTCCCGTCGGCCGGAACAAGGCGCGGCGCCGCCTGGACATCTGCCTCACCAGCCTGCACGAGATGAACATCAATTGGGACTGGGCCAATCGCGCCATCCGCGCCATCCGCTCCTTGGCCGCGCAATGGCAGGTCGACCTCAGTCCGTCGGCGGGCTTCTTGCGCGAGATCAGCGAAGAGAGCCGATTGCAGTTTCAGCGCTACGAGGAATCGTGTCTACCGACCGGCTCCGGGCCAGGTGCCGATGGTCAATCTCAAGCCGCCCCGGTCAGGCCTGTCGATCCCTTTGACGAGTTCTTCGAGGCTTGGACTTACGACCAGATGGATGGAGCGTTCAACTTCTTCGATGACAATTGATCTTTGTTTTTGGTCTGGTCGGTTGGTCGGCGTGTGGTCATTAACAGCGATTTGTTGGGACTTTGATTGCCTTGAATGACTATAGCAGGACTAAGGGAGCAAGGTACTTTTTGATACGGGCACCACAAACCCAACATAGGAGAACCTCTGAACTGTGGCCTGCCCACTCACCATTCTACAGTTTTCGAGCTCCACTGCCAAAATGGTCGTCAACGACCCTCACGCTCTGATACCTCCGCTGCTACCTATTCATCCCTCCCACCATTTCCAGCCCTAGACATCCCGGAACCCCTGCTCTGCTCCCCTGATGATCAATCGTTCCCATCTGACCTCTTTTGACGCAAAGTGTCCTCCTTCAACAACGGTTTGTGGATTGGCTACCTACCAACCGTGGTTACCTCTTCGAGAAATAATCCCTTACTCATCCAGAGTCACTTCGGCCGATTTCTCCACGTTGTTTCGTTCCGGAGCCTGTGCTTGCGGGTCTTTGCCGACAACCCCGTCAAGGATGCGAGAGTCGAGGTCCCGTCTCTCTTCCTCGGTGAGATTGGTCAGACGAACAGCCACTTTGTCCTCAAAGATTCCATTGATCTCTTCGAGAGAAAGACCTTTGGTCTAGAAGGGGAAAACGATGTCAGCCAAATAACGTCTTTAACCATGACAAGGCGGTGCCAAAGCATGTTTGGAAGTCGGGAACCGGGAATAGCCAAAGCAAAGCCACTCGTACTTACCTCGGGACAAAAGTATATGAGGAGACCAACGTTCAGGGCCGGCAGAATGATGAACAGCAGGTAATATTTCCAGCCGATGGTGGCATAGCCAGTGGTGGAGGATTCGAGGAACGGCAGATTCCCCAGGAAGAACACGGCAATGCTCCATCCCATGCCTTTGGCGCGGACGTGTGTCGGGAAGATCTCGGAGCAGTAGACGTAGATGGTGGTATCGACGAACCCGCCGTAACTAGATAGCAATCAGGAAAGTCAGCTTGGCCGTTGAGAGGTTCCTCTTCTGTATCAATCGGAGTGATGCCTGGCAACTTACAAGGTGATGAATCCAAAGAGCATGGCGACCCCGGCGCTGAGAGCCGCTTTGTTGGTCGTCCCACCATATTCGGCCACAATTGCTGCCTCGATGATGACAAACACGATACATCCAACGTATCCGATGACTGGGTTGGGGGATATGGTGTCAGCAAAGTGCAGCTCGGCAAGATCGGCCCAAACTTACCCATACTGCGGACGCGGCCCAGCTTGTCCAGATAAAAAGCATTGGCGAAGTTGCCGACACATGCCAAAGTGATCCAGCCGGCGGAAAGGAGCAGTGAGTCCGCACTGTCGAATCCCAGGCCAGCCACCAAGACGACGATGTTGCCTAAGAAGCGCATGTTAGCTTTTGTGGCCTGTGTTTCTGGAAAGGGGCTTGGAGTTCAACTCACTATAGATGACAATTGCTCCGTTGGCTGGAGACGCCCACATGACCAGAGTGGCGACGAGGGTTCTCTTTCTCAGATGGGGTTTGGTGAAAAGGTGCAATAAGCTGACGTCTCCATACGAGGCCTTGTCCGCCGCACACTGCGAGGTGATTTGGAAGAATTCCTCGCGCGCAAAGAGCTGTTCGGGGTCCTTGGGGTCGTAATGCAGCTTGGCGAGGATCTTCCATGCCTCGTCTGGTCGTCCTTTGCTCACGACTAAACAGTATAGATAGATGTTAGCGCCCTGTGCTGTGATCGTTGGTTCTCAAAAGGGCAGCCACGCTGATGGAGGAACACTCACGCCAGCGAGGAGACTCCGGAAGCCAGTATACGAAGAAGCATAGGAGCAACGGCCAGAGGGCCTGCAACGATAGAGGAAATCGCCAGTTGAATGAGGCGTTGGCGGAATAGAAGCTACCGACGGCGACCCAAGCGGCGACAGTGTATCCCACCAGGAAAAATGCACCTTAACGCATCGATCAGTAAGGCTGGCCTATTCTTGGAGTTGCTTGCGCTCCGCCATCACCTACCATGTTGACCCACCAGAAGTCCTCGAATGGCAGGGGGGGCGACCTCTGCGATGTAGACTGGGACCAGCGCGACTAGCATTGCTGGACAGGAGAGTCAGCACCCAATAGCAGAACGCGTCCAGCATGGGGGAGCATACCGGCGGCGAAGCCAGTGATGAAACGGGCCACGATGAACATGCCGACGTGAACAGAGCCGGCCTGGAGAGCACCGCCAACAATATTGATGACGGCGGCGGAGAGCAGCGACTTTTTCCGACCGTGGGCATCGCTGAACCATCCGACGAACAGGCCGCCAAAGATGGCTCCTGCAGAGAAAAGTCCGAAAATGGTGCCGATGATGCTGTTGCTGTAGGAGTAAAGCGATGCTTGGGTGGGATCGGTCGTCAGCCCCATGTAGGCATACCAAGTGGGCTGGCCCACGGTCGTGGAAATGATGCTGAAATCATAGCCGTAGGAAATACTGCCCAGGCAAAGAGATAGAACTATCTGTTTTATCTCAGTCAGTCTCTGGGTTGAGGGAAGAGCAGCATATGGATCTTACTGCGACGTTGGCCCACGAGAGGCTAAGATGAGCCATTGCTGTAGACAGATGTCTTGATTGACTTCGACGGATGATGATCGCTCTGGGGTTCTTGGTCTTGGTCTTGGTCTTGGTCTTGGTCTTGCATTCCTGGAGAGAGAAAGGAGTAATATACAGCTTGACGGTCCGATCGGTCCGTCATACTGCATTGCATCTCTATGTCAAGATGGCACAGCGATACACATATCATATTGACATATCTGACTCTGAAGGACCGAGGCGGTCCGTGACGCTGGGATCCTATCTGATAGTCCATTTCAACAGGATAGCACCAGGCGTGCGGCACAGCACATACGATCATCCTGATGCTAGATACCCGAGATGTCATGTTCGATAGCGCTCGCTTTATCCGGATACTTGTCATCCTGAAGGGAGGGGAGCCCACTTACCCCAGGATAGTCTTCCATCTGGAGCATTCGATAAGATCGGTCATCTCTGGATAATTGTTATCCTGATACTTCAAGTTGGAAGCCTCAGCCTTCTCGATAGATAACAAACCTTGCGACTGACCGTTCTCAGGGGAGGGAACCGTATAGCGGCGACACCAGTAGTCCATGGTCTAACTACGGTTAGCGTAGTCTCACACCAAGCGGCAAGAGAAATCACCTGTTTGGTCGTTTGGTGTCTGTCCTTCGTTGCTTTCGGGCGCGTTTCTACCCCTGGGTAGGTAGGTAAGGTAGGTAGGTATAGGTATAGGTATGGGCATGTAGTAGAATCACAATTTACTAGCCTTCCAGACCGGTTTCCTCTTCTCCGCAAAAGCAGCCAACCCCTCCCTCGCATTCTCCCCTCCCATCAAACCTTTCCTAAACCTCTCATCGACCAACTGATACCCTCTCTCCACACTCGCCGTCTCCCACGTCACCCGCAGTGCCGCCCTCGTGACGATGATGGCGTCAGGACTGATTTCGGCGACTCTTTTGGCCAGTTCAACGGCCTCGGCGACACACGAGTCCTGCGATTTGGACACGTGGTTGATCAGGTTCAGACGGAGAGCTTCTGACGCGGAAAGCGTGCGGCCTGCCATGCTGATTTCGGAGGCGAGTGGGAGGCCGATGTTGCGCACGAGACGGGGGAGACCGCCGGCGCCGGCGTAGATGCCGCGCAGAGATTCGGGGAGGCCGAATGTGGCTGTGGGAGAGGCGACTGTCATGTCGCTGTTGTATTTGAAGGAGGTGATGTAGTTAGCGTGACCGAAGGCATCGTGAACGAAGGTATTCAATAAGGTATGCCATACGCCATATGCCGTATAAAATAACATGAAGCGTTAAGGAAAGAATCGAGGATTGGAGTAAGGAAATGCCAGTCTTGGGATGGCCATACTCGCGAGTCTCTGCCGATGTTGACCGCAGCGTCTGAAGAAGCACCACTATCACAGGCAGAAATGCTTCTCTCTAGCCAGGATGGCCTGGCGTCAAGGTGTCTCAAAAGCCGCATGGAAAATGAGAACACACCCAGAGAAAAAGCGACTCACCAATTCAAAACAATCTCAAATCCACCACCCAATGCAAACCCATTCACCGCCGCAATGATCGGCTTCTTCCCTACCCTGCGACTAATCCCCCCGAACCCAGAGGAAGGGTGCATGGCCAAATACGGCTTCTCCTCGAGGACCTTGGGATCGCGTTTGCCAAGCTCGATCAAGTCCTGGCCCGCACAGAAGGCTTTCGGGCCCGCACCAGTGATGACGGCGACGCGGAGAGTGGGTTCTCGATCGAACCAGTCAAAAATGCGGTGGAGGTGCCAGTGCACAGGGAAAGGGATGCTGTTCATTTGGCGTGGGCGGTTGATCGTTACGAGAAGAACAAAGGGTGTTGGGTAGGATAGCAGAATTGATGGGTCGGAAGGGGGTGAAGGGAACTCGGTTTTGATAGACGACGACATGTTTGACTTCTGGTGGGCTTGTTGTTTCGCTTGATGGTACTGATGTGGGTGAGTATTACCTGCAGGGGTCACGACGTTTGCAGGACTTTGGAGAGTATTGCAAAACGTAGGCGAGCTCGGGATATTGCCGTTGGGGTTGGATCTTGGTGGTAATGAATTGGTGGTGATAGAGGATGATGGTTGGTTTTGTGGTGTCTCACTTCTGTATCCTGCACCGACGTCGATGGTGAGACAAGAGACCCGAATTTGGGACCACGGTCGAGTTCCTCGTCGTCGTTGTCGCAAGATTGGGGCAGTGATGGGTGATGATCAGGGAGCCGAGGTTGGCGATTGAGATAGACAAGGGTACCGGGGAGGCGAGTAAAACTTACACTCCTGCTTCAGTGTTGATCTAGTAACCCTTCTTGGGGTCTTGGGGTTTTTGGATATCAACGGGCACAGTAATGAGATAGTCAAATGAGGTCAAACAAGAGAGTCAAATTGAAGCGTCAAGATAGTAAGCGACGCCGAGAAGAGAGTGTCGTCAACTTGAACCTCGGTTTGATGCTTCTCCGCACCGAGCACCTACATAGGTCATATGAGTATCGTGGCGGTGGCACTGGACTTCCTGGACGATCACACTCTCTCGCAGTTGCCAGCGAATGGACAAGACGGTTCCAATGACGGTCTCGTGGTTGGATAAAATACCTGTACGTTGAATTGCATCTTCGCCGTGAACGAGTAGGTACACCGAATGGCTCATGATGCGTGTCTTATTGACTATTCGTATCCGAATGGAATACTCTCCATGGCGCCATCTCTTTGCACACATTTGGCAGCAGCTTCGTTGGCCTTGGTCACAGCTGTTGCGATATCAAGGCTCTCCAGGTCGTGCTTCATGGCCGTATGTCGAGCTAGTGCTGTTGAAAAATATCCCACAAACGTATCTCCAGCGGCAGTGGTGTCGACGACTTTCTTGACCTTGACTGCCGAAACCATTCCTCTGGTCTGGCCAGCCGAGTAGTAGACACCGCGTGATCCCAGAGTCACCACGACTATTGAGATGCCCGCGAGGTCATGCAGATGTTTCGTGAGTCGATCAAGATGTGACTCTTCCAAGTCACCTTCATCAGGCACTTGGATGCTGTTCAGTTCTTCCACCACTTTGAAGAGCAGCAAACACTCCGTCTCATTGACCACCAGCACAGCCAGGCCTGCCAGCGCTGCTATCGGTATACCCTCCGGGAAGACCGGAGCTGGGTTGAAGATGACGCAGGTTCGATTTTCGGATGAGTTGAAGACATTCAGCAGTGCCAGCACTGTGCTTCGAGGAATCTCGCCCTGCATGACGATCACATCGGGCTCGCCGTCCCGACTGATAATAGGCATGAGTTTCTTCAGGTCATTGACACGGTGGTTGGCCCCAGGCACAACCAAAATCCTGTTCTCCCCGTTCGAGCCTTCGTCCACAATGATTGTTGCAGTGCCTGTTTGCACTCCCTCAATCTCTTCCACGCCTGTGGCGCTCACGCCGCTCTTTTCCAGCGTCGGCTTGAGCAGAGATGTGTAATACGGATCACCCTTGCCCACAGCCCCGATCATGTCGACAGTAACATCTTGTGTGGTTTCGGAAATGAATGCTGCCTTGCCACATGCCACTGCTTGGTTCGCACCTTTGCCTCCAGCATGTACAGTCATGGAGGTGGCTTGTAATGTTTCTCCAGGCCCCGGTACCCGTGGTGTTCTGGTGACAAAGTCGATATTGAGCGAGCCAATGACTCGAATCACGGGTTGAGGAGCCATGATATGCTAGAGTAGGAATTTAAGCTCCTGAGCGTGAGTTTTTCCAGCTTCCGACACGACGTCCAAGGATTGCGCGCAAACACCAGTGGCGTCAACAATATCGCTTTCGTCCGTATCCGCAATTCCGAGTCAAGAACAGACGGTTATGAATGAGGGACTGACAGGCTTCCCTTCTCCTAGAGATCGTAGAGGAGAGAAATTGTAGAGGCAGATGTACTCATAAAAATCCACCCGTTAGGTGATGTCATGTGATCGCCAAAATGTGGTGGCAGGCACTGCAGACAAAAGAGGACTCCATACCGGACAGAGACTGGATGGAGCAACGGTTTCGTCTATATTCTAAAGAACTAGATGTACAACAGAGTCGATCCAGGTATGCAGGCGAAAGTGAGAACAAGTTTCGGTTGTTGATTGTTGAATCGTGGCAAAATATTTCATCAAACACTTGATAATCATCAAGTAATACTACACACTATCCACCAATCTATACCTGACGGGCCTCTACCTGACGGGCCTCTACCTGACGGGTTAGTTGCTGACTTCGGATTCTGAGATGCGTATGCTGTTTAGCAGTTCTCTGATGGTCAGCGGCGAGACTGCCCTGCCCAAAACATCTACTCCCCAAATGTCGGGCAATTCCTCCAGACACTCGGCGTCAAACTCTTTGCCGACATGCAAGTCCATCTCGGCTGAGACACATCTGTAGATCATTTCTGAAGTACTTGTTCTCTTTGTGGAGACGGTCATGACTGCAAAGTGAATCCAACGACATGAGCAAGACTCGACTCGTCATTCCACCCGTAACACATCGCGAAGCTTGAGAGACGACATGACATGTATATCTGGTTACCCTCTGGAAGATGGGTGGGAGACACGCGATGAAGAGTCATCAAGCAAGAGCGCAGCCACCACAGCAGATGTCTTTCGAGTCCCCAGTAACCTTTCCAACATGCGGCTGGCGATGTCGACCTAGGATTCGTGGCAAGATGTAGCCACTCATGAAGTCCAGGCGCATTGCTGCTTTCAGGAGTGCACCTCTGACCTCAGTTCCCAGTTGCACTGAACCAGGTCACTTGGAATGCATAGATGTAGACGTCCAGTTGGACCATGTTTCACTTCCTTCAAGATTGATGGCACACGCCAGGATGGACAGAGGAATCGTGGATACCGCGGCAGGCAAACCTGGGGTCAGGATGCTTCGGCGCAACTGCACAATTGTGCAGAAGATGTAGGAGACTGAGTCCACGTGGTTGAACAACGCAGGGGGGAAAGCATACCTTTGGCCGGCGGCACATCGTTGCAAAGCACAGGTCTGGACAAGTTGCAGATCTGACGGATCGTTGCCAGCAACGTTCAACCACGGCTGTAGCCTCTCTCGGCATCTAACAGATGACAGGTGCACGCGTGGCTGGTTGTTGGCGGCAGGTTAGTCCTACTCGAGGCGCGGTTCATGGCCTGGTCCGTTCTCAAGGTTGCCTGTCAGCCACCACAACTGCGCACAGACACAAAAGGAGCAGAATCAACAGAGAACGTGTAGACGTCGAGACAGGTGGGATTGCGCTTTGCAAATGCTGTGGTCAGATACAGGAAGGAGCTCGAACAATCGTACCTCTGTTGGAGGTTGGCCATGGATCTCAATGACCGGCGAGACCAGTAATGTCTGAGGGTGGCGGGCAATAAATGTGCAACTCTCAGGTTTGGCTGGTTCGTAGCAAGGGCGTCAAGACGAGAATTGGCACCAATATGGCCCCGAAGGCTCAACACCGGATGGGAGCGCTGACGCTGGTTATGCAAAACAAGCTGCACCCCAAAGAACTCGAGCGCCTTCAAGGTGCGCCATCATCTGATCTTCTCCCGCTGTGGTCCCTCATTGTGCAGTCATGGCTAGACAAACGACGCAGGTGAACTATGGAGCAGACATAAAATCTTGACTTTTTTCAGAGGGAGCGTCGATGCAATCGAAGTCGAGACCTTGGACAGTTCTTGCTCTGCAAGGCCTAGACAGGTCGACGCACAGAAGGACAACGAGAGTATCAGCTCAACTACCACACATGGATGTAAACTCTGGCGAACACAGTGGCAGGCCATTACCTGTAGATAGGGCCAGTGGTGGACTCGATCGTTGAGAGCACCTGAAAGCACTGCACCGAAGGTGCAGCCTAGTCACAAGAACAGCAAGCGAGTTGCGTGTGGAAGGTCTCACCCTGACCGCCCCGTGCTGGTTGATTTAGGAATCTGGGGTTCCGCTGCATGGCGTCGTGAATCGTCTGCGAAACGGCAACCGACAGCAAGAATCCAGTGGTGTCTGAAATTGTCACTGGTTGGGCAAATTTGAGGTACTGCGGACGCAAGGTACGGCTGCATAACCAGTAAGGAGTTTCCTGCATACCACTTCCAGATGAGGCAGAGACGCTGTAATGAGGCCTGAGATATGGCAGGAGCCAATATACTGCAAAGATCCGGAGCGTGGGTGAAAGCTCAAGAGAATAGAATTCCCACTGTCCCCGGCTCCTCCGTAGCAACACACTGATAGTAGATGCAACCCAGGAAGATTGGATGTGGGCTCGGGCAATGTGTACTTCCCGAAGGGAGCCGCCTGGAGTGTCACATATCTCCTTCTCTCATCAGTCCACGACATCTAGCCTGTAGCAGAGACTCTGACTTGATAGTATGCCGTATGTGTATGCTGCTGAGAGTATGACCCCAGACAGGGGAGATTTCCGAGGAGCTAAGGAGGGGCTGAATGATCAATCATACATGGGAAGCCGTCAACTGACTGTGGGCGTGAGAGGGAGACGTAAGCATCGTTTTCCTTTCACCATCGTTACTGGGTCTGTCTTCTTCTTCGGTCCTTGCGGGCTCTTCAGCCTCCTCGGACACTGACCCGCCACGAGACTGGCGGACGGATCGAGCAGGGGATATTGGGGACTGGTCCCGGTGTAGGGTCCGGCGGAGGCCGTCAAGTCTTTGCAGACGTTCGTTCAATCCTGGACTGTGGTTGTCGAGATGTACAAGTGTCAGACCCATGTATGTAAGCTCCTCTTCAATCTGGTCCAGCTGGATGGATGGTGACAGATGAAACGAGCCATGGCCACGAAAGCAGAACGGAGGAGAAATTATGCGGCCTGAATTCCCAGTATCTACCTCAGGTAGTCAGTGGCCGCGTCGGTCCTTTGCTCGGAGTCGAACCAATGGCTGGTGGGCGCAGGCTGATTGATGCCTTGCGGGAGGCTGGCGAGTGTTAGCGACACACTAACGTGTGCACTGACGATAGCCTTCAAAGCCTTAGGGCACCTACACCGCGAGCTCTAGGCTCTCAAGCCTTTAAACCTGCCACACTTCCGTGGATTGGTTGAAACGCCCAAGGAGCCTTAGGCTCCCTAGGCTACCTTGATTACCGGTCCAATTAGCAAAGCCTGGCACCAAACTCGCTGCCGCCGCCGCTAGAATCTCATCGTTGATCTCGGTGCAGTGGGCAGAGTCTACAGTCTAAACTCTGAAGCTTAGGGTCCCCTGTTGGCTCCGTTTCACCAGCCTCGTCATCTCAAGACTCGTCTCCATCGCCGTAACCCGACAGTCTCAATAATGTAGGCGAGCACGGAGGACAGTGGGCAGTGGACAGTGCTATACTCTGTACTGTGCTACACGCCTCGACTACTGCCACTCCCCACTCATCTGTATCGTCACACTGCGGCCGGACATTCAGTGTCCAGTCGACCTGCTGTGGTCGCAGAAGGGAACACCACTACAGAAATGTCCTGCGCCAGAGGTGAACCACAACAGGTTGCTACCCTGGCCTACACCTGCATCTTTTCAGCTGTCATATCGACACATTCGTCGTATATCAAGGCAACATCATTCCTCGCCTGACGACGACAAACAAGTCAGCCTGGACCAGAAAGACATGAAATTCCATCCACCCCGCAGATGGACTCAGTCCAAACAGAAACCAAGAGGCCTCCGTAAAGACCATTAAATTGCATTCTGATGCCCTTGAAGTGACTCGACTTGATTCTCTTCTTGTCCTCGTACCTTTGTCTGTCTCTTGCTCATTCACTCTGACTCGATATTTTCCCCGGCGTGTGCCTTAAACTCGCGCTCTTTTCCCCCTTCGCTCCTTGTCCGACCAGAGTGTCGAGATATTGCCAGCCTTCTTCTCTTGTCAAACCCGTGTCAATAGCAGTGTCGTCAGCTCGCTGGCCCTTGCAGCCCGGAGTTCGCTGGGTGTTTCAGACCAGATTGCCTGTCAGATCGTCGCCGGCGACCAATCTCGCCCAGCCGGTTAGTGGCCCCCGCAGTCCATCGGCATCCCAACTGCGTTTGGTTTAGGGCTGCCCTTCACCCACCCCTAGGATTTCTGAATCTAGCTAAGATCCAGGTACCTTGATGGTTAGGAACTGACCTAATGCAAGGAACCCCAGCTTCGTGGTGCTTAACCAGATGCCAGGGGCCCCGGCACCTCGCTCTCCGAAGTGTGCCTAAACCGACCAGGGCATCCATTGGCCTACTACCCAACAAAGAAACCTCAACGCCATACCTACACTACTACGTCGACTGTTCATATACAATCTCACTCCTTGCTCCATCATATCTTTCTCCCTTTCTTCACCCTTGGTCTTCAATTCTTTCTTCAGTCTTTTCCTCGGCCATTCCGCCATTCTTACCTTCATTTTGGCTTCTGCGCAGTCTTCACTCCTTCGACTGCACGAGACAGGTCACTCTTTTCACACATCAACCAGAAAAGCACGGTCTGGGACCGTGTCGTTTTGAGCCTCAGTCCGTGCCCTTGGTGCAAACGGAACAGACCAACGCTTTTGGCCCGAACCCACCGCACAGGCTTCTAGAACTCTACCTCACCTGGCGTGAAGATCAGAAACTTGGGTCAACAGCAGGACACAGCTTCACCCAGCCAACTCTCACGAATCCACGTAACCTGCTGCCCGGTGCACTTGCAATACCTGCCACATTCTGGTATCAAATAGACCTCGAAACAGCCTCTCGAGTTCAGTTCTATCAATCAGTCCATCGACAACTCAATCAATAGTCCCAGAGACCATTATTGAGTAGTTCTTCAATCACCATGAAAACATCATCCTTTATCGTCGCCGCGGCCTGCGCCAGCCTGGCTGCGGCCACTCCCCTAAACAAGCGTGCTTGGGCCACCACCTACGAGATAGTAACCGTCACTGTCACCGTCACCGGCTCCCCTCCCGCCGAGACAGCCGTTTCATCCATTCAAGCCATTCCCACTGCCGACGCCACTTCCTGGGCTGCACCCAATTCGGGTCATGCTTCTGGCCCTGGTGCATGGTGGGGTGCATGGCGTGACTGGGGAAGCATTTCTGCAATTGCAACAACATGGGCAACCCAGTCCGCTGTGACGACCATCATTGAAACATCTGCTGCTGCCACGGCCACGGCCAGTGCAAGTGCTGTGATTCCTACGTATGCTACTCCATCGTCGCCAGTTGGTCAATCCAGTGCGAATGCTGTGGTTCCAACGTATGCGACTCCTTCATCGTCGCCAGCTGGTCAATCCAGTGCGAGTGCTGTGGTTCCTACCTACGCTACTACGACCTCGGCGCCAGTTAGTCAATCCAGTGCGAATGTCAGCCCGACCCTTTCCAGTTCGACGGCGGCTGCAGTCCCGACAACAGTCTCCTCGGACTATCAACAAGGCATCCTCGATTCTCACAACATCCATCGTCGGAATGCCACTGTCTCGAACCTGGTCTGGAGCGATGAAATGGCGTCCATTGCCGCTCAGATCGCATCCAGCTGTGTCTATGCCCACGACACATCGGCTGGGGGTGGCGGCTATGGCCAGAACATTGGCGCCGGTGCTCCGCCATCCGATATCCCAGCCATGATCACCGACGAGATGTATAACGGCGAAATCAACTATTATCCTGCATACGGCGTTGAGCCCGACATGAGCAACTTTGAGAAGTGGGGTCATTACTCGCAAATCGTTTGGAAGTCGACCACCTCCGTTGGATGCGCTACTCAATACTGCCCGAATGGACTGGCCAATACTGGCAGTGGTGTCAGCCCTTATTTCACCGTTTGCAACTACAGCCCACCTGGTATGTTTCCCAACTCGTCTCAGAACCTAAGTGCATGCTAACATTCCGGACACAGGCAACTTCGGCGGCCAGTATGCTGTGAACGTGTTGCAACCCCAAGGGCTTCCTACTGTGACCCTGTGAGAAAGCGGTTCTTCTTTCATGACCTAGTAACGACTCCTTGGACGACCACTGGAGATATCAAGATGTTTTTTCAAAAGTGACACTGCCTGGGCGTTGGGAGAGAAATGCATTCTTATTCTTTCAGCCTCAAACCTCATCCCCGCGTGGGAGAGGCAGCATGCTTTCAGAAGGCAGCGGCGTGTGATCGGGTTGTTTCTGTTGATCGTGGGGTTGGACGGAGCCGTGCCGCGTCGCACATAGGGCATTGCTTGAAGATTTTTCTTTTCCTTCTCAGGAGCGTGTTGCTTCAGCATCTGACTGGTATGAGGTGACCCTCTATTTGGATGCACTGGACACCACACTGCTCCGGACAATTTGTTCATGACCATTCGGGCCATTGTTTGGAGGACTTTGAGGAGAGAGGGACGGCAGGCAGGGGGGAAATCGAGTCTGCAAAGCAGACTTGAAGCCTACATGTACAACAGCATTTCGCATATTCACAATCAGCATTCCATGGTCCACAAGTTGCAGCTTTCATGACTGAGTACCTACTGAGTACCTAGGTACCTGAGGTATGTAGGTATCCATCATGTGATACTAGTATCTGCATACCTACCTACTGACTAGCAGTTGTCGATGAATACGAAGCATGGTCTAGTAGTGGCGAACCGACACCCGTTGAATTCCGTCTGCCAACGGACGAGATTCGGCAAGAAGTTGATCTCTGTTACTAACTCGTTCTCGCCGTGTGGAGGGCTGAACGGGCCATAGGCTCCCTAAGCTAAACGCTACTAGGGGCACACTGCCCACTGGAGTGCATGCTAGTACTGCCACAGGCGCCGCTGTCTGTTAAGCGAACCCCGTCCGAAGCCTCCTTAGCCTTTCCCCGGGTTCTTTTCCACTTATTAGCAGGCATCGCGGAGAAATGGAAGCGTCTGTTTGCTCTCCGCTTTCCCATCAACCGGGTTCGTCGCTCAATTCTCGGCCACTGCAGGTCAGAACCACAGCTACCTGGCTGCCTAGACCATCGTGTTATCTTAGCCACAACGATACATCTCGTACGGTGTAGTAGGACCTATAGCTGATGAGCGAATTAACACAGGAGACTCCAGACAAAAGGGCAGCCCACGGATCAAAATGGCCTGAGGGTGAGATCCCCGGACTGTTCGCGTGAGCACTGCCAAATAAATAGTATGTCACGCGCACACTCCAACCTCATGTCTGGCTGCTGGAGGAGGAGTTCCAGTACCAGTTGTCCAAGTCTTGCAGTGTTGGTGTTGATTCATTTCTTAGCCGCTGCACCTCAAAGCTCTTTCTTACACCTTCATCTAACCTCGATCCCACGGCTACTGCGGCTGTTGTTGCGGTGCAGTGTTAGGGCAGGATCCAGAGCAATACCTTATTACTGACTCGCACAAGGGAAGACTATTTCCTGTCTCCTCCACCGGCGGATTCAATCTCCAACCTCCAACCTCGGGCGAAGAGTTCCAGCTTAGCCTGCGCTACTAGTACCACACTGCACTGGTTGTGCAGCTCAAACTGCGCCCACATATCGCTCTGCGCACTTCTGTACGTGTAACCTCTTTTTCCTTTCCTCCGAAACTGCCATCAACGAACCACCACTGCATCATGTCCATGCTGGCACACCCAATTCCGGCTCTTGCCATGGGCGACGCCCTTCGCCCGTCGGTCTGCGATACTCCGGGCTATGACTGTTCTGCTCACAAGTCTTCTGACGATGCGGAACGTGGAGAAGCGCAGCATCACCTGTGACCAACCCGCAGCTCACTTCCTGTCCCATGCCATGTGGAGGCGAGCAGGTGGTTTGGATCTCTCATTGTGCCATGCAGTGGTGCAATGGATCAGACCCCTCCTGATGGAACGATATTTGATTTCTCCTGAGTGTGATCTATCCAAATTGCATCCCACTCGAGCCCGATCTTCTCTGGTCCTGTTCTCTCTTAACGTCTTTGTGATATTGGCATCCTGGGGTATTGACCTGGCTTCTCTTCATCACAGGCGACTTTCACCCCCATGCCGTCATACTGCTTGTACGATTGCCATTACTTCTACCGCACCGCCCTTCGTCTTCTGAGCATTGCTACCTTGGTGGCTGCACTTTACGCATGATTCAGGATATTAACCATGCCGTCTACGGTCACAGGAACCAGATACTTCGCCCGCCCCAAGTCCATCGACGAGACTCTGAAAAGTCCAGTCCGTCAGGACGAGGCCACGATGGGCCAGACTCAAGACGGCCGGTCGCTGCAGGCTGCCAGGGATATCAAAGAATCCTACACAAAACAAGAGCAGGAGCCATGGTCCATTCCGTCGGAGAAGCAGACAAAGCAAGGCATCACGTTCGCTGCGCAGGACAAGTTACCCAAGCTGCCAATTCCCGAACTCGACTCGACCATCAAGAAATATTTGGACGCGTTGGCTCCTTTGCAGTCTCCCGCCGAGCACAATGAGACCCGAGCAGCGGCCAAGGAGTTCCTGGAGCACGACGGCCCGGAACTGCAAGAACGTCTAAAGAAGTACGCCACGGGCAAGACGAGCTACATTGAACAGTTTTGGTATGATTCTTACCTCAACTATGACAATCCTGTCGTCCTGAACCTCAACCCCTTCTTTCTCTTGGAGGATGATCCAACTCCGGCACGAAACAATCAAGTCACACGGGCAGCCTCCTTGGTCATCTCGGCTCTGTGCTTCGTCAGAGCCGTCCGAAAAGAAGAACTGCCACCGGACACACTGAGAGGCACACCGCTGTGCATGTACCAGTATTCGCGCTTGTTTGGAACGGCCAGAGTTCCGACAGAGAACGGGTGTGTCATTGGACAAGATTCGGATTCGAAGCATGTCGTGGTCCTGTGTCGTGGCCAGTTCTACTGGTTTGATGTGTTGGATGACAACAACGAGCTAATTATGACCGAGAAGGACCTCGCAATCAATTTCCAGGTGATCGTGGATGATGCCGAACAAGTTCCCATCTTTGACGCAGCTAAAGGCGCTCTCGGAGTGCTAACCACTGAAAACCGAAAAATCTGGTCGGGCCTGAGGGATTTCCTGACCAGGGAAGAAGGATCCAACAACGCCGAGTGCCTTTCGATGGTCGACTCCGCCCTGTTTGTCATTTGCCTGGATTATACGGAGCCAGCAGACGTATCCGCATTGTGCGGCAACATGCTGTGCGGCACGAGTGAGGTGGTTCGCGGTGTTCAAGTCGGCACCTGCACCAACAGATGGTACGACAAGCTTCAGATCATCGTCTGCAAAAATGGCAGTGCAGGAATCAATTTCGAACATACCGGCGTGGATGGCCATACCGTGCTTCGATTTGCGAGCGACGTCTACACCGACACCATCCTCCGGTTCGCCAAGTCCATCAACGGGCAGGCCCCAACGATGTGGACCAGCCAGAGCCCTGATCCATCCAAAAGGGATCCGGAGAGCTTCGGCGATGTCAGCACCACTCCACACAAGCTCGAATGGGACATGACTCCGGAACTGCAGATTGCCTTGCGGTTTGCTGAAACCCGTTTGGCGGATCTGATCAACCAGAACGAGTTCCAGACATTGGATTTTGTGGGATATGGCAAGAACTTCATCACCTCGATGGGCTTCTCCCCTGACGCGTTTGTGCAAATGGCTTTCCAAGCTGCTTACTACGGTCTGTATGGCCGGACCGAGAATACTTACGAGCCAGCCATGACGAAAATGTTCTTGCATGGTCGCACGGAAGCCATCCGCACCGTCACCAGAGAATGTGTCGACTTCGTCAAGACTTTCTGGGCGGACACGGCCGCCCAGAAGAAGGTCGACGCGTTGAAGACTGCCACGCAGAAACATGTCGCCACCACGAAAGAGTGCAGCAAAGGACAAGGTCCAGACCGGCACCTGTACGCTCTTTATTGTGTGTGGCAACGCAAGGTGAACGACGAGGGGGCCGAGGCAGCGAGCACGACCGGATTCAGTTCCAATGGGTATTCAAGTCCGAACGATATGAGTGATGCAGGCAGCCCTAGGAGACAGGACGAGATATCGCCCAGTGGTCGTTCCCGAGCCAGCACAGATGCAAGTCGCTCGCCAGCGCCCCACTCTCAGCATATGCCACCGCTTTTTAGTGATGCTGGGTGGGAGAAGATCAACAACACAATTCTCAGTACCTCCAACTGCGGGAACCCATCGCTACGCCACTTCGGCTTCGGCCCTGTCTCTGGGGACGGCTTTGGAATTGGATACATTATCAAAGACGATTCGATCTCGGTTTGCGCGAGTAGCAAACATCGTCAGACCCAACGCTTCGTGGACAGCCTTGAGTCCTATCTGAACGAGATCAGACGCTTGCTCAAAGCTACTAAACCCAAAGACGCTCCGGCCGGCAAATCTACTCGAGCCAGGGAGGCGGAAGATAGGACGGGCAAGGATGGTAGACTCAAGTCTAGGGGCCGGCTGATCAAGGCCGAGGCTTCCCGGTTCGATGGAACTCAGACTCCCGCGAGTATGGAAACGGCAGAGGTGGAGGATGATGGTTTGGGCGGGTGTAAGTTTCTGTTCCTTTTTCATGCTTCTTTTGAAGCGCCACTGACCTATATGACAGACGGTTTCTTTGATGCCGGGATGCTGCTGCAAGCCCTCAAGAAGGAGCAGCCCCGACCCGCGGACCAGATTGCGCAGAGGAAGAGGACGGTTGGCAAGAAGCTTGCTTTGACAGAATATTGACGCGTCCGCGGGTGTTGGAAATGATCGGCCGAGCGGGATTGAAGTTTGCAAATATATGACATTGAAGTGCACAATTGAGCTGGCAGCACATCAGGCAGGTAGGTACCTATGCCAGTCTTGGGACATGACGGGATTTGACGATTCGCATGGTCTGAGCCAACCGGGTGATGTTGGTGCCTGGGATAGCAAGCGAGCCAATAACGAAATGGTATGGACAGTGGTGAAGGATACGAAATACGGCCGACCGAACTTCTGTTTTCTTTCTGTCGATACCATACTTGTTCTTAAGATATTGTGTATACGGACTACTATAATAAGTGAATATTATGACTGTGAGGATTCGATGGAGGAAAAGACAAGTTGTAGATGTAGGTGGCTGTCAGGCTGTGATTACTACAGAGTAAAGGGACCGTTGCCGTCACCGTTGCCGTCACCGCCGATGGCCTGATGTCAAGGGTGAGAAGACCCTGTGGCGTGACCAGACCTACTTAGCAAGCATAGTACTGCTGTATCACGTGATAATATGGTGCCCCGTTCGGGTATGGCGAGCCAAGACAGTCTCACCTAGACCGGACTAGCGTGTATCAGAGCCAGCAGTCCACCACTCGCAGTGCGCAGTCTGCAGTCTGCAGTCTGCAGTCCCTACCTGCTACCTGCTACTCTGTACCTAGTACTCCGTAGTACTAGTAGGTGGTGACTGGCCTCGACCGAACTGCACTGCAGTCCTGCGATCCTCGACTCAACCTAACCACTACGCTACCTCTCACACTGACGACAACACCTACCCACGCTGTCCAAGGTCGTGATCAGAGTCTGCGACGTACTCGTTGCTGCTCGCTCGATGCGCCTTGCGACACGTTAACATCCCATCGGCTCTATCGTCTCGCCACACTGCACCCCCGTCTCCCCGAGCCTTCCTCCCCACTCCTCTTCCGCCATGGCAGCAGCTACCATGTCCTCCGCCGCCGTCCACGATGGGCTCCGTGTCGCTGCCCTGGACAAAGAAGACAGCATGTTCCAATCGATCCCTCCCCCTCAAGTCCACACTCCCCCTACTACCGACGAGGCGAGCCACAAGGACGATGACGCAGCCTCGAGTTCCTCCCTCTCCGATCTCGGCGATGATCTTGAAGATGAAGAGAACAGAATGAGGTTCGAAGAAGCGGCTCGTGCAGGCGCGGAAGCCGAACAGTTCTCGGAGGTCAAGCCAGATCGCTACGAGAATGGCGTTCCTATCTTCACTCCGGTATGCGCTCTATTTGTGTTGACGTGCCCGGTCATGCTTGGACGATAAGGTGAACGATAATGGCTGATACACGTGTGAACAGACAATGGAACAATTCAAGGATTTTCAGCGATACGTGAAGGGCGTGGATCCGTATGGCATGCAGTCGGGCATCGTGCTGATAGATCCCCCTGAAGAATGGTATGTTGCTTTTTGCCCACAAGTGTCGCATCCAGTCAATGGCATTTGACCGTTGGGAACCAAGCCACGGAGGCTGACCTGCTTCAGGAAACGTGCCCGCAAGGCCCTGGACGAGTTAGTCAAGACGATCAAGATTAAGAACCCCCTCACCCAAGAATTCCATGGCGCCCAAGGCATTTATACGCAGCGCAATATGGAGAAGATGCGATCCTATAACCTCCCACAATGGAAAGCCATTTGTGAGCAGACCGAAAATCAACCTCCCGCACGACGAGGGGAGAAACGTTTAAATGCCGACAAGTTATTGGGACGCGGGACGACCAGACCCCGGAAATCCGAAGCCACAGGCACTCCGGAACCTTCAAAGGGTAAACCTGGTCGAGGAAAGGCCAAATCGATTAAAGATGAACCCAGTGATCACGACTCAACTCTACTCGCACCTCCTACCCCTACTAGTCCTGACGTCAAACCGGCTCCCCTAGACAATGACGAAGGAGAAGATGGAGCCAGAGACAATACGGAACCGACGCCGACAAAGGGCAAACGAGGCAGAAAACCGGGAAGACCGCGAGGGCGACCGCCCAAGTCATCCACCACCAAGAAGGAAGGTGGAGGCAATGGGGCGGAGACTACTGTTGCAGCTCGGCGATTGAGGAATGCACGTGAGGCCAACGACGACGTGGACGAGGAAGCCTTCCGAGATTTCGACTATCGTGTCTATGATCATGATCAATGGACAGCTGAACGCTGCGACGAGCTCGAGGACAAGTATTGGAAGAGTCTCAACTTTAGTAACCCGATGTATGGTGCAGACATGCCGGGGTCCTTGTTTGACGACGACACAAAGGAGTGGAATGTTGCAAAATTACCCAATCTGCTGGATCTCCTCGGCGCGCCAATTCCCGGGGTCAACACTGCATATCTGTACCTGGGGATGTGGCGGGCTACCTTTGCCTGGCATCTAGAAGATGTGGACCTCTACAGCATCAACTACATCCACTTTGGTGCTCCGAAACAGTGGTACAGTATCTCTCAGAAGGACGCACCCAAATTCGAGGCCGCGATGAAGACGTTATGGCCGTCAGATGCTAAGAACTGTGACCAGTTCCTGCGCCATAAGACATATCTCGTTTCCCCGTCGATCCTCAAGTCGAGATTCGGAGTCACTGTCAATAAAGTCGTCCACCGTGAAGGACAATTCGTCATCACCTTTCCCATCGGCTATCATTCTGGGTTTAACCTGGGTTACAACTGTGCCGAATCCGTCAACTTTGCCATCGACAACTGGCTACAGTATGCTCCCACAGCACGGAAATGCCGATGTGAAGCCGACAGTGTCTTTATCGATGTCGACTGGTTTGTCCGGAAGATAAATGGTGAACCGACACCAGAATATGAGGAAGTCGAGGTCACCGACGACGAAGACGACGTTGACGAGCCTATGGACTTACCAACGCCTCCAAGCAGCGACCGCGGCAAGGTGAAGACAGCCCAAAAGAGGAAACGTGCTCCGAAAGACATGGGACCGAATAAGAAGGCGAAGAAGCTCATCAAGATCCGTAAAGTCAGCAAAAACCAGCCTTGTTGTCTCTGTCCGAACGACTTTGCGTGGGAGGAACTTTTGCCTACCACGCATGGTCAGCGAGCACACCGCACCTGTGCCATGTACACCCCCGAGACCTACGTTGCCAACAAGGACGGCAAAGAAATGGTCTATAACGTGGAAAATATCAGCAAAGCACGCCTGGAACTCAAATGCTACGAGTGTCGCCAAAAGAAGGGGTCGTGTTTCCAGTGTTCGTCAGCCAAATGCGCCAAGTCATACCACGCCACATGCGCTATGCAAGCCGGCGTTCAGGTGGACAAGGGCGAGATCGCTGTATGGCATGAAGGCGTGGAATATCGCGATATCGGGTTCGACTGGAGATGTCGTCTTCATCGGACTGTCAAGCGGACGAGGATCACGAGTGAACTGTCGGCTTGCAACCACGCCAACAGCTGTTGGCAGAACGCGGAATTCCGACAGTTTTTGTATGATCTGAAAGAAGGAGAAGTGATCCAGTTTCAAGCTACCAATAGCGACGACATTGAGGCGGGTCTTGTTGTGGCAGGCTATGATGAGGGACAAGGTTCGGTGCTTGTCAAGATTGTGCCCGACCTCAAAACAGCCAAGGAGGTTGATCCCACGTCGATTCTTTTTGTCGACAGTGCGACTTCATGTTTACAGAAGCCTTCGGTCAGCGCACTTGAACTACCGGAAGATTTGCAAGGAAAGACTGCTTCACTGCCCGAGTCCACGGAGAAGAAACCAAGCGCAGGCGATCCTTTCACCGAGGAACCGAGAACTGAATGGGCCGAATTTGCTTCTGCAGAGCCACCTCTCAACAAGGATCAGAAAGCTGTTGACCTCTCCAAGGACAAACAACTGTGGATTTATTTGGGAGAGTCGTCATCAGAGGCGAAGGCCCATTACACAGCTGATCCCAACAGACGGGTGCATGATCCAACATCAAACTTCCTGGAACTGGTTGCACCTGCGAAATCTGTCATGGCACCGCCTCCTCAACCGAAGCGTCATTCTCTTGCGGTCCCATATCCGTTGCTCAACGTTGCCGCGAGAAATGCTGCAAGGGTCAACATCCGCCAGAACTCCCTAGGTAAACACGGGACGACACCCCGATTGCCCGGAACATTCAGCGGAACGACGCGCGATCTCACCATGAGCCAGAATGAACACAAGAACCAACCAGTGGATCACAAGTCCAGTCAAGTGAAGCCTTCACAGTACCGCGATATTGTCGCTGGTCAAGAAGCACGGCTGAATGAGCAAGCAAGGATTTTACAACGGCAGCAGGCTAAAGCTCAACAACTGGATGCTGCCGATCACGCGAACAGTATGCCGCATAACTCAATTGGCATTGACCATGACGCCGTACAGCGACAAAGACAGTTCCAACAACAAGCATCTCAGCATGCTAAGCACATGAAGGAATGGTCGAATGATCCCTCTCTGCCTCCGCTCAACCAATATCATGACCATTTCCCGGCTTTTAGTACCATGGATTCATCCAGTGGATACGGTGTTACTTCAGGGATGAGCCCGAGCGTACGAACACAACAGTACGAATACAGTAACGACTGGATGGCTCCCAGCAATAACGGTCGGAAGTCAAGCTTTGGGACACCTGCAAACTCAGGAATGCACTCGACGCTTTCGCCTCATTTCGATCCATCACAATCGGCTGAGATCACCCCTTTCCCAGCATTTGCTCCACATTCGCACCTTCAGTTCTCATATCCGGGGGACTCCAGTCAAGGTTCCGGTACAAACACCTCCTATCAGCCTTCGCCGATGGAAAGCATTCGAGCTGCTGCAAATCAACCCCCTCCGCCTCCTCCCTCTGCCGAGGTTGAACGTCAACGGCGGATTTCCAATCCCGCCTATCCTTTTAAGAGTCCCGACCAGATCAAGGCGCAGAAGGGGGCGGAGAAGATATCGCCATCTGGTAGTAGACCGAACAGCTCATACATGTTACCCAGCCCGAGGCTACAGCATGATTCGTACCTGAGCTCCAACACATCGGCAAGCCCTGTGCACGCGCTCGACCCTCAAAACCCGCCTCAATTTATCAATCCCAACGCCACACAGATCAGCCCTCCGGGGTCAAGCGCTGGTCACAGATCGGCTAGCGGCAGCTTCTCCGGTCTCGGGATCCGTCCGACAATGGACTCTTCTATGCGGCCTCGCCTAAAGAAAAGTATGTCCCTCGACATGGATATCGACCTGGCCCCCTTTCCGGCCCATTACATGCAAATGAATGCATACGTCCCGAAACCTTTGACATTTGATCCTTTAAGCCATGTCAATGCATTCACGCCCTCCAAAACTCAGACCACGGAACCGTCAATAGCAGCCCCTTCTCGTCAACTACTGGGCAGCTTGGAGAAACGCCCGGTGGGACCTAATGGGCTCAGGCTTAACGATCACCCAGTCCCCAAGCAGTTGACTGATTGGGAAGAGAAGGGAGGCTTCTGGGGTCGTGTCGCAGGCTACTACATTCAGAAACATCAAACTGCAGCCACAGTGTACAAGTCACCGTTTGCAGGCATAGGCCAACGGGCAAATGGTCGCACACTGGCCCAGAGATATTACGATAGTCTGGAACCGGAGCAACAGGCCAGAATTGAAGAACATCTCCAAGGCCGGATTGACTGAATGATTGATCGACGGGATGAAGGAATGCTGGATGATATGACGCCAGAATCATGTTGTCGTGTCGAACAAGATGCAACGGGCCAAATGCAGGACAACCCGCAATGTATGTATGGAGAGTTCGGCCTGCATTGATCAGTCCATTTTGTACAGTGCATGCATAATACGGGATGGCATGACGGGACGGCATGACGGGATGAAGACCAAGAATGGGCTGCTTCAGATCGGCGAACACAGGCATTGAAGAAATGATGCTGCAGGGTCTTGGTTGGGTTTGCGACCGCGACGGATTCGCCGTCAGTCAATGGGGGAATGTTGCATGTACCCATGTCGTTGTTTACCGTCTTGCCATGGTATGGTGTTCGTCTTGATGAATTTCGTGCACGACTTCTCCCAGCACTTCCTTTACGCATGAGAAGACGAGAAAACGGAATTGAATTATACCAAATCTTTACACTTCAGCACACTTTCGCTTCTGTTTGCCTGTAGAGTTGGCTGTATAGTACTAGTAGATGGAGGTAGAGAATGGGTTACGTGTTAACACAGCCCCAACGCTCGACATAAGAACACGCCGAATAGAAGGACTTGTATACATACACACGACAGGCCATGTCAGCTACCTAGGGACCTATCTATGAGTTTGCCAACGGCACTGGCTGATATGGACGAGATGATACCAAAAGCATCAAAGCATCAAAGCCAGCTCCCGAAGTGGTGCGACAAGCGAACTCTTTCCATTCTTGATGCTCCCTCGAAAAAGTCTTCTCCCGCTCGACCTGGATGGGAACTGGGAGCGTCAACTCCAAGAGGGAGGGAGCCTCACTGGGAGGTATATCGGTAAATGTAAAGGTTTCTCTTTCTTGTCCACCTTCCCGTCCAGCCTTCGGTCTCGGTATTCTCCTCCTCCTTGTTTCCAAGAGCAGTGGAAGTGGAACCAGTGGTGGTACTAGCAGGAACCGTTTCCTTCTCCACCTCCCTCTTCCCCCTTTCCCCTTCCTCTTCCTTTTCCTCTTTCCTTCTTCCCCTTTCCTTCTTCCCCCTTTCCCCTTTCTCTTCCTTTCCTTCTTCCCCTTCCTTTTCCCGATGGCAGCAACTTCATGTAAAGCCCTCGCACAAGCAGCCGGGTAGTGAGTGACACTCCAGCGTTTACTGGCTTCGGCTTGGTCGGCGAAATAGGCTGCAGTGGGAGCTGGGTAATATCCGCACCGGGGATGCGGGTCGAAGTACTAGTAGTTCAAGTTGTCGACGAAGTTGGTCTGGAAGCTGCCGCTGCCGCTGCCAGGTTGGACGATCAGGGAAGGAAGTCGATGGTCCAGGCCGGATGCATTTCTTTACCTTTGGCCAGGGTCTCGGTGAAGGCTTCGAGGGCGAATTGGATTTGCTGTATGGGGCCAAAAGTGAGAAACGGTCTTTTCGTTAGCCCGGGTCCAGCTTGGTGGGGTTTTGATGATAGTAATGATGATGATGATGAAGATGGTAATGAAGGCAATTCTCGATTGATATCCAATTCTGCCTTGTTTGTTTGATCGGATCTAGGGTTGCAGAGACGGAATGGTATATTGTGTGCCATAGTAAGGTCTCCCTCAACTTGCATGACAAGTGGTTTGGAATGAGACCGGGGACTTCTAGAAGTCAACCTGGCATGATAGAAGGCCGAACAGGGAAAGGGAACACAAGATCCGGCCGCCCACCGAACTGATCTGCATGACTAACCCAGCCTGCCTGTCCCGGCCGGAATGGTCGCTCTGAGAACGGAGAACGGGCAAGACAGCCTTGGTCACGTCACATTCACGGCGACGGCGCCCCAGAAGTTGGTCTCCATCTGGGACAGCGTGCAGTAGGTGGACTCCAGCTTGTGCTGAGTAAGAGACAGAACAACACTGTCAGTCAACTCTCGAAGCTGCGTGTGGAAACGGAGTGCTTGGTGTTGACTGCAGTATCATAGCAGCATCCGGTTTGCACACTCCCGGCTTCGCGGTCAGGGAGAGGGTTCGTGTATAGGGCCAGTAAGGCCTCCATGGTGATATCTCATGCGGATAACTCTTGAGTGATAAGCGGCAAGGTAGCTGCATATAGGCAGATTCTAGAGGATGCGACGTGGCAGTTGCCATATGCTCCAGCCGATGCTCCCATAGCTGCCGCATCAGGGGTAGATTATCGTTGGCTGCATCGGAGCAGCGCCCAAGATATTCCATAACCTGCGAGCACTGCACCTCATCTAGTCATCATCAGAATCATAGTCTCCAAGATCCAGCCCAGCTGGTTTCGACACGACTGCTGGCTGTGGCGGTTGAACCGCTGGCTCAGTCTTCCGCACTAAGCCCGGAACCAGGGGTTTCTTGAACTTCTTGACCCTGTCGAACGTTGGTGCGGGTGGCGATTCTGCAGGCGAGTCCAACAGTTTGGAAGCATGCTGGGCCTGCAGTTTGGCGTCTTCTTCAAGCCGGGCTCTTTCGACGTTGGCGGCCTCGAACGCCTTCCGCGCCGCCTCAGCATCTGCCCGCTCCTCAGCCTCTCGTTGTTCTCTGGCCAGGTCTCGGACTTGGCTGAGAGCCTGGTCTTCTTTGACGCCTTTCTCGCCGCGCTCTATCCGGGCGTTCCTCTGCATGATTTCATCCAAGGCGTCGGCGACCTGCATTTCGCGCTTGCTCTCTTCCATCTTCTGCTCGAGTTCTTCCATGGCGTTTCGTTCGGCGGTCTCGGCCTCGTCGGCCTCCTCCCTCTCCAGCCGGTCCAGACGCTGTTCATCAGTCTCTTTCAACTCGGCACTGTCCGAGTCCCGCCACGACTCGAAGTTGCGTTTGGCCCCGCGTTCACAAGTATAGTCCATGTTCTTCGGGTCAGTCTTGAAGGTGATTTCGGAACTGCATCTCGTGCAGCGGATGTAGAAGCGGTAGATGGTGATGGCGAGATACTTCTCGTCGGTGGTCTCCTTGCGCGCGTTGAACTTGCGCCCTTTGTAGATGTATTCGCCACAAGATGTACACTTCATGCTGAACGGCGCCATCAGTCGCACGGGGATGGTCTTGGGTCCGGTCGGTCGCAGATGTTTGGGCGTGCGGGCGATCTTGGACGGATCGAAGTCCGGGGGATAGTATTTGGTGAGGACTTTTCGTTCAGACATCTTGAAGAGATCGAGGCGAAGACGATTGCAGGTCACAGCAGCCGGGTTCAGAAGTAGAGAAGTGAAAGATATATCAAACTGGAAGAGACTGAGAACTTGAACATCGATCGCAGGCGGCAATCGAGTTGAAGTTGGACTTTCTGTAAGCAGCCAATCGGAGACAAGAATTGGACAGCGCGTCACTTTGTAACTTTGTCGCCCTTTGACTTCGACCGCATTCATTCGACCGCAATCAATTACAACAAACATTCACTCACTCATTCATTCACCCGCCAACATTCAGACTGGATTGATGGAGGTTGAAGGTACCTAGACGAGAGATGCTGTCAGAGAATACCTCCCTCCGTCTAACTTCCACCCTTCTCTTCTCTCCTGGCACGCCTCAAAGGCGACTGACTGTCCCTCTCACCAACTGAAGGACGTCCCACTCTACCTCGACCCCAAGCAATGGACAAATATCTGCGGACTTGGAGACAAGATGCGTTGAACAAGGGCCAACATGACTCGGCCATTTATATTGGAGACAAGGTCCTCGCTCTGACAAGTATGTGAGTAGCAAACCTCAACCGTCAGCCACAATTAACGCCCTGCAAGACAGTGATGCCGACGCATTCTGGCTGGCCCAGGTGCATTTTGGAAACAACAACTTCACTCGTGCCCTTGCCCTACTTTCCCGAAAAGACCTCATCAACCGCAGTCTATCATGTCGATACCTCGCCGCGCACTGTTACATCAAACAGGGCAGATACGAACAAGCCCTGGTCATCCTCGGCGAAGAGAATCCCACGCATCTGATCACCACGTCGCATAATGCACGGAGGAAACTGGCACATACCAATGGCAACTCCCACAAGAGCATCACCCACAGAGGTGGCAGAACGCAAAGAGACCGGATAGAACTGAGCGAAGAGCGTGAACGGGACCGGGAGTCGGAAAAAGAACTCAAGTTCCAGGCGGGCATGTGTTATCTGCGAGGGCTATGCTTTGCGAAGAGAAACGCCTTCGATCGAGCCAGAGACTGTTATAAAGACGCCGTGCGCATAGACGTGCAGTGTTTCGAGGCCTTTGACCAACTCATGCAGAACTCACTGATGTCTCCTGCCGAGGAATTGGCCTTCCTGGAAGAGCTAGACTTTGACTCCATTCGGGTGGAAGACCAATCTCTAGCACAGGAGGCAGCACATTTCACGAAACTACTCTACACCACCCGCTTGTCAAAGTACTCGTCACCGGCCACTCTGGCAAATGCCACCGAAACCCTGTCCACGCACTACAACCTCGCCTCGAACGCCGACCTACTCCTCACACGAGCCGAGACGCTCTTCACACAGTGTCGATTTCACGAGGCTCTTGCCATAACCACCAGCATCTTGAATTCTCAGGATAGCTCGACTGGCTCGACGGACATATCTTCCACCAACACTAATGCCTCTCTCGGTCACACTCCTCGGCTGTACCCGCTGCACCTTGCTGTCCTTTATGAGACTGGCGCTCATAATACTCTGTTTCATCTCTCGCATACCTTGGCCACCCATGCGCCCCACGAATCCTACACCTATCTAGCAATAGGGACCTACTATTTGTCCACCTTCCGCATAGCCGAGGCGCGCCGGTTCTTCTCCAAGGCATCGTTGATGGATCCACACTCGGCCGCGGCCTGGATCGGGTTCGCCCACACTTTTGCTGCTGAAGGCGAACATGACCAGGCAGTGGCCGCTTATTCTACAGCGGCAAGATTGTTCCAGGGCAGTCATTTGCCCCAGCTCTTTCTGGGCATGCAACATCTCGCCCTGAACAACATGCAGCTTGCCTGGGAGTACAGCCTCGCAGCATTCCAGAAAAGTGGGGGTGGTCTCAGCGGCGGGACCGAGAAAGAGCTGACCGAAAGGATCTTCAGCAGCACTGCCTCTCTTGGGGGCGATCCGCTGGTGCTCAACGAGATTGGCGTGATCCTGTACCACCAGTCCAATCTTCCCGCGGCGGCCAAGCTGTTCCATCGATCCCTCGAGCTGGCGTCGGAGTTGGGCTTCGACATGACCTCGTGGGTCGCGACACGGGCGAACTTAGCTCATGCGCTCAGACGGCTGGGCAGATTCGAAGAATCGTTGGCCGAGTTTGACGAATGCCTGCGGACCGCCACGGGAGGCGCCGCTCCAGCCTCAGCCTACGAGCCTGGCCATGGCATGTCGGCTTTTGCACATTTGAGTCTTGCCGGCTCAAGCACGGGTCTCAACCCCAGCGGTGCTGCCGGGGGCTACGACGAGCGGAACCTGATCGGCAGCATCCATACCAGTCGAGGTTTGGTTCTGCTGAGCATGGTCGGGCGCACGAGGGAGGCTGTCATGGCCCTCCACGAGGCCGTCCGTGTCCTCGGCGGAGACGCCGGAGGGGGCGGTGTGGCCGGGTCGCTCCTCAGCCGTGCAATGGAGTTCTGGGCCCTCGAGGAAGACCAGGAGTCAGATGAGAACGAGGACCCGATTCCGTTTTCACGCGATTCCGCCGCTGGCGCGCCGCCGTCCAGAGGCCGAGGAAAGGATCTCAATGCCTTTGCGGAGCCCACTTCAACGCATTCCACTAATCAACGTAAAGCCGGCCAACGTATGGACGGAGATGCCGATGAGCTTCTCAATGCAGCCTTAGCCGCTGTTCGATGATCAAGGCTTAGGGTCGCCTTGGAGCGGAAAACGCCCGGCTCTGGCATTTCCCGTGGCTTTGGCTTGTTGCAGGGCTTGTGGTCATTTCGCCATCATGACCGAAGGACTTCTTGGTTGGATGCTTGCAGAGCGTGATACCAATACCCGAGCCCGAAGGAGACCACCCACGATACGTCTCATGAATGAACCTTCCGGAGAGCTGAGCCAGCCAGCCCTCAAACTGTTTTACAGCGGTCTGGTCTGGTCTGGTCTGGTCTTTGGAGGGATGATTCCGTAGGACATGCTCAAAGGCATCATCATATTACAGACGTGGACGCAGTCGCAGACAAGGTCCGTTGACCGTACTGTTGGATGACATTGACATCCTTTCTATTGATGGATAGATATATATCCATCTTCTGACTCGGTTGGATCACGATGAGTCTTTCATCATTCATCGTTCATGTCTTTTTTTCTTCCTTTCTTCCTTTCCTCCTTTCTTCCTGTTCCCGCCGAACGAATCAGATGCCTGATTATGAGGCACGGAAAATGGAAAATTGGAAACGGAAAACAGAGAACGGAGAGAGAGAAGGAAGGACACCAGTCTAGTCTAGCATCATTTGATCCAATGGGTCTCCCTACCAAACCGCCGCCGCTAATGGAGAAATGTCGATATAAAAACCCTGTTAAGACGCCTATGATATGACGAGCGCAGTATGATGCATGTGTATCGTTGTATGAAACCCAACTCGAACTGGCTGTGTCTGTCTCTGGGTTAGGTACAGGTAGCTCCAATGCAGACAAACGATAAAACATGTCAGTGACTTTCGTTTCCTTTCGGAAGCGCAGTCACTATCAATATCAATCAATAGAGATAAATGATGGATGGGCCACCAAACTGCATTTTCGGATCTTCTTTCTTATATTCCTTCCATTCGAGTTCTCCTAGTTGTCAACCATTGATTGCTTGACCAGAAAACCTTTCTCGTTCTAACGCCCGACTTCTGAATGACAAGCGAGCGCATCAACTACTACTAAAGCTCCAAATTGAGTATTCCGAAACGTGAACAGATATATCGGTAGATAGCTAGCTGGCTGGGTCTTGTTACGAGAAAAGAGAACCAATATCAATATCAATGTCAATATCAGTATCAGTATCAGTATCAACATCAAAGGAACGGGAAGAACAAAACCCAAAGTCGGCAATCATCAAAAAGCCGAAATTCCAAGTCGAATTGGAATGATACCGCTTTCGTAAAGATCTACATGGGAAAAAGCCAGGGAACGGTTATCGTGATGGTAGAATCCATAAAATATAAAGAGGACAATTCATGCTGCTGCTGCTAGGGATTGAGAATCCCCGAAAGGAACGTTGCCCCATGAAACTCCTGGACATCATTCCCTGTATACCTCGACCAGGCTTTTCTCCTGCATGTCCTGAATGTAATCCCGTGGGAAATCTCGTGTTGAACGCCATATCTAAACGCCGTCGCATATAAGACACAATGACCCAAGCCCCTTTTCAACCATGATCATCGTTGTGCTGCTGTTGAGCCTCGAGTGTGAGTGATCAAGGCAATCTCATCCCATTGTGGCGAAAAGTAAAGCAAAGCGATGACAGCGTCAATTGAAACCCCTCACCATGTTGCAAGATAACCTCCGAGCCATACCGCGAGCTGTCGTCTCTCCTCTGCCATCATCCGGTATATATCATAGTCAAACCCCGCCCAAACGCCCTTGCTGCGTTCCATCCCATATGCCACAAAACCACTCTCTGACTGATTACAGCCACGGCATCCACAATCCATCCATTGCACTGAGCTTCATAGGGTCGGTCGCCCTACTGACCAGGTCCACCACATTTTGGCAAGCCGGTAATACACCATTGACGCCGCCGTCACTGCCTATACTGCCCTGCGTCTTGGCCAGTGTCAAGGCTCGACGAACAACGAAATCCACATTTTGAGCCACAAGTTCCCGGAGGTGTTGACCTTCCATCTTCGGCTCGTTCGCACTTGAGGATTGAGACCGGCTTGCGGCCCAGTTGTACATTTCGTCGCGAACGAAGATGCTGAGTTGTTGCTCCATCTCGTAGCCTTGATCTTGTTCGGCCAGGCATCTCGCGATGGCCATGAGGGACGCTGTAAAGATGCCCTCAACGGCCAAGGGCCCCATCAATGTTTGGATATTGGGGCTCAGACGGAACGGCACAGCTTCAGGATTGAAGAAGTACGCGCGAGCCGAGTTGAGGTTGGGCAGGAGATCGCTCGCCCAAATGTCGCCGGTGGAACGAGAGATGAAGTATTTCATGGGGTAGCGAGCCGACATGTGCATGATATAGGTCATGAACGTAGTGGCGGCAAACTGGTAGGCGAACTGACGGCGGAACAGCCAGAAGTCTGCAAAACTCGGGTATGTCGACTGGAAGTAGTGCAGAGCAATGGTATTGGGCACCCATCGCTCCTGGATTGCGTTGAAGATCTCCGTCTTCATGACCGTCAGTTGATCCGGAGTCCGTGGCGTAGTCTTTTGCTGTTCGGCAACAGCCCTCGACTTTTCGAGAACGAAGAGAATCGGATCATCCCGTGACATGCCCGGTGTCTTTCGCACGTAGTCCTCGTAAACGGATTGAAGAGTGACATAGGATGAGTCGTCTTGCACCAGGCGGATGTAGGGGGCAATCGGCACGAAGATGGGGAGATGGAAATAAAGATTGCGACGTCGAGACTCTTTGCGTTTGGCCAGGGTCTGATTGAAGATGCGGAAGAGCTGAACAATGCGCTCCTCGCGGCGCACCTTGCCACCGGTAGGATGCTGAACGGCGAACGGATGTAACGAGCCGTCGTGGCCACGGATGGTCAGTCGACGATGGCAGATACTATTGCCTCGAACAAGTTCAACCGTGGGCATGAAACGCTCGATTCGCACAAAATCAGTGTTCTTATCCTTGTGCTGCTGGTATTGCCCAGGAACCTCTACCGAGTCATCGAACTTGAGAAACTTGAATTCGCTTAGATGGTGACTGTAAGACTCGAGGGGAGCCCATTGTTGTCGATGGTCGAGTTTCTGTTCGAACTTGTCCCGCCAGCGTCGGAGCTTGTGGATGTATTCGTACATGGTCGGCCTGGTCTGGACGAAGTCGGCTTCAAATGACTTGCGGATGTGCGCAGGCAGAACCGAGGTCACGAACCGGGCAATGTTGGCTTCCGTGGACGGCGGAAGTTTGGCCCCTTCGGCGTAAGTCAACGGAGCCCGGCTGATGTATGCTAGACCGTCGTTCAACAGGGCCACAATGAGACGATGCGCATCTTCGTCTGGTGGACATTTGAAATGCTTGGACAGCTGGTCCGTCATGGTCTCCATGGAGAGAGCAAGCAATGGGAAGGCGGTCTTCAGTCCAGCCATGATCTCGTCGGTGTAGTCCCACGGCTTCTTCGGTTCCTCTTTGTGTGCCACGTCGGTGCCGTTGGCCTGCTTGTCTCCGTTGGGCTCTTGTTTTGGCTTGGGAGACGACGACCCATTGACGGAAGCTTCGCCATTGGCCGTTCCCGGTCGCGAATTCGCCTCTGCCTTTTCTTGCTGAGCCTTGAGCTGACGTTTCTGGGCTTCGAATTGTTTCTTCTTCGTCAAGAACTCCTCTCTTGTCGCCCGCAGATGATAGAAGAGTGCCTGAGGGAACGCTTTGGCAATCTTGACCAGCACTGTCTTGGTCAGACGAGCTTCTTTATGCTCAAGACTGCCCAGGAGCTGAGGCACGAATGTGGTCCAGTACCACACAGGAGTCTCGCCCTTGAAATCCTCAAATGCCTTTGCAATATGGCCCTCTTCGTCGTCAAGACTGAGCAACCATAACACTCGACTGAGCATCTTTCTCGACTTGGCGCTCTTATACAGGCCGGCCGCCTCCAAATAGCAACTGACCGCATTGCTTGCCGCTTCGATGTTGGTCGGGTTCTCCTTGAACTTGCGATCAGAGTATTGACCCCACTCAGCCCAGGCCTTTGGCAACCGAAGATCATAATACAGGGCAACACCGAAAGCTTCGTTTGCTTCTTCGGCATGCTGGAGCTTGGCCAGAAACATGCCCTTCAGGGTATAGAACTCGGCCTTCTGCTGGGCGCCAAAATAGTTAAGATTGGTGTTATTGATCACGTCCAAGCCGTTGTTCAGCTCCATCTTGTTCTGATAGTGGCATTTGGCTTGCTCCCTCAATTTGAGGAAAGCCTCTTGAATCTCGATATTGGGCAAGGTGTAGATCTTTCCGAGCTGGTTGATGCACACATCCGGCATTTGATGCTTGCGAGCGACGTGTGCGAACTTGTTAATGATCCACGCGGTCTCATGATAGCCTCGGAATGCGTAGGAATTGCTGCCAACGTTGTTCCCTCCTTGTGGAATGAGTGGCAGATACGTCGAGTTGACCAGCTGGAAGACGTGCTGCCGCCAGGTGACTAGGTCTTGCCATGCATTGATATCGTCCCATATGTTTGGCAGGCGATCGCGCCATGCTTGGAGCAACAATTTGACTTCCTGTGATTTGCTGTCCAGATTGCGCTCATTTGTACCCATGAGACTGTCGCAGATGACACTGGCGTCGTGCAGCTCCACCAGCTGCTGGAAGTTTTGCAAGATGGGAATGTGTGCATTCGTGATACGACGGGGAAGTTGATGCCATTTCCGGATGGATAGCTGGATTGCCTCGTCGCAAACATGTTGGAACTCGGCGCGCGACACTTGCTTAGAGTTGTACCGCAACAGAGCCATGAAAGCCTGGAAGAATGTCCGTCTTGGGGTTGGTGCATCGGAGACCGACTTGATCATCGAGTCCAGCTGGTTGCGATTCTCGTCTCCCGACCAAGCCTCGTAGTTTCGCCAGGCTGATTCGAGGAGGAGGTCACTGAAGTTCTCATGCTTCGCAAACTCGCCGAGTATATCCCACTGCTGCAACTTCTGTGCGCAAATCATCCAGTGGTCTTCCCACAAGTAGTATTCTCCCTGGGAAAAGGGGACGACGCCGGTCCTAGCTTTGACCTGCGCCGACTCCCACAGCTGTTGTGCCTTGTCCCACATTCCATGTTGTTCATAAGACAGAGCGGCATTGGTCTCCATGAACTTGCATCGTCTTCTCCACGTACCATAGAATAGATCGTCCTCCTGGAGACCGGCGTACACCTCCACTAAAGCGTCAAGGTTGCTCTCGCGGACTTGAGGTGTATCAATCAAAGGATCCACGGCAGCTTCCTCCAGATAGATGAGGGCAGTGTACCACGCATCATAAGTCTTGCTGAGAAACTTCATGACATGGGGTGGTACCTTGAATCTTGGTCGTGCACGAACAGCTCCTTCAAGCAATGCTTGCACAACATTGGGCCGCAAGTTTAGCTGCCGTTGATGATACTCCCGAGTCAAAAGAGTCACCATGCCTTTCTCCAGATCAAGTCGTTCGTCCTTGTTCAGTGCAGACCAGCACAGAGGGAAAAGCTTGACCCAGACATCGTACGCCAGGGTGTCGTCTGTGTGCTGTAATTGAGTGATGGGGTCGAGCAGATCCCGAACCTTGACTTCCTGAATCTCATGATTGAAACGTTGCTGGGCCACGACAAGCGCCTCAAGACTGTCCTCGATCAACAGGTCGTCCTTTCTTTGTTCTGGGTTGACAAAACTTGGACTGAATAGCTCGGACACGGGACACACTCGGACATCTTCAGGATGGAGACGCGCAGGCATGGACATCTCCACAGAGCCCATGATGAGGTGCGAGGCTTGCTTGAGCCAGAATGAGTCCGCGAGAGTGTCCCAGTTCTGAAGGGTCAGGACATAATTCAGCCGGTAGCTAGCGGTCTTGGAGAGGGCGCGATTGAAGATGTTCAAGAATCGGTTTCGCATCTCAACATCTTTGGCACGAGTGCCGATCAAAAAGGCGTGCTCCAAACGCACTGTCAGCTCAGTCCTCGTCACCGTTGGATCCTCATAGATTTTGATCACCAGTTCAAGGAAACGCTCGAGCAGGGTCTGAGTCGGCCACTTTTCAAAGATCAACATCTTGTGCAGAACCGCGGTTTTCTCTTTGAGGGTCGGCCAAGGTTCGTTGGAATCGAACACCCATTTTTCCACCATGTCCAAGACCTTGCTGCACAACTCAACGTTGAAAGACTTCTCCACCAGCGAAGCGAGCACACTGAGAAACGGTCGGCGTTGTTCGTTGAGCTCAGCCATCCGCGAAGACAGGATATCAATGGTCTTCTTGATCAGGTCAACTCCGAGAGCAAATTCGTAAGGATCCATCAGTGGTTCGCCCAGACGCCAACCCTGTGGTGGCGGTCCCGGCGGTATCACGTATGCGTTGATGTGCTCCTTTGCAAGCTTTTGTTGCAACGCTTTCATTGCGCCATTAACATGGTCATCAACGTCACTGGGTCGTACCAAGGACAATGTCCAGAGATTGTTGATGCCAGAGATGTAGTTCCCAGATGAAAGGGCTTCTCCGATCAAGACTTTGGAATATCTGGTAGGGAAGTCCGAGGGGGGAGTGTCGAGTTCCATCGCATCCTCATCTTCCGCTCTCTGCTTCGGGGCGGCTTCGAGAACGCGACGAACCAGAGGAAGAGACTTGTCGTCATCCTTGACCAGGTGCAGACAGTCTTGAATCTCAGGTTCTTCCATCTTGAGCGGCTTCTCCAGGAGGTTCCGCACCCTCTCCATATGACTCATGATCCATTCATCGGACTTCGTGCTCAAGAGGATGCGCATAACTTGCAAAGCATTGATCATGCAGGTCAGTTGCTTTTCATCTACCTTGTCGGCCTTCTCGCCACTCAGGATGGGTTCCAGGAGCTTCTCGTAAAGCCCGACGTCGACGTCCGCCCATAGGTTGGGAGCTAGCAGGTCGCGGAGAAGCTGCACGGCTTTCTTGACCAGGTCGTTAGATAAAGCCTGCTGTTGAGCTTTCTGCATCGTCTTAGCCTTCAGTTCCGCCGCTGGAACAGGGAACCGTTCAGGCAGCGCAGTGATGAAAGTGATCATATATTTCACAACGAGTGTCCGAAGCTCCAGCGGTATCTGGTATTCGGCCTTCTCCTTCACTGGCGGCGGTTGAAGTGGCTGTGCGCCTGTTGAGTCTCGTTTGAGCGAAGGACTCAACTCCGTTGTCGACTGCGATGGAGAGACCGCAGATACCCGACGGGTTTCCCATTGCAATACCAATGAGATCAGAGCCAATGCAAGCTTCTTGTTCTCGTTCGAGGGATTTGGCGGAGGAGCAATCTTATGAAGCATCTGGACGATTGTGGGGATGAAGAACTCCCGGGATTCGTAGAACAAGTCTGGTTGCCGCACGATGAAGTTGAAGATGCTCTGGACTTGTTGTAGATTTCCTGTTTCTTCATTGAGGATCTTTCGAGGGAGACGAGCCCAGTGCGGCGATCGTTTGTCTCCAGGAGCATTCGTGGCACCTCCCATTCTGGCCGGGAGAACAGGAGCCAGAACCTCCAGTGCCTGCGTAACCAGAGCCTTGCCCTCGTTCTGGTGAGCCTTCAGGAGTTGGTTGTAGATCTGAATTGCGATCTTTGCAGGTGTGTCATAAGATCGGATGAAATAACAGATCAGGACGTAGGCGGCATATTTGGTAATGACATCTTCCAGTTTAATATGACCCCATGAATACTTGATGATGTCTTTGCGATCCTCAGACACAGCATCCTTGTGATATTTCAGCACAAAGGCTGAGAGTTGCAATGCTTCCATACGGGAATGGTCAATCCCAGGTTGCGACAAATCCTCATTGGCATCAGGGGCGGCCGGCTTCCACAAACGTTCCAGGAAGAGATTGAACAGCTTATGGTCCGCTAAAGGACCGGCTTTGGGATCACCACGAGTATTCTGCACATCTCTAGCCATCGTCGGGTTCACAACGTTGTGCAAGAGGAATGACTTCACCTTGTGCGACTCGGTCTTCTGAGAATATATCTCGAGGCATCTTTCAATGATATTGAATCGCAGGCTAGTCGATTCTTCCGTGATAATGGCATCGAACAGAAATTTCGTCAACTTCAGCGGGGATTTGATCTGCCCTTGGGCGGATGAAGAAAAAACCTCCATCATGAAATCAAGATCTTGGAGTGCCGACTCAAGATACTGTGCTAGCACGTCCATGAGTTGATCTCCTGCTTGTTCTGCGCGAAGTCGCTGCGAAGGCTGCAGCAGATCCCTCCGAAGTTGTCCTTCAAGCTCTCGACCAGCCGCAAGGACTTTGAGGCGGAGCGGCTCCTGCTCACGCAGCCAAGCTTTTGAGGACCCGAACATGCATATCGAATGGACGATATGGATACCATTGATCGCTGCCGTGTGCCGTTGCGGGGCAGTCTCAGCCTCAAAGGCTGCCTTGATGAACGCTTCAGTGTTGTTCATGACGGTCTCGCGCAGAGCTGGACTCGATTCCGATGCCAGAAGTTGCCCAAAGAATCGGCCGTACTTCTCGTCTTGAAGCCTACTTTGGAAGAACGACCAGGTCTCCTGTGGGTATTTGTCGAGGTACAGAATCAGTGGTTTCCTGAAAGGGCTGGCCACGGTCCGGCGTAACTTTGCCTCTAGGTCAAGAACGTTGTTGATGAGGTCAGGCATGAAGCTGGTGGCAGCCGGAGGCAGGAGGTGAAAGACGTTGAAGATCGCCGTCACAATCTTCATTTGTTGATTTTGCTCAATCAGTCCAAACGAGACCTTCTGCAGCAACTGGTCATCCGCTATCACTCTCATATGCTCGAGCAATCGAGCACCGATTTCCACTTTGAAATAATTGGTCAGCAGCGCCAACAGCCTTGCGAGTCCTTCCAGTCCGGCCACCGTAAGTCTCTTTGAGTCTTGCAAATTCATCAAGATGGGTCTTAGGCCGTTTTGGAGCAAGTCCTTGGGAAGTTTGGTGGTTTGGACCAAGACCTCCTTCAAGCCTGCATTAGCAGCGTCGATGATCTCCGGGGACTTGGAGTAAAGCAGCTTGAAGAAGACGGTAATGATCCGGGCGCGACTGGTGTTTTGAGGCCCGGTGGCGAAGTCTGGCAGGCTCATGGCAAGCGATAAGAGCTTCAAGCAGGAGACACGGAGATTGACAATTAGCTGCGCATTGTTGTACTCATCAGGTTTTGGATGCAGTATCTCGGCATCGGCATCGGCAAGAGCAAGCGACTCCATCATCAAGCGATTCAACTGATCGTTGAGTGGCACAAGATCGTGGCCCAAACTCAGACAATAAGTGATCGCGTCGATGAATCCGGTCTGCGAGAGAAACGGCAGGGCTCTCAGGGGCTTGTTGAAGATGGGCTGTAAAAGTCGCTCCTTAACCGGTGCGATCAGCTCGTGCACCTCGACACCTACCACTTCTGCCATAACCGAGAATGCACGCTGTGCGGTCTCGCGTGTGTTCTTGTTCATGTGGGAAAGCTCAACGCAGAATGTAATCGAAAGGGCATGTATTGCGCTCTTTTCGTTGGTGAGCATCTCTCGCGTTTGCCCAGCACACACCTTACGAAGGATAAATTCCAGCGTCTCTTGCGCGGTCTTGCGTGTACTCGCTGGAACCTCCTGTGGCGTGTCCTTGATGACAAACAGCAACGCCTTAATGATTTCAAGCTGCTTACTGTTGAGAAAGGCATTCCCCAGGCCAAGCTTGGTGATGACGAACTGGATCCCCAATGTCGCACCCGCTTTTGTGAACCACTCAACTTCGCGACATCTATGGCAGAATGTCTGAATAAGATGGGAGAAGAAGGGAAGCCGGGCAGCCTTTTCTTCACTGCCAAAGATAGTGCGAGCGGCGTCAACAACTGCAACCATCGAAGCTTCAGCTGCTTCTCGAATGGTGACATTGTCCGATGCCAAACAATGGCAAACCACATCGGCAAGAACCCTTGTGCTTAGATGGACGGCCCCTTCCCCGAGGTGGACGTCAAACTCCTTCGTTTTTCGTCCGGCATCGCACAGAGCCTGGCCGAGCTCAACGATGGTGAAATGGCGGGCGATATTCTGTATGAATGCTTCAGCTTGAGGTTTTAGATCCGGCACCGTTGTGGCACTGAAGCAAGCTTTTAACAACTTCTTCAGCGTCTCTTCCTGTTCCCGACGCTTCATCACCGACTTGCCCAGTTCGTTGTCAGCAAGCACATCTGCATACGTGGTGAAGCGGCGGGCGAGAAGGTCATTCGCCTGGAGCCGCAGGAGGGCCGCGAAGTCGTCTGGAATTTGATCAGTACCAATGAGCAGTTTGACCTGGTTGGTGATGAGTTTGAACGACTGCTGTTTATAGTACAGGTCCAGAGGCTTTGTATTTGGGTTCTTCGCCGTCTCGCTCAATCTGCGGATCGCCAAGTCGCAGCCCGTGTCAAGAGGGAAAGCTCGATCGCGGCTCGTATCAATAAGTCTGATATCGAAACTAGGTTCATCATCCGTGTAGCGGCGGTACGTCAGATGATGCGGGTGGTTCAGGAATTTGCGGTTTCGTCCACCAAGCTTGCCCAGGATTCTCATCGTGGTGTGCGAGTGGAAATGCTGATAAGGCTGAGGTTTCAGGTGTTCAAAAAGAGCCGTCATCAAATCATCCATAATGGGAGCCATGATCGGGTCGAGGTAGTCCGCCGTAAGGTTATCAACGCACAGTTCCAGTGTCCTTAGCCCTTGGCCAACAAGATCTGGTCCAGCCCTCAAAGCCACTACCAACGGCCGCATGAGGTGGTTCAGGTGCGGCAACAGGTGACTTAGCCTTGCAGGAACCGTCAACGTTAACTCAACGTAGAGATCCCGATCATGAGGGTCTCTTGCGCCCTGAAGTAGATGGTTGAAAGTCTCTAGTAACATTTCGAGCAGTGGGAGGATCTCCTTGTAGAGAAGCTCGAACCGTCCGCCGCCGATGCTCCTGAACAGAGAGCGAAGCAGGATGAAATAATGGATTGGCTTTTCCGCCGTCACAGATAATTGCACACACTGTGTGATGATCTTTGTGATATGTGGGAGCAGTACCTGTTCGTTGTGGGCAGAAAAGAGCGTGACGGCCATGAACGACAGTTTGAACATCCTCAGAAGGATGGATGAGCGAACGATGTCGGCCGAGCCGACCTCTGGCAGCTTGTCCATCAGATATTGGAGGACCATTCCTGCAAAGGCTGGGGATGTTGCTTCGCTGGCGAGGAAAAATTGGGGAAGGTGAAGAAGCGCCGTGTGTTCGAACATGAGCTCGTGCAAATAAGGTATCTCGGCCTGGAAAACCTCATGGAACGTGGCAGGGTCAATACAGTGGAAGACGGTGCCAAAGCTTTCGAGAAGCTCCTTCTCATCCCGAGTCATCTGCGCCATGGAATGGCTCGCCATGAAATCCACAGGGGAAGAGTATTGGAGATCTGGCACAGGGGCCTCCGCACTGTAATATCGAAAGACCCGAGCGCCCTCATGGAAAAGCTTCGTGATCACAAGCGTCTCTTCAGCATTGTACCCAAAGGAAACTTCGGACCAGTTCATAGGAACGCTGGCTTGGTCAAGATTCAGTCCTGGCGGATTGCAGGTTTTGAGCTGGTAAAACATATTCTTCAAGCCGTTGACCAGATTCTTGAACAGAAATTTGTTGTCGCTGACCGGGTCGGCACCCCGTTCACGCGGATTTGAGGTTTTGATCGGCGTAGCGCTGAAAATGTCCACCTCATCCCAGTCGGGTATGTGATCTTTCTCGTCCATGTACGTCTCTGTCTGGTTTTCTTTGGACTTGTCTGCATATTGTTTGCTGAGCTTGACTGCATTGTTGTATTGATAGTTCATAGCCGCGAACTTGTCGCCGATCGCATCTAGAATCATGATCAGAAAGTACCTCGCATCTTCCTTATTTTCCAGCTTGGTGATGCTCTCGGCCATGTTGAGGAGGAGTTTGGCGCTCATGGTCTGGAAACTCGTGCCGGGGAAATTGTCATGCAGATTCTTGGTGTAGACTTCTATCGTGCGGCGGATCTGATTTCGATCCAGTGAATCTCGAACATGGTGGATCAGGTCGGCGAGCATGCTGTAAGCCAGCGGCCGCATCGTCTCGTAAACGGTCAGGCCATCTCCAATCAGGATCCTTTCGTCCAGCAACTCATCTATCTTGTTCAAAAAGATCTTGCGGTAGTTGAAATTGATGATGTGTCGGATCGCCACAAGTAACTCCTTGCGCGCCCCTGACTTTTCTCGCGGGCAATCTTTGAGCAGTCGAACGACCACGGTGGGCAAGGTGGGCAAGAAATCCGTCAACTGGTTGGCATAGACCCTTAGAAGGTAGGCAAGGAAACTCATGGTCTTAACTTGGGCAGTGATGAAGTCTCCAAATGCTGCTCTGTTCTTGATTTCCTTGCTGACGCCAGTGAAGACGGTTTTGTTGGCGGCGGCTTCGGCATGCGCCTTCTCCTGGGCCTTAGCCTGGAGCAACAGTATGCCTTTGATCGAAGGCACGAATTTCTTGACATTGGCAGCGACTGTGTTGCGGTGCGCTTGGAAAATCGAAACCACAATGATGGGGCATTCTGACAGGACCTTGAAGGAGTGCATGCCTTTCGCCAGTGGTGTGTGCTCTTTCTTCTCATTGCCGGGGTCAGAGACAGTTGTCGCTGGCGAACCGGGTCGAGGAGATTGAAAAGTCTGGCCAGAAGGATTGGGCGTCGAGGAGGTAGCTTGATGATGGGAAGCAGGCGAGTCGAACGTGTCGCGCACCACCTGTTCCATCAATTCGAACATCTCCTGGATAAGATCGAGAAAAGGCTGAACCTTGGAAGCGGTCGCGATCGGCTGATGTCGCTCGATGTCCATGATCGTTTTCAGGCACAGTACTGCGTTGTCCTCGTTTTCAACCCTCACCAGGTCCATGAGCGTTTCCACAACGTCCAAGGCATAGGGCTCAAATTCGGCCGACCCATGTTGTAGTCTGTGAAGTATCTCCAATATCTGGTTTCGAAGGACATGCTCGAACGACGTAGGGTTGAAGTCGGGCTTCCCCTCCAGGATCTTTTTAAACACCGGCCATAGCCTTGCAAGGAACTTAGTGTAAGTCGCAGACACCGAACATAGGTTTTCGGTGGAGTCACGAAGTTCCGTGGCGATGTTGGACTTTGTCCGTGTGTCTAAAGGAACCCAGCTGTCAGTAAAGAACGAGAGATCTCGCTTGGAAGAACCGTACCGATCTTGGGATCAATGAGTCGTGCGGCATAGACATCGATCTTCTGGGAGGCGTCCATGGCTTAGGATATTCCTCAAGCGGCGCCGCTATATCTCAGGCCACGTAGAAGTCTAGACCGCGAGCAGGAGGGTTGTGCGGCAAGAGGTTCAGGCGACTTCATGAGGCCTCTAGAGTAACGAGGTTCATCGGTGCGAATCAACGCCAATTAAATAGTCGCAGAACAAATAAAGGTTCCCTTCCTGTGGCACTCCAAGGTGAAAGAAATACAGGAGTGACACCAGTCGAATTAAAAGGTACGATCAAGGAAAAGTAAAAGATCGAGGTGTTGAGGTGCCCCGTGGCCTCGAAGTGCCTTGTCGAGAGTCCAGTACTTGCACTGATGGGGGACTTTTGCAGAGTTGGAGACGGAGGAGGAAGAGACGCATCAAAATCGCGGGCGGTCGCGACGCAACTTCGAGCCCGCTAACAGAGGCGATCTAACTTTATTAGGCGTAGTCTCATCACGTGACTCAAGCCTACTCATATGGTCTGATCCAATTGGATGGTGTCTGCGGAGGTACCCATACTAGTAGATACTAAGATACTAGTAGGTATCTAGAGTAATATATAGGAGCAGGAGCAGGAGCAGGAGCACGAAGGAGATAGTTTGTTCTCCAGTCACAAAAGGACGCCGCTCGGTGCGGCCGGGGCTTATACTGAGACTAGGGAGAAACTAGGGAGAAGACAGGTCTTCCATAGTCTCAGTCGAGAACGGTTAATCACTTGATCATTAATATCTCTGGTAATAGCACAGAACAAAGGCTCGAGAGAAACATGTATTCACCATTCGTCATCACATCAATAAACCCCATCAGCACCATGGATGGCAGGGCTGCTCATGCCATCAATAGGCAGCCTGGCCACATTGCACGTATCTTCATCGCAGTGGCCAACACTGCAGGCTCATGTTCGATTCTCACCCAATATCATCTCAAAGCCAACGTAGACCCTTCTGGATCACGGTACAGGCCGGTGTCCGCTGGCAATCGTTGGCTCAAAATACGCAAAATCCTCAGCTTCGACTTCCGCTGACCTGTCGCACAAAACCCGATTACGCCTCTTCCAGGTGCACGTCGTAGTCGACCGCCGAGTAGAGGGAATCAGTGATGTGACGTGGCACTGACACGCCGTTGCACGTGTGGCCCTGTCCGATGTAGATCGACTGAGCTGCCCGACTGGGCACGGTGTCTCCTCGACTTGCCGTCAGAGCCGCTATTGGACCGACGAGCTCTGGTGTGGCCGTGTGAATCTGCCCTTCGCCTCTGGAGTTATCGAAAACTTTGTCAGAAAGAGCCATCAAGGTCACTATAAAGAATACGAGAGTGTCTTAGCGAATGAGAAGATCGAGACAGGTTCAGGAAAGTCGCGGTTCTTGTGCTTTCCGTCCTGGACATGGAAGACTTACTGATACTGATGCTGGCTTCGAAGATATCGAGTCATCGTGCAGTTTCAGAGCATCAAGCCTCTCCTGATTATCTTGTGTAGCGTCGGTCTCAGGCACTTCCTTGATGGCTGGGGTCGAGGGTGGCTTCGAGAGCTTAATTCGGTTCTTGTTCGCCTGCTCGGTGAGTTTCTCCCATTTGGCCTCGCGTTCTTTCTCGCGTTGAGCTGCGGTGTTCTGTAATTCGTTGTAATCATGGGAGCATTCGTCAAAGAGTTGGGGGTTGATCTCCATGAACAGTTTCATCGCGTTGTAAACCATGCCGTGAATTGTCCTAACCAGGTTAGCGTCATCCAGAGGCAATTGCTGACGAGTGAACATACCGGTTCCAGTGACCCTTGGAATTCTCATACAGAGGTGCAAACATGATGGGTAGAATTGTCTCGACATTGTCACTGACGAGGTTGCAAAAGTATTCGTTGTTCCAGAAATACAGTGCACGCTCTGCCACCTGCTGTGTATCAGCCAAATTCTGCCAGAGACATGGACCTGGACGTACCTGAAAGTGGGGGCTGGCAACAGATTTGGCCAGTTGATTGAACAGTGGCTCCTGAACCTTGGCGAACTCTTGAGGGTCCATAACTTCGAAGATGTCCTCGACCTCGTTCAAGAACATCACCTCTTTGGTACTGTTGGTTTTGGGCCAGTAGCGGAGGAGGCCAAGAACAACCTGCGCGGTGATCAGTCATGGTGTGAACGACGTAGCGGAGACTTGGACATACCTCTTCCGTAAGAGCAGAATCCTTCTCCAGAAATTGAACGATACAATAGGCCAACTGTGGGTGATACATGCTCAGGCTCTTGACTTTGTGGAGGGGGAGGAGCACCCTGGTCAAGAACAGTTTGTGTTCCTCCTTCAGAGGGAGTGCAAAGCCATTAATAATGGACCCCAGGATTTCCAAAAGCTCTGCGATCCCGTTGAATCTCTCTGTTTCGTAGGTGAATTGGAAGAAGACATTGTTAATGGACCTCCGAATGTATGAGCGGAGATTCAGAAATTTGCCGTAGATGCGGTGCAGTGTGGTCTTCAAGAAATCCCTTTCGCGAGGGTCTTCCGAGTCGAAGAGTTCGAGGAGCTGAAGGACAAAGTGGTGGTCGATATATGCCTTGGCAATATTGGTATTGAAGTCCTGGCTCTCAATGAAGCGCAGGAAGAATTCATAGACGACTTGTATGTGAGGCCAAGCCACTTCAAGAACGGGCTCGTCTTCTTCCGGGTCGAAGGCTTCGCCTTGAGGGTTGACCGGAGGAGGAACCGGCCGGAACAGGTTTTTACTGAACATCTCGACGACTTTGGGATACATCGGCTCCGTGATGACCGATCTATTGTTCGCAACATAATCCAGCAATTCATGTAGAGCAAGGCGTTTGATCTCTTTTGATTTCATGTCTGCGGTCTGGTCATTGAAGTCGAAAATGATGTTGCACTGGTCAATCTTCTGCATGAACAACTCTTGTCGTCGGTTCGGCGGCACCTCGTGGAAGCCTGGTAGTTTCTCCAGCTCTCGAGACCTCTGGTCAGAGACATCAAACCGGGAGGAATGCTGTCTCTTGGGTGTCCGAATTCCCTCAGCCACATCTTTGGGCGTTGACTGAAGGCGGTCGAAGAGAAGGGATTTTTGGCCCGCCTTCGGAGGCGCAAGGTCACCGGGCATTGTCTCTGTGGCGCCTGGACCGGGGATGTGAGGAGCACTTGGGCTTATGATAACACTCGGTGCGAGATGTCCGCCTTGCCTGCTAGGGGTACCCGGCCCGCCAGGACCCTGACCAGCTCCTTGTGGTATGTAGTGCTGGCCTGCAGCTCCAGACGCAGAAGGAAGGATTCCAGGGTGCAAAGTATTCGCAGGTCCGCCTGCACCACTGTCACCAGGAGTATTTTTGGACCGTACATCATTCACGTTCGTAGTCGAGGAACTGGGCGTGGCAGCATTGGAGCTGTTTGGGGATTTCGATTCGCCGCCGGCCAGAGTAGCAGAGGTAGAGAGGGGCGACGCGGTAGCTGAACTTGAATCCTTTTTCTTGGAGGATTTATTTGACTCCTTTGCTCTCGACAACTGCTCGTGCTAGATACCAGTAAGCTATGGCGCCTCGTCCAAGAGATGAATCGCCGCCATGGGACCAGATCGGTCAAACGAGGCAAGGAAAACACACCACTCTTTGCCTGAAGCCTTTCATCTTTTCGGCAATGAACTTCAATTATATCTCTCGGAATGACGAACCTCGTCACGATCTGTGAGGTCACTAGTTGTGTTTGTGGAAGGTGGGTGTTTTAGTGGTCGTTCAAGTCGGAGGCACGCCGTCGAGGGCCGAGAAGAAGTACGGATGTTGCGAGGGTTACGGAGTATCGAGTTGCAGTCGCTGCGTAGGTTCGTTAACCACTCATCGTAAAGGGTCGTGTAAAATAAGGACGGTAGGCTCGTAGCACGATAATCTGTAAAGAGGTGGTCAGGCATATCGTGACGAGCAGGCAACGGAAGTGAGGGCACGAGGTGGGCTTACAACTTGGTTTCTCAAGTGAGAGATGCAATTGAACGGAAGGGTGCAGCCTTGCTTCAAACACAAGTTTTGGCTCAATGCTTCAGGGCTGAGTATGCAGGGAGGAGCGCGTCCATTGAAGAGAGGTATGGGAAAAGAGCCAGTGGGTTTAATTGCTGGCTTGAGAACTGCGTGACTTCGTGGATGGATGGGCACAGTAAGTGTAAAGTGAGTTGATTGAGGAGTGTAATGGTGTTGCAGCTGCCAGTCAGTGGCTTGTTCTCCGGTCAGTAGAAGGTCTAGTGTCTTGTTTGGGCGGGGGACACGGCCTCGTGCTGCGCAATCTGCTAACAAATTACACTCTAGCTACATTTGGGCTAGAGCATCCCCAATCTGTTGCTAATCTACTGCTAAATTGCGATAGAGTAGCACTACAGAGGTGTTAGACGTTATAGATCGATGCCAAGAGGAGATACGTAAGGACCTCAGGTAGAACTTGAACCGCTACTGGTACCAGGTACAGTGGTCGCAGTTCAAGTATTAATACTCTACTACTTACCAGGTAAGGCACTACACCGGCTCTATACTCAGGTACGGGTACACAACTTACCTACCTATCTACCTAGGTATGCGTCTCTTATTGCAGTACTACTTACCGTGACGGCCATAATCCTGGCCTGCCACTACTTTCTCAAATCTGGTTTGCCGAAATGATCTCCTTGCCTTGAGCCGGCGTCCTCACGAGCTCGACATGACGAACCCATCAAGAAATTCATCAACCGCGCCATGGTATCCGGTGCCAAACACACCTATTATCTCTGTTGAACACCCGTGCATCGTTCGAAATGTCGACAAAGCTGTGGAAATGCTTGGGGGACCTAAGGAGATTGCCCAGTGTCTCACCGTCAACACTGATAGACCGTTAGGGCTGAGTTTCCAGCCTGACGACCCTGCCAGTCGGACGGTGATGTCTTACAACAGGAAAACCAACAATCTTTTACTACGATTTACCGTGCCTAAGCGGACAGGGAGAAAAAGAAAGCGTGGCTCCGACGAGCCGTTTCTTGAGCACGCCACAGCTCCTCTTCAGAGGAAGGATGCTTACCATCTTCTCCGTTCCTTGAAAGACAACCCTCACAGAAGTCAAGTCGAGGTTGTTGGTGGGATCCGCTCGACACACGTGTGGCGGAGCATGCCTGACTATGTGTACTCCTCTAAGGGGTCGACCTTCCTTAAAGAGCTGCAGACCAAAATACTTCCGCAAGAATATCCGCGACTCAAAGAATGGTCCCTTCCACGAACATATGGTCTGGCTGATACTGAAACCTTCCCGCCGCCGGTGTGGTCTACCTCAAGTCTGCCACTCAACTATACCTACCGCCAAAACCCAGCGGTCAAAACGGTGGCAGATCCAGTAACCGGTCAAAAAACGCTGCGGAATACGCAGGCCCCGAAAAAGCTTTTGACGTATCAGTGTCAATATGACGATGAGAAGTGGCCAGACACACCCAACCCAGATTGCACCCCTTTGTCGCAACTACCAGAGCCGCACCGCAGGGTGTACAGCATCATGAAGGATCTGTTTGAAGAGCGGCCGATCTGGTCCCGGCGAGCCCTCCTCAATCGTTTCCCGGATGACGCCCCGATGTTCTTAGCCCGACACCTTGTTGCATACGTCGCCTTTGCCATACGGTCAGGGCCTTGGCGAGATACACTATGCAAATTGGGCGTAGACCCAAGAAAAGACCGCTCGTATCGCAAGTACCAGAGTGTGCTCATCCAACTGGTGTCGCGTTATCGCGCGCAGGGTGAGAGTCTGGACGAGACTGGTCGCTCTTGGGTTCGGAGTAAGGACAGAATGTCCCATATCTTTACGGGCAAGCAGGATATTCCTCCCGATGGCAAAGTGTGGCAGCTGTGTGACCTGCAAGAGCCCCAACTCAAGAAGCTGGTAGACGTGCCGGACATTTACATTCGTCACGAGTGCGAACGGCGGTATTTCGGGTGGTATCACAATGGAACTGTGGCTAAGATCCGCATCGCTCTGAAAGCCAAAGTCGATGCGCTCCTCGGCGGCGAAGCATTCGACGAAGCGGCATTAGAGAGATTTCTGAAGCTGCCAGAACGTTATGATGCGTCGGAAGCACACAAGGCTAATGAAGCCTCCAGCAACGCGGTGGCCGCATATCTGCCAAAAGATGCTAGCAAGAAGGAGCTAGAATGGGCAAGCGCATATCGAGCATTGTGCCGCACAATGCATGGTTCACTTCCGATCGCGGGTGGCAGTGGAAAGGGAAGACTTAGTAAAAGCAAGCTGTCCACAAGACCTAGCTTCATCGCAACCGCAAACGAGAGTCTCGGGGACACGGACGACCATGAGCTTGATATGGCAGAGGGTTATGAAGAACCAGAGGATGGTGATGATGGGCTCAATGAACAAGACCAAGGACAGGAGGACGACTACGCTCCTGGAGAGGTCGAGCCACACAGAGGCTAATGACATAGGTCAGGCTGTCCAGATGTCGTCCTGGTGGCTTTAAAGGCCAATATACAGGTGGTTTCCACCTGGCGTTCTGGCACGCCAGACACATTGTCTGATTCAGATTGTACAATACCTACCTTACCTACCTAAAGGTACCTACTATGGTAGATACATGCCAGGCATATACCTCATCTAGGTACGTACCTGATCTGCGCTGTATCTCTGGCTACGGGTTTATGTACCGAATATGGAATAGTTAGTTGGTACCTTCCAAACTGAGGTTAGGCCCATTTATATCACAGGTACCTGCTGCACTATTCCAGTGTCTTGCAGTGGGTGACGGCATCGGCATATCGCCGGCAGTTGGCCTAGTACTGAGATACGTACGCAGAAGCAAATACTTACTACTACTAGTAGCAGGTTGGTGCTTCACGTAGCCTCGCTACACACTAATTCTCTCCGCGAGGATTTGCTTTCCTTGTCGAGCATTTTTACGCGAAACTTGAAAGGCCGTTCCATCCAATTCTCCACCTGAAATGTGTCAGCAACAAACGACTCTATGGTCAAATACCACACTCTCTCCAGCTCTTGTCTCCAGAGTCCTCTCTTCGAATCCATCATCCCTTCGCCTCCCTGTAGGGCTGGATATGAATGGCGGCCGCAGAACCAACCGTGGCCTCCGATGCGATCCTGTCTGCAGCGGCTAGCTCGAAGGCTTGCGATCCAGAGAAAGCGAATCCAAGCCTACAGGAGAATACGCTGGAAGAGATATGAGCCATCCTCGCGCCTGTCACCAAGCACCGAGGCTGGTGTTTTCGTGCAATGGAATCCTCAAAAGTTCATTGCATGGCGAGGTTGACTCTCGACCAACAGATGAAGGTGCTGCAAACGCCAGGGGAGACGGTCGACACAAGCGACCATCGCAATCTACCGTCCAGCCACCCTTGCCCCGATCCAACGTCTTCCTCGTAACGGAACGCTGGTTAACCCGTTTCTATCTCTCCCCACTAAAGCAACCGAATGTGTTCAAAATACTATGGACTACTTGACCACAATATGCAAGAGTACTGAAACAGATCGTTCACTGCCTATCGGTACAGAGAATTCGCATCTCTCAATGTTGCTTCCGTTTGCCCTTGAACATTCGCTCCTATTCGAGACCATCATTCTGTTTGTCGAGCAGCGGTTCTCCTCTGCTTGGTCAGGTCCACTGTCGAGGATGCCGCTTTCGTACGCATCGAGGCAACGCAATTGCTGGCCTCAACAACCAACTTCACTCCAACGACCGCACAGACGACGTGGCAATATTAACCGTGGACAAGGCTTATGACCCTGGCGTTCCTGGTTGGGAACCAACGTGGTGTAGGCATGCATTCTGGCAGACTGGACAAGATGCTTCAGCTCCGAGGTCCGCTGTTTCCAGGCGCAGGACCCGACATGAGAGTCCGCCTGATTCAAGTTCGTCAGGCTCGGATTGGTTGCCTACAAGTCATTGGGATCCTTTGTGACAGGCCGGCCGCTCGAGAATCGCCCCAGACTCCCCTGGCTACACAAAAAAGCCTTCCAGGAGCTCAAGCTTGATCAGCAGCTGTCCTCTCCTGGGATGCCTTTCCCACAAGAGTTGTGTATGATCCTCTCTCGGCTTCCCCGCGGATTGTCAGAGGCCTGCTAGAAGTCTAGCATTCTACTCAAATGATCAACCTTCTTGCGTCCATCTCCGCTACTACCACTCTGCTGACCTCGGGGGGTCTGTCGGGTGATATGGTAATATCCCCGTCGGCCGATCCGTCTCGTCAGATCGGGAAAAGGCGGCGGATCTTGATCCGGACTTTCCTCTCATCATTACAGCGTGTGTACCTCACCAGCACATCGACCATCGAATCCCACCTGATACCTGGTCTCCTTCCATGTTTGAATTCCGAGGCCTCGGACCGCTGAACCTATTCAACGACCCCATATTGCGGAATTTCGTCCAGAGCTTTCCCCACCACTCTGATCATTCAACCTTTGAGAAGCGGCAATTGATGATTGGGACGAGTATTTCGATCGCAGGTGTATTGGCTTTGCGAGTCGTACCCATGCCTGACTCCCACACGATCCTGGATGATGTAATGGAAAGGTATCCCGACATCCAGAATTGGCAGCGACAGGATATAATGTTCCGCGGAATTTTCTGGATTTACAATCTCCGCATTCATGGGGTGCATGTTTGGGAGGCGGAGACAACTATTTCTGCCTGCAGAACTGGGATCCTCACCACAGCTACACTCCCAGCAGATACTTGATCATATTGAAGAGCGCCAAAGACCATACACGGAATGGGAAAGGCAATCGGTTTGTGCCCTTTTCGTCCACGACCTTTTCATAGTCCCGGACGAGGATGACGTCTCCAAAAGCGACGGGGTATCTCAGAGCCAAGGCACAAGATGGAATGTGGATGACCTTGAACCGAAGAGTGAAGTGGGTTGGCATTTGTTTGATGCGAGGCTGCTTCATCTCCAAGAGTACAAGGAAGACTGTCGAGTACCGTGGCAAAGGAGGAGTTCGTCACTCCGTCGTCATCTCCATCATGAAGCGCTGCCCATTCACGGAGCATCGGCCCAATCTGTCTCACATTCCTCATGCTCTTGACTGTGGGCATGTCTCTTCTCCTGGCCTTTGCGACCAGAGGGTTCGGCCTGCATTTGGGGCACATCCTTGCTTTGCTGTTACAAGGTATGGGAGACCAGTGCATACTACTTATCTGACCCGGAAGCTACTTCCACCTGTTTGCGAGGGTTTAGCAGATAAAAGAAAATCGTGGCCGAGTGCCTTGGCTGCATGCGCTCCTCACAAATGCACTACCCCATCATCCAATGCCCTGACCACGTCGCCAGTGCTTATCAAACGTTTAGGCGTGGCAGGCTATCGATTGCATGTTGAATAGACTGGAGCACGGGACACGCATCTGTCTAAGTGGGCCACAGCAACGCCTCATAGGCAGCAGGCCAGGACCGTTTGTTCGTCTTCGACCAGGATGTCGACATTTCCAGGTGCACCGTCGAAGGCTTGATCGGCCTAGCTTGCTTGATACCGATTTTTATTATCGCATCTTCTCCCATGGCCGAGGATTTATGGAGACTCGGCTGTACCAGAGTGGCACCTCACAGCGAGTTGGGTTCTTACATAAGCCACTGATACCGCCCCATCTGCCCCTTATCTCGCAGCAAGCGGAGGAAACTGGAGCGGAAAAGTGATGACCCAGGCTGTCAGCCGAACAGCCTTAGGCCGTGGGGACGGCCCAAAGAGATTCTCGAGGAGGGTCCTTGCCGTGCCATTCCTGATGACCAGCCAGCGAAACCTTAATCACTCAGGCGTTGTGTTCTCTGTTCAGACAGCTTGGATCCTGGCTGTTCCCGAAAGATACCTCCTCTGGCTCATCATACCCAGGTATTTCATGACGAGATCTGCTTCCTCAAGAGATTGATTAATTGCACTTCTGCGCCGTTCTAGCAATGCGTGGCGGCATCAAGAGGTCGCGCAATGGGTGCGCTCGATGCAAGGAAAAGAAGGTATTGACAACTTGTCCCTCTTCCGCTGCGCCTATACTTACTCCCACTTTCAATTCAGCTGAAATGTGATGAGACTTGGCCGAGGTGTCTTCGTTGCGGAAAGCGGAATATAATATGTCCTGGTTATGCGAATACTGCTCATGACCCAACCCTTCACGGACTCGACCGGGCTGAACGGCCGCGACGGCGAGCGTCGACAGATACTCAAGCATTGCTTCCACATACATCCCTGGATGCTCATCAAGAGGAACTGCACCGATCAGCGCCTCAGCATTCCCTCACGGATCTCAGCGAGGATGATATTCTCGCAGCTGCCGAGCAAGACAATAACGCTCTGTTTGCCGGCCTGGACGGACAACACAGCGTCAACATTCCATGGGACAGCATGGCAGACCTAGGGATGTCCCAATCTGCGCCCACGAGCTACAGCAATTCAGTGGTCCACTACAGCTCTGGATTCTCCGTGTCACCAGAGCAGCAGCACGAGCCAGGGTTTCTGCTACAGACGGAGCTTTGGAGCCCCTCACTCTCCGGCACCCTCTCGAAAACCTCTACCTGGCCAACCACCGGAAATATGACGCAGGCAGAAACGGATGTGCGGATCACTCGAGAACAGAAGGTGCCCACAAAGATCATGAACGATTACAGCTCCATGTTGGTAGAGTTCTACTTCAAGGAGGTCGCAGCCCTCTTTTCGTGCTATGACAGTCAATTGAACCCATTTCGGTCGACCGTGTCGAAACTCTGGAAGTCGTCGACATCGGTATTCTACGTGGTTCAGAGCATGGCGGCCGCGTGCCTTACGGACGTCTTCCCGAACTTGCATGCTGTTGGCGCACAAATGCGTGACAAGGCGGCTTCTTGTGTAGAAGCCGACATACGGGATTCGAAGGTTGACACTGGCTCCCTTCTGACTCTCATCATGCTTGGTCTTTCAGCGAGTTGGCACCAAGCCAACGACCTAGGACAGAAAGAGTTCGATCATGCACGCACCATCATGCATGCTATCCAGATGGGACAAATCCCTTCGATTCTTGAGAACAACAGCAAGCGCAACTTGCAATTCTTCCAAGAGGCAATGATTTATTGGGAAATGCTTCTATCCTATGTCAGCGATATCACAATGCCTCTGCCCTTGCCGGAATCCCAAGGGCCTGCGCTTCCCGACAAAGCCAAAGCCAGCCAGGCAGTAGAACCAAGTTTCCCTCATCCCTGGACGGGAGTTGCCAGAGAGGCTCAGGCTATTGTGTTCGAGGTCGGACGGTTGGTCAGACAGGAACGTCAACGTATCCGAAATCGACCGTTCTTCACGTCGTTATCGGACATTGCTACCAGTCGGAAAGCTCTCGAGACGGCAGCATCACTAGCTCGCAGATTGCAGAATCTCCAGTTTCCGACCGAGGAAAGCGTGATTTCGCCAGGTGACGCGCAGACACCCGTCATTCACCTGCTTACTATTGCTGAAGCATATCGCCGGACGGGTCTGCTCCAGCTGTATCGTGTCTTCCCTGATCTCCTGGCGCCGCAAGAGCAAGACAACGAGGATCAGCTCGACTGTCAGTCGGCCTGGAACATGCCCGAAGAAAACATCTACCGGAGGCTGACCGAACTTGCCCTTGAAATTGTGGACTTGCTGCGATCCATCCCGACAGAGTCACGTACCCGCTGCGTCCAGCCATTTCTGCTGGTCGCTACGGCAAGCGAGTTGCGAACTTGTTCTGCCACGGAATACTCTAGTGGCCCAGGCATCACTGGTGTAGATACCAACGAGATCTCGGGCCCCGCGAGTACTAGCATCCAAGTGCTCGAGGCGAGAAAGTTTATCATCGGCCGCCTGTCGACTTTCGAGCATGTGCTCCCAGCCAAACCAATCCGGCAAATGGTGGAGATTGTCAAACACACTTGGGACCAACTGGACATGGGTTTGTCCAACGTCTACTGGATGGACGTCATGATCGAGAAAGGTTGGGAGACAACGATGGGGTAGGTTTGCGAGACCACGACATCGATCCGACCTTCCTTTACTGTCGTTGCGTTATTACCTTTCCACCGGCTCGCCCCATTTTTTAGTGCGCACGATTCCTGGTCGTTCGATGCCGCAGTATTCAACGAGCCCAGTAAAGCCTACCAGCCTGGTTTGCAATACCACAAAACCGGCGATCGAATTCCTTTAGATGATGCCGACGAAGAAATATGTTGCTTGTCCAAAGGCACAGCTGAACATTAATCCCCAGTCTTTCTCCTAGCCCCCTATTGTGGCCAGTGCGCTCATCACCGTCGGCGAACCTACAGAGTATTCAATGGAGCGAAGTGGAACCAATCAATTTACGTACTCAGTATCTATCTACAGCACGAGAAAGAAATCAAAAATTCCGAGCCGCCAAAGGCTGGCCAATGGGGATACGAGAACAGCCTGTCAGGACTATCAAGATCCGAACTCAAAACCGCCCTATCTGTGCGAATCCGCAAGACCATCGATTGGATAAGGTGATAGCGTCTGTTTCAGCGCCTGGGACCTTGCATAGCTCTACTACTACAGCGTTGGCTTTCCGACTTCGCCTCATGCATGCTGCTCCTGTCCCTGATCCAGAGGAATTTCCCGGATCTCAATCGAGGTCGAGAGGCGGACGAGATCCACCGCTATTCGCTGACTCTTCTGGACGGCTGCCTGCAAAGGACTTCGTGTGCAGCAAGCGATCCCGTTATCCAAGAACAGTCTCGGCTCGCATAGATAAGGCAGTCGCTTGGCGCTTTCAAGGGCAGGGGTTTGGGAAGAGCAGTGAATGACACGTGCGAGACCAACCCTCGACTCTCTTGCAGTTACAGTACATACGTTGCCGCGTCGACACAAGATCCCTGCTTCGCCCAGTCCTCGCACACATAATCCTTGGCTTGTCTCTGATTAGTGCACCGTAACGGTCGCGCCAACAGAGCACTTGGGCGTGTTTTCCGCTGGGGACTTCGGAAAGTAATTTGGAATCAGCTTGATGGTTCAGCCGCTCCAAGTGGAGGGCATGGATCACAACGACAACGACCCAAGAGAGGAGGGTTTTACAGATCGGCGACTGTTGCAGGAGCTCGCCAGTCACAAGTCGCACACCAGGCACAAGTCAACGGCCTCAGGCCCCCCGAATTGTCCAGCAGACGAAGTGGAACATGAACTCGGCGTCGATCTTATGTATTCGATATACAAATTGTCGCCACTTTGCGCTTATCTCCTTACTATAGCTATACCCTCATTTCTGTGTGGCTAGGGCGACAATCTAACCTGGTCTCCCCTGGAAATGCTTGAGGTCGTCAGTCTCATAGTCATACACCTCCTTGCCTTCGAAGAAAGTCTTGCGCACGACGGTGGTGCTAATATCCTCGGCCGTGCTCAGGTCTCGATCGAGGATGATGAAGTTGGCTAGTTTCCCAGCGGTAATGCTCCCCTCTTTGCCATCTCTGTTGGTGGCTTTGGCGCCATCGAGGGTGATGATGCGAAGGATGTCTTCCTTTTCCATCTCCCAGCCCTTGCGGCCCTGGAGCAGTGCCTGCAGACCCGGGAAGATATTGGGCGTCTCGGGGGCAAAGACCCAGTCACTCCCAATGGTGAGCAAAGCACCGGCGTCCCTCAGCCCCGTAAACGGATATACCGACATAGGGTTATGCTCCGGCTGGTAGTCTGGGTCATGCCAAACGGCCGGGCTCATCTCCGCCGTGATGTTCAGCCTCTTGTACCTGTCGAAGTCGTCTGGGTGGACATCCATATTATGGGCGAGTTCATGCTTTGGGCCGTTGGGGCGACGCTTACGCATGTCCTCGAAGCAGTCCAGAGCGAAGCGGGCGGAGCCTTGCCCGCAGACATGCACCTTGCATGTGCGGCCCTCCTTGTCGAATCGCTCAATGGCGTCGGCGAAGATGGCCGGAGGCACCAGAATCTTCTTGTAATCGGGCTTGCCATCTTCTGCCAGAGGGCAGTGGGTAAGATGCGGTTCCCACGGGACCCCGTCCAGCCAGAACTTGACAAAGTTGGGATTGAAGTGCTTGGTTTCATAACGGTACGACTTGTTGATGCTGTTGATGAGGGTCTCAGGAATCTCCTGGCTGAACGCGGCGCCCCAGAAGACAACATGCGCGTCAAGGTTGATGGTCATCAAACCCATCTCATCGAGCTTTTTGGCTGCCTCGAGATACACCGCGTTCGCGGATGCCTCCTGGACCGCAGTGAAGCCGAACCGGTTGGCCATCTTAACGCCATAGGCCAGGGCCTCGACATGCGATTCGGGGGTGCCCTTGGGGATGGATGACCACATTCGTTTGGCAGCACCTTCAACCAGCTCTCCCGTGATTGTTCCATCCTCCCGCCGTACGTAGTATCCGTCCCATGGATCTTCAGGGTTCTCTTCGTATCCCGCCGCCTTGAGGGCCGCCGTGTTGGCGAAGATGTTGTGGGTGGTGTATTCTCGGATCACGACCGGCTGATCGCCAAAGGCGTCGTCGAGGAACTTGCGGTCAGGCTTCTTGTCTTTGAAGTTGCGCCAGTGATAGAAGTTGCCGATGAGCCAGTTGCCCACGGTCTCGAGGTGTTGGCACGACGAAGCATAATCTCGGAGCTTGCGAACTGTCTCGTCTGGTCCGGCTTCAAGGCCCAGCTTTGCTTCGAAGAGCTTTTCCTGCGAGGCAACCAGGAGATGGCAATGGGCGTCGTGCAGACCCGGCATCACAAACTGGCCTTTGAGATCGACCAACTGGGCGCCGGTGGAAGAAGCGAACTTGGTCAGTTCAGCCGTCGTGCCAACCTTGCCAAAGGTGCCATCCGGCTGGACAACAAAGCCCTCAGCGCGCGGAATGCTGGAGTCGACGGTGTAGACATTTCCATTCACATAAACAGTCGCCATGGTATTTGTCGGGGGAGTTCTTGACGTTCCTGAACCGCCCTCTCCTCTAGGTGGCGACTGGCCATGTTCATCTTATAGTTCCGACCTGGTCTTTGGTCCGCATCGGTCCTATTGTCACGAGTTACGGCTTACGACTTAAATCGACGGCTATCTTACTCTCTTATCGACCGGTCAGATATGTTTGCGGTCGGAAAGATAGAAAGATATGGTAGCCATCCCCCCAAGATGGATGCTTATCGTCACCCTGGCACAGACATCGAGTCTCTAGACTATGGAGACTAGGTCGACGACTGGAGAACCATGCACTCCATCCTTTCCAGGCAGCCAACGTCGAGTAGGAGTCGAGCGGTGGAGACCAAGGACTTTACCGCATTCGCTTTGCAGTTGGTTGCTGAGATGGTCGGAAATCTCCAATCAAGTCCCACACATGGCGCCCAATAGTGGCCGCTTGAGGAACGCACCTTGTTGTGTCCTGTCATGGGGTTACTTATCGATCCTGCTGATCCTGCTCCAGATTTCAAAGGAATTGTTGATGATAACGAAGCGTCGCTGTTGGACAGGAATCTATCCGAGCGAAGGTCAGAGTCGCGATATCGAACTCGCCCTCCCAGCCATGGCTGTCAGTGGTTGAATGGATGAAACTGGCAGGGCATCTGCTGGTGTATGCCAGGAGCGTTGAGAGTGAGTTATGCGAGTACAAGGCTTCCGGTGAGATGGATCTATATCACAACCCATTATTGTTATAAATGAACCCACGTCCCTTTCCCCCCCTGACGCTTCCAGAACCAGGCCGACCCGCTCTTGCAAGCTTTTACGTTTTCTTCCTCTTCGTCTGCCTCTGCCTCTTCCTCTTCTTTTTCTTCTGCCTCCTTCGCGACCCCTCTGAACTACTCACCATGGCGCAACATCACTTGCACACCGACGTGATCCCCGGTACCGTGCACTTGGTCGATCTGGCCGGTAACCTCCGGGTCAAGCATCAAGAGGGCGGCGACAAGGAGATTGTCCTGTTGCCCCAACCCACCTCCGAATATGATGACCCTCTCAACTGGTCTCGAAGGCGCAAGCTGGTCTCCGCGACACTCTGCCTGGTGGCCGTCTTCTCGGCCGATATCATGACCACGCTCCTCTCGGCCGCCCTCCTCAACATCGAGACCGACACCGGCATTCCCCTCGCCACGCTCAACCAGGGCGTGGGCGTGCAATACCTCATGTTCGGCTGGAGCAACTTGTTCTGGCAGCCTCTCGGCCTGAACATCGGCCGGCGCCCTACCCTCCTGATTGGGGCTTTGGGGATGCTCGCCTGCTCGGTGTGGACATCGTACGTGACCTCCTCGGGCGAATGGTACGCCAACCGGTTCCTGATCGGCGTCTTCTACGGGCCGATCGAGACTCTGATCGAGGTCTGCATCTCCGACGTCTTCTTCGCCCACGACAGAGGGTTCTGGGTGGGCATGTACTGCTGGATGCTGTTTGGGATTCCCTTTCTCGGTGCCGTGCCGGCCGGGTTTGTGGCAGAAAATCTCGGCTGGCAATGGATCCAGTTCATCGCGTCCATCATCTCGGCGGGATGTATTCTGGCCATGTTTTTCCTGTTGGAGGAGACCATGTTCTACCGCCCGCCTGTGCAGGAGGAAGCCATGGACGTCGACCAGGATGCCAGCTCGACCGACGACCAGACCGGATCCACCACCCCTATCCCCGCGAGCGGCGGTGATGTTGTTGACGAGAAGCGTGGCGGAGCCGCGGTGAAATCCCCCATGCGGGCCGAACTGGGCGAAATAGGCAGCCACCGGAAGTCGTTCCTGGAGAAACTCAAGTTCTGGGGCGCCCGTCGGCCCGGCCAACCGAATAACTTCGTCCGCTCGGTCTGGATGCCGTTCGCGCTCCTGCAATTCCCCGTGGTCGCCTTCTCGGGACTGCTCGTGGGATCGATCTTGTCATGGTTTAACGTGACCAACGGGACCATCGCGCTGGTGTTGGCCGCGCCGCCATATAATTTCTCGACGGAGATGATCGGTGTCATGTTCATCGCCCCCTTCATCGGATGCACCATCGGCTGCCTGTTCGCGGGCGTGTCGGCGAACCGCTTCGCCGTGTGGATGGCGCGCAAACGAGGCGGCATCTTCGAACCGGAATATCGCCTCTGGATGGCGGCGGTGCCCGTGATCCTCCATCCCGCCGGGTGTATCTTGTTCGGCGTCGGCGCACACCACGGCGTGCACTGGGTGGGGCTGGCGTTCGGGTTGGCGTTCATTGTGGGCACGTTCCCCATCGGCAGTGCCATTGCCATCAACTACATCATCGATTCGTACAAGGAGGTTTCCGGCGACGGGTTGGTCACGATGATCTGTATCCGAAACTCGATGGGATTCGGGTTCAGCTATGCCGTGACACCGTGGATCCAGGCCTCGGGCGTCCAGAACACGTATATCGCCATTGGCTTTATCGGCATGTTCTTCTGGGCCTTGTGTTTCTTGTTCATCGCCATCGGGAAGAAGACAAGGAAGAACACGGCAAAGAACTTCTGGGCAATGGTGGAGAAACACGGGTTGACTGCTCATTAGAATCTGAGTTGGAGTGGAGAGGAAGATGGACGACCGGGAGGTGTCCAGGGTTGGCAATGAGGTTGGACGACGGGTATGTTTGTTTTGTTGGGGTGACCGGAACGGACTGGATGAACCTGGACCTGGACCTGGACATGCCGGCTCTCGCAACGCACAGGGATTCAGGTACTGGAGATGGCAGGCGACGATGATAAGCAAGTCAACAGTCACAAGTCAGCCAGTTCAAGGGTCCTTATCGCGTGTCACGACTCACCTTTGCACACATCGACCTTTTTCCTCAGGTATACTTGAGCAAGATGATAGAACAAGCTAGAACAGAACAGACCAGTCTCCCAGCGCTATAATAACCAGAACTATATGGAGACATGGAAACAAGATTGATCCTCACCAGTTGGTATCTTCCTTGGTTTTGGAGGCTCATCCGGTATCGCCTTTTCAGGAGGACAGCGCTATGCTCATGTCTGCTTGATCATGTTCTCGACGCCCAATGCCCATCCACGCTTGCATACACTCCAGCCGCATGATGGTTGATGATGGCCATGGTGAAAGGTAGGAGAATTAGTTTGATCATCGTGCCGGAGAAGATACTGTAGATACCGAGATACATACCTGGTAGGCAGCTGCTGACTAACCAACCCAGCCTTGTGTCTTTTCTTATATGTCGTCCTTTCGGTCATCGACGGTCATAAACTTCGGTCTTCGGCTTTAGCTGTAGCTATAGCTATAGCTTCAATCTTGCCTTGCCTTTTGTGGTACCAATTCTCGATACGCGCGTAACTTACTATTCAAGGCTGAGGATTGACGGCACCCCGGACCTTTCGGATCTCTGGTGTCATGGACAAAATATGATCTACTGATCCCACCGACCGAGCGACTACTCATACTCATCTATCTATCTGTCTATACTAGTAGTATTGCGTCACATGCAGTGCTTGGTATATACGTAGTATAGTATAGCATATACCCCTTTTAATGCTTGATCACACGACCAGAATAGATGGTTTGTTTGTTGATCTCAGCCCCACTATCACACCATGTGTAGCCGACGATTTCCCACTCTTTCCCGCGCAACAACGTCGATATATACGTCCGGACTACTTATTTTATACGTCCTATTTATTGACTGTGTGATATTTACTGTGTGATACTATCTGACTGATGATTTACCTACTGTTTGTGTTAGGTATACGTAGGTAGTGTCTTCCTACCTCCCCAGCCGGGCACCCTACTACTAGGGCCAGATCGATATATCGGGCGTTCGTTCTATATAATCCGATTAATCACCAACTTATCTTCACAGAGCACATCGCCTTCTTCCTCCGTTTCGTCATTGACGCCGCCTTGACTTTCGGACGGTGACCAAAGTTGACACCCGTCGTCCCCCCTCACTTGGGTACATATTCAAATTCAAAGCAAAAACCAAGAGAGACCAGACAAACAACAAACCACCAAAAGTCTCTCACTCAACCCAACCTGAAACAAACCATGGAGACCATCACCGCGATCGCTACGTCCCTCTCCACCTCCATCACCGCTCTATTCCAACGCATCAACACCAATCGCTTCTCATACCTGATCTACCCGGCCGCCCTAGCCGGCGCTGTGGGATCGTTCTTCCTCGCCCGCGCCGCGCGCGCCGACTACAAAACCTATCTCAGCTACGGACCCGGCGGTCCACCATATAATGTTCTGGGCTGGTTCGTGACCAGCACGGTGGTCCGGGCCATGACGATCGACGGGTTCGACCTGCGGAAATGCGACAAGGATCTCGACCGCAGGACCTGGTTGGGCCCGGACTGGGAGAAAGGAGCGGAGAAGCATGTCCGGACGGGCGGGAGGCCTAAGATCGGACCGCATCCCGCGCCGCAGAGACAGCTTGATCAGTTGCCTGGGAGGGAGGTTCAGGAGGTGAGTGGCAGCTTTGGCTTTAGCTTGAATTCGGTTTTTTGCGTCTCGTTTTCGAAAGTTCTTGTCTAGTTCTGTCTTGTCTTGACTTGAAGAAGAAGAAGAGAAGAAGAGAAGAAAGAGGAGGAGGATGGTTGTCCCCATGTAATCCTCTCCGTAGGTTACGACTATCATTTGGCCCCATACAATGGAGCAGGGGATGTTGAGAGAGTGGTCGCGCAAACCTCAAGCCTCAAACAAGAAACAAGCCTCAAGCCCCAAAAAAGAAGCCTCGAGAAAGCTGTCATATCATAACCATCATATTGAGAGGTCTGCGGGAAAGTGAACCGAATTCGACTAACTAACCTTCTTTGTTATCAGAAACTCCTAGCCTCATTCACCTCCATCGTCGCCCACAACCCAACCCTAGTACAATTCAAACCCTCCATCTACGAACGTCGCCACGAGGCCATCTTCATCGCAGACACCTGTCCCGTCACCACCAAAGACGTCTTGGGCTACCCCTTGCCCGCCGAGATCTCGCATATCCACGCCACCACGGATTATTCGGTCCATGTCGTCCTGTCGCCCCGGGATGCCGCGACAGTCATCCGCGCGGGTTGGGGCCAGTTGCATGGTCTGGCCGGGCTCAGTGTGGCGGGGATTACGGTGCTGCCGAAATCCTATGTTCTGCTGTACGCACCGAGGAACGAAGACGAGGTGCACGTCGTCATGGAGATCGTTCGCGCGTCGATCGGGTATATGACCCAGACGGAGATGGAGGGGGTCAAACCTGCTTAGGAGGACTTTTTGACACTTGGGAGATTTGAGTTGTGAGAGATATATCGTGGAGCTGGGACGAGAGAGAGAGGGAGAGGAAGGGGGAAATTGAGAGGGAGAGGGAGAGCAAGATCGAGATAGAACAAGAGTGTGGCAGGTTTGCCTGGGGTTGAGCGGGGAGAAGACAGGTGGAAGAGAATGTACGAATAGCTTCAATGTTTGTGGCTTGCCAAAGTAATGAAGGATCTGAAGACCGGGGAGTATTTGAGATGGTTTCGACTCTCTTGGGGTTGGTGGAAATGTTGGATAATACGCATGGACGGGTTCGAGGTATGGACAAGTGTCGAGGCTGTGCGAAAAGGGGCTGGAATCCTTTTATCATCGAATCATGAAACGAAACAAAACAACTCATCTCATCTCAAAGAAATGCCTGGGCCGTCTGAGACCCTCGATTGATTGACTGGGTGCGCGTTGCATCTCTCGTGTCCCTTGCTTCTCTAGCCTTTCGTCCATTGCCGTCGTTTCATTGTCGCGTGGTCATGGTGTGGTTGTATTGTGCTGTGGTCGTGCTATCTTGCTGATGGACCATCACTTCTGAACTGATCGCTGACGCTGACGCTTACCTCTTGCATATTGTCGCTTACCAAGAATCAAGACACCAATGGCGGTTTTGAGGTATGTAGTAGATGAAGGGATGGCACTGCTGTGCTCTGTTCGAGTAGCAAGGAGACAGGAAAATGTGCGGGTCGGATATTCATCAATCAACAATCCTGTTCGAGAGATTTGAAATGTCTCCGGATTTGATGACCCCCTGATGGCGGCATCCGCTTGACACGTAGAAACATTTCTCGATACCCCGAAAGCGCACGTCAGGTTCCAGTCATGGCTCATATCTCGACGTTTGGGCCGTCCTCGTCGTCCTGATCTTCATCGTCATCTGCAAACCGCAAGTTGTAGACCAGATCCATTCTGTCAGTTACCATCTCCCCGGCTTTTGTGGCAACCATGGTGTTGATTTGTTCTGCCGCCATCCGAAGAAGTTCATTCGACGTGGTGCGAAACTCGACCGCTGGGACCTTCAATCCAATCTGCTTCGCAATTTGATCGTCTTGTGCCATCTGCATGAAGATGTATCCCACGACGAAGGGTAGTTGGCTTTCCTTTTCCAGGTAGCCCGCTCCATAGAGTTGCCGCATACGATCCTCGGTGGCCTCCTTGACACTTCTCAACAACCGCCAGCAGTTCCGAACATGAAGTAGTCGAACGAGAACTCAAACGTTTCCGTTTGCAGCGAGATCCGAAGACTTTGCAGTAGCTGTGGGATGGTGAGCTGGTGTTTGGTGTTCCATTTGTTTTTGAGCTGCGACTTCTGGCCAGGTTTGGTCTGTCGTTCCAGTGTCACCTTAACTCTCTCCCCATCCGAGTCCTCTTCGTCGTCGTCGACTTCAAGCCAGTTGCTCTTGTCTAAGATCTTCTCGATATCATTTGGCGTCATATCTGTGCGCTCGGCTCCATGACTATATCGGGGCATGAACATGCGCGAGACGGGTGCTTGCTCCAACAAAGTGCGTGGTCCTGCTGGTGAGGCTGCCGGACCAGCTTGGTTCTTGCGGCGATTAGGGGCAAAGTTGGTCGCCGAATATCCCATGGCCAGACAAAAGCGTCGGAAATACTGGTCTGAAGAAGTCGGGCGGTCGCCAGCGAACATGTGTTCAGTGTCTTGAATGCCATACAAGAGCTCCATGTCTTTCCAGGCCTTGTCAAGCATCTTCTCTTGCCATACGGCATTGTACAAGTGTGCGCTGAACAGCACAGAACCCCAGGCATTGCAGAAGACGATTCCCGCTTGGTAGAAAGTCGCTTTGACGTCACAGACAGCAAGCCCACATTTGATGGGATGGTTCTTCAACAGACGATTATCTTCAATGACAATTTCTGGTGGAAATCCTACCCGTCTGCGGATCCCTTGAAGGTCATCAGCATAGCTTGCTCGGATGGTATTTGCCAACTGTCTCACCACATGGTCGTTGGTTGCAGGCCAGTTCTCGATCTTCAGATTCTTGTGGAACTTGAAATTCTCGTTGATGGAGGCTTCACTAGCGGCGGCAGCCCTACAGAGGTTCATAAACCCGCGGTCGACGTCGTCGCGTAGGATATGATGGATATCGAGGAAGATCTGGGCGGCAAAAATCACGGCTAGAGTAAGCTTGCCGGTTTTGAATGCTTGACATAGCCCTCGAGTGAGCTCATCGTCAGTCGCTGACCGCCGGGGGCTGAATGAGAGCAAGCTGAAGTCTGGAAGGATCTCGCAAAGAATGATCTTGTCTTCTTTAACCTTTTCGCAATTCGACATCTTGGAACGATCAGCTTGAGAATTTGGATCCCGTACGTTCCTGGCTTGTACACAGGGACTGAGCCGGGTTGGTGCACATCCAAATAGCTGTTGAGGATGAGATGTGTCGGCCAGTAGAATGTGGAGGAGAAGTCATACAGGGCGAAATTCAGTTCGTCTTCTGGCTGTTCTTTGTAAGGGGCTCCATAGCCTTGACCGAGGGAATGCGCTTTGTAGTAGAGCTCGAGCATTCCTTGCGTCCCGCCATAAGATGCAAATATCTGCTGTTGTTCTTCTTCCAAACATCGTGCCAACTCCAAAGCCGTATTGGTAGTGATTGATGCACTAACAATGTCGAACTGGCCTTCTAGATAACCAATCCATGTCTCTTTAAGGACAGTTCTGATAGAATCAAAGTCGGTCAAAAGACAGGTGAATGCAACGAAAGCTTCCTCAATATCCATGATGATTTCCGCCTTGTATTGGGGTTCGGGTTGATCAGGAGCGGGCGCAGTAGTCTGACCAGGACCCTTCGCCGTGTCCTCAGAGTCTCAAGGTCATCTTCCACCGTAAGACTGGTAAACAGATTGCCCAGGGTGCCTTCAGACCCACTCGCAGCCGTGCCAGGACCTTGAGATTCAGAGCTCTTGTCCTTCACATCTGCAGACATACGGGGCTTGAGAGCTTCTCTTACACCTTCGAGTACCCCAACAAAGAAAGAGTGACGCTGATCTGAAAGACGTTCGTCCTCGCCTCGAGCGGTTTGTCCGTCTTTCTGACTGCTCACAGCAGAGCCCACACGTTTGCGCAGAGCTATGGCTCGGTCGAGCATTCGAACGAATCCATTAGGGACTTTGACAGGGGGCTTGCTGAAGGCACTGATATATTGAGCCATTGGAAGGAATTCTTTGACAGGAATAGTGTAGGTTTGAGCTTTGGGCGTTGGAAGCTGTGGAGAGGGACTGTTGGCTTTGGCAGCTTGTTTGCGAGCATCCTAGCCCTGCCCTTCAGCTTGGGGGGTTTCTGAGCGGGTTCGCCAGTGGTCACGAGGTCTGTAGCAAAGCCACATCGTTTGGCAGTGGTTGCGAGCCATGATGCGACACGGTCAGTGTCTGATTTGTATTGCAAGTAGCTACTTGCTAAATATTGGGGGAACATGATTGCAGAGGAATAGGTAGGGAAAGATGGGAAAGGTGCTGCAGAGCTCAGAGGTAGATACGAATAAGTGTTTTGAAGGTCAGCGGTTCAGTTCTTGAAAAGGTGGAAAGGAATTTCCAGCAGATTTGTGTGATGATGCCAAGTTTGCTTCTCACCAACCTCGTGGCCAGGAGGGGTGATTCTTTGCCAGGCAGTTCTGAGTGAAGAAACTACGAGTGGCAGGGCAACCAACAAACCGGTCAGGATGTACTGGTAGACCGGGTGGCACTCGGTAGACTGCAGCTGTGCTGATTGCAATCAAGGCCGCAGCAAGTGCGACCGCCAGACAAAGCTTGCAACGATTCAGTTCAAGCTTGTGGTGCGTTGCATACAAGTGAAGATAAAGATCAAGATAAAGGTTGAAAAATGATATAGCTGCAGTTGCTGAAAGAAGTCTAGCGCCAACGCGCCAACGCGCCATCACGTGCATTCGACAAATCGTGAATTCGCAAACATCAACAAAGAACCTGCAGATACTTCAACTTTGATACCATTCAACTTTCATACTCTGGCATGCAGATGGTTCTCCTGTCGCTCATCAGTTCGACGTTGACACCTTCAACCAATCAGCCCTGGTGGAAAGTGTATGATTCCGAGTGCCCATGCTTTTCCCTGCCTTCCCCTGCCGGTAGGCATCAAACATCGGCCACAAACAGAAGCTTGCTTTACATCAAAGCCTAAATCGTTAGGGAGGCAGGAAAGGCAAAGTCGGTAAGGTAATATCAATGAGAACTGGGAGCGGTGAGATCCTATATTTACGATGAGAATTCAACCCCGTCATCTCACACCAAAGCAGGATCATAAGGATGCTGTGCCCCTCCTTATTCTCAGGCGGCCAGGCTTAACAACTGTCTCTAACTGGGGATTTGCACCCAAACACGGCACTCCATGTACTCTGTACACTGTGCTGCTCAAGGTTATATTGCACAGGCTGCATTGCTTTCCATGGAGAGCCGCAGTCCTCTCAGGAAACAAGTCCAATACTTACAGTAAGGTATATTTAGACTACCGCGGGGCCAAACATATCGGTAATGGGAGCGGGCCAGCCCTCCCGTGGGCAGGCATCCCCTTTGCTCGACGGCTATCTAACTTTTATACCTTCAAGCCTTGTTGACCTCAATTCAATCAGCTTCAGCGACCCTGATGGCCTCAGAACAGCTCGGTCATATCTGGAGCACTACCCCTTAACAGCTATTTCTAGCCTGGCCTTGGGTATTTCTGACACGACGCTGGAGTTGGACGGCAAACACGGGTTCTCCGTGACAGCGATGCTCGCCTCGGTCATTATTCTTGTGACGAATGTTACTCAAGATTCGGAGTTTAACTGGTTGGTTGGGGCGCTGTCTATCAAGATCCATGTCCTGGCTGTCCTTGCTGCCTATTTTATCCGATGAAGACATCTACGGCGTTTATGAGCAATATGCATATCTAGGGGCATATCTAGTTGGCGGGCCATAGAACTGGGAATTCCACACCTGCTAGATGACGGTTCCGGAATATGTCCGGTGGCCAACCCGCTGGATTTGTGCTTTGCCATCGAGGTGCAGGTCGAGGTCTCCCGATATCCGGTACCGACTACATGGCCCGGTATGGTGTAGTCCATCCTGTGCAACCTGATATCATGTCGACCGCCGTTGTCCCTTTGGATGTCTTTCAAAGTTGGTCGGTGGACATGAGGGAACCTCCTAGATTGTATTAATTGGCTAGTTTGAAGGGCTGTATTCCTGCAACGCCGATCAATCTCGACTTCATGAAGGAAGGCGTCAATGAAGCACGAAGATAAGGAGTTGACCCTGACCAAAGACTCATGGCTTCCTCACGTCGGGGATCCTGCGAGCTTCGACGTTTTGTTTTTGAACCCCAGTCAGAACCAACCATCAGGGAAGACTGGTTTCTTATCTGCTTGCGTCACGCGATCTGGTAATTGAGAAATATACCTCGCCAATCCGACCCTGCAGGTCGTCCCTCCTAGGGCCAATCAACTGATTTGTAGTGTCATTTTTCCACACCTTGGTCGTGTATTAGATCTCCCTTACTGGTCAATATTGAAGGCTGGAGAAAGAAAGACTGCCTCACAATTCGGATCCAGTGTCTGTTGGCCACAGGGTTGCATTCTTTCTGCAAAAAACCACGCATCACAGCTACGTTGCGATATCCTGATGCCTGTGCTAGTAGCGGAGAAGAAGATGCGAGAGAGATAGGATGCCGCGGAAAGCCGGACTTCAAACTCCAAGCCTTTGGATAAAGAAAATGACTAATGGAATAAGCTTCCGGGGCCGCTTCTTGGACAAAGCTTAACCATGCTTAACAGAGTCTCCGCAGAACAGGGCACAGAGCAGGGCTCGCCACTGCACGGGTCAACACCCTCCGAGTTGTACATTTTCCCCCAGCTCAATCCTTCGCTACATCTGTATGGTCCATCATGGGTCGGCCAGAAGTTCCCAGGCTGGGATCAGAAGACAGTTCAACTGGGCCACCGTTACATCGATCATCTTTTATCGTCCCACCATCCTGTGCATCCCGTATCGTGTGTAATGATGCAGTGTGCCAGGATGTCGTTGTATGTTCGTCCCCGTCTGGACTTTAAAGGTTGGTCCGTCGTCCCTGTGCCTGTGCCCTATCTACTCGTCTCACTCGCATCCTGTTCAGTCGGAAGGCAGCCATCTCTACTGACTGCATGCAGGCGTGTGACCTTGAAGAGTCTCCCCAACCATGTCTCTAGCAGATGCCATCGATGGCGGCAACGCCCCCAATCACAACCGACCCGAGACCTTCATTAGTCCTATGCACCGCAAGCTGTATGACTCTGGGGTGACCTTTGAAGAGTATTTACATTATGCGAAACGCACAAGAGCGGAGGAAGAGGTGGAGCAACAGATCCCTCAAACAGGACTTCTGCAGCGGGTCTTTCGCAGGCATTCGGCAGCTGTCGTGACCACAGGGACAACGCCACATAATGGTGCCAGCTCGGAACAAAGTCCTGATATAACCGATAAAACCGCAGATGGCAAAGACAACGGTGAAGGGGCAGGCCACAAACGCCGCAGAAGTGTTTTGTCTGGGCATGGCTTGATCACGGAAGAGGAATGGCGAAATGCTTCTCGTGCCTTGAGGACCGCAAGCTGGGGTGCTGGCTTCTATCTCATCACGACCGACATCCTCGGGCCCTATGGCGTTGGCTTTGCGCTAGGTACGCTGGGCTGGGGTCCCGGTGTCACTCTCTACACCGTTTTCGCTTTCATGGCTGGGTACTCTGGGTATCTGATTTGGCAGGTGTACCTGGGTCTTGACTCGTACGAGTTCCCTCTCCGGAACTATGGTGACCTCGCCTATCGAACAATGGGCAATGGGGCCCGCTACGTGGTCAACATCCTCCAGTCCATCCAGCTGCTCCTCATTACCGGCCAGGTCATCATCCAGAACGGACAAGGCATTTCTCAAACGTCCAAGTTCAGGCTCTGCTATGTCGTTTGTGTCGTCTTGTTCGTGGTTGCCGGGTTTTTCATGGGCCAGGTGCGTACGTTGCGCAATATCGGCGTCTTCTCCATGATCGCCGTGGGCATCAATCTGCTAGTGATCTTCATCTCCATGGGAGTGATGGCGCATTCGCCCCCCAACTACGAGATCAGCGTGCTCGGCTCTGCAGGCTCAGCCGTCAACCCAGCCACCATCACTCCGGATGCTCAAGGCAACTATCCTCCCATCATTCACTATGGCGGGCTCCCCGAGTCAGGCAACTTTGTCGGAGCCATCAATGGCCTGATGTCCGGCGTCTTTGCGTATGGCGGCGCCCAGCTTTTCGTCGAAATCATGGCCGAGATGCGGCGGCCCTGGGACTTCATCAAATCGATGTGGATTGCTCAATTCTTCATCTGGGCTGTCTACCTCATCTATGGGTGCTATGTGTACCATTACCAGGGCCAGTACGCCTACACCATCTCGTACATGGGGTTGAGTGTCTACGGCTTCCAAGCCGCCTGTGACATGATGGTGGTCATTTCCGGGCTGATCGCCGCCGGTCTGTACGGCAATATTGGCATCAAGGTGCTGTACAACCAGGTCTTTCAGGAAATGTTCAATGCGCCGTCTCTCACCTCGAAGAGCGGCAAGTACATATTCGCGGCCATCGTCCCCATTTACTGGAGTGTGGCTTTTGTCATTGCCGCGGCCATCCCGGACTACTTCGGATTTGTTTCGGTCATTGCTGCCTTTTGCATCGTGCAGTTCAGCTATTCGTTCCCGCCCATCATACATTTGGCGTACACTATGCAGAAGAACTCGATGGGCGAAGGCGATGGCTTCAACCCGGCAACCGGCCAGACTATTCGAAGTCGACACGGTCTCTCGCGACTAGTGAAAGGATTCTTTGCCGATCGTTGGTACATCAATGTCTGGCACGTCATCCATGCTGGTGGTGCGCTGGCGACGGCGGGACTGGGTGCTTATGCTGCTGTCGAAGGCATGATCGACGCTTTCAAAAACCCGCAGGTCAATTCCTTTACCTGTACCAGTCCCCTCAATCTGAGTCCGGGCTCAGGGTCTTGAGGTCTAGCAGGGGCCTAGGTCGTCGTCATGACCTCGAGATTATGTCGTCCAGTGGTCGGTTTGTGGTCGTCGTTGCGGCTGGGAAGAATTTCATACGTCAACTGAACTGTCTCTTAGCCGTATTCTCTGGGATTGCACCATTAATCAAGACAGCTGTACCGCTTTATGGGTGGGACATAGGTGCTTCCCTTTAACCAGGAGCTGGTATTCTTCAGTCATGCCTGGTTTGGCTCCATATATCTGGCGGTAATGTATAAGACGTGCTTATAACGAATGATGCCGGTCATGCCAGGGAGCAAGGCTGCTGATACTACGCACTGGATAGCGGCAAGCACACCCAATGCTTGAGTGAACATCGATCTCCGAGGATATATCCCAACGAATCTGCCAGGAATATGTACTCCCGTCCTACAGGGCTATCCATTCTCCCCAGCCAAATATCGGCTTTCAAACCAGGATACCGCTAGAGAAATGCATGAAAACTTCGCAGTACATACTACTCGGGGACCTTGGACAATTTAGGTTTCACAGGATATCCCTGTAAAGCATATCCTAGGAGCTATGACTACCTATTCAGATACTATCTTGTACCTGGCACCTAGTGGCAACGCCCCCAGCCCGACTAGACCAGAAAAGAAGACGCCAGGGGCAGGAAACCACAAGGAATGGGTTTCATATCGACCCTCCCAGCACCGGCGCTCCCAAAATGACGGATTGGGATGGAATGTTGACGATGAGGGCTGCAGTGCAGTCGCTTTGCAGTGTCACTAATTCCTGTTCATTGAGGCAACGAAGACGCACAGATCTGTTCCTCTCCGGCTGGCACCTCGCGTGGCTGTTTACCGATGGCAACCCCTGATTCTCGAACAAATCACGCAGCGGAAATCAGCAAAGCAGTTACAGGAGACTCCAGGCACGCCGATACAAGCGTGACACCCGTGTAGCGAGATGACGGTGCGCTAAAAGGGGCGACCCAGTTTCCCCCAGATACAAGACTCGCTGCACCTCGAGCGTTGACGGCACTCCCGAAAGTGTATCAGCGCATGGCGCCAGGTGATTTTGCTGAAGGCGCTGTCAAGTAAGGGACGCACAGACGCGCTGAAACCTGGAGGTCGCCCTTCCCAGATGTCGGGTTTCCCCCCAGATGTCCACTCCTGTGGTTACTCGATCTTTACTCTCGACAGTATAGAGCTGCTGCCTCATCGACGAGCCGTGTTTGTTTGCTCGTGGAGGCTTAGACAAGAGTCGCTTGAATTGTTGGTTCGTCGATTTGCACCACATTCCAGCATGAAGCTTGAGGTGTCTGTCGACGGGCCGGAACAGCCAGCATCTTGAACTTTTGTCAGGAATGTGGCTCGGCAAATCATCATTGGGTGCCAGATATCTCTAGGTCTACTCGCTTCGCCCGTTTTGACGGCCTGTCAACTTTCACTAAACATCAAATAATTGGCCAACGCTATGACTTGTCTGTGCGATCAATGGGCATGATTGGTTCGTGAGGCTTCAGGCGTGAGGCCGTGGATGCCAGGCAAAGCAGCTCTCATGGTCCTTGCGGTCTTTACCATCAAGGGTAAATTGCATTCCCGATGGTTAAAGCAAGGGGAAATGGGACCGTGACAAGGCCGTTGGTGAAGTTTATCTTCTCACGGATCCCCCGTCGTCCCGCAGGATATGTGGTCGGCCGCTGCTGGACTTGGTATGGGATATCCTGAGAAGAGGGTTCGACGAAGGTGGTGAACATCGCATTCGCATCGACAACAATTCAATATCGCACAAAAATGGTCATGGGACTGTGACACCCACCGCAGCCCGCAGCCAACAGACCACTTCGACACTTGTTCTGCTCAGCAGATCAGATCGAACCGCGCTCCAAACAGTAACGGATACGCTGCCCATAATGGACCAGGCAATCCGACTCCTCGACGAGCAGAACAATCGACCCGGCTTGACGACCGATGCCGGGTTTGACGTTGACGTGGACGAGGAAGATGTTCTCAAAGTGCCCGTTGTCCGGCGGTCGAGATGGCGAACAGCTTGCGCCAGCTCGATCAATTTCCTCCGACACCTGCTCCCCAGCTATCTCCACGCTCTCGACCACACGGCGCCACGAAAACTGCATCCCACGGCCTACATCGACGCGCTGCGCGGCTACGCGGCCGTCGCCGTCTTCGTGTACCACGCGTTCGGACTTCCCGACATCTGGTTTCTCCAACTACCCATCATCCGAGTCTTGTTCGACGGCGGGTCCGGGATGGTGGCCATATTCTTCGTCATCTCCGGCTACGTGCTGAGCTACCGGATGCTCAAGATGATCCGCAACCGAGAGGCGACGCGACTACACGGCTGTCTCGCCTCATCGACGTTCCGGCGCTTCATCCGCCTCTACGGGTCGACGGGGATCGCCACGTTCATCGCGGCCCTCATGGTTTCGTTGCGCTGGTACATCCCGTACGGAATGAATCCGCAGGACACGTTCCTCGAGCAGATGTGGGACTGGTTCCAGGATTTTGTGGCGTCCAGCGATCCTTTCGCCGACATCGAGGGCTGGGTGCACGACGGGGTGTTCCGGACGCGATATCTGGACCAGATGTGGACGATTCCGATCGAATACCGCGGCAGCATTGTGCTGTTTGTCTTCTGCACGGCGTCGAGCAAACTATCCACGGCGGCGAGGTGGACGTTTCTCTGGATCGTCGTCGTGCTGTCCTACTACTGGCGCGCCGTCTACGTCGCCGAGTTTCTGTTTGGCATGTTCATCGCCGACCTGTCGCTCAGCCGCCATCCGGAACGATGGAGCGCCCCTCTGCCTCCGCGACTACCTGTGAGCGAGAGCGAGGGCGAGAACGAGGGTGGAAGCAGAAGCATAAGTGGCCCAGTAACCCGCACGTCGGTTCAAAGTCCAAGTCTGGGTCTCGACGAAAAGCCACGCCTCCCGTCGCGCCGGCGCTGGCTTACCCGCGAGAGAGTCCTCGCCGCGCTGGCCAGCTTCGCCTCGCATTTCGGCTACGTGGCGCTGCTGCTGCTCGGGCTCGTGCTCCTGGGCCAGCCTGACCAGCAACATTCGCCGGACCTGGGCGCTCTCACAGGCCAATTCCCCTGGCCCATCATCGCGTGGTGGATCCCGCCTTGGTACGGCGACGCCGCGTACACGTTCTGGATCAGCATCGGCGCCTTTTTCGTCGTCTTGGCCATCGACTCGTGTCCGATGCTGCAGCGGCCGTTTGAGTGGCGCTTCTCCCAGTACCTGGGCGATCTGTCGTTCGGCATCTATGCCATGCACTGGCCTATTGTCTATGGCTTCTACCGGACCGTTGTCGAGCCCTGGAGGGCCACGCATCTGGGCGAATCGCATCTCGCCCGTCTCCCGGGCGCCTTGCTTACTGCTGTGATCGTCCTTTGGGCTGCGGACTATTTCACCCGCTTGGATAAACTGGTGGTCCGGTCGGCGCGGTGGGTTGAGAAGAAGACTTTCATCAAATGGGAATGAACAGCATTGGACAGTCTTTGCGCATTTCAGCGTGCATCAGCGGCGTTTGGATCTTGGGAGTCACCATGCATATCTTCTATGGAGAGGGGGAGTTGCATAGAGCATCAGACAACAAAAGACGACTTGGATGATAGCATTGGAGTTCTGGGTCCTTACTTATACATGTGGTGATTGTATCAAATAACTGGGAGTGGTTCCAGTGGCCCTGATATGATCAGTGAGATGTCTGGAGACATGAACCGGGGCTGAAATGCTTCCATGATCATTGAAATAGTCGGCCTTGGTTGAATACGTTCTGCGAATATTGCGACTGCAGACGGCTCTGAGGTGTGAGGTGTGAAAAAGCATGGTCTACGGACACAATAAGAGCTATTCACTATTGAAGCAGAAGACATGGCCGTTGCGTACTTTCAACAAGTAGCTCCCGTGAATGGATATCATGCTATGAACGAACCATCGAATACTGTGCCGCTAAGACACTGTCTCACTGTTTGTCCATCAAGTTCCCTAACTGCTGAGGCACGTGGCTGAGAAACCAGGGACAAGACTGCCAGTGGCAAGACTCAGTCTGAGACTGTTGGGGCTGCAAGCAGAGTTTGTCGATTACGGTGGAAGTAAATGTTGTTGACATGCGATCCTCAAGACTTCACAACAAGTATTTTGCTGCACTTCGATACCTGCTGTTGCTGTTGCTGTTCAGATGGGTTGACAGACTGCGAATGCTGTCCGGGAGATTTGGCAGGACAGGAACTGAAGTGTCGAACTTGAAGACTTGAAGACGAGAACACGCATTACATAATCCAGGGGTAATTCCCAGACTTTACCGGATCCGGCGATATGTTGTGGAGAGGGAGCACGCCTTATCCCAACATCACTCCAAACACTGATTTTGAGATACATGTGTTGGACTCTTGATAGCATGGCTAGAGAAAGGGGTAGGTCATTGGAGCATTGGAGTCTCTAGACGATCCTATGCGTATCAAAGGTACAGTCGATTCGGGGAGGACGAGGTGTGGCAGCACCCGCAAGGCCGCAGCGGTCATGGCTACAACCGCATGAAAATGCAGCACAAGGAATCTGTGACTTTATAATACTGGTGATCTGAGGAGATGCCCTGAGACATCCGCAAGTGAGTGAACAAGATGAGTGATCAGAGAAGGTCGATCTACAGTCAGAGTCGAACCGGTGTTAGACCGTTGGTGTATCACCACGTGAGCACCAGTACACAGAAGCAAAGAGCAATAACGTGTAAACAGCGATTGTGGGCACTGAGAATTGAACCGTCGACCCGGTTGAGAAATATACACTGGATGACGATTGGGACAGTGTCAGTCAGTCCGGGGTTGGAAGTGAGTTACTGTGGGAGAAAAAATGAAATAATCAAGCCCAAAAAAGAATCGAGCAGAGTCAGGATCGAACGCTGTACTTGGCTGAAACTGAAAAGCCGACCCACTGCGCCATCACCCCCTGATTTCCTCTCCTCCAGCAACAAAAAACTTTTTCCTCGAAGCGGCGGACCGGTTCGAGGGAAGTGAAAATCCACGGTGTGTCGGGATTTTTTTCCGGGGTTGCGACTGGAAGAGAAACTTTTCCTGGTAGCACAAGACGAGAATGTGGTACTAGGGAAGTCAAAGCCCGAGGCTTTTTTCCGAGGCGTACGTCAGTCGAACCGAAGGGACCCAGCAACTAGGGGGAAGACCACGGTTGGTCCTCCTCATCACCAGAAACTACTCACCCAGACCACCTAAAAGTCAAGCACTCTGATGGTGGACGCCCTTTAGCAAGTGGTTTGACCCGGTCAACGGTCTGGAGTTTTGGTCACGGTGGATTCGGACAGAAATTCAGCAACAATATTGATAAACCTTCATTTTTCCCGCGCACGTGAGCGCAGAGCATGTGACACCGCGTGGTGCGGTGAATACCTGGCGCGTCGCGTCGCGTTGATGACATGTGTGCAGGCAATTGCAGGACTCGTGGCATCGCAGCGCAGGGCGGGGATCGATGGCTCGACTATGGTCTACAGCCTGGATACCGCTACTGTCCTACGGTAGCAGTCTTGCGAAGTCGAGAGCAATGATGTCACTTTGCTTCGTCTACGTGATTTATTACGATCTTACGGATGGGTTGATACTGGGAAGGAGGTGCTGACTCGTTGAGCGACACAGCGTCAGCGACTCAGCCCAGCCGACGGGGAGTTTCAAGGGGACGGAAACCAGAGAAAATGCTTCAAGATGTGGTATTGATTTGCTATGAGAGCACCATCTGATGGCGGTACCCCCCCGGAGTTCGGCTTAGGGTTCTTTGCTCACGGCAGATACGCACTGTCTTGGGCACTTCGATTGCTGCTCTCGGCTCCATTCTGAGACTTTGTTGATTTCTTCCCCTTCCTCACTGAGCAGCTCATTCCAGCTCCGATGTCATGTCTCAAACCCTTGCCTCTGTTGCGCTTGGGCTAGCAGTGGCCTTCGATCTTCATGGCTCACATGCTATCCAGTTTCTCCTGAGCGGCCTTCTTGCCCTCCTCAGAGACGTTGGGGTTGTGAGTTGCACTGGATCGAAATGTCTCATCGTCAGTATTGGCTTTTCTTGCGCACGACGTGTAAAACGTGTGGGAACAGAAGCAGCTGGCATTTTCTTGTTCCATCACTTGGAAGAAAGAAAACAGGGCAAAGGCAAAGGCAAGGGAAATGGAAATGGGATGAAACACACGCTTTCAAACCACGGGCGACATTCTTGGGATCTTTATCACCCTCGTCGCTCAGTGGGACGTCGCCGCCGTTGAGTTCATTGTCGAGCACTTCTTTGGCATGTTGCTTGGCTTCGTCCGAGGTATTGGGATTGGAAAGGGTTCTGTGGTTTAAATGGTTAGTGACTTGATGGCCCAAAACCAAAAGCAGAGTCCGGTATGTCAGGTGTAAGGATATCGGACGTGAATTGGACTGAGGGACCAGCTTGAATTGAGCGGGAGAGACTTACGACTTGTAGCCGCGTGCTTTGTTGGAAGCTTCTTCCGCCATTGTTGGTTGTAGAGGATAGACTTTGGATTGGACTACTTTGAAGGTGGGTAGTTGGGTGGGTGTTTCGAGTTGTGATGAGAAGGTAGAGAGTTGAAGAAGAAGGAAAGAGGAAAGTTGGTAGGAGAGGTACGAGGGAAGTTTGATTTCTCAAGTTCAAGCAAAGCAAGTCAGGCTAATTTGTCGTCGAAAAATTCACTCTTCAGGCAGGTAACGTCAGATAGTGCGCAGGCATTCACTGAGGATGATATCAGGGTCAAGTCACTGTTAGATGGAGTTGAGGTAGCATATGGCAGTACGCTCGTTAAGCAGTCCTTTACTTCCAAGGTTCTTATCACCAGTGTTTCATCTACGCAAGAGTGACCTGACAATTCCATCCGGTGCCTCACCTCCAAGGGTAGGCTCCTTGACTTTCCGTTCAGAACGAGGTGAGTGGTAGATCACCCTTGAAGGGAAACCTCTAAACTGACCTCACTTCATCCTTTGTTCAGAGGTCCTGCTTATCACATCTATTCCCTCGCGCGTTCTCTTTCCACGCCAGGCCGAAACTATCTCTCAAGTTGAAGGCGTCAGACACCCTCACAACCACTGCACCATCGATCGAATCCTCAAGCCCGAATCTTCCAATCTGCAACCTCACTCAAAATGACCGCTAAGCTACGAGGCGCTTAACGATCTCCAGACCTACCTCAGCGGCGACCTCAACGACAGCATTCACATGCGCCCCAGCGACCAGACGATTCCCAGGCAGAAAGACTCGGCTCCAGTCGAGGACCTAAACCAGCAACACTCGGCTCGGGGGGTGGTTGCTCACCGCTTGATCACGTCGACAGTTGCTTTCCATGCAATGGTCGTGACGGAACGACCAGTAAGGAAAGATGGATTATCCACTCCTGCAGTGCCATAAGATCAGAGCGGGTCTAGATGATGGTATTCGGGCAGGAGAAAAGCGGTATCGACAATGCATTGGATGGCGTTATAGTTTACTACTAGTACGATGGCTGTGAGCCTGTGACAGCCTGCGCCCGCTTGGCTCGGGTCTCGTCCAGCGTCAGACGGGAGAGGGCCCCTTGAAAGATGCCTTTTCTGTCAGGTAAGTTCACTTGCGAGTGAAAGTAGGACTAAGCGGGGTTTGGGTAAGGTATCTTGACAAGGTTTCCATTGAGCAGCCAATGTAGGATGGATAGGACGGATCGGTTGATTGAAAGGTGTCTACACAGTTAGGCACAATACCCGGATGTCATGTCCGTTGTGTTCTCAAAGCGAGCCAATCGAGGTACCGCGGGAAGGAAGACTCTGTCGTTTCCCAGCGACTCGACCTCCGATGCGGTCAACCCGATTCATGCCATTGAGTCAGTGACCGTGATATAAGGCACTATATCCCCTCCAACATCCTAAGAGCTCCCTCCGACCTTTTGCACGGCTTTCAGGGCTCCAACGACGGCAATGGAGCTCAAGGGGGCCGCAATGTGCGCAATCTAAATAATATGTCAGCAATTGGCCCTCCACGATGCAGGCTGACGTCGTCCGTACCGTCAAGAGCTTGGAAATGGACATGACTTCTTTCTGATCGATGCCGCCCGCATCAGCCAAAGCCAACAATTTCATGGCAGGCGGCCCAGATGGCATCACCATCATGGTAAACCACAGCATCCTATCATTTCCGAAAACATTGGTCTTGGCCGCGAAGCCCCAGATGGTGGCAATCCCGATCCTGGTGTATAAAATGTCAGCTGTCTTCGTCAAGATACCTAGTAGAGTCGATTGTGCCTACGCAGGCCAGATCAAATATCTGGCAGCCAGGATGAAGACCATGGGAACCCATGGCACGGGTCCGGATTCTTCGCCTTGTTTCAGCTTGCGCAGGCTAGTAGCCAGCTGCACTCCCACGATGACCACCTGCAACACCACAAACAGGTCCCCGATGTTCTTCAAACTGGAAGTGAGCCAGGCATTGAAATATCCTCCGTCCTGAGTCTCGTTGAAAAAGACCTTATGGAGCCACGGGACCAGGCCTACTACAAACCCAAGCACAGCGCCCAGTAGAGGACCGTTACAAAACTTGTACGCATAGTGAAAAGCCTTCTGCGCCCAGGAGGGAAGCTTGTCATTATACTCGTTGATTCTGTTCTGTGCCTTCACTTGCAGGTTTTGGCGGTTTCGGACGGCGACATCCGGGAGCAACGAGGTATTCTCAGTCGGGTCTTCGTCTAGTGGTGTGCATCTTGGGTCAACACCTCGTCTGTACTAAGATAGTTACGGCGGAGGATGTACTAGCTGTGAACTCACCTTCTTGGCCTGGCCCTCCCTCTTGGTCATCTTGGTCTTTATCCTTCTTACCCAAGAGATTATCGCCCACCGCGAAGACAATTCCATTGGCGACCATGGCGAAGACCAGGAAGTATGATTCTGCTCGGTCGACCGCATCAGCAGGACTTTCCCCGTCGCCAGTCAGCGGCTTGAGAACACCAGTGACTTCGAGCGAGCGAAGAAGCAGCAACGGCATTGAAATGGCGTTGTTAAAGGAGATTGCCGGGGTGGTCCACGCCGGCAGCTTGAACATGCGTGAGATGAAGAGCGTAGCACCAATGGCTGCTACGTGGTACAAGATTGCCCAGACTAATGATATTCAATGTTTAGAATCATCTTGGAGAACCAAATTCTCGGGACCTTGGTTCCGGGCATACGCACCAATAATGGGGATGTATCTCATGGCAGACTCGATCCTGACTTGAGAGCCAATCCGAGTGAACATCAGGGCTGGCAAGAACATTTTGATTGCAGCCTGGGAAATGGAATTCGCCGACTTCTCGTCTAGGAGGCCGAATTGGGCTGCGAGCACTCCGTAAAACACGTCCAAGAGGACGGTCAGGGAGGCTTGCAGCGCGCCTAAGAACGGTTGTAGAATTTCGGAGGCCATATCGAGAGCAAAGGCACACAGCGTTCTGGGAATTGAAGGGATGCCTCTCTCGAATACAGGTAGATATTCCTGGAGCTGGAGCTGGAGCGACAGGGTTGGGAAGAAGCGAGCAAATATGGTGGAAGTGTCAAGCTTCGACCAAGATCATCGTGATGGCAGGGCAGTGGAGAACTTGTACCTGGACGCAGGAACCGTGGAATGGACTGAGGTACGTACCACACCGAAGTGCTAGTAAAATGTTTGTGACGACCGTTGAGATATCAACATGTCAAATAACAGGATGGGAAGACACGAGGCTCTTTCTATGGGGCGGGAAGGGCAGGGCAGGGCAGCATCGAGCAGGGCAGGGTTGTGGTATCTGTAAGTACAGAGCATAACAGGGATTGGGTTGGATGGATGCTGTGACGTCAGCGGGGTCCAGTGTGGCATTGCAGTCGTGGGGTCAGTGTTCCGCCGTTTCATGGCTGTGACCAGATGAGCGAGAACAGACTGTTGAGTCTCAGTACGCTGCTACGTTCAGCCGTGTCTCGCATTGAGCCCAGCGAGTTCTGATTAGCAACTCATATATTCCAGACTTTCGTGCAGCAAGGTGCCCGAGAGAGATATGTTGAGACTCGACAGCTGGAGCCTCGTCGGGCGGAGAACAACCGAACCGAAGCGCGAGGCTGGCGCTAACCTGTTTCGGTAGCATCTCCACTCAGCCTCGTCAGGAAGTATGAGATCATCGACCAGAGATGACCATTCCAACGTACTAACCTGTGACGTACTCTGTAAAGCACTGGCAGTCCCAGCACAGGAGGCTATCCACAACCTGGCATACAGAGTATGGATGCGCAAAGCTTCAAAAATATCGGTTCCCTCGACGGAGACACGTAAGGTGGCATGGCTGGACCCCTGATTGGGAAAGGACAGCGTCAGGACGATCCAACCTTTTGCTCTTCAGATGAGAGCTGTAGTTAGCTAGCATATAGCAATGTTCTCTGGAGCATACACGCTCGAGTTGGGCTCAGGAAGCCATGGTCTCTCCTTGATCTCCGTGGGATGCTGACAGACGGGAGCAATCAAACGTAATCAACCGCTTCGCCGTTCTGGCCGGAGATATTGTGGGTTTGGCGAGGGTTTAGACTTATGTAGGCTCGGCTGACTGGCAGAGCTCCTTTGATTCAGGTCGGGCTGTGGCGCGGCAAGAGTATTGAAGAGGCTGAAGGAGATGAACGCATAAGTATAGCGAAGCCGATGGGACGACCGTATAGCATCAAGTACCAGGGGTATGTACCGGCTGGCCTCCTACTCCCCCGTACAGCCACGTGCACCGCCACAAGAAATGCGCCACGCTAGGACTGTCACATGACAGGGCTATCTCTAATCCGGTTTAGCTTCAAACCTGTCTCGGCTTCCAGTGTTTAGCTCTCAGTTTCTTCTCTCGACGACCGTCATGCTGCGACGAGAGCAAGCCCAGACAAAGCACTGTCGATCGTGAAGGTACACAGGAAGTGCAGTATTGCGGCAGTATGAAAGAACCCGGCCTGGATTGAAGCCTGAAGAGCAACAATCGGCAGAGTCCGGGGGCGACAGAGTGACCTGGCCTTGTCCCCTGAACCCCCGCCGGGGGCCGGAACTAGCCAGAAATCGAGTGATATGGCATGCTGGTTCGAGGATCCGGCCTCTCACATCATGGAACGAGATATTGCAAGGTGTAAAGCAATGACGAATGGGCCACAAAGGATCAGTCAACTGTTTCGATTACGATCCGAACTGACCAAACAGCGGCGTATCAAGCTGCGCAGCCCCAGGATGTATTCTCCGATATGCAGATCACGATTGGAAAAATGTTCCGGGCATGCATGAACGACGAACATTCCCCCTCCTCGACGTGCTGATCGATGTGAGTGAGATGCAAGCCGCCGCATGCGGCCTTGCGCTGCTGGCCCAGTCCCTCTCGGGCAAGGGGAACCCAGGTCTGTTATAACTGCTCAACTATAAGTCTCTGACCTAGCAGGGACTTTGACTTTTCAGAATCAAGCTTGCCACCGTCTACTTTTTTTGTCTCCCTTTTTTTGCAGTGCAATTCATTCCATCCATTTCCCATGCCAGGAATGTATGTCGAGTCCATGGACTATGATTCCAGCCTCGACAAGACTTTGTCACGGCTGATTACGGCCTTCCATGTCCTTCACCAGCAAGGGATTCTAGACGAGTGCGGCCATATCTCAGTGCGCAACCCGCAAGACCCGAGCACCTTCTTCACCAGCAACATACCTGCGATCCTGGTCTCGTCCAAACGACATCTGAACGAGTGGAATGTATGCGACGGGTCCCCGGTGTCGCTCTCGACGAGTGGATGCCAGCCAGTACGAGAGATCTCAGCCGAGTCAGAGCACTACATCCACAGCTGTATCTACAATCGTTATCCGAGGGTGCAGAGCGTCGTACATTCCCATTGTTCCAGTGCCATTGTCTACGGACTGTGCAACAACCCAGGAAGCATGCTGCTGGCAAGTTCTCAGATGGCCGGGTTTCTGGGCGACCAGACGCCCATCTTCGATGCGGCGGACCACTATTCCGGGCTGCCGCCGACCTATCCGAGGAATTTGAACATCAACCACATCAAACTGGGAGACGCTTTGGCCCGAACATTCAACAGTCACCCTGAATTTGATGGTGTCGATGTCGACGGCGTTGACGGCATCGACGATCTCCCTCTCCATTGCACCGTCTTTCAGCGTGGTCATGGGTTCGTCACCTGGGCAACGAGTCTCGAGGATGCAGTCTACCGAGCAATTCATGTGCGTCGGGATGCGGATATTCAGACGACAGCCATGGTTCAACGACACCACACAGACGTCCATGTCGTCTACTTGAGCGAACGGGAGGCCTATGATTGTAAAGAAACCATCAACCGGACATCGCCCGCCACTTGGGCCGCTTGGACTGCTCAGACCGAGCGATCGGGATATTACCGCAATGATCTTCGAAGTAGCCGAGTGGATGGTTTCTAGGCCTGCTGGCCGGAAAGTGGTGCGCCGGATGAAGACGACATATCTCAAAGAAAGCGGTGTTGGCGGGCGCAGCGGTCATGCAACGCAGTCAGACTTCACAACCATGGTTATCAGCAGTAATAGGAATGATGCCTTCTATATGTGCTGCTCACCACGGGGCCCGGGGGGTGGGGCGCTGCGCACGGGAGGGCAGTATCCGGCCCTGGGTCAGTGAAATCGAGTGGGCTGTGGGCTGTATCGTCGGTTGTGGCAGACACGTCGGACTGACGGAGCAATCGTCGCCTTTGACGATCAGCTACCGCCTTGCAGAAGCGTACCACACCATTTGAAGCAGACTGCCTGAAAATGGAGGTGAATAAGGCAATCGTGGCTTCTGCATCAGACATCACTACCGCGACCACTTTTGACTCAGTCGGAAACGAAGCAACGGGCCTTCGACGAAGCGCAAGACCATGGTGCACTGCATGCCACGGCAGCACTTGATAACGGGTCAAAGTGTCAGCCTGACCATTTGGAAGGGAGGGAACAAGGGATGGACGTGCTTTGCTGCAGGCACATAAAGCAACTCCCGAACCTCACGAGTTCATCATCGTTCCATATGTCCATATAACAGAATAACAGGAGGGCGCTTTCTCAATCAATGCCCACTCTATCATTATGCCAGACAGAGACCTGGAATCAGTCACAGTCACAGTCACAGTCACAGTCACTCGTCTCGAGAAACCCAACAATAGTGCCATCGTTGCGGTAGCTAAAGTTACCCGCCTGCCCGCGAGGCCAATCCTTCCGCCATCTCGGAGCAGCCGTCAGAAGAGGTCGGTCGCGACATCTATCGCCACGGCACCCAGAAGCGCTGGGCCAGCCGTCCCCGTCCGAGGGCATTGAGGAGGACAAGGACAAGGATAAGGACAACTACGCGCTGGGCATAGTCGTGGTCGAGATTGCAGAGTGGCAGTCCTTACAGCATACAAGGTTGTGGAGTTTGAGCAGGACGTCAGCTTACAGCGACTATCGAAGATACAGTCGTTCATGTTGCGAGATGGGAACGGCTCCATCGCGCAAAGTGTGGCATTCAGGCTGGGCCGGGCTTATCTCAAGCTGGTCATGGTCATGCTATGTCTAAAGGCTCCCTCGGAGTTCATTCCACATCATCTTCGAGAGCAGGGTAGTTTGTCCCGGCAGGAAATTAAGAGAGCTCGAGAAATGTAGATTGTGAGAACATGTCTCGATGGTCTAAAGGCATCGACGGGGGATAATGGTGGTGCACGAGGTCAGGCGCAGACGGCTGGAGGTACTTATTCGATCTGCTGGAGAGTGAAGTAAGGCACATCCTTGCAAACAAGCGATCAGACACAACTGTGAAGCGAAAGTAATGTAACAGTACACTGCTTTCATTTTAGTCGTGTTGACCATGCTCACTGTAGAATGCTCCGGCTTTCCAGCCATTTTCAGCCATACAAAACCTCACAGACTCCACCAATGGGTATATCCATGACAGCATCAGTTCCTTCATTCCATACGAGTTCCCAATTCGGATAGAGGGCGGCTTGACCCCGCGCACCAAACTGCGAGTTCCGCAAAAGAGCGTCCGCGCTGGAAAGATACGGGAATGTCGCGCCATGGTACGAATGTGTCGAGGGCTGGTTGTGCGAGAAGGGAGTTTGCGATTGCGATTGCGACTGCGACTGCTGGGCTTCCCATCCCGCAACATGCTGCAGCTCTGCGCGAACAGAGTCAGCCGGTTTCGTATGTGACGACCTCCGCCGTGACTGCGTCTTTGTCTTTTCTTTGGGTTTGTACGATACTCCGCCGGTTTTGGAGGATCTCCTTGCCTTTCCGGCCTTCGACCTAGCGACTTCCATCTCTGTCTCATATCTTTCGCGTTCCTCGAGTTCCTGAACCAATTTCTTGCTGCCACCTTTCCGGACACGGCCTGACTCGTCTAGGATGGCGACGTTCGCCGCCTCGTCGACCATGCATTCCAGACTGTCCAACGGGAGGGTCAAGTATTCGACGTTATAGCTGAGCAGGGCCACGTAGATATACACCAACAGCATCACGATCCAAGCCGGGATGGCCAGAGACCACCATCGGTTCGGATAGTAAGTGATTCCCAGGGCATGCAGGAACGGAGAGGGCAGGTATGACCACAGAATGTAGAACAAGAAGGCGAGCGATGAGGCCAGGTAGAGCACGAACCCGTAGTACTCGTACGTAGGCACCTTGGGGGATGTGGGAGGAAGCGGATGCGCGCGGCGGGCCGAATGCGCGACCGCAGCTTCCGTGTCGTTCGGCGTTTCGACGTCGGAGCTGTCTGGCGTGGTCGGGCGCGTGGAGGCCGTGGATCGGTTGAGCAGGGACGGTGGTCGGAGCAGCGAGGTCAGGCTCGGTGAGGGCGGCAGGGGGGTGGGTGGACGGTTGTAGAAGGGCGGGTAGAGTGGTGGTGGCGGCGGAGGGGGGAGCGAGGTCGTCGATTGCGAGGTATGCAGCCCGACGCCATGATTTTGGTTCTGGGCGTTCGTTCGTCTCGTAGATCGTCGAGTGCGTGCTGGAAGAGACCGGACGCGCGAAAGTGCGTCTGGTCTGGCCGCGGATGATGGATAGTATCCCCCTCCCCCTGGAGCGGCATTGCCGTTTTGCGGCGGCTTGTCTTCGTCTTCCTCGGTGTCTCGATCGCCTTGTATCTCTTCTGCTGATGCTGCTTCTTCTTCATCAGACCCCTCTCCATCCGACTCTTCTGATTCTTGTCGCGAATAGTGCGACTCGAAATCGTCCTCGCCTAAAGAGGCATCCTCGTCGGGTTCCGATAGGTGCATCCCCTCGTCCTCGGTTCTGTCCCCGTCTTCTGCGCCCAGCTCGAAACCTGTGGTGGCCGCGCGCCGCCTGGCCGTCCGTTGCAGTGTGGGGGTAGGCGTGGCGGCGTCGCGGTCGGGCACTATCATTCGTGGGCCAGTCGGAGTGCGCTGATCCGGGATCAGGACCGACGGGGAGGGTAGATTGTCCAGATATGGCCGAAGAGTTGGTGGGAAGGTGGCAGATTTTGCGTGAGGGCGTTGCCCATTGGCATGTTCGGGCGACGACCCTCTACTCTGCGGCGGCATTGTCTGGACTCATCAGCGAGAACGAGCTGAATGGTAAATAGTTCGTGGTTACTGGTTACACAACAGACATCGACCATGGAAACAATTCAGTTGAATGCGGGGAGAAGCGCCAAGCGAACAGTGGCAGCCTTGTCTTCTCGCAGCCTTGCCCCCTTTTCTCCTCTTCTGACAAGGCTGAGAGAGAGTCCGCAAAACCTGAAGAGTGGCGGTCAAGAGTAATTACTCTTTCCAATCCCTGTATCGTCCTCCGCATTTGGGAAATCGTTCCTTGTTGTGGACTGGACTCTAAAGTATCTGGTCATTTCCTTGAAGAAATATATCATTATAGGCATTGCGTGCTATAACCGCTGTACTAATGAATGCCTTTACTAGTCTACACCTTTTGTACAGTCATCTCATCCGCTCAAAAAATGCCATGTCATGATTCGTAATGCTGAGTAAACGCGGCTTCCAACCTCCTCCCTTCCTGTTCCTTCTGGAGCAGTCGCGAGAATCGATCATGTCTGCGACAGTCCGTCCACGCTTCTCAGCCCAAGGCCAATATCTCCGGGGCTACCCTCTTTCAAAGTCGAAGCAGACGAGCTTGCACGAGCGCTAGCACTATCGGTATGAGGCGAGGGAAGTGGAGGCGTTGGATTCCTGGAGGGGTCGACCGAAGGTTGCTTTTTGAGCGTCGGCGTCATCGCGCTCGACGGCGACGGCAAGGGCACGTCATGTTTCCTCGAGATCTTCCTAAATCCTTTGATGGCGTGACCAACGCTTTCGCTCCGTCGGCGGAAGGCGGAGAAAGACTTCTTTCGATCCGTGCTTGACTCTGCGGGTGCCGGCGCATCAGCCATGCTTTCCTCCGCTGGCCGCGTCGGGAGTGACGGCAATGCGGTGATGATGGCAGAACTCCTAGAGCTCGAAATGCTTATTGCTGTCGAAGGACGTTGCAGGTGATTTGGATTGCGAGACTCCGCTGACGGGGTGGACCTCCACTGTGTGTCTGTGTCAGTAGCTGGCCCTGTCCCTGCCTGAATGGCGATCGATGGCCGGGTGATGTGACTCGAAGAACGAGAAAAAGGTCGATTCTCGCTCGCAGAAGTGGGCGTTTTGATCAGGTTTTTGATGCTGCTCATGCGCGCATGGTTGAATGCGGTGGACAGTAAGGGCAGACTGGATGTTCGGTCACCCTTGGGTCTGGTCGACGCCCTGCTCGGAAGGAGGAGCGACTCCTGGCTGGCGTTGCTGATGAGGATAGAGGCATTTGCAGGAAGATCTGGAATTTCGAGCAGCGTAGCTTCAGCCGCCGGGAACTCCGTATAGCTGCTGCTTGTTGATCGACGTTTGGCTGGTCGCTCAGCTAGCTGTGTCATTGGCTCTGAGGAAGAACTTTGCAGCGACGGGGTCCTTCGTTTGTTCTGTTGCGACATGCTGCTGATGGAAATAAGTGAGGGTCGCGATTTCGGTTGGGAAAACGACACTGGTGTAGCGACTTCAACCGGCGAGGGAGTTTCGTCGTCGTCGTCAATCTCGGGCCCCAGGATCTCTGTCAACAGCGATTCCGAGTAAATCGAATAGCGGTCATATCTGAAGTCCGAGAGCGTTGCCAGAGAAGCCTCCAAAACAGGTCTTGGTGACGGGGGCAGGATAGTAACTCGATCATCGTCTAATGTGGTCCTGATGTCGTCCTCCTGCTCTTCCTCCATATATGTCTTCGACGGCGACATCGCGTGTGTCTCGAAGAGCGTGGGCTGGCCAGAAGTTACTCTATTCAAGCAGATGCCATCTGGAGTCAACGCGCTGCGCTCAGAGAGCGTCTCAACCGATGACTCCCGGTCAGACCGCCCGGCGTCCAGATCTAATTCATCTGAAGTGTCGTGGGCTTGCTCCATGTCTTCTGGAATGTGATCATATATCAACATCCGTCTCTTGTGTTCCTGGAATCTTTCCTCCTCATAAGCCTTCTGCTCCTCTCTCTCTTGAAACTTCCTTCTCCGAGCAGAAGCAGACCTCATGTCCCGGGATTTCAGTGCTTGGTCCATGGGTCTGGCATTCCTTCGCCCGGTGCGGTTGGTTGATAAGAGTCAAAGGAAGAGCTGGACACGACGGGGAGAGATGTCATATGTTGGAGCACGTTAAGAACTCGGAAGGAACCAAGAGGGTTGTGGGAGAGGAGGGGCTGGAGCGAGCTGTCACTTGGAACTCCAACGGTAGCAGGGACTATCGAATGGAACCAAGGATGCCAGAGCGTTCATGAACTTGAATGACAGGGACAGGCCAGATGACAGTGCAGAGTAACTTTGTGTGACAGGCAGATCGCCCGATGGTCATGGCAGACCCGGCTCGTGCGCAAGCGTGGCTCCCAAACCGAATAAAGCGGACAAGTGCAAGCCACCGAGAGCGACGCTTTCTATAATTGTCGACGTTGAACGAGAGATATGACCTAGAAGCAACGAGTGACAGGCCTAGGGAAGGGGAGGACTGCTGCAGAATGGCGCAGAGTGAACAAACCAATCTTGTAGACGAGGCAGAAGGAGTTAGGGCCGATCGCTTAACAGTTAGTTATCCTGGATGAGATTGCAGCCAGTGTGATAGAAAGCCGGGCCTCATCTTTCCTGTTTCTTTTTGGGACGAAAGAGTGTCAGAAAGTCAGAGATGCTGGGGCCAGGTGGAGCATGTGGAAACCAGAGAGAGCTTCACCAGTCCGAAGCCAGCGTTTCATCAGTGTGTGGACTCCAAACTTGACACACGGACGCTTGTGGCTGTCGGCCTGGGAGCACGGATCTCTCCCGACTGATAAAAGGTCCGGTCCATCTCTCTGTCTGTCAACAAAGGTCTGGAAGGAAAGGCGGTGGTTCTCCCTTTGGCCGAAGCGGAAAAAAACAAAAACAAACCGCAGATAGGAAGCATCTTAGTCTGTTGTCTTGATGCTGACCGCCTATTTGGGAATTGTGGAGAGTGGTAGCGACCATCGTCCAGGTGGAAACGCCATGTACCAGCCCAGATCCAGATCAGTGGCATCAAGCGTCCTCGCTAACATACAGGTGCGTTGCTTCTGGGAAAGGCCAGGTGCCTGGGGCAAACTTTGTTCCGGAGTGGCACAAGAATACCAGGGATCAAGGCCCTAAGGAGTAAAGCTTCAGGGGCCAATTAAGCCTGAGGACAGAAGGCGGTGTCGAATGAGGATGGGCTTGAGAGCGAGGCTTGGAGGCGAGCAGCCAGCAAATCCCAGCTTCAGAGAGGAGGCGAACTGATGCGGCCAGGTCAAGCCACCATAGATACAGGTACAAGGTAGGCTGGTAAGCGAGTAGCAGTGAGAGAAACTCGAAGTGGTGGTATTGGTGGTCAACTTGAAGCGGACAGTCCCTCCTTTGGCCGTGTTCAGTTTGCTAGCCAGCGGACACCTGCAGATCGTAGTAAGGATAGGACCCTGGTGTAACCATGTACTCTGTCTTCTGTAATCATAAAGATAACGTACGTCTCCACAGTCTTCGAAGTAGTTATCGTCATTCTGTACGTAGTTCTGGTGGAGTGACTCGCGCTTCGTGCACGATGGAAGCTCTCACTTGAAGAGCTCTGTGCTGGGCCACATCACATCCCTCGATGATCATTTTGTGGTCTTCAAGAAGAAGGATTGACAGCGCTTCAGAGTTTGTGAATCTTGGAAAGAATACCAGCCCTGGTGAGATCAAACACGTGTGTCCCGAGCACACACACTATAGCTAGCCCTTGGTCATGGTCCCTGCTGTGTACCCGTTGACATAGCTGCTGTGCGCACCTGATGGTCGAATGTTGATGTTGATGTTGATGTTGACATCCAGTATCAATGATGCCTAGCTGGCTGGCTGGCTGGTTGTAGCTTCCAAAGAGGCAAAGAGGCCAGTCGTGTGAAATTGCTCGGTGGGATCTGGCCGTTGGTGCACGGTCGTCCTGATTTCACATCCATCCATCCATCAACCATACAGGTAATGAGCAGATGGTCCATGCGATGATTGCAGACCGCGCCGTTAGACGTCAAAGCAATGTCATTCGGGATCTCCCTCGACCTAGTCAGTAGTCAGGCACCTGAGCATCATTAACACCTCATATTGTTAGCCCGCTTCTGGATTCGGATTACAGATTACTCTTTCGGAACATGTTCTCATTTCGGGTTTGTCTCTAATCTCGGCCCTCTGATCAAGATCAACAGGGTCTGCTTTTGGTCGGTCGATCAATCGACTGTTCGCCCGCCCCGGACCAAGGATTGTCCGTCTTACCCCCCAAGTCAGCCTTGTGTTGTTACGTACTGTATCACAAGTTGATCAAACCATGCAAGTCAGTGTCTGGTGTCTGGACCAGGTGCTACATCTATCAGGTCACACAGTTTCGCCTCGAATCTCGGTAAGAGCAATAGCCCCGGCGTGAGCCACCACAACGGGGTTTGTACGCTGTCTGTCAGAGCACCTATCACGGACTCCTTTTCCTTGTTTTCTGATCAAGACAGAATGTAAACATTATTCCTGCTATGGTCATCTGCGAGCTCCTCTCCTCTTAAGCTTCTATGGACAGCTCCCATTCCAACATCCATTCTTGCACTATCTGGGCCAACTCTTTCTGCGCGTTTGCCACAGGAGCCGGAGGCAAGTCCGGTGTCGTCTCGTTTGGAAACAGGCCATTTTCCTCATAGTGGTGAATGGCGTTCGCAATCAGGATCACTGGCTCACTGGCGGTACTCGTATCGTTCAGTCGATCGGGAACGTCGAGCGTGGCAAGCGGCGTCGCTGGCCGCCACGGGTCGATTTCTCCGCCGACCAACGCCAGGCGCGGGTAAGAGATGTTGAACCCTCCCCACTGGTTGATGGTGTCGACATCTGGAGGCGAGGTGATGTTAAAGGCGTACCGGCAAACCAGGGTGAGATAGTCCAGCGTCAACAGTCGAGAGATCAACGGGAGGCGGTCGGCAGGAACGCCTGAACCCGTCTGAATATAGCCCCATTCGGTGCAATACTGGTAAGCCCATGACAAGGAATTGTAGTTCGAGATGTCCTTGTCGGTGTACATGCTGGCTGACGAATTGTGAGCACTGTAGCATTGATCCAGAGTCTCGTCGCAGGATCCGGCATAGCTGTCATTGATCCACCCCATGAAGTTCAACAAACGGGGGGTCAATGTTGCGCTTTCATTGCCCCATCCTCCCGCTGCAATGAGGGAAGACGCATTCGATGCCATGTCGGCATAACCCGGCCACAGCACAGTGTCGGATGAGAGGTTGCCGCAGTAGTAGTCGAACTCGGGACTGTTGACGGCAGGGTCCCAGTTCTTCGACTGCCACCAGCCAACTCCACCAGAGACCAGATTGGCAAAATCATCGTTGTAAGTAAGGCCCTCCAGACCAAATCCTGTTTTGAGCTCGGCCACGGTGGACGAGTCATTCTTCATGAGGATGTTGTCCACCACATTGATCAGCTTCTCCTGGGTATCGATACAAACGGGTGGGCCATATTCGCGAATTGGTTCATAATATTCCCAGTAGTCATAGATGGCCTCGGTTACCCCGGACGAGGAGATCGATCCCCAGGTGAGTTCTGGATACAGCTTTCGCAGGAAAGCAGCGAACCCACCGGCATAGGAGCCGCCGTAAGCGATGTACGGCGTCCCGGGGGCCGTCAAGTTGAGATGCTCCAGGCCGGGAAAGACAATGTGCGAGGCAAAGTATGCTTGATCCGCCAATGCCTGTTCCGTGGACAAGAATCGCAGATTCTCCGTGGACAGATCCGGCGTAGGGAAGCTGGTGCCATAGTATCGATGTTCGAGAATGACGCCGAGACCGTTGGTGGCTGAGGCCAAGATGGCCACGATGCCTTTCTGCAGGAACGGTAAGCGTTCAGATGCATCGGCTTCACCACTTTGCAAAACAATGACCGGTCCTCCGGGCTTGTAGTACGTTGCATCGAAGAAGTATCTCAGGTTGAAAGAGTCGTTCGAGTGAGGCTCATACTTGGAGTCGTTGTGGAAGTGGTCTACCGGGACGGAAATGTTGTGGGCTGGATACAGCTCCGCTGGGTCGACGTCCCTTGCCACCAGTCCATGAGGAGCAGGCGCCAGGTTTCTATCGCCGTCAGAGAGATCCGAAGTGGTTATAGCATTTGACATACCTTGCCAATACCAGGCCGCATAGCGAGCCGATGCCGAGTAACAGAGCGCCTCTCATGGTGTAGGCTCGACGAATGTGCCTGGACAATTTGACCAGGCAGACGAGCAGGATAAGTAGGAAATAGCTCGTCCAAAGGTACAGTTGTGGTACCTCGATGTCTCGTGAGGCCGAGGCATGGTTGGCCACCGATACCATGCTACCCAGGTACCTGGCGCAAAGTTTCGTTGCTCGCTTCTGCCCTGGCGAATGACACCTGCCCTGATGAGTGTAGTTTCAGCAGTTATCGAGGAAGCTCGGGAAACTATGACGCTGTTGACGTGTGGAAATGCAACGTTGCGTGCCAGATCTCACCGTCCACGAGGAAGGTGACCACTCATCGCAAGGATGCCGGGGCGGGACGCAGCTCGCAGATAGGATGATCGGCTCGGTCGCAGCACGACGAAGGCGTGGAGAAGCTTGATGGAGAATAAAGGACGGAGAGGTGTCGACGATAGATATCCAAGTGGGACCTGGAAAGAGCTGGGGTTACACATCGGTGAATGGAAGCTCACGATCAAGCTTTGGAGGGGCTGATAACAAGCTCTCTGATGCCAGGGCCGCCCGCCGTCAATCCTCCCTGGGTATAGCGTTACCGGTCAAGCCTGCTCCATTGGCGATAGCCACCCAAGGTTCGATCTTGTGAGAGTAACGATGCCTTCTACCTCTGCCATGCTTTGCTATTGCTGACCAGAAAAGATGATATTGTGTGAGCCGGGATCTTTGGTTGTGCTCGCCCGGTCGGATTATTTGACAACCGTTCAGGTGTTCACGGTTTGCGGTCAAATTGATCGGCGCAGCGTCTGGAGCTGCCAGGGCCACTTCCGCATGATCGCCAAATGATTAATGCATATCTCTTTGTATATACTGTGCGATTCTTCACGCCTTTCACGCTCGAGGCACGGTGTTGAACAAGGGTCTTTTCTGGCCGAGAAGGAACTGGATCTCCTCATGGATGGCCTGAGATCGGGCGGTCGTCGCAGGTGTTTCGCCCATCAGCCCATGAGACAAGGAGGCCGTTCACGTCTATCCATTAGTTACTGAACTCTTTGAAACACCAGCTACGTTTGGTTCCTGATCCTCGGATTCCCAGCCGTTCACACTCTCCTGCCGAATGCGGCTGTTTCGGCGCCAAGGCTGCCCAATCCAGCAATATACAACGGGGCAGAACCCGCCCACTGCATCCCCTCCTACCTCTCCGTTACTACTATCTTCTTTCTAGCATAAACAAATCTGCCAACGTAGAAGAGCATCCGTGGCCTCATTGTCCGTTTGCCAGTAGCACTCTGCCGCCGTCCACACATAAACACCTGCCATCGACATAGGCCTAGCGGACCGTAGATCAGTATCCCTGATCGACCATTCATTATAAGCGACACGAGACTTACTCCTGCTTCACTGCTCAAGTAAAGAATTGCGCCCGCAATGTCTTCCATCTTCCCTATTCGTGCTGCCGGCATGGCCTTGAAAAGTTCCGCAAACTGGTTGTTGCCTTCTTCCACTGGATTCATTCTACTAGGCACGACTGCAAGGATATCTGTCAGCGTCCACTGGGCTCGACTCGACGAGGCGTCCAACTTACAGCCTGGGTTGATGGCATTCACTCTGACATACCCTGAGCCGGTCCACCATCGTCAGTAACATGGCCAGGACATGGGTCCAAAAGAAGTCCAACTCACACTTGGCGAACTTGCTCGCCAGCAGCGCCACCAAATGATCGATGGCTGCTTTGCTCGCGGCATAGCTGGTCAGGTCGACATTGGTGCAATTGTGCATACTTGCACAGCTGCTGGTGATGATCATGACACCGCGACCTTCATCTCTCCCTCGTCGTCCATTGCCCAGGTCGAGCTCACTGGCCGCCACCAACAACTTCAGCAGAGCAACAGACAGGAAGTAATGTGCCGTGACATTCACGCGGAAGGTGTCGTCCCAATCGGAATGCACTGAAGACCACAGGGATGCCTGCAGTTCATCGAGTGAGGCTGTCTTGACATTGCACGTCCGGGGCGGATCTCGTCGAATGCCAGCATTCGAACAGAAAATGTCGAGGTGAGATTCGTGTTTCTCGAGTTCGGCGGCAACGGCAGCGATGCCTTCCTTGGACGACAAGTCGCTTTCAAATCTTTCAACGTCGTGAATATTAGCTCACGCATGAGGGAAGAGCATGTCGCGTTGTACCCTACAGCGCTACCTCCTGAAGGCTTCCCCAGCTCGTTGAGTTCAGACACTGCCCCTTGGATGTCGTCTGTGGGCAGAGCCGTCACGTAGACCTTTGCACCGTTGGCCACGAGACCCTGGATTGCCATTCGAGTTACTTTTGTTGTTTAGGATGGGGAAGCATCATCTCACCTTTGCAATCATCAGTCCAATTCCACTGCATCCGCCTGTCACCAGAGCCACCCTGCCCTTGACACCAAACAGATCAGCCACGGAAAGAGAAGACATGATCTGCCCTTCACAACGATACAGAAGGAGGTACGAAGCAATAAGTTCAGTTCAACCCAGTCTCATGCTCGATCTCTCCTCCTTGCAGGTCGAGACCATGCCATCATGTCGTTGCCGCTGCTGGCGACGGAGCCTCGTCCATCTCCGTCCGGCTGGCCCAGCGGCCCTCGCACAAGTCCGTCCGCCACGCCGGCGAATCTGGGTGGATTCATCCGTTCACGCTGGATGGCAACACGGAGATATCAACTCGGTCCCAATGTATAAAACCTCTCGTCAGGGTCTTTTGCTAGTCCTTCTTCCTTGTCTGGAAGTCAACAGCCTCAAGACGCCACCGTCGTGCGACATCCAACACAACCGGTGAGACAAGCACACCACGACTATCATGGCTTTATCAGTGAGCGGCCTCCTCCAGGCCATCAACCATGACTACACCCTTTGGATCGTGGGAGGAATTGTGCTAGTCTACGGACTGTACTGGGTAGGCCTCAACCAGACCACTAGCCTTCTGCCTGCCGCTCGAGACTAACATGTTGCGCAGTGGGCAACATCCACCGACATCCCCAAAATCAAAGGCATTCCCGAGATCCCCGGCGCGATCCCCGTGTTTGGCCATCTCCTCAAACTCGGCGAAGACCATGCGACAGTCTGCGAAGCTTGGTGGCGCAAGTACCGGCAATCGGTGTTCCAGATCCGCCTGGGCAACACTCGAGCGGTGGTGGTCAACTCGTTCGACGACGCGAAGCAAATGCTGGTCGGGCACCAGAATGCCGTGATCGACCGACCGACGCTGTACACGTTCCATGGCGTGATCTCGTCGACACAGGGGTTCACCATCGGGTCCAGCCCGTGGGACGCATCGTGCAAGAACAAGCGCAAGGCGGCCGGACAGGCACTTGGGCGACCGGCGATGAGAGGATACTTCGACATGTTCGATCTGGAGTCGTACTGTATCGTGCGCGACCTGTTCCGGGACAGCAAGAACGGCGAACTGGAGATCGGGGTGCGGCCGTACATCCAGCGGTACGCGCTCAACACGACGCTGACGCTCTGCTACGGGATCCGCATGGACAACGTGTATGACGAGATGCTGCGGGAAATCCTGCACGTGGGGTCGGCGATTTCGCTGCTGCGGTCGGCGTCCGAGAACTACCAGGACTACGTGCCAATCCTGCGGTACTTCCCGAACAACGAGAAGAACCGGCGGTCCAAGGAACTGCGCGACCGCCGCGACCGGTACCTGAACTTCCTGCTCAACAAGGTGCGCGACATGATCGCCAAGGGCACGGACAAGCCGTGCATCAGCGCGGCGATCCTGAAGGACCAAGAGACCAAACTGACGGGCGTCGAGGTGTCGTCCATCTGCCTGTCTCTGGTGTCGGGCGGGTTCGAGACCATCCCGGGCACCCTGACCTCGTGCATCGGCTCGTTGTCGACCAAGGAGGGCCAGGTCTTCCAGGAGCGCGCCTACGAGGACATCAAGCGCCACTACCCCGACCTGAAGGACGTGTGGGCCAACAGTTTCCAGGACGAGAAGGTCCCCTACGTCAACGCCATCATCAAGGAGGCCGCCCGCTACTACACCGTCAGCGCCATGTCCCTGCCGCGCAAGACCGTCAGCGACATCGACTGGAACGGCGCAAAGATCCCGGCAAAGACCATGATCCTGATCAACGCCCAGGCTGCCAACCACGACGTCGACCACTTCGGCCCCGACGGCGCCGTCTACAACCCGGAACGCTGGCTCAACGACGAGTTTGTCATGAACCCCTCGTCCACTGTCCCGGAAGAGAAGCCCGGCCAGGGCATCCAGCATTTCTCCTTTGGCGCCGGCTCGAGAGCCTGCTCCGGCCAATTCATCGCCACACGCCTGCTGTACACCGCTCTGATCCGCTTGTTGTCGTGCTACAAGATCGTCGCGAGCGAGGAGGAGCCCCCCAACACCGACTATGTCGATTACAACCAGTTCAAGACCGCTTTGGTTGCCATCCCGCGGGACTTCAAGGTCAAGTTGATCCCGAGACACCCCGAGAGTGTGATCCAGGACGTCATGGCTGACGCGAAGGAGCGCACCAAGGATTACTATGTCGAGTCGAACTGAATATGACATGTACATGTACGTGGGCAGTTCGAATTGGATCCTATGTTGATGGACTGGACTGGATTGCATAGCATCGTGTTTAAGGGGGGATGGTTGCATATAGCCTGGCGCAGAGCTTTCATGGCCACTTCTAAGTTGCTCCAGGGATGAGCGTTGAGCCAACCAGAGTATAATGGCATTTGGATGGCAGATCATTTAACGGCACGGCAGAAAAGCATAGAGAATAGAGAACGGCTGGGTGTCATACTACATACGGTACAGACATCACGGCTTCCGATGCTCTATCGGCTGTTATCAACGATCTCCCTCCCAAACAAAACCACCTGCAGGACCCAAGATCGTAACATCTGCGTACGAACCTGAAACGTCTTCCTCCACAGCCGATGGGCCAAGGTGCTAACAGCTGAAGGCTTGTAGACCCTGAGTACCGTGTCCTAATACACAATATGCCGGCGCTGATAATCCTCAAGATACCTTGGAGAGGCACAAGGCTGGTGGGTCCTCAGACCGCCATCGAGTCATCGAGTCATCGAGTCTTGGAACAGCGAAGATTTGGAGTGAGTACCAAATCACCCATTATTAGGTTAGATACCCTATAGTCTAGGAAAAGTAATCATGAGAATGCACTACTAAGGTACCTTAGGATGTGTGGTGCAGTGTGTGGTGTGAGAGAAACAGATCACCATCAGTCTCTGACTACATACCTACCTTCTGACGGTCATTTCCGCTCTCCTTATCGTCAACCTCGGTCCCGTGGTGATGATGACGGACTGTCAGACCAATCCCATCGTCTGGCTTCTGACTGGCCCGCCCAATCAGGCGTCGGAGATGGTCGTTTGGCCAATGAGAAACACAGAAGGAAAAAGTTCTTTGATGACGAATCCACTAAATTGTTTCCTTATCGCCGTATCGCCTTCAAGTTTGATCTTATCGCATCCTTTGCCCAAGAGTTCTTGCGGGCAATCAATCCATCAATCCACCAATCCACCGAGCCCACCATTGACCCTGGACATGGCGGGCGATAAGACAGGCAAAGCGCGCAGTCCGGTCCACAAGAAAATGGAGGGAGAGAACCCGTCGAGTGATCTACTCGGGGCAGGGTGGACGCGGCTATGTGCATTCTTGTAGTCTCACTGCTGACTGTTGACTGCTGCTGTGCTTCAGGTACCAAGTGCTAAGGACGTGCAGTGAAACGAGACCAGTCCATTGACGGTAGAAGGCGAGGTGTTCATCGAGGGGTTATCGCCCACCAGAAGAGCAAGAGCAAGAGCTTTGATATTCAAGACATCTACCTCGGTCCTGGTGGGTTGGTTGTCCGTCGTCGGGGCGCTGACTGTAAAAGCTGCCACCAGATCGACGACTGGTGAACGGTCGGTGGACGTGAGTGTGAGGGTGAAGGTGATCAAACCGAGACAAAAGAAGGAGACGAGAAGCGCCAACTGGGGGTGCCATCCTTTGGACCCTCTGTTTCTCTAATCTATAGTCGCTCGTCAAAAGAACACCTCTACCACAATGGCTTCTTCATCATCATCCGAACAACTACCCTCCATCGACACCGATGTCCTCATCGTCGGCGCCGGCCCAGTCGGCCTCAACCTGGCCTACCAGCTGCGACGGTATTCATCACCGCCAATCTCCACGGGAAGCCCGATCTCCATTCACATCATCGAAAAACACCCCAAGCCGGTGCAAGAACACTTCGGCCGCGCGGTGACATTCTGGCCGCGCTCAATGGAGATCCTGGCGCAAATGGGCCTCGCAGACCAAATCACCCAGCAATGTGTCGCTGTGCGATCGTCCGCGGCCTACGACGCCAGCGGCAAAGAAGTGTTTGGCCGAGGCTGGAGTTTCCTCGAAGGCATCGAGGACACGCGGTTCCGCTTCGCCAGCGTGTTGCGGCAGAAGTTCGTGGAAGACATTGTGCGCTTGGAGCTGCAGAAGCTAGGCGTCCAAGTCAGCGAGATGCGCAAGTTCGTCGGGTTGGAAATCGACGAGTCCATCGCTCCGGGCGAGATGGGCCGAGTCAAAGCGACCATTCTTGACACCACATCTACTGGTGAGGGCGGAGAACAAGAAGAGCGGAAATATGTGGTCAACTGCCGCTACTTGATCGGCTGTGATGGATCAAGGACGCTGGTGCGTGGCGCCGCGGGGATCGAGTCGGACGGAGACCGGACGGAGGACAAATGGGTGCGCATCGACGGGGTGTTAAAGAGCACCAATATGCCGAAACCGCGGTCGTACGGGGCGATCGAAAGTCCCATCTATGGCAATGTGCTGTGGATCCCGCTGGACCATGGCGCCACGCGCATCGGGTTCGCGTTGAGCGAGGACCGGCGCAAACTGTACAAGGAGCTCAACCAGGAAGTCTTCATCCAAGAGGCCAAACTGTCCGTCAAGCCCTTCGACATCGAGTATGAGCGCGTGGACTGGGCGAGTGTGTATAGTGTCGGCCAGCGCGTGGCCCGGAGTTTCTGGGCGAAAGAGTCGGTCTTTCTTGCGGGCGATGCCGCGCACAGTCACAGCTCGGGCGCTGGTCAGGGGATGAACGCCGGCATGCACGATGCGGTCAACTTGGGCTGGAAGTTGGCGCTTGTTTTGACGGGTGTTCTGAAACGCGACGTTCTGGCGACCTACGATCTCGAGAGACAACCGAATGCGAAGAAACTGATCAAATATGACGAGGATATCAGCGTCCTGGTCACGGGAAGACTGCCCAAGGGCTGGAAGGGAGATCCGAAAGAGGACCCTAATGTCGTTTTGGGCAGGATCTTGCAGGAAGCGAAAGGGTTCAATACCGGGTTGACCATCGGCTTCGCACCGAACGTTGCCGTCTTACGAGACGATCAGGATCTGGACGAAGCGGCGTTGGCGAAGCGCACCATCCTCCCAGCACCGGCGATCCCAGGATTCCGCGCACCGGATGTCCAAGTGCTGACGCCTGCCTTGTGGGAGCCTGTGTGGCTACAGCATCTGATGCCCAATCTGGCGAGATTCTATGTCCTGACTTTCGTGGGCAAGTCGCCAGAATCCAAGGTCCAGTTTGTCAATATGAAAGCCGGCATTCAAAAGAATCCACACTTGAAGCCGGACAAGACCCCGGGCACTTCTCAGCCCGAAGAACCCAACGGCGTCCATGTCAATGGTTCGGCTGGGCAGCGAGCGTGGCCTGTTGAGTTCCTCACCATCTTACCCGACAAGGTTGGAAACGCGTGGTTCGAGCTGGGCACCGATCCATTAGGCAGAGTATACTACGACAACGAGGGAGTCGCCAACCAGCGATACGGCGTGGAAAAGGACGCAGGGGCAGTCTTTGTTCTTCGGCCAGATGGTTGGATTGGTGCCAGATTTCCCCTGGAGTCCAAAGGCCTTGTCGATGCCATAGACGCATATTTGGGCGGGTTGCTCCATGGGTAGAATTGTATACATGGACACTACGATCCAAGGGTCTTGAACTTCCTTCGCCGTCTTTGATCTCCAAAGCCAACGTTTCCATTCCATTTCATGCCTGGTGACTTGGAGATACCGTCCACTATTTCGGCGTTACACGTAACGGAGGCCTGGAGAAGGAACAGGGCTCGAGAGGGTACTATACTATGATTGTATGGTCAGCATGCACTTCACCAGCAAGACGGAGATGCTCGTGCTCCCCGTCCACATCCACATCCACGTCCACTTTGCTCTTCTCCGCGCAAAGGAGATCGATGAACAGGTAAGGTATCCACTGAGCGCGTATTGTCAATACGCTTGGAGTCGTAGTAAGTCCGTTCATCACCGCGAGAGATTTCTCTACCGGACATGCATCATGTAAGCGCAGTACTCGTGGGTATCCGTGGGTGTAGGTACCTGTAGTTTCTCTGGGCGAGGATGAATAAATGCTCGCAAGCGGTCGCGAGTATCCATAACGGTACATAAGGGGAGTGAGTGCCTATCAGGAGGCTGCCTGCCCAGGTGGGTAGAGCTCTTATCGAGAGAGTGCCTATCAGGATAGCAGCATAGTGCCCATCAGCAGGGTGCCCGTGCCTATCAGGAGGGTAAGGTAGGTATAGTACCCTAACAGCACACAGTAAGGGTCTGTGGTACCTAATTTGTATCTTACGTGATAGGAACAGCGCCGAGTATTACCTCCGTACCTCGATATCCGCGATAACAAGACCCTCCCACTGCGATAACCAAGTCCAAGGGTCCCTCCGATCGTAGTCCAAACCGTGTGGGCTAGGGAGCGGGCGGGCATGCGAGATCATTGAAATATGAGATCGTCCCTTGACTCCCATCGGCCTCGTGGGCTGCTCGTCGCCTGCGCCCGAGCCTGTACCTGTACTTATACCCGTCCGTGATGGATAGCTTCGATCTCCTCGTGATCAACGGTCTGGTCGTGACGGCGTCCGACACCGCCAACTACGACATCGCCATCAAAGATGGGAAGATCGCGCTGCTGGCTCCTCCGGGCGTGCTGGACGTGAAGAAGGCGACCAAGGTGATTGACGCCGAGGGGGGGTATGTCATGGTAGGTATTCCAATCTACTTATGTTTCTGTTCTCCACTGCTCTACTCTCCGAGAAGTGGTGCTACTGCTCCGTTCTGCTATAGACACTCAAGCTGACTCTTTGTTCGCGTGGCAGCCCGGGGGCATCGATTGCCATGTCCACCTCGAAGAACCTGCGCTGTTTGGAGGCAAGGGGAGGAGCTCCGACACCTTCGAGACCGGTTAGTTAGGACCTTTGGGCTTCAAACACAAAAAAGCAGGGATTGTATCGAATCCAGGGCTGAGAGACATATGTGTGTCTGGATAGGAACAAGAAGCAGTATTTGCGGAGGCACCACGACGATTGTGTATGTGATATTTGTTTGGCTGGATCTCCTGCTTCCAGTCCAGTTGTTCGTGGCGTGTTTGTGTGAGTGCGTTTCATGACTGACAAGTGGGTGTTATAGAGCGTTTGCGCCTCAGCCGAAAACCATCCCTTCTCTTCTGCAGGTTCTGGAAGACACCCATGCCCGAGCCCGGGGGAATTGCTATACCGACTACTCGTTCCACCTGCTCGTCGGATATCCGGGCGAGCAGGCGCTGTCGGAATTCCCGCGGCTGCGCGAACTCGGCATCTCCTCGCTCAAGATCTACATGACCTATGCGGCGCTGCAATTACGGGACGACGAGATCTTGGACGTGCTCCTGGCGTCGAGAAAGGAAGGCATCACCACCATGATCCACGCCGAGAATGGCGACGTGCTGAACTGGATGACCAAGAAGTTGGAGGAGAGACGATTGTTTGCGCCCAAATACCATGCCACGTCGCGGCCGCAGATCGTGGAGACCGAGGCTACGAACCGGGCCATTGCGTTGGCTGAGTTGATGGATGCGCCGATGTGAGTTCAAGTTCGATTTCATCTCTTCTTTTTCTTTCGTCTCTCTCTCCTTTCTTCCTCTGTATCACAAGGGACCAATCTAATCGGCACCCCAATCTCACAGTTTGGTCGTCCACGTCTCCTCCCCCAGCGCCGCAGCTCATCTCCGAAACGCCCAGACACGCGGTCTCCCCGTCTACGCCGAGACGTGTCCGCAATACCTCTTCCTGACGCGCGGGGATCTCGACAAACCCGATTTCGAAGGCGCCAAATGCGTCTGCTCGCCGCCGCCGCGCGAGTCCTCCGACGACCATGAAGCCATCTGGATCGGTCTGGCCAATGGCACGTTCACCGTCCTGTCCTCCGACCACTGTCCCTTCATGTACGACGACTACGAGACGGGTAAGAAATCCATCATCAGCAAGGACTATCCGGAAGGTCGATTCAGCGGGATCCCCAACGGCTGTCCGGGCGTCGAGACCCGACTGGCCGTTACCTTGAGTGCGAACCGGCTCCCCCTGCAGAAATTCGTCGAGGTCACCAGCACAAACGCCGCCCGGCTTTACGGCCTCTATCCTCAGAAAGGGACCATCCTGCCGGGCGTCAGTGATGCCGACCTGACCATCTGGTATCCGCCGGGGAAGCTGGGGACTTTCAAACTCACCAATTCCATGCTCCATCACAACGTGGACTATACTCCGTTTGAGGGGATGGAGTTGAACCAGTGGCCGAGATATACTATTTTGAGAGGAGAGATGGTTTGGGATAGAGACGGCGGTGGTCTGCTTGCAAAGAAAGGCTGCGGCAAGTTTGTGGCGAGAGGGAAGAGCACGCTGCCTGGGCCGAGGAAACAAGGGGAATGGGATGTCAGTGCTTTCTGAGAGAAGAGATCGAGCCTCTATTGCACAATTAGTACAATTGATTGTTTTCTCACTTCTAGAGAGACGGTTTTGTGCTTAAGTGCCCGGTACAATTATCGTTGGTCTCTAGTCTAGTATCTAGAGACTCTCAGCTCGAGTACCTAGGGGTCCACCATTGTCTCATCTTCATAGCTGGATGTTCCAGCCCATTTGCAAGCGACTTCATGTTCCTGTGAATTAACTGTGGCCGTTTCCAAGCCTTGAGCTGAGGTTCCCGCTCCAGGAAATGCCAGTCGCTTTTCACCATCTGCTTTTCTCTGTTTCTCCCGTGACATGAGAGATGCAGGACAGGCACAATACATAGATTGATGGCCAATGCAATGCGTCGACCTATTAACCTGTCCTTGCCAACCATGTCATGCGGCAGCGACCAACAGTCGTCGAGGATCAAGTCCAACTTTGGTCGGAATCGACTGACGGCCAGTGTTCGGCGCGCTAGTTCTTCGGGGTACGTCTGTCACCAATGACGCCGACATTGGCTGGTGGTGCAGAGTTCAATCCGGTGGCAGCTTCACTCTGTCCAATGGTGCCAGGCTCGTCGAGTGGCAAAGGTGCATTGATCTGATCAGCGAAGGGAACAGTGCGTCGAGGAGTCGGAGCATAGGCACTCGTCAATGGGGCTATGACACCGTTGTTGCGAGCACTGGTGGCGTATCTACGTGCGATGCGAGCGTAAGGGTCGAGAGACTCGTAGGCATCGTTACCGCCAGCACCGGTGATCGATGCACGTGAGATGTCACCAACAGAGTAGAGAGACCCGTAGGCAATCCCACCGCTAGCATCGGTGGTGGATGCAGGTAAGACGTCACCAACAGGGTAGAGAGACTCGTGGGCAACATCACCGCCAGCACTGGTGATGGGTACACGAGCCATGTGACCGTAAGGGTAGACAGACTGGTAGGCACCGTTACTGCCAGCACTGGTGATGGGTGCATGAGCCATATGACCGTAAGGGTAGACAGACTGGTAGGCACCGTGACCGCCAGCACTGGTGATGGGTGCATGAGCCATATGACCGTAAGGGTAGACAGGCTGGTAGGCACCGTAACCGCCACTGCCGATGATCGTAGGACGAGATATGTAGTAGTGAGGGTTGACAGAGTTGTTGGCAACGTCACCGCCACCGCCACCGCTGGTGATGGATGATCGAGACAAGTGACCGGGAGAGTTGGCAGACTGGTATGGAACGAAGCCAGCGAAGCGAAGCGGACCGCGGTAGTACATGTCTGTGACCCCAACAGGGGCGAAGACCAAGCCAGAGGGATTGTAGATGACGGTGGACGCACTGGAGTGGCTCGAGTCATTTCGCGCGATGCTGCTTCCATTGACAAAATTGTTGACGGCCCCGCCATGATTGAGACTGTCACGTTGCTTGAGGTAGTCACTCAAGTTGCTCCCTGTTGTTTTTGTTAGATGACTCAAAGTGAAGAATCCTGCTAGAGACTCTGTTCATTCTTACCTTGACCCAAGTCGATTGCACCACGGCGGGCATGGAGACCAGGATTGACGCGACCAGTATTGGCGAGACCCGGATTGGCGAGACCTGTATTGACGAGACCAGGATTGGCGAGACCTGTATTAGCGAGACCGGCATTGACACGGTCGGCATTGACACGGTCGGCATTGACACGGTCGGCATTGACACGGTCGGCATTGACACGGTC